CGCGTTAAAAGGACCTCTAAAACCCATGTCCCTTAGTTTTGTTAATAGTCGCTCATGATCAATAGTTTCGAAAGCTTTAGTTAAATCTAAAAATAGGGCTAAAACAAATTGATTCCTATCAAGACTGTAGTTTACATAATCTAAAAGATCTTCCAGCAAAAGTTCAGTGCTTCTATTTTTACGGAATCCATACTGAGACTCGTTTATTAAACAGAACTTCTCGCAATACGATGTCATTGTGTTAAAGACAAATTTTTCCATAATTTGCGCTATGATTGGCAATATTGAAATGGGTCTATAATTCATAATTTCGTTTTTACTGCCATTTTTATATAATGGTCTAACAACAGCTGTTTTTAATTCAATAGGAACTTTCCCTGATGAGAGTGACTCGTTTACTATTTTTATTATAACGTCTTTTAATACCTCAAAATTATTCTGAATGTCCCTTAATCGAATGGAGTCATTCCCCGTAGGTTTGGACGCTTTCATGTTGTTTATTATGCATCTAAAATCCACCACTGTCATCTGAGGCAAATAAGCTGAGTGCACACTATTCTCATGGCTATTTGATTCTTCTTCTTGATTTTGTAGCAATTTTCTCAGATCCACAATCCTTTTAACAAAAGAATCGTTAAATTGGTTACATAAAGAACTGATATTGTTACTGCCAAAAGCTTTTTTAATTGTTTCATCTATATTTTGTTTCCCTTTACTTCCCGTAATTTCCTTTATCCAATCCCAAGTTTTCTTCGGATTTCCCTCGCATTGTTGAAATTTAGATGTATAATGATATTTTTTGCCAGTGTTATTTTGGCAGTTACCTTATTACGTAGTTTTTTAAACTCTCCTTTAATTATAGGATTGTGTGGTCTTGCTCTACAAATGTTCCACAACCTATCTTTTTCACGGCATAGTGTCAATATTTCGTCGTTTATCCAGGCATTTTGTGGATTTCTTTGTCCTATTTTTACAGTTTTCCAACACTTTTCATATATCGACCTCAAATTATTCGCAAGCATCTGGTAAGCAGTAATGTGATCAAAATCAAGGAGGGAGGCCCAGTTATATTCTCGTATCATTTTGTCAATCTTATTATTATCAAGAATGCGCCTGTATACTACACGATCGGTTTCCTCAGTACTCACCCCTATTATCGCCAGAGCTATAAAATAATTATCAGCAACTTTTTGTCTAATTACACCAGAAAGCATTTTAAGATCACCCCCTCTAACAATAATATGGTCAATACACGACTTTGTTATGCGGGATCCCAAGTATTCTTCTCTAGTATAATCTGTAATTATATTTTCTAATCCAAAACCTGCTAGTAAATTCAGATAATCAGATACACCGTACTTAGCAGCATTCATTACATCTATGTTCAGATCGCCAGCAACAACCAAGTATTTGTTGTTATTGAATTGTTTAAAGATTTCAGTTAATTCATCGAGAAAGAAAGGTATGTGTGCACTGGGCGGTCTATATACTGCACAGATTACAAAAGATAACTCCCGATTTGACACACGAAGTACCAAAACCTCCGCGTGGTTACAAGAAACTGCCAGTTGATCGGACATCCAGGAACCTTTTATAAAGACTAATATACCACCACCTCTTCTTCCTTCCCTGCACTCCGAAAACAATTGAAACCCGGTCAAATTGAAAGAACTTACCATTGTTGAGTCAATATTTACTTCTGTTAAAATTAATATATCCAAGCCTGCTAGTCTATTTTGCAAATATACATTTAATTGGTCCCAGTGCTTTTGTATGCTTCTAACATTTATGTGCAACAGGTTAAGTTCCATCCTTTTACCGTCTATATCTGCCAACCTGCTCTGGGTACTAAGGTCCCAGTCATAAAATGATGAATATGAATTCGCCATTTTTAACGTAATTTAGACAAGTCATGTTCATTTTCTACACGAATCACAGCCGAGCCTTCTTTTTCCCGGACAAAAATTTTTCCATTACTAACCCATACAAACTTGTACTCCTTCTCTTTTGCATACTGCCTAGTTTTCCACAAAAGTTGTCTTAGATACTTCGTTAGATTTTCATTAATGAACACCTGTTCATTTTTAAGCACTCTTCTTTTAGAGAGCCAGAGGTCCCTAACCGCCTTGTCTTTGAAGCGAACAATGATGGGTGCTATTTTAACCTCTTTTTGGCCCAATCTGTGGACCGCTTCTATATGCTTTCAGGTGCCGGACACGGCAGCTGCAGTTTACCAGATAAGTGTTGAATAACTTCCAAAAGATTTTCGTTGTCTTTTTTAGTGATACCATGAATTTCCACATTATTCCTTCTGGAGTATTGTTCAACAGCATCTATGGCGGTCTTGAGCTCTTCGATCTCCGTGTCTTTTTTTGTTACTTGTCTTTCAAGTTCTGCGGATTTTTTCTTTAGCTCTTTTAACTCTCTTTCCTGCACGGTAACCTTCTCCAGAAGGTCATGATAGTCCTTTCCCATTACTTCTAAAGAATGTTCTATTCCTTGCACTGTTTTTTCTTGGTTAGTTAACTTCACCATTATTGCGTCATGTTTTCCTGCCTGTTCCTCCATTGACTTCTCGAAATTATTCATTCTATCTAGCACTTGTGTCAGCTTAGTACTCATGTCCAGAATATGCTTCATCAAAAGTGCTACATTTGGTTCTTCCGAGCTTTCGGTTGTGCTATGTTGATCAATATCCTGAGAGTACGTAGCCGAAAGTGCTGCCTGCTGACATTTGCAAGTTACGCATAGCCAGATGTTCCGTTCTTCGCTAGACCATGTTTTAAGTACAGTCTTTGTAACCCCCGCGCATTTCCCCACATGGTAACTCTTTCCGCACTCAGCACACTTCAAACTCTGGCTATCGTCTGCAATCGACTTCAAACAGGTAACGCAATAAACAGTCGACATTTCGGGTAATGAGGCAGTCCAGCGAGGCGTGAAACAAATGAAAACGAAAATAATCAAGCAAATTCTTACCTAGACAATGCAGAAGAATCGCCGTTAGACGTGTCGTTAGCACCCCGCTGGACTGCGCCACACCGTCGTCTGCCGCTGGCTTTTGAAGACCAGTCCGAAAAACACAGCAACAAGAGAACCGTCACATGCTCCAATCAGCCACCTAGCAGCTGATCGACGGCGGATTGTCCGATAGAGCGATAATAGCTTCACCGTGCGATGAGCAGACTTCCGTAGCCCCTTGAAGGTCGATAACTTATATCGATGAGGAGCGCAAAAAGCGGGTGTCGCCTTGCCTCGGTCGTTTTCGTCACCGATGATGAGCAACTTATAAAGCTCTCGATGCCACGGAATGCTTGTAGCCTCAAAGCCTTCGATGCCACGCAATGCCTGCGTCGTCCCGTTGTATTCATGCAGCGTTCATCCCGGGTGCTAGAAAATGCAGAAGAATCGCCGTTAGACGTGTCGTTAGCACCCCGCTGGATTGGGGGGATTGGTGGCCGGGTGGGCTAGCGCATACCAGCTGGGAACACGTGGAGCGAAAGCTCGCGCTGCACAACTCAAGATCCTAGGGTGAATCTGCCCGTTTTGATCTAGACGAGCATTGTACCGCCGTGCGGTGGTGCATCACTACTGCGTGATGCATGCTAAAGACTCCAGGCTAGCGGTTGCACTGCATTGGCTAAATTTCTCGTCTACAGCTGGGAGACTCGTCGCCCATTGAGGCAAACCAAGTTCTTGGCTGTATAAACACACACCAATTAAAAAAAAAGTAAGTAGGACCATGTCTTAAACTTGGCTGGTAAGTTTATTCAGTAAACCTCTTATAATGGTAAACTAAATAAGTAGCTGCTAAATTTGCAGAAAAGATAGGAAGGAAAAAAGGATTTTTGTTTGTTGCATTGGTTGGTGACCGACCTTGGCTTCAGACTTCTTTCAGTCTCTTCTACTCTTGGTTGTTGTAAGGTCTTTAGAGCGCAGCTCCAAGGTGCCAGTTTCTGGCTTGAGCGGCGTCGCCGTCGGCGTAATCGCAGCGACGTTTCAGGACAGTTGCACCGTGCCGAAACGTCCTCGCGGGGTCACCTGAGGTGACGTGACCCCTGTGAGGCAACGCGACGTCACTAGGGTCGCGTGATTTCGTGGTTACGCCGACGGCGACGCCGCTCGAAGGAGGAGTAGCAGGCAGCATGAGGAGGGGTATACCCTTTTCTCAGTACCCTGCCCCCCTTCTCCTCAAAAGCTGCGCTCTAATTCGGCGTTACAGAGAGTCGTAAACAGCTTTCATTTTTTTTTTTTTTTTTTTGCACTGTCTTGGGTATTTTAACGTCTAGGCACCCCTAGGACACAAAAAAGAGTCCCGGTGAGAGGGGTGTTCCTCCTTCCCGTCTTTGGTGGTGGCTGGCAGCTTTCAAAGCCTGCGTACGTTACATGACGTCACGTCCCGGAGGCCAGCACGGGCGCTGATTGGATGCGAGTGCCGCGCCAGCGTGCGCGTGTGACTCGTTTCCTATCATAGTCCCACGCGAAGGCTGACGTCAGTTGCAAAGCACGTCGTGTTGCACGTGTCTGCATATGGTATGTCCCAAAAGTTTAGCGTGATCGACAGCAGGTTGGACACAAAACTGTGTTCTTACTGCATCGCCAAGGTTAAAATAATCTAAAACGGGCTTTGCACGTCTGCGTCCGAAACTTCTCCACATACCAATCACGGGATTGCTGCGGAAGGCCGACCTTATCGAAAACACACCGCTTGCTTTTTGCCGGGCGCGAGCGGCAGAATCCTTCGCACCCTTTTTGAACAACTCCCTGCAAGCGCAGTTGACGAAGCGTCGTGGGCGGGTGCAGTGACTCGCTCTTCCGTTCACGAAATATTATAAAAGCCTCAACCTGTGGCCTGTAAATACTATCAGCACTGTGATCAGCACCACACTGTGATCAGCACTATCAGGTACCATAGAGTTACTCTATGTCAGATACTAACTTTAATCGCTTGATGCAAAATGCGAGCTCACCGGAAGTACTCTAGGGTTCGAAAGTTCCATGGTTTCGCTTCCGCTGGTTTTAAAGTCGGTCGTGGTTTATGTTCCCTTAGGCATATCATATACAGAAATAATTATGTTATAAATTAATGACTACATAATTAGGGAGGGTTTTCCTGATTGCATCACTGATCTTGTTTGCGCAAACTACATATACGTTACTACGGTTACTGCTGAGAGGCTGTACCGCCGCGACTGGCCGCGTCGTCGGCCACTTTTCAGTTAAAATTTTATACAGCTAGAACAAGGTGTCGGTCGTGTGGGGGGTACGCCCGAGTGATGCCGGAAATTCTTCAATTCGGCTAGCCAGAGACGATAAACAAAATCGCCCAGTAATGTTAAGACCACGGAGCGTTCAGGCGCGCCAAAACAGCACGTCGTAACCATCAAACAGCCCCAACGATGACTCCGCCCGTCAAACTGGTGCACATACGTTTTCGGACCATCGCGGTAGTGACCGCGCTTTTACCGCTTTCATCGTTCCTAACGTGCATCTTTTATTCGCTCATGTTTCAATTCAAGCAAGTCACGGCGACGCACTGTCAGGTACGTCCGTTGAAGCGTGTGTCCTTTCCGAAATTAAGCGGACGCGGCCAAGTACCGACACGTAAACAAGAGCCGAAGTCGCTGCAGAAATCGCTGAAATCACGTTGGTGCGTGCAATTAGCCTCACTTTATATATAATTATATAGTTATTGCAATGTATGCTAGTGGTTCAGCTGGCGCTAGTGCCGGCGCGACTTCCTGTTGCAAGTTGAAGCAGACAGCAAACAATTAGCTAAGCGGCGCTGCCATGGGAAATTGCGCGCGTGCATTTTGTCTCTTCACCGGAGAACAACAAAAATCAAAAGATATTCAAGTTGTAGCGAATATTATGTAACTTTATTACCATTATCCGCGTGTAATTGCTTTTTTCGGAGTATTTTTCGCTAAACAGACCAATGCGTTTTGAACATTGCAACGTTTCAGGACCACGTTCCACAGCAGGTGTGCGAAGACAAGTGACGAATGTTAGCAAAAATTACAATTGAAATGAACGTAGGGTGTGTTCGACGTGTGCCAGCATTCCAATGCTACAATTTTCCTGCTAAGAGATTTGAACAGTCTGCTTACTTACGCTCTTAGTCTGCTTACTTGCGCTCCTTCCAGCTAGAAGATCAGACACAAATCAGGTGACAAAAACTGACCTTGACAATTATAGGCCAATCTCCCTGCAAAGTTTTGGAGCGTATTACCTATTCCCATCTTGCTAAATTTCTCAACTCCAACTAATTTTTTTTTCTTCACATCATGGCTTTCGTAAATATCTCGTTTATGTCTTCTCTACACAATGAATCATCCTGATATCACCCCTAGAGAAAAGCTCTTTTTCGTCCCCTCTTACATTTCTTCCCACATCGATCATAGTTAGCACCCCTCGTTGTCGTACCTCACCCTGAAGGCTTCATGCCTGGATCATTGTCATAGTGCAACTGCCTACCCGCATCATTCACATCCATACCGTCATTAGATTTGTTTAAAAGTAATCTTACTAATTATTCTTTCATAGGTGTCCCAAGACTGTGTTTAAAATATTGTGATGTCCGTTTCTTTGTGTTTAGTCGCCTACTTCCCCCTGTGACATCACCTGGCCTAGGTATTGTAATGAACAAATAAATAACTGTATTATTAATATCTGTAACTTTACAAGCAATTTAAGATCATGCTCAAAAAAAAGATTACACGGGCTTGGTCATGCTGAAAGACCGGTGCACAGATGTGTCCCACACAAATAATACACATGCACACACCTGTTGTTTTGGTGTTTTTTTTTTTTTTTTTTTCTGGTTAAATTTAGCGGAGAAACTGAATTACAGGGCGAGCCAAAGGGATCGGTGGCTGTTTTAAGGGACAGCATAAATTGGTTTCTGAATGTATTGAGCTAAGATTTTGAACAGGGGTGGCCAAAGAATGTGCATTAAGGGTATAAAATGTTGACCGAACAAACTTTCCCGAGTAAAAAGTGAAGAAATTTAAACCTTGAAACCGCCACCTACGGCAGCCGTGTGCGAACGAAAGGCGTCCAATTGGCGCAACAGCCGACAGATGGAGGTAGTGCTCTCTGCATCAACAGGTGGGGTCGCCAGTGAAAGCACTGAGTACCGCATTTTTCAGCATCAGCTTCGGCGACGACATCCCCACTGTTAGTGGCTTGTTTTGGAGGTTTCCCTCCTCGGTGAGGCACCTCATTCAGTGTTGGATTGTAGGGGAGCCTAAAGGTCGCCGCTGAAACTCCGACCGAAAACTCCGGCAAGCTTCTTTCCTTCTTTGGCACTTCCCGTGACGGAGAGCAACCTTCACTCCTCTGGCACTCCCCGTGGCAGAGAGCGACATTCATTCCTCTGGCACTCCACATGACAGAGAGCAACATTCACACCTCTCGCACCCTCCGTGACAGAAAGCAACCTTTACTCTCTTTAAGCGTACTGTGAAAACGACTCGCGCCCCAAAACAGCATGGACGAAAGTTGGAGACAAGAAAAGAGATGCGGTAACAGCCGGAGAGTGCAAAGCACACGGCGACATGTAGCCGCAAATAATTTAGAAAAAAAAAAACAACAAAAAACGAGACAACACTACATTGTTTTGTAGTCCTCGTTTTATCTTCATTTTTAACGTTTTATTGGTCGAGTGAAACAATCGTGCACTGACAATTCGTGCGGAAAAAGAGTGCATCACTACTGGCATAGAAACATTGTCTGCTATTGTCGTGGTTGAGGGTAGCGTCCGTCGTGCCTGCCTGCGATCCTTTGTGCTGCCTTCTGTTGGCTGTTGCGCCAATCAGACTCCTTTCGTTAGCAGACAGTCACAGTAGGTAGAGATTTTAAGTTCTTGAGTTCTATTGTTTTAATCATTTTTTCTTTTAAATTTTTATACCTGTAATGCACATTCTTCAGCCACCTCTGTAAAAATTCTTAGCTCAGTACGTTCACAAACCGATTCATGTGGTCCTTTCAAACACCCATGGATTTCTTTGCTTCACGTCGTATATTGTTGGTCACATGACGTCAATTTCTCCTGCTAAATGTACTGGAAAAACTGGATTTTTCCACTGGTCACGTGGCATCAGGTCACGTGGCATCGATTTCCCCCTCCAGATTTAGTGTGGAAGCTTAACTGGTGTAGAGCTCACCTGACGTCAACAGGACGTCTATTTCCCACTAAGTTTAGCGGGAAAACTGGATTGTGTAACACTCCAAGCGTATCAGTTGTTAACGACGTTTTCGAGCTTCTTCCTATTTACGAAGATTTTGAGCGTGTGAACGTGTTTCTAACGCTAGAAAAAAAAAAACTATTTTCGCACCTGTGCATGAGTAAAGAAAATATAATGAAGCTGAGTTTTAGCGAATTGCACTAATTAGTTGACGTTCACTTTACATTGATCAAGCATATGTAAAACTAATCACTGATCCAGTGTAACTACATAATTCTTTGTGTCTCTTTTGATCTTGCACATTTGACTCGCACATTTGATCTCATACATTTGGGAACTGTCGTAAGTCTAATGAACTCGTAACTAGCGTTCCATTTATGCACAAATATGTAGCTTCTATACTCCGTTCACCCTTAAGATGAGACTGGAAGCTCCGCCTTCAGTGCGAGCTCGTTGGCTTCCATAGTGCTTTGGTTGCACGCAGCCTGCGCGTTCAAACTTGTGTAAGCAAGGGTAGAAAGCTCGCGCTGAAGGCGGAGCTTCCAGTCTCTAAGGGTGAACAGAGTATAGCAACTACCTCATAAATAAACTCTTCTCTGAAGCTATTTTAGCACTATATTTATTGTCACAAATTTGGAAAAAAAGCGCCGCAAGCCGACAAATATTTTTGTCAAGTGATTGGTAAATCTTCTGAGCTGCAGTATAAACTCATTATAACAGACCTTGATAGTGACAAACATTTTGGTCTGTTACAAGAGGGTGGTAGACATCTTCAATCGGTTTCGTTGATCAGCAAAAAAGGGAGGCAGAGCGACACTATAGAGTCCAGGAATGGGAGTGTTTGGCAGTGGTGTGGGCAGTATCAAAGTTCAGGCCGTACCTGGAACATATGCATTTCAAAATTCACACCAACCACGCTTCTTTAAAGTGGATGTTTACAGCTCAACAAACCTCCAGTTGGGTGCGTCGTTGGGTTCTAAAGCTGCAAAGTTTCAACTGTGTCATCAAACACCGATGAGGGAGACGCTCTGAGCAGGAATCCCATATTATCTGTGGCTGCAACAGGTGTTCCTTGTTGACGGGTTGGCAAATGATTCCTGATTGACTTGCTGGAGCTCGATAAAAAATTTGTTTTGAAGAAAATGTTCTGGTATAAGACTTGGACCTCATCCGACTGAACAATGTTGGTGAACTGGCCAAGGAACAAGGAAGTGGCCCACAGTTTGTTGCCAAGGTTTTTCACTACTTAGAAGAGGGAACATTTCCACCTAATTATGCAGAGGCCCGTGAGATATAATCCGTGGCTGCGGTGTGTGAGCTCCAACCAGAAGGGCTCTTGCACCAGGTGACCGGAAAGAGGCAGCCGGTATGGACTCCGATGTAGCTGCGTCGGATGGTGCTTCAGCTTTACCATCACCGTCCCCTACGCGGTCACTTGGAATACTTCAAAACACTAAGACATATATATACAAGAGTGGTATATCTGGTTTGGAATGCGCTCAATATCTCCCTGTATGTCTGTTCTTGCAAGTCCTGTCAGATGCTCACGCCACGTCGTTGTAAACCTGCAGTGTTCATGGATGGGACATGGGCACTTGAGCTTACGGCTGAACTGAGCGTGATATTGAATCGAATGCTGGTTTTTTTTTGTTGCTTTGGGTCCTCAAAAAGTATTTCAAAGCAACAGCGACAAAGTCTTTGTGAGTAACTTGTGGAAGACCACCATGAAACATCTCGGAATCGAGGACAGACACAAGTTACCATACCGACCAGCAGAACAGCTGGTTGAATGCCACCGTGAAGAAGTGCTTCGTGGCCTACTGTCATGAGCACAAGGGTTGGGACCTCAGAATTCCAGAGGTGGCACTTGCCATGTGGATCTGCAAAAGCGTCACAACAGGGTGTACTTAAAGTTGTTCGTTTTCGGGTTTTATATTTTTTTAAATTCGGGGGGTGAAAATCTGGCGCTATTTTTCAAGCTGATAAAAGGGAAGAAATCGGGTTTTTTTGAGGAAGCATTCTGAAATTTGGGTTTTTTTGGGTTAAATTTACAAATGCACTCAGCAACACAATCATTTTTTTTTTAATCGAACCGTATTACGAGTTTCTTGACGCTAACGCATTAAAATTAGGGAGATGTTTCAACCTGGTAATCGGGGAACATCGGGGTTTTCTAGTTCCCCGGTCGCTTCAACGGAAGCACCGCCCACGTAATCCTCCTCTCCCTCAGGTGTCAACAAAAACCACTGACCGTTTGAGGGATGGTCGTCTTCGATCAGATATTTCGCTATCGGATAAACCTGTTAAGTTTTCCCGATCTGTTTACGCGACTGACAGGCTCGGACGTTGTTCGTGAGAAAGGTTGGATGCCAGCAAGATGGCCATGCCACCCGAGAGATAAGGCTGGGCATCGACACGCCAGCGGTCGAAGGGGGATTGATAGTGCATTTCACAAGCTTCGTGCAGCAGGGCCGAAGCTACGTGGCGTGCTGAGGCGGTTCCACCTGCGCAGTGGTGCACGCACCTTGCGAAATGAACTATTGGTCACTGTTGTCCCGAGATATGGTAATTAGCGTGTGCGCACCGCAAACTCCGTGCAGCGTAAAAATAAATAGGTTGGTTATGTGGCTTTGGAATTCGGGGAGAAATCGGGTTTAACCCGATTCTCCTGAAACATGTTCGGGGTGTAAAAATCGGGTGAAATCGGGTTTTACCCGAAAACAAACGACCCTAGGTATACTCCAGCACTCATGTGCTATGGATCACAAATCCGGAAGTCAGTGGAGCAACCTTGTGCATCGCAAAGTTGCAGGATGCATACGCCTTCGCACTGAAGCTTCAGAGGAAGGCACAAAGGCACAAGAGCTCCAGCGTAAACATTCTAACAAGAGAGGATACCCGTAGAGCACTAGGTCGACAGTCTGGTGTTGCGCAATCTTCACATTTTGAGCAATGCCAGCAAAGGAATCTCAGCGAAGCTGGCAGCGTGAAGTTCGGGGCCATATGTGATTGTGCAGAGAATCGGCTGCAATGGATGTCAAGGTTATTCAGGTACCGCCAAAGTGGATGGCCGATCGGCATTTGCCATGCGGATCAGCTGGTGCCCTACCACGGGGACTGAACTTTGAAACTGTTATGTTCACATTTCAAGGGGAGGCAATTGTTAGGATCTGAAGCAGCCAGCATGCCAGCTGCCTCGCACATATCGAGGAATGGGCACAGCGTGGACTGGGGTTCAGGATTGTGGTGTTGGCCGAGTAAAAGCAGCGTGAACCGTGACAGTACTGTGCACAGCAGAAAGTCTGTCCTGTTTGGACAGCCGTTAAAGGAGCAATGCAACAATTTTTGTATTTTGCGCAAATACCGCTTAAAACGGATCCCTAATGTTAATGACCTATGAAACACGCGTTCGTTTTTCACCCCACGCAATAGAAGTCCCAGAAAAAAATTAAAGAAAAACGAGCAGCGTTTACCCCCTCAACTCGCAGCCAGAACAAGCGGCCACGTGATCTGGAGCCGATTATATGCCGCCAGTGTTGATCATAGCCACGCGCTGGGGTTGGCAAAGCGGAGGACACGCGCTGAGTTCCAGACATTGTTATGGCTCGGCTGTTGTCGTCGTTGCAGCGATTGGACACGGGTCACAACCCGAATGCTTCTCGAGCTAGCAATTGTCACGAGCCCAAGTCGAGTGCCCACGCAATGCTCGGGTCCAATCTATGAACCGCATTCAAATATCGACATATGGGTGTACTGCGATCCTTGAGTTACGTCATCAAATTTTGCAAAGGAGAGATTGAATGAAAATGATCGCTTTTGTCCTTGAAATTACACCGCGACAAAGGAGTTTCTCTGCCATTGGCGTTGCGTGTGAGTATCCTTGAGTCCCAGGTGTGCCAGTAAGCTCATGTAGAGAGAAAAACATTCCAACTGAATATCGTTGCACAGCTCCTTTAAAGGGGAGCTGAAGCACTTTTCAAGAAAACTGAGTTTAGAGCAGATTTCTGTAATTTTTTGCTAGATTAATTCGATTATCACACTTGAACTGGGCTGAAGTAAACATAAACTGCTTTTACTTTAGGGAAGCGTGCAGGAATTTCCGCAGGGGTTGCTGCAGGGAATGCGGCGAGCCCCTCTGTCACCCGTTATCTGTCGGTGATGTCGTGCGCAAAGATCATCTGACCCTGTCGATGATGTCACTTTCGCCAGTTTTATGGTTTTACCCCCCGCTCGTGTGCTCGGCGTGCAACAGTGGGTGGGACTACTGTCAAAGTTTAATTGGTAATTATGTAGCTTCTACTCATAAAATCGTAGTGAAACTTTAGACATCATTTTTAAGGTGCCTATATTCAAAATTTTCCAGTTTTTATCAACTCAAAAACCTCTTCAGCTTCCTTTTAAGGGGAGACCCTGGTCTTGAACATTTTACTGTCATTTCTGATCTAATATTAAATTTTCACATCTAAAATAAGTCCTTTTGCTAAGCACAAACATAAGCTCAATTTTTCATTATCTATAATAGTTTTCAAAAAACCTGAACTTTATCACAAATGTTTCTGCCCAACTTTTTTTAAAATACCCCCATTAAAATATGGCGCAAACTATGTCAGCATGTTCTACAAATACTAGACTGTGCAGCGAAGCCACTGATAATTTAGCACCATTCCAAAAAAGTTGTCACGAAATAACTTTTTGGGTCATTAAAGTCTTTGCCAATTAAAAAAAATTGTAGTTAACATTTTTCTGGAATAGTAGTCTTGCTGCAGTTTCTTGTTTATGAGGTATTAAACCCTGAAAAAAGTGTTCAGGCCCATGTTCTAGATCTTAAAATACCGTGGGCAAAACTTTGTGTTGTGACGAAGAAATGAATAAGTGTAGCACTCGCAATACATATTTTCTGTGACTTATCGATACAAAAAAATTGCTTTAAAACCACATCTTGGCAACCCGAAACCAGGGGCAAAAGGAGGGACGATTTGTGTGTGCTTCGGGTTTCCCGAGATGTTGAAAGTACACCAGCTCGTCCATATATTCTCGGTTGCTTCTGTGTTATAAAAAATGACTTGATATTTTTGTGTTTCAAAGCCTCCCCTTAAGCCGAGCGATTTCTTTTCTCCAGGTAGCCAACCTGCTTCCGTCCATCAGTGCGGCGATCGGAAGTTACACGCCCCAGCGATACATCTGGCGCACGGGCATTGGGCTCCATGCGGCTCCCAGGCTGCTGGTCAGCGTCATGTACCGCCGTTACTACGCCGCCATGCTGGCCGACACGCCCAAGTACCAGTTCCTCGCGTCCGCCGCATTCTGGCTGAACGTTGTCGAGAACCTCTGCCTGCTCGGTCTAACCAACGTCTCGTCGAGCGAAAACTACCGTGAGTGTGCCCGTCCCGCGAAGCGGTTCCGTCCGCTTTGCCCGGGGGGACTGCGGAAGAATGAATTGACTTTTGCCCAAAATTGAGTGCAACTCGCGCCCTGTTGGCAACCGGTGGGTGCCGAAAAAAATCCGCCCGGTCTGGGATTCGATCTTGGGACCTTTCCAAGACTAACGGAGCGCTCTACCAACTAAGCTAACCAGGAGCTGGCAGTCGGTAGAGCACAAAAAGTGTTTTTGCGGCGAAAGTTGTATTGCTCAGGTTTCACGACGGATCCAGGGGCCTGCTAAATTTAGCAGAAAAATTTGTTCCCTAAATTCAGCGGAAAACCACAGTGTCGCCTGACACTGCGATGCCATAACGTCACGTAACGTCTTAATTTCCCCTCTAAATTTAGGGGAAAATTTCTCCACTGTATTTAGCATGGAATAACTATAATGGGACACTGTGGAGTCACGAAATTTCCCTCTAAATTTAGCGGGAAAACAGCTCCGCTAGATTTAGAGGGAATTTAGCGTGATTTAGCAAGGATTTAGTATGCAGTGATCATTTTGCACAGTAGGTTTCATCGGACCGACCCACTGCAGTGTAGTCTAAATGTTGCTAATGCTGCCGCAAAGATGTGGAATCAAGCTATCAGGCTTAACGTTTTCTTAGACGTTGCCACTGTGGAGATAACCTTTTAGTTACTCTGTCAGTACCTTTGCTGGTGACAAAAAACCCACTCATGTAATGTTGTCATGCGACACAGCATCGCAGTGTCGCACGAACACTGTATGCCAAATTTAGCAAGGCCAAAGTTCTCTAAGTTTAAATGCAGCAGTGTAACTGTGTGCAACCCTGTGTGCAGGACCTCCAATTTCTTTTTTTTTTACTTCGTGAACTGGTTGACAGCACTGCGCAAACTACACTAGCCTCGAGAATATAGCGCAAAAAAAGTTGGCACAAAATATAGTGCTAAGAGTGAAATCTTCACATTCATCAAGAATGGGATGGGTATCAATTCTTCAATACAGTAATAAGGCAGAAAAGGTGGTGTGGGTTAGGGTTGGGAGAGACGAAAAAGCTAAACCAAGAGGTGACATAGAATTACTTGTCAATGTTATCCACAGTTTTTGCCTGGTTTTTCGTCTCCACCTGGATGCAATCTGTTGGCACTCACAACTTCATAATAAAACAAAAAAAGCATTCTTGAGGTTAAAATTGTTTAAATGATGATTTCATTCATTCTGGAGTGATTTGGAATGATTTCATTCATTCTGGAGCGGAGTTTTTTTCCTGTGTCATCGGCAGTTTATGGAAAGACAGTACCAATAGTCCATTCTGGAAATACGCAGCGCCTCCCATTCTGCGATTTTAGAAGGCGAAGGAACTAGGACAACAACAAAACGGTGCACATCGGCTATGTGATGCGTTCCCTTTGTTTTTGTGTTCTTAACTCGTAGTAATAAGAGAGAAGGAATTAAGCCACTTGCAGAGTGTTGAACTCGGCCCGAGCGGCCCCACAATTCCTCGCTCCGCGCAGTGCAATGTGTGATTGACGAGAGGCATGGTAGAGTTTTCCGGAAAGGCCTATTTTAACATTATCAGTTTTTGTGAGCGGCTTACATTTGACGACGGTATTTTTCCTCGCAGCCATTCACGAGAAGATGTTCGTGACATTCATGGTGTCTGCACTCCTGTACATGCTGGTTTCCTGTTTCATCCCCACCGTGGCCTTCAAGCACATGCTGTCACAAACGGTAAGACTGAGAGCGGTGCCCGATTTCGGCCAGGTGCAGAAGCTTGACACCTGGCGCCCTTTTCTCGCTTTACTCGCCGCATAGGAGAGGAAGTCTTTACGCACCAAGAAGCAGCTGATGATCACCAGCGTTTTCTGCTCCCTGCTGGCTACCTACTTCTTCCTGCGTCACAACTGGTATTGCGAGCCAGGAGGTAAGTTGGTGGGGTGGTGATATTTGGCACTTGGCGACAGTTGGGCCTTTGGTATTCCCAGGGTGTTGCAGCACTTGGGTTCTCTGGCTCGTGCTAATAAATTGACTATACTCCGTCTCCCTACACGACTGATAGCAGCAAACGCCACTACTAGCCATCCCAACCAATCCAGTGCTGGGAATTTGTCGAGCGACTACACACTCAGCGTGTCACTGCACCCCACCTGAAAGTCACGTGATGCTCAAACGGCACTGAATTGGCTCCGACGGCATGTAGTGGTCTCTGCAATCCATCCTGAAGTGAACCGGAGCATAGGTGGGGGCGCAAGCTACCACGCAATCCAAAGAAATTGGCTGTATCGATTCATCCATTCATCTATTGAGTGTTACCCTGTGTGCGTCGTACTGTTCTGCATGCTAGGAATTTAGGTAGTACATGCAATGCAATGCACTTATAATGATAATTAGAAAATTTAATCATTTTAACCGATTATCGTTGTATCAGGACAAGAAACTGAGCGCTTCTAGTCTTAACTCTCTAGAAACTGATCGTTATAAGAAAAACAATGTTATATGTCGTATCATTATATGTGGATTGCACTGTATATGCTCAACTTATTGAATAAGTGTTAACGAGACATAAGTCCGTCAAAAGCTCAGTTTCTGCATTAGTTGAGGTGAAAACCTCAACTAATGCAAAAACCTCTTTTCAGGGTCAACTCTTTGTGCAAGGTCAAGGCAGTTGTAGTCTCCACGGTTCTCTAATGCTGTCAAAGCTGCTTGCATCATTGCTTAGCTTTGCTTGGCATCTCCTTTGCACGACGGCACATGCGAACGAGGTGCAAGGCTGCAGCATTGTGAAAACTACAATAGCCTGGACAGTGTAGCCTGAAAAAGTAAACACTGCATACACCAATGATGACCTCACCACCTGCACCAACTAAAAATGGCAGAATGATTGACTCACATTTTTCGCAGGTTCGGATGAAATACGCTATCGAGTTTTTTTACAGAGAGTACACTGCAAAAGGGTAGTAGACAGTTTTCCTGGCACATTACTTTCACACACACCCGCGAGAAAACGTAGAGAGCACGTCATTGCGCTGACGTCGCAAGCGCCGCATTCTCCGACCAACTGGCGACCTCTGACCGTGTTATTGCCTGTTTTCTCGTGTGCAGTGTACACATTTTTTGCCCTGGCCGAGTACATCGTGGTCCTGTGCAACATCGGCTTCCACATGACCGCCTACTGGGACTTTGACGACCAGCAACTGTATGTGTCGTCGCCCGATCATGACCTGTCAGAAGACAAGGTCAGATGAACCACGTCTCCAGGGTTGCTCATCGCAACCTGACAGTGTTCGCCCTACAAAGTTTCAAAGACTGTTCTTCGTTGCACACTAGGAGGGGAACCCTGTCAACAGGCCTGCGCTCTTGTCGGAACCGGCGCACTAGCTCCCTTCCATTACCATGTAACTGTCGCGTGTCAGGTGCACAAAATGGCCCGCATAAGGAAAGGCGAGACACAAGTTGGTACCCGTCGCCGGAAACTTTTTCAAGTTCTCTTTCGTTTGGGTGGCTGTGTTGACTGAGCAGCTGTTTCTCCCATCTGCCAGAGATTAATATTGCATCGCTAGTTAAGCAGAAAGGGCTCACTTGGGTAGCATTTCGAATAGACGGAGCACGTAAATACTAACTAAACTCAAGGCTGATCCATACATTTGCGTCTAAATGTGTTGCATTCTCTTGCACCTGCTTACAGTGAGAAAACGGGTTGAAACACTGGCGTCGTCTATCAGGTAGCCTCGGAACTGCGTGTAACTAGACCCCGGTGCAAAATATATCAGCGTGGACACTGCGCACGTCGCAGCTGCCACGTAAAGTCCTTTCCTCGCCTTGGTTGCAAGTGGTGCCACTAGATAACTCTTCATGAGTGGCTAGGGGTAGCCCGTCGTGGGCCTGGTTTCCCACGCTTCTCCATGTGAGACACCCTAATTTTTAAAGTCGTTCTTCGGGCGTGCCGCGTCTTCTAAAACTTGGCACTCGCACTATGCGTGTTGCGTAGACGCATCTTTGTCGTTCACCTCAATTCCGTGCCTCAACGGTGGCAAGAACAGTTCTATGTGCATGTTGAAGCGGAGGGATCTCCAACACGGTGTTCAAACCGGCATTTGTCGAGGTCAGAACAGGCGTGCCGAGCAAGAAGTGCGTGTGCTTAGGTGCCTTGGCAGCGAGACACTTTTTTTTTTTTCTTGGTTGTGCCGTCTGGTTGGCGGAGACGCTGTCGGCATAGGCTACTTGGGCACGTGCCAGTAGGACTTTATCTGGTTGATCGCGTTGTAGCATTCGCCGTGCCGCGTGTCCTCACCTAAGGAGTACCTTAGACTGTCAACTAGACTGAAGGTTTTGCAGAATTTATGAGATGAAATCTATGTTCGCTCGTAACAATACCAGAATTATTTCAGGCCCGCGATAAAGGAATGACAAGTAAAAAGGGTAAAAAAAATATATTTAATATTTATAAATACGTTGATCGAAAGGGTTCCGGGGCTACCTAATAGATGACACTAGTGTTCTGGTGCATTTTCCTGTCTTAACCAGTTACGAGGGAAAGCTATACTTGGGCACGGTCGAAGACAAATGTGTGAAACCGCCTTCAGAATGCCAGTTGCGCGAGTCGGAAGGCAAGACTCTGGTACCTCCGACTTGTTTCATAGACTTTGCAAAGCAATGGTTTTTGCCACGTCGTAGAGTACTGTCCTATTTGATCATCCCGTCGTGGAGTTGTGTAATTTGGAAGGTTCCCCGTGATAGGTTATTACGTTGGCAATTCTGGCGTCCCACTACTACTGGGTCTTATAGCTCGTTAAGCAATCCTTTCTCGGCTGACTTGGTGTGGGAGTGACAGCGGCCACCCTTGCCGGCTGGAGTAAAATCAAAAGACGTTAGGTCGGGATAACTGCATTGGCCGGTGTTTGTTCCGTGCAGCGTTGTATCTAGTTTTGTGATTCGGGTGCATTGTTTTTAAGCAGTGCATCGAGATCTGATACCACGGTGTTAGGTTGTAGCCGACCAGTGAAAGATGGGCTTCCTCTCGTACCGGACTGTAGCGTGAAGGCTTTGCCTCCATGCTGCATTTTTTACTCGGAAAGCATTGAGGGCTGACCTTAGTCTGGGAATTACAGTCGTGTCATTTGTTCACGCGAATCTTACCAAGCGTGCATGGCACAGAAAGTCCGGTGGGGCCATTTCTTGGTCGATAGCTTGGAGTCGCATCCTTGTTGTCGAGTCGTCACTTTTTCTCTTTTAACAGTCATTTTTATGCATTGTGCGGTGATGAGATTTGCTTCCACTTTTCGAGCTTTTAGCTTTACTTTTGAGTGGTAATGGAAAGCCTGTTTACATCGTACACTCTCTGCTGGTTGTGCATGCCTGGCTTTTCACTGTTGAGAAACAGCCTCAACTACTTTGGAGATCTGAATATTTTTAGTTAGCTTTTTGCAAGTGCGTTGTTTCGTAGACATTTTTATTATTATTATTACTTTAATTTTGGGTGGTGGGTTGTGCTTTTCCAGCCCTTGTGCAAGAGGTATTTAGGTTTAGCAATTGACTTGTCGCTGGCTGCTGATCGACGTAACTGTGTTCACACGGAGTTTTGTTAGATTGCGTAGGTAAAAAGAACTGCAAGGTACTAAGGGGCTTGCTTCTTAAAGAACAATATTATAATTGAGTGACTACTTCTTTGTCGCTTGTTTTTATTACCGCAAGTGAGCACACTATTTCTTTGCAATGTTGATTACGAAAGAATTGCTCTTCGGTTATTATCCAAACTTGCCGATCTGTTGACAGGCCATTCCGTGCAGCAGTTGATCCCGGTGGTTGTGATCTCCTTCCTAGTCCTCCGCACGCGCCCCACTAACGGTTGTTTCGTATTTCTTCATCTACCTATGCCCCTATTTGTCCCCCCGGCGACAACGCTTGGCGTTTGCTCGCCTAGAGTTCCTGGGTCTTATTTCCGGTGTGGGACGTCCCCATAACAATAGACCAATCTTGCCAGCCAGTTTCATTGTGCCGCCGGGAGCTGTAGTCTTTCTGCACGCTTGACAAAGGCGCCCGATACGAGTCTTCGGCCGGTGTGGTTACCACGTCCAAAAAGTGGTCCTTCAATTTCTGCCCGATGACATCATAAAAGTGTCGCGCCGTCGCTGGCCGTGGTCCTGGCAATGTCACAGCACCGCCAGAACCATGGCGGTGCTGCAGGTCATTAACCAGCATGACAGTCCATGGAAGGTTCAGCAGCCAGGGGTTAAGACTCTGCGACTACGGCGACGCTTGCACATACTTTTTGCCAGGTCTTCTAGAACGATGTGCCAGGATCGAGTATCCGACTTCAAGGGACGTCGGCTTCTGCGACTTCGTTCGATGTCACTTCAGGAGCAGTTTCAATGATGGACAGTAGGCTCGTTCGATTGACCTGTTGTGGCGTGTGCATCAAGTTGCGGCCAGAAGTACACTGTCCTACACTTTTCTGCTCCGGTGCAAGTAAATCGAATGAGCCTAATGTAGGACGCCAAACACCGGTCGAAGACACGTTCCGGACGCCGTAATGAGATGGCACGATCTGTCTCGTGCAGGGGCACTCGCCTCTCGTGGACTACAATTATGGTGGCGTTCCACGCATACATAAAATGCTCAGCGATGTTGGTGAATTGCACGGATTCTTGCAAAGGCAACCTGCTGGCGCTTCTTTTCCGTGCAATAACCTCACAAAGGCACTCTGTTGGTGTTTCTTTTCTACGCAATAATTTCGCAAAGTCACACGAAAAAATATACCGAAACTGGACGTAAAGTGTGCATTTGCTAAACGTTTTGTTTTCAAAACGAGCCAATACTTCAGACTGCCGAAGACAAACATAGCCCTTTTAGCGACACATGCTTTGTTAGCTATTTTAAGAACGCCGCAGGCATGCCACCGTAGCTTTACAGCCAAGGCTGTAGCGTGCGCCCCTTGCCTTGAAATGCAATCTTGCTGCACAAGTGAGAGGGCTACAAGTGCACACTCATAGCTTTAGTTCTATTACTGAACCTCAGTGAGAAGGAGTTCCCCCCAGTTCATGAGCAAGCATAAAGCAGAGTCCTCTTCCAGGGGTAGGAGCTTGTGCTCGAAGCATTCGCCGAGGCATCAAATGCAATGCAGGCGGTCAGGTTTTTCCCCCGTGAAAATGCACAGTTCTTGTTAAAGCTAAAGAAAGAAAACAGTATTCAAGAGGTTTTTTTTTTTTTTACTAGCTAGTGTATCTTTATACAATTTGTTTTTGCGAGGCTGCTGCTTGGAACTTATGTTGACCTGTCGGAAAACCCCAGGGTGCTGTAAGGTACTTTGGTCCAATAAAAATGCCTTTTGCTGTCATGCAGCCATAACGGAGTACTGTTGCTGGGGTTTCCTCCAAACAGAACGTAACGGCCGTGCGTGGGCGGTCACGGAATATCGACGTCTGCCTAGCAGCACTTATCAACTCGAGGATAGGATGATAATAAAAAGAGACAGACTTTATTTCAAATGGGTGGATAGAGATGCAAGTGTACTGAAAACATTGAGGAATGCTGCTGCTAAGTTAAGGGAGGACACTACCCAAAAGGGTAAACTTTTGAACCTTTAAATTCATTTGTTCATAGTTGCAAAGCAAAGCGCAAAGTTTCATTTGTGTATATGAATTGTAAAAAAAATGCAATACCCAACATTTTTCTTCACTAGATATGCAGCAGAATGCCAGGAAAGTGCAACTGTGAAAACAGGATTTCAGAAAAGTGCTTCATTTTAGGTTAACATTGTGCTGAAAAATCGGATAGTTTTTTTGCCCTTTATGTTGTCGACAATATTTTAACATATTTTATAAGACACCCTCAAAGGAGAAAAAAAAAAACAATTCCAAAGTTGCATTACCCATTAAATTCTAGTTAGGAAAAACAATGAGTGGGCCTTTCCTTTTGTCCTGTTACTAAGCAATAGTTTTCCTAAAGTGAAACGCGTTCAAAGTGCTCGAACCTCTACCTTTTCTTAGCATGGGTGGACCAGAAATAATTTATAAAAAAAACTGCAGACACTCTAAATGTTGTTGGCGTAAATAAAGCATTTATCAAACTTTTTTTTGCAGAAATTGTTTTTTGGGTAGTGTCCCCCCTTAAATGCCAATCTGTTCTTCTCTCAAAGTTGCCTCAAATTTATTGTGCATTGTAGCCCAAATAAATCAATGTCATCATGCCCACACCAAAACAAGGCCAAAAGCTGTTTAATGATAAGCGAGATCTAGTCACTGTTAAGGCTGGCTTACACATTTTAGTGTGATGTGCCCGCTTACGACAAGAGAACATCCTGGCACACTGGCACCCCATTGGGCAACTCTGGAACATTTCCGGTCTGCTCTAAGTGGACTGAAGATTGAATTATTTTAAACCCACAGTAAATGATGCATAAAAAAACATATATACACTATATACATAGGTGGGACGTTTTCCAGTGCTGCCCAACAGATGGCACTAGCGTGGTTCCATTGTAAGCGGGCTTAACATACATGGGCATGCTCACTAATGTGTGAACTACTACTTTTACTGCGTCGAGTGTGGCAGCACAATCCCCCTTGCTGCTGCAAAGGAGACAGCGTGCCGAAAACGACATTGAATGGGTGTGGCGAGCGACAAGAAATAGGTTCCCAGTCGGCACCTACCCTATTTTCAGTGCCACGAATGCACAAGTGCACTGAGATGCCGCGGCACGTGCGAACGAGATGCACAGCTCGAAGCTTCATGATCCGTTTCTTCTTTTTGCAGAACTCGCTGTTAGGCGACGACCGTTGGGCTTCGGCGTGACGACCAGTGCCTCAAACTCCCACGCATCACGCAAGGACGACGGTGTTGCACGAGTGCTGACGCTGGATTGAGGAAACTTTCAGACGGTGTGCACACCCGACGCCCGGGCAAAAAGACTCGTCGGTGTCGGCGCATCGTTTCGTGGACTGCAAATCGTCGGAAGGTGGCATTAAAACGAAATAGCGCGGGTGATTTTTCTTTTCTCGTGGTACACTTTCTTTTGACATCCAGCACTCCGCTCTTGTACGGTGAAGGCTGTGGTTCTCTGCGAGCGTATTAAAGATGTGGGTTTCTTTTTAATGCGAAAGCATCAACTGTCCCATGGAGCAAGCCGACGTCGTCAGCTTTGAAGCCGCGCCAAACGGCACCGTAAATCCTTTCTCCAAGTAAAGAGTTCCCAGCTATGAAACCACACAAAATGCCTAGCTAGATGGCACTTAGTTTCTCCGGTCCCAAAGGAGCGGAGTAAAGCTGATGGATTTCGGCTTCGGTCTCAATGGCTGGCGCGTGTTGACGAGGCTCCCATTGGCCGCTGCACGTCAGTTTCAACGACCGTCACCCCATGGCGCTGCGTGTCCGCAAGGCAGCAGCTCCACGCCCAAGGTAAGCGCACCGAGGACAGCGCGCGCGCTCTACCGTCGATGCAAGTACGCCGCAGATGAAAAAAGGGAGCAGAAGAGCGGCGTGCATGCTTTCGCATTCACAACTCGTAAGAAGTGCTTAGGTGTTCCCCGAGCCTTTTTTCATGTGTTCTTTCTGAAGCTTACTTTGATTTAGCCTTGGCACAGGCCAAGGCAGGCCATGGCTGCCAGACAGTTGTGTCACGAGCTCTGCCAGCCACCCAACACAATTCTAAAAAGAACACGAAGCAGGAGGACTTTGAGACGCTTTGAGAAGACTGCCACCTGCGAAAGCTCCAAAAACAAGACAAAAAATAAATGGCAGAAAAGGAGTCCGTTGCCATTCTAGATAGTACATTGTCGCATACCTGGAAGGCCCAAGACTGAAGTTAGCGTCCACTGCATTCCTCCTGAAACATAATTCAGCATGTGGAGGTTGTGGGATTTGCTAGCTACAGGAGTAACCAAAGGGTTTTCTGAACTGTGGCGGCAATCTCAAAGGAGACGTCAAAACCAGAAGCGCGGTCCTCGCATCTCTGTGCGCAATATAGACGACGTTTAGGGCTACATTACCGCGGGTCGATTTGATACATACCTCCATCGGTGCCAAAGATTGACCACCTTGTCCAACTCTTTCGAACATAGCGGAGGAGAAGACACACGTAGCAGAGTAAAGTCCAAGAGCATTTATCAAAACACTCCTATACGAACTACCTTGTCCCCATCCAAAATGCCCCCCGCGCTGGCAAGGTAAGGAAAGGTCCTTACTTGCCAGGCACTGGGTTCCGGAGAGTCGAGATCGGGGAAGCATCGGAGAAGTCGGCGACACACATCCCATCTCTTTAGCGGACACCAAACGAGTCTCCCTCCCAAAAGCGAAAAAAGAGGAGGCGAAACCTCCTCGCCCGTCAGCGGTGATCCGCATCCGAGCGGGGGAACGAAAAGGTGCACCCATGGGAGAGAGTGAGGAAGGGCCCTCCAAGACGGGGGACCCTTCGCTTCACAAAGAGGTCCGAGTTCACGGCGAAGGAGGACAGCATTTCGACCGGTGTCCGTCATCACGGACATCGGGGGAAGAGAGATCGCAGGAATCCCCACAAGGTTTCATCGATATGTTGAAATGCAAGTGCTTTTTTTTTTTTTTTTTGTCGTTACTGATGAACCACAGAGAATGCTACAAGCCATCAAAGCCGGTCGAGTGCCACGTATTATGCGATCTTGAAGAAAAGCGCAGCGCCATGCTAGGCGTGTAGTCACGGAGCCTGATTGGCGGGGGTGACTCTGGCATCTTCTGCGTTCTGTTCTAAGGCAAAACAGAGCATAGTTGCAGAATAATCATAGGGTGATGTTGAAACTGTGCCTATTGGCATATCTGGGTAAAACTTGGGGCTGGTCGAGAATCATTAACTGAGATTGGAACTAGTTTTAAAATTTTCTCTGAGGTTTTCTTGCTTAGTAATGAGCTCTGGAATCTTCCTCCTAATTTGAGACACCGGAGAAACATGGAGAGTCTTTCCTTGCAGAGACAGCAATATTACTACACTTCTGTGGTAAGGACATGTACCAACGATATGGGATAGTGAAGCAAGGTTCAAGTTTGGTTCAATATACTGGTATGGGCATGTAAGGCAGTACTACCTATATGGTCACAATTTTTGGGGGGATTCTACCATACTTATAACCACAAATCAAAAGGATCTGGCTCTACATACACGCACTGTGCCATTGTGTCAAATATTTTGTGGAAGAGAACTGGGTAACAAAGTTTTTCCAAAGCAAGAAAACAAAAATCGCGAGCCATTTTATATCTCAGTACGTAATATCCCGAGTTATCGCCCACCCCCCTACCACTTGAAATTCATTAAAAAAGTGGGGTGGGTCATGTCTCGGTGGGTGAGCACAAGCACTTGAAAAAAAGCGGAAAACACCGCCTATGTTTCTCTGCGCATCTAGCGCTGATGCACAAGAGATACATCAAACTCAAAACTCGATTTAGTTTCATTGTTTTATAGAAAAAAAATGCTCACGAAAGAATATTTTACTATAGCGAAGTCCGTTGCTTGCATACGCGCTAGAAACACCTGTTCCGTGAAAGAATGTCACCACTATGTTCTCCTGGTTAGTAAAAAAAAAAAAGAAAGAAAAGTCTACAAGAAAATAGAAAAACCAACCAGGCGCAACGAGCGAGCGAGGGAGCGAGCGAGCGAGCGGACCAAAGAAGTGACCAAGAGCAATGCTGGGAAAGCGGGAAAGCCGGCGGTCGCGTTGGCAAATACAGGGTGTCACAAAAGAGAATTTACACGGTCTTTTTTACCGCAAAAATAAACTAGGCGTCGCCGAACGCTCATTCTCCACCCAACGGTAGAGCTAGAGGTCACAACCAGATGCCAAAGTTTCAGCCCGATCCGATAAGTTAATCAAAAGTTAAAAGTGATTTTCTGAAAATTTCAATGGGAAAATGGAGCCCATTTTTGTTCGTTTTCGGTTTCTGGTGCCATAGAGCCCCATGTGTTTGAAAACTCCGTCGGCCGCCATTTTCCCATTGAAATTTACTTTGGCGTCAAGCCAGGTCGGGCGCCTTGTCAATTGCAAGCTCTTGCGCAACTTTCTTGTTTGGTGCGTACACACGTGCGTCCGTGCACGGCGGGCTATCAATGCACGCGGTTGGGACGCTCTGCAAACGTCTGTGTAGGGCGTTCCAGCAAAGCCTTATTTACGCGTTGGCTTTGCCTAAAATATTGCACAACCGCGGTCGCGACGGGCGGGAAGAAGGAGCGGTTTCGCGGTGACCTTACTTCGGCGGAGACAGACTTTGACCTAACACTCCGCGGTTACATTAACAAACTCTTATTTTGTTATCTCCATCGTTTTCTTTTCGCACGGATACACGACCACTTTGGGGTCGCTTACGGAGGTAAACAAAAAGAAGTGTCTTTCCCTCCTTGTTTTACTTTGTCACGGACGTCCTCGAACTGTAAGGTCCGCGGCCGCGTCATTCGGGTAGGATGAGTGTTTGCGGATCGCAGAGTCCGCGCTGGGGTATTTGAAGGGGTGGGCGATGACTCGGTGTCTTTTCGGAAATCGATATTGGCCCAAAAAATGGGGTGGGCGATGGCTCGGGGATGGGCGATGACTCGGGATATTACGGTATGTCGCTTAGTAACATCTCGACGAACATAAAAGGTTATCGCATATCCATAGATGAAAAGTCGTCTAGAAAGCTCACAATTTTTACACACTCGTAAAAGAATGCAAGTGAGCCTAGTAGTCGATGGAGGGACCAAATTATAATGTCATATTTTGTTTAGGTGACCCACGCAAAAATGTATTTCAGAATGTTTATTCCAAAGTTTCCGTCCCTAGCTACAGGCTCCATAGTGTAGGCTACAAAAGCGTCGCACAATTCACTACATCGCTGCCCAGTATGTTATTCCCACGGCCGCGAGTGCCACCAGCAAAGCCAGTGCAAGCGCCACGTGACTTCTGCTCAGCGCTCTGGTGCCGCCGTGCTCGTCTGGCTCCTGCTTCGGTGGACCCTCGGTTTCAGGCTGCTGCTCCTAAAAGCAAAGTTGACACAACATTAACAAACAGCACCAGCACTCCAACCCTGTACACCGATGCCGGACATTGTGCCATTTCGGAAAGACTCGCGGCCTCAAACAACTGACGTCTCTCGTTCTGGCTCGATTACATTGCAATTGCGTCCTCCTTTTTTACTTCGTGCAATATGATTCTGGAGCGTAGTATGCAAACGAACGACAGTTTCGAAATGCACCGCAGATTCGTTGCCCCAAAGACTCGAGCTTTCCGGGACTCGTTAAGATCGAAGCTTGGGTTAATTGGTGGACCACGCTTTCAAGCCATGTGAATGGCCCACACAAAAGACGACCACGAAAGGAGGGAGAAAACAAAGTGCTAACTTGCCATAGTAGCGAGTCAACTGTGTATGTATGGGTGCTCCTTTTTTTTGTGGTTGTCTTTTGTGCTTGCCATTCTCGTGGCTTGAATGCATGTTCCACCCACTCCTGTGTGTGCCGTTCTCACGATTTGAAAGCTTTCTGGGCCTCACCATGCTGGCCTTGCGTGCGGCACACTGGTCGTCACACTTGGGGGGTTCACCGACGGCGTTGCAGGGCCCTTCCAGCTTGCGGGTCTTGCAGGGGCACCGCAGCGTCACCTTCTTGCGACACTCGCTCCGCGACGCGCAGGGCCCGGGGTGGCAGTCTAGCGGACAACGGTGACCGCAGTCCAGCTGCGTTCGATGCAGTGACGATATTTACAATCAGTTTGTGGCAGAATGAACCGCTTTCAAAAGAACTGGTGCCACCTGGCAGAAAACTAAGTCAAATGCCTTTATGACAAAGTCTGCGGGACTGGCAAAAATTTTTCTAGTGCAGGAATCTTTGTTGTAGTAGTTCAGCGCAAAAAATGATCGCACGATACTGACCTCGTGCTATCGCATGTTGACGTAGCTGCGCAACATTCAAGGAGTTTTAGGAAAAGGTATTGCGCCAAATATAGCATGAGCGACAACAGAAACGAGGTTTTGTGTGTTCCCAATTGACTTATCAAAAGGGGAAATAGAGTCTGCTGGCACATTGCAGCCTGAGCATGGGGGGCGAAAGCTCACGCTGCAGAATCCAGGCACCTTGGGGTCAACTACCACTTCTTTTTTTCTAAATAAAAGTTGTATTGGCACAAGTTTGAGTACCCCCCACTGCGTGACACACAGACACCAGGCTAGCGGTCGTACCGCCACTGGCAGTTTGTAATCTACAGCCGAGACACCGGTGAATTTCCCACTGTCCAAACTTATGACAAACAACTGATTTATCAAAATATGAGTTGCAACAATCGGTAAAGTACCGACGTCGAACTACCGATCACGCAGCGAAGGAGTTTGCCGACTGTGGAAGTTTGGCCTTTCCCAAGTCGGGCGGCGGCTTATACCGCCATGCGTCAACCGGAGGAGGCTCTCGAAGCGGCTGTGCTGCTCTTGATTGCACATAGAGTCGCCAGATGGCGTAGGAGCAAGGGCAGTGAGGATGAGGAAGGCGCTCAACCGAGCCGACTGAACTCTTTTTCACACATCTGTCCGGCACAAAAAGGGGGGCGCATTTCCTTCTGTGCAGCCCTATTGATTTCGCTTGGATATTGGCGTCGCGGCTAGAGTTGCAGATTGCTCCAAGGCGGAACAATTTGGGACTCGGATCGAATAAGATTGAGAATCTTAGATTTTGACGAAGATCCGCGCATCTGTCAAACAAATGTTAAGACAGCTTAAAAAAAGTTGCGACTGCCGGTAAAAATACTTTTTTTATATATACACAAACTCGTCTCTAATACGTCACGGCGCGGTGGTGTCGCGTCGGGCGCACTTCTGATCTGGGGCTGTGGGCGGAAGCCGCCATGGGGCACGTGAATTCCTGTGTTACTTTGGAAGAAACCGGACAAAAACCTGCCTTCTCGTCAAAACGCCGCGACTGGGGCTTTACCAAAAGAGTCGGGAAAGGTTTGAAGGTCGGTTTTCGTGCGTTTTCTGCCTGCTCGGTTCGTCTGAGAATGTGAACAGGGGCCGTGAAAAAGGAAAAACAGATGCTGTCGAACCACAATTGCTTCTGCGGGAAGCACTTTGGATTGAATTCATGGATACTAGTCGTCGTCAAATTTATTTGTTTTGTTCCAACATGAACACGGGAAAACCGTCAAGTTGCACGAACCACCTGCGGACTACATTCAGTGTGTCATCACGTTCAAACGGCCGCCTCATCGTTTGAGCTGTCGTCTGCTCTCTCAAACGTTTCTGCCTGTCGTCAGCTCGTTCAAACGCCAGCGGTCCGTGGACCAAACGCTGACGCGGTAATTGCGATAAGAAGCAGAGACCTGAAAAGACGTTTCAAGTTTGAAGGTTGCTTCGGGTAAGTAGGCTCGGTGTAAACACTAGATATAAGCAAATGTTGATAATTGTTACCAGTGGCCATCACCGGCTTGTTATGCCTGATTCACTTGGTCCAATTCTGCTTGCGATTTTCAGTACCGACGTCGACATCTCAGCTACAGTTCAGGCTTTTGCAGCCTGAGCGACGTCATGACTGAAAATAGCGAGCAGAACCTCACCATGTGAATCAGGCTTTAGCGTCCATTCTGTGGCATCCACGCAGAATGAATCGCCGCATGTTACATTATTCACGCCGAGTTTTGTGGTGTAACAAGCCTCAATAATTTCGCTGAGGCCGCTCAAGTAGTCGGACATTGCCAGGAAGACGTAGAATCAATTCCAACGCAAAAAAGAGAGTGGTGACTCACACCGACGCCGAAAACATCCCATTCCAATGGTTTGTTTATGGGCGACGGCGAGCTTCTTGCCCACACCCCCGTCGTGGATGCGCGGCATCGGTGGAGTCCGCTAGGGGCGCTCCGGTTTGTTTGTAAACACGAGTTGGTGTATACTCTCTTTCGTTCGGGTCCTTTAAAATGCGCCGACATACGTGCAAAATAAGAAAACGAATGTGAGCATTGCCCGGACCGAGTGTTGAAAAACAAATTGCAGAGCCCTTCCACTTCACGTGAAGAAGGAGGACCAGCAAAGCTGTTATGTTTACGACGTCTAGGACGATGCCTAGAGGACGACCTCAAGGACGATGCCTAGAGATGATAACAAGGGATCAGGGCCTCACCAGTGTGAATCAGCCAAGGAAGGCTGACTTGCACTGGTTGCCCCTGTTTCGTTTTACGTTCTTTTGCGAAGGGCACACATGGACAACCTTTCGTGCCGGAGTCAGGCTGAAGACTGATGTCTCGTTTATTAAATCTAAAACGAAATAAAAGAAAGGCGCCTCTGGTACGGGGCGCTCAGGTTACGCGTGAAGCGGCGGGACAGATGTTTATATCTCGGGCTCCGCGCGCGAACGGTTGCTCTCGCTCGGTCGCTTTGACTTTGGAGCTCGCTGGCGTCGGCGCGTCGGCGACTCCATAACATCCCTCTTTCTAAGGGAGCTTCGAAGAAGTGCCGAAACGGTCTGGCTCTTTTACACACCGGCCGTGCCGAGAATGTTTGTGGGAGGTGTCGGCACACGTTTCCTCGGGCCTCGTGGTTGTTTCGGGGAACTCTTCGATGCCTTGTTTATCTTGTTGATTGGGGAAAGGAATTAAATGCGTGCGATTTCTTCGGATCTCTTGACCCTCGGACGTTATCCAGTAAGATCGTGGTGTATGGGCCTTGTTCTGAACAACTCCGGTTCGCTTGAGGTCAATGACCCAAACTCGCTGTCCAGAGCCGAGTGGATCAAGTTTACGCACTCCGTGTCGCCGGTCGAAGTATTGCTTTTGTCGGTTCCTGTTTTCTTGCTCATAGTGACGCAGCTCTTTTTGGTCGGGTAGCTTTGGTTCCAGGAGCTGAGTGGCGATCGGTACGGTTGTACGCATCCTTCTCCCCATGAGAAGTTCTGTCGGACTGTATCCGTTGGGCAGAGGCGTTGAACGGTAGATCATGAGTGTCTCGTACGGATCTTCTGTTTTGCTGAGTGATCTCTTTATGATCTTCACCGCAGCCTCCGCCATCCCATTGCTCTGCGCGTAGCGAGGGCTTGATGTGATGTGCTTAAATCCGTAGGTCTGTGAGAACTTGGTGAATGCTGAACCTGTGGTTCCCGCAAACTGAGGACCATTATCAGACACCACTACTTCTGGGATGCCATGCCTCGCAAATATCGATTTGCAGTGCATTATTACGCACGCTGCTGTGAGGCTTTCCAGTCGGGCGATTTCGGGGTAGCGAGAGTAGTAGTCGACGACGACCAGCCACCATTTCCCGTGAATGAAGAAAAGGTCCATCGCCACTCTCTCCCACGGTCGACTAGGAAACTCTGACGGGATGAGGGGGAGCTTTCGGTTCTGGCCAGTTTTAATGCATTTTTCGCAGTTCTTGACCAGGCGCTCGATATGATCGTTTATCCTCGGCCACCATACCGATACGTTTGCCCGTGCTTTGCATTTTCCTATGCCCATGTGTCCTTCATGAAGTTGTTGCAGGATATGTGGACGGCAGGATTCTGGTACCACTATTCTAGAACCATTCATGAGAAGGCTGTTTTGCACGGCAATGTGATGACGGTACTCGTAGTACTCTTTGAGGTCTGTTCCGACATCTCGACGATTTGGCCAACCTTTATGGCTGTAGCTGGCGAGTCTTTGGCAAACAGGGTCTTTGTTTTGTTCTGCCGTTATCCATTTGAGACTCGTTTGCGTTGCTGGTAGGGACGTCTCTATGTGTCGAATGAAGCAATCGATTTCTTCTTGCATCTCTCTATCTTGCCGCTGTGGCAGAGGGCTTCTTGACAACGAGTCAGCTGCTTGGAGTTCCTTGCCCGGAACGTGGACAACTTCGAATGAGTAGCGCATTAAACGCATGCGCAGTGTCTGAAGCCGTGGGGTTAGGTCGTCCAATGACTTTGATCCGAACAGAGAAATGAGTGGTTTGTGGTCGGTTTCCAGTACAAAGTGCGTTCCCACAATGTAATCTCGGAATTTTTCGCATGCCCACGTGAGTGCCAAACCTTCTTTTTCGATTTGGGCGTACCTCTTCTCTGTTTCGGTGAGTGTTCTGGACGCATAGGCGATGACGCGATATGATCCATCCTCCTGATCTTGACGCAGCACTGCCCCAGGCCGTAGGATGACGCATCTGCCGATACAATCGATCGCTTGTTGGCGTCGTAAATTCAAAGAACGAGGCAGGTTGAGAGGATTTCCTTCCATTTGGTGAAGGCTTTCTGCTGAGGATGATCCCACACGAAGTCCACTTTGGAACTGAGCAGTGACGAAAGTGGATGCAATAGGTCAGACAGGTGTGGCACGAATCGTCCTAGGTATGTCGCCATACCCATGATGCACTTGACTTCTTGCTTTGAAGTCGGTATGGGCATCTGTTTCACTGCGTTGACGATTGTCTCGTCTGGACGGACACCATCGCTGTCTACTTGATGACCTAGGAACTTGATACTTCTCACTCGAAAGACGCATTTTTCCTCGTTGAGCGTGAGTCCTGCTGATGAGAGTCGCCTGAGGACTTCTCGCAGACATGCTCGTGCTGCTCGGACGATGACGCCCATATCAAGATATCGTCCATGTGGCAAAGTACTCCTTCCATTCCTTGAAGAAGTTGTGTAATACGTCTCTGGAAGTGTTCCGGTGCTGACGTGATTCCGAATGGTAGGCGATTAAAACAATATCTTCCAAACGGAGTGATGAATGTCGTCAGGAGTCGTGACTTCTCTTCTAGAGGGATCTGCCAGAACCCAGAATTCGCGTCCAGCTTTGAGAAGATCTTGGCTCCTGCTAGCCTTCCCAGCGTGTGCTCCACTGATGGGATAGGGTGATATTCGCGCTGAATGTGTTTGTTCAGTTGTGTGACCCTGCCCGTTTCGATCTGGATGAGCATCGTACCGGCGTGCGGTCGTGTATCACTACTGCATGACGCACGTTAAAGACCCCAGGCTAGCGGCTGTACCGCACTGGCTAAATTGCTCATCTACAGCTGGGAGACTCGTCGCCCCTGTGAGGCAGACCAAGTTCTAGGCTGTATAAACACACACACAACCCAATTTTTCAGTTGTGTGAGATCAACACAAATGCGAATTTTGCCAGACGGTTTGGGGACGATGACCATCGGCGCGCACCATTCAGTAGGTTCTTCTACTGGAGAGATGACACCTTGCGACTGCATGCTTTCTAGCTCTTTCTGCGTTTCTCGATACAGCGAAAGCGGTACTCTTCTCGGTGATGCGATAGCAAACGGCGTCGCGTTAGGTTTCAGCTTGAGAACGTGAGCACCTTCGAGAGATCCCAGTCCTTGAAACAGGTGAGAGAACTCTTTCTTCGGTTCGCAAGTTTTGTTCGCAGTCATGCAGATTTGAGGGCAAAGCCGAAATTTTTCAATAGCTGGCTTACCCAAGAGAGGTTTGCGAAGTCCTTTCACGATGTAAACTTCTTCGAGTGCTTGTTGCCCACGGCACTTGAGCTTCATCCAAGCTGATCCCATGACTTTAAGGGGTCGTCCGTCTGGACCATGAAGTCGGCGTTGGGGCTCGGAGAGCTTGTGGCACTTTGCGAAGACCTTTTGAAAGATGGCAGCTGGTAACACCGTTTCGTCTGCTCCAATGTCTATTCGGAAAACAACAGGAGTTTCGTCGACGAATATCTCGATGTCCCATTTTGCTGTTTGAGGAGAAGCTGCAGCTCCTACGAATCCTTGTTCGTGTACGAGGGAGTTCACGGTAGTTGAAGATTTGCAGACTGTTGCAAAATGTCCCTTTTTCTTACACCTGTTGCAGCCTGCGTTCTTCGCCGGACACACGCTCCTCGGGTGAGCTTCTCGACCACACCAACGGCACGGTTTGCCTTTTGGTTTGGGTGTCGCGGTCTTCTTAGTAGGAGTTCGAACATTTGAACGTTCAATTCCACGCTGAGCAGGTCCTGCTGCTGTCCCATTTTTGGCTGCTATACGGTCAACGTTGGCATCCTTTTCTTTTGTCGGTCGGAGTTCCACTTGTTGCTTCTTAATCACTTCCGATTGTCGCGCAGCAGTGACGGCCTTCTGGAGGTCCAGATCAGGATCCAGTTGAAGTTTTTCTGAAGTCCTGCTGTCCCGAAGACCAACAATCAGCCTGTCGCGGATCAATTCTTCCTTCAGTGGTCCATAGTTGCACGTAGTGGCTAATCCATGGAGAGGAGTGACGTACTCCTCGACGGTTTTCGTCTCCAGTTGCGATCTTGTGTTGAACATGGCTCTCTCATACACCACGTTTCGACGAGGAATGAAGTAACGTTCGAAGTTCTCCATCACCTTCTCGAAATCTTGGGCCTCGGTGTCGGACAGCTTGAAGGTCTGTAAGACGTCTTCCGCTTGTGGTCCCATGATGTAAATGAGAGCGTCGACTTGGTGTGATGATGGTTGAGATGCCAGTCCTGATGCACCATGGAAGCGCTTGAATCTCTCCTTCCACGCCGGCCATTCGTTAGGTGTTGTAAAACTGAAGGCTTCGGGTGGCGAGATGCGAAAAGTTGCCGTTACCGTTTGTTCGGTAGCACCGTTGTCGGCAGAAGTTGAGGGATTGTCCATTGTTCCTTCGTTTGTAGTCGATCCTGCGCTTTACTAATTATTAGTAGACTCACGGAACGATCCCGCTTCTGACACCATGTTTCGTTTTACGTTCTTTTGCGAAGGGCACACATGGACAACCTTTCGTGCCGGAGTCAGGCTGAAGACTGACGTCTCGTTTATTAAATCTAAAACGAAATAAAAGAAAGGCGCCTCTGGTACGGGGCGCTCAGGTTACGCGCGAAGCGGCGGGACAGATGTTTATATCTCGGGCTTCGTGCGCGAACGGTTGCTCTCGCTCGGTCGCTTTGACTTTGGAGCTCGCTGGCGTCGGCGCGTCGGCGACTCCATAACAGCCCCCTCTATTTTTATTTATTCATACTTGCCACAACCAATGGGGAGTTTTCTGTCAACATCCGCAGACACAATTTTTCCCAGATCGTAACAGCTTCGCTGTAAAAACTAATCTTGAGTAGACTGGTGCATACTCAACGGCGTGAGCAAAACTAAAGTATGCACGAGCGCTTGCGGCGGAGACAAGTTCTCGATTTGGGTCCAGACGATTTGTTGATGTATACAACCTGGTGTCCATATGGTGCTATGTGACAGCATTCCTGCGTACAGGCATTTTACGCAGCGACATAGTTGCATTACGCCTGCGTGGCGCCATCTAGACACAATGTTGCACACTAAGAAATTATTTTGACCCAAAACCAAGAACACGCAGCGCGATGGCGTGGCGGCGGCTTCAACCGTCGCCACTGCCGCAGTATTTCTCTTCTGCTTTGCGCGTCAGTTGAGAGCGACAATTTACATGAAATCTATTACTTTTCACCTACAACATTCATAATACCGGTTTTACTTGCTTTGTGGGGCCACAAAATTGCTTCGTTAAACAGAAATGTTTGTTAAACAGGAATTTATTGGTCAGAGGAACATAATGAACATGTAGGAGATTGGCCAGAACACTTCGCTAAATGGGTGTTCTTAAAGTAGAGGCTTTCATTATAAAGGTGTTTGACTGTAGTAGGCTTTCTGCCAGGTGTCAAGTTGTGCCATGAATACGAGTCGCTAACATGTCACAATAGAATTCAATTTTTTCAAAGGATGCGCTATAACTGCACATAGATGAGCGTATACGAATAACGTAAAAAGAAAATGCTATAATACTGGTAGACTTCCTTAACCTTCAAAGAAGTAGAAGAATGGAAATTGGTACAAAGATTTGTTTCACAGTGCCTGGAGTTTAGATCGGAGCAAACCCAAGGTCCCAAATTATATTCGCTTGCTTCCGAATGGGTCTAAATCTGTAGTCTCCAGAATGACAAATTAGTTCCGACTGAGCTCTAACTTCCCCCTGCGACGGCAAAATCCAAGCAAGAGCAACGCAGTTGTTCAGAAACTGCTCCTACATACTACAGGTGCAATGCTACGCAAAAACTCTCATCCCATTTCACGTCTGATTTTTTGCACTCCACCCTTACAGCAAAGGAAATTGTACAATGATGCCGGTCCTGCAGAGTTTGTTATAAAGGCATTCGACTGTAGAAGGCCAAATGTTGCTTCTATTGCTACAATTATTATCGCAACTACCGACGGACGATGTCACACCTAGTCTGTTCTTTGAACATAACTGGAGGGAAATCACAAAAGACGACTATGTGTTGGTTTTCCCACACTACCTGCTTGCAGCAGCGGTTCTTGCAGCTTTGAAGCATGTCACGCTGTTCCTCGCAACTCCACTGGTGACACGACACAAAGACTGGATTCAAGCCACAGTGGCACTTCATCTTGATGTATCTGCACATTCAAAATGCCAGGGCAGCTCACAGTGAGCAAAACAATCAATAGATCGACGACAATCTACAATCGTTGCATGTTTTTAATGACGCAGAATGTGTTATATGGCTGGCTCCGAGCAGTTTCCAATAAAGCACTCTTGTAACGAAACAGTAGGTCTGTTCGATTCGCCCGAACTGGCTGAACTACCGTAAAATCCTGAAATAGCGCCCACACTCGATAGATCGTTCACTCCGCTTTTATGTTCGAACACGTGTTTCCCTCGAATACTGATAGGTCGCCCACCTTCCGAAAATAGCGATGCCCGAAGGTTGAGAAAGGTGCCGGAGGGTAGGGGAGAAGGTTTGGAAAGCCTAGGATTCCCTTCACAAAAAGAAGAGGCCACACACAATAAGGGAGATAAAATAACGGAAGGAACCCGGAAAGCGGTCAAGGTCACTTATTGAATGACATCAGGAAAGCGTTGAAGGTCACTTAGTGGTTGTCGTCAGATCGCCCGAGAACCCCAGAAAATCTTTCGACCAGCAAACTGTGAAGACATTTCTTGTGTATACTCGGGATGAGGTCCAGCTATACCATCCAGAAGAAAGTGGAAGTCGTGGAATGGCACTGCAAGAACGGAGCTAACGTGAGCAAGACTGCGCGCCATTTCGAAGTTGACCGGAAGCGTGTACGGGAATGGAATACGAGCTACCAAGTACTTCGACAACAATGCCATGGAACGAACAAGTTGAAGAGAGCAATAGGTAGGGGACGACCCGTTTTTAGTGAAGAAATCGACGACGCACTGATGGACTTCCTGGAGACTGAGAGATCCGCCGGTCGAGCAGTCAGCAATCGCCTGCTTCAAGAGCATGCGCGGAAACTGGCAGAACAGATGGGGCTAGGAAACTTCCAAGCGTCAAGCCAGTACATAGCTAGCTGGAAGAAGCGATTTAATGTGTCTACGTATGCGGGTGGGGACCAACGAAAGTCAGAAGCTGCCTGCCGACTACGTTGAAGCAATTACGGTGTTCCGAAAGGCTGTGTCAACTCTGCGCCTGGAGCACAACTACTCGGACTACAACATAGCCAACATGGATCAGACCATGGTCCGGATGGATTGCCCTGCTGCGAGAACCAACAATGCTGTCGGCGAGTCGAGTATTCGCATCGCCAACACCGGCTGTGCTCGGCGAGGGATGACGGTGGCCTTGTGCGCGACGGCAGCGGGCATCAAGCTACCTGCTTTGATCGTACTGAAGGAGCCAACCGGCCGGAGTCACCGAACCTTCCGGAAAGGTTCGGTGACTCCAAAGGGCAACCTTCGCAAGCCGTCGCGTCAAGAGGTTGTGGACTTCGTGGCTCAGGCGTGGGCCTCCGTCTCCGAGGATACCGTGCGGAGTTCGTTCAAACGGTGCGGAATATCCACAAGGCTCGATGGTTCCGAGGACGGCGAGCTCAACGACCGTTTGGCTTCGGTAACCAATGGACCTGAGGATCCTGAGAGCCTCATTGACGAGGGGTTAGATTTAATCTTCGATAGCAAAAGCGATGTGTCGTTTGACGGTTTCAGCGATGAGAGCTAGGGAAATAAAAACCCACGCTGCTTTGGCGCACGCGTTACTCGATTTTTCTTTGTGATTTTGGTTATTAAATACTGAAAGATCGCCCACCCCACTTTTTTTGCCAATTATCTACGGCGAAAAGGAGGGCGTTAATTCAGGATTTTACGGTAGTTCAGCAGTGCAGGAACAGGCACATTCGATTGAACCGGAAGTTGTACGGCCGCTGCACTGGCGCGTTTGATTCATTCCAGTTCTGAATGAGTTCAGACCCAGTTCCTCAAAACCTTGCACCAGCTCTGAAGTCAGTTCAGCATCCGTGTAGAAGCAGACGACCCTCTTCCTCCGTCTCTGCTCGCGGTGCCAGTTATCGGAGCTGTTGCTCAAATGTCTGCGATGTTTAAAGGGATACTACAACGAAATTTCGGCGCTCATTTTTTGGTCTATATATGTTCAAAAGAGCAGTATCAGATGGAACATACCAATATCTTGTTAAAAAAGTCACGAAAAGGAATTTTAAAACGAATTAAACAATTAGCAAAGAGCACCTGGTGGATGTCGCTAACGCCTCGTTTGTAATGCTCGTCTAGGAACCTTGACAGCTAGTGACAGAGGTTGTCTCGTCTCCGGCCACGACGAGAGAAGAGGGGAACGAGGAACTCCCCTCTTCCCGAGAATGCCTTTTGTGTGTCGCAGAAGTCGCTATTGTCCCCCTACAAGATTATAGAAGATTAACCCGTCACTCAAAATTCGTACAAAAACAGCCGCTTCGGTGGCTGGAACGACTAAGCCATCCTCTCGACGTCAGCCTCGCCGTAGCTTTGCTCGTCTTGAGACGACCTACGTCACGATTGCGTTGGATGTCACGTGTTCTCCGCTCGGCCTTCTCCGAGCGCTTGCCAGAGTGGGCCGTTTATAACGAAAAATACAGCCACCAGGCTCAAAATACAAACGTGCGATTGTCATTTAAGGATATTGTGGATCATATTCAACCTATTTTTGAACACGACGGGAATATTTCAAATTTCATTGAAGTATCTCTTTAAGGGGGGACACTGCCCCCCCCAAAAAAACTTCCGCTAAAAATTTTGATTTTGAAAAATGACGTATTTACATCCACCAACATCTAGAGAGTATTCCCAGAAATTTTCATTAGTTTACACAGCATAGTTAATTTTTTTATAAATTATTTTCTGTCCATCGAAGCTAAAGAAAAGGTAGGGTTTGGAACACTTTGAATGCATTTTTTTCCGTTCCACTTTTCAATATAAATTCCATTTTAGTCAATCTATCTTTTGATAGTGGCAATGCAGGGAAAGCTCGTTCTTCACTTTTCCTGACTGAAATTTAATAAGGAGTTTGGCTATGGAATTTGTTTGTCACTTTACGAATGTCTTTTATAAAAAAAATGACATTGTGTCGAAGACACAGAAGACCAAAAAGTTGACCAATTTTGCAGAAGAGAAAATTGATAGAAATAAATGGCTTTTTACAAAAAAAACTTTCCACAGCCGCACCTCCTAGGCATTCTGCTACTATCTAGCGAATAAAAATCTTTAATATTGTGATAGTTTTCCGATGATAGATGAACTAAACAATGTAGGCGTGTTGCTGATAGAAGCTGCTGTAATTTCCTTCCCACTTAACCGACAGACCTGAAATTTTGTTATGCACCCTCTAGCATGACCACCAGCCTACCCTGTAAATTGCATTAATTTTAAAACAAGGGTTCAAAAGTTGACCCTCCCAGGGGGTGTGTCCTTTTAACAATAACGTCGAGACCGAGGTTACATTTCCTTTCAAACTAATGCACCCATGGTGGAAGGTAGGTATTAGCTTGAATATTGTATTCTGAAAGCGTCTTATGCACCTGCTCGTGCAAGTTTGACTCCCTGCGGTAAGTGTTGAAAGATTGGCTCACGAAAATTCTTTTTGGTGCTACCAGGGTATTCGCTATGTAGATATTCTTCTTAAAAGACACGCAGAAAGTGTCTCAAATTTGTCGGCACAAGCGGCTTCTGTTTAAAGTGTCGCCGAGCAAACGTGCCTCAAAAAGGTGCCGGGCACTCTAAGACAATTGATGACTGACTTCGATGTAGTAAAGTTGGTCAGGGTCACGCCAGTGCTACTGTCGGCGCCGATTCAGCACTGAGTTAGTGCTGCACCGTGCGTGTAGGAAAGGAAAGACAGGGTCACATGGCAGCGGAGCGCTGATCCAGCAGCGATATGGTAGTGCAAAGTCGGTGCTTTGCCTGCGCAAAGCACCGACTTTGCATAGGGTTAGGTTAGGTAAGTCAATGCTTTGCTACGCAAAGCACCGACTTTGCGTAGGCATTGGGTTAGTGCTGCAATGTTTGCGCAAACGAGCCTTTGCGGGCGAGGCCGATTGCTGCGGCAGACCTACTGGGTGCAGGGTGCGCAGTTGCCAGGGTGGCAGGGCCGGGTGCACGGGTGGACGCAGCCGGCGGGACGCCGCTTCTTGCAGCCCTCGTCGCAAACGCTGCAGTTGCGGCCCGCCTGCAACAAAGGGTTTGTACAATTAACGGAGTATCGCAAATTTCGGATTAGTAGTTTCGAATAGTGCGCTATTCCATATTTGCTCCGAGATGAGCCGCAATACTCGAAGAGTCGATCGCGGTAGGCTATACTCTATTTCACCTTATGATGTACCGTAGGAAAGGCAACAAGCGCAACCTCCTTGCTCTGGGGCATATCTCGGCAATACAATCTCTCATGCATTAGGGGCAGCTGCCAACGCATGAGCTCGCACTTCTAGCCTTTGCTGCGGTACAACATAAGGTGAAACGGAGTACAGCCCCATAGTGTCCTTCTCTTTGAGCACTGGTGCTCTGCGGGGAAGCAACACCCGAGGAGCTTGCTTTGCCGCAGCTGTGGTGTAAAATATACTCTTTAGGTGAGGACCCTGCCCGACACAGAGCGATAAGATAGAGTTCTATCATGAGCACATGCACGCACCCAACAGCCCACGGTCAACTAGCGTCGCTCGCTGGTGAAACAATGCAACAGTAAAAAACACAAATAAAATATCTCGTTGCCATGGCATCAGACGAGCACGAGCTTGTTGCTCAAGGGCATGCGACGGCGGCACGAGAGATGGCATGGCAACGAGACATTTTATTTATGTTTGTTCACTGTTGCACCATTTTGCCAGCAAGTGACGCTAGTTCGCTGTGGGCTGTTGGACACGCGAATGCACTCGTGAAAGGAATCTATCTAGTCGATCGCGTCTCCTTGTTCCTCATGCCAGTGTTTTCACCTAAAGAGTAAATATCGTACACTGTGGCCGCAGTACAGCCACGTGTTTAGCAGGGAAGCACATCTTCGAAGTGGAATGGTGTATGCATACACCTAATGCATAAAAAAAAAAATGAATGTCGACATTTACATTGCAGTCAACTTTTCAAAATTTAACTGTGGCTATTATGCTAGAATGGATATAGGGCAGCAATATCCTGACAACTTGGACTCATTCAGCGTTTGTGTTCAAATAAACTAGAAGCTGTGCTCGGGACTTGTAGTTTTGTTCGTTATTTTTTATAAATCGATGCCTCCAGTTACTACTGAAGTTCTTCGCCAGCTCGCCTGTGTTTTTACCCTTTCTTCCATGATTCGTCATTTGTGCTAGTTTTTTTTGTTTTTTTTGTAAAATTTGAGATTGAAGGATATTTGCATATAGCCAAACATATTTATAAACCCCTGGATTAGGTGAGCTGGGTGTCTTTTTAGGTTGAATCATACGTCAAATCCGTCATCTACACGCCACCCCAATGTAAGCGTTCGACTTTTCGAGGCCACAGTTCATAAATATTGTTATAGGTTAAAATTGAGCTTGGAAGTGTACATGCAGAAGGCTGAGAATAATTTTCGCGAGTTCAGTACAATTTTTGATTAAGGACGATGCAACAGTGGTGAAAGGCTCAGAAATACTATTTGATATATAATTAGAAAATATTCGGCCAAAACCACTATTCATTCCATACTCAAAAATCGCTATTCTCACAGGCCTAGTCACGAACGTGGAGGAAAATATCCGCCACATTCGCGGGTATTTTGGCCGCCTTAAAATGGCGGGGCATAGAGGCAAACGTTGGTGGTCCCAAGGGTTTTGGATTGCTGGCGAGGCTTTTTTTAGCTTCATTTTGCAAAAACACACTGGCTTCAGACGTCGTATAAAAAGAACTAGAGTTGACGTGCAATTGCCCCAGTTTGGCACGTGGCGGCAAAACAACTGACTCTAAAAGCTCGTTCAGACACTTTCATTCACTTATGACCCGGTTCTTGTATTCTCTTACAAAGAAAGAACACACTGGCACGGTGGCGCCACCTACGAGGTGGCCCTGGAACTGCATTTCACTAAACCGCAGGTTTTGTAGTATTTCCGAGATTAGGCGTACACTTTGAGTAGTGGTAGTTCGTAACACCGTCGAAAGTTTTTAAAGTCAGTGAAATAGGATGACGCGGAAAAGAAAAACGAGGAATAATACAGAAGTCTCGGGTGTCCCATGGTTACCTAACAGACGGCTCCGGCGTGCTCTTCTCGTCGTTTTAACCCACTCAGTAATAATCGGTCACAAGTGTGCGAACCGGCCTTAACGTATAGTTTTTTTTCTCCCTTTTTCCACTACTCCGTCTCTCTCTTTGCAATTCGTTCTTTGGAGACCACCAACGTCGGCACTTAGGATTTGCCATGCCCCACGCCCGGCGGTTCCAGAAGAAACGAGCAGCCTCGCAGACGGTTCGGGGTAAATGCAAAACGAAGTTGAAGGTTGCATTGTCTTCCCGCGAAGCTCGGGCTTTTCTCGTTCAAGGAAGGCTCCGATTCGGAGTACTTCGATAAAACCGGCCCGAGGGTTACCCTTCCGAGTTCGTTGCTACGTAACTAAAACACGAAACCCCGGTTGCAAGTAGGGATTAGTGTCTTCGGTAAATACCGACAGACCCCGAACATTAAACCCAGAGACGGTCTTATGCTCGGATTAAACTGTGCCGCGAAGGATTAGAAAGGATGACACAGAGACTAGAAAGACGACACGTCCTGCACGACTGCGCACACTCGTGTAAGTTGCATCGTCTTTCTAGTCTCGGCGTCATTATTTGTGATCCTTTGCAGCGCAGTTCATTTGAGGCATGAAAAACTAACTAGCCCAATCCCAAAAGATGTTAGATGGGTTTATCAAATTGGAAAACCCCGAATCAGAGCTCTCCTTTGAAGCAAAGAAGTCTCGCTTTGCAGGAAGAATATTTTTATCAAAAACTTTTTATCCCTTATCGCTACCAGAATGATTTCTAAGTATTTGGGTGACGTGTGTGTTCCCTAAAGGAATCCCTCAGCCGTGTCGGGTTTTCTTCAACCCAGATAAAAACGGGTTTTCTTGTTTGACACCAAAAGTTGACAAAAAAGAACACCAAATCTGTGGGGAAAAAAAAAAAGATTAAATCCTCCAAACTCACTATATAAAAAAAAAAAAAAAGACTGAAAATGCGGAAGTTTAGTGATGAGCCACTAAACGAGACGTTACGACGAATATCGTTCACACCCCCAGCTGACCGCCATACCTGGACTTCGTTGGGCGCGTCTTCGACGACGTGACACTCTACGGTGCAGGTGTGGTTCCCGCACGGCAGCGCCCGACCGCATGCGAGACCGCAGGAATAGGGTCTCAGGTCGGAGCAGGCGAAGGTGTCCACCTGTGACCCGACGCCGCACTTGAAGCCATCAAACAAACTATGCTTTACTATAACTAGAGCCACTGAATAGGCTACCACATTTTTCGAACTAATTGGCACCAGCAAATCTTGGATGAAAATAAAATGTTTTTAGATAGCTCGCACCTCCTGCATAGTCTGCGCTTAGTACATAGTTTGCAAGTCATCCTCTTTCTCAGCTACAAATATGCCCCGCAAATTTTATACAAATAAGGCTAACAGTTGAAAAGTTCACCTTCCCAAATAATGTCCTCTAAGCTTTTTCTTTTATTAGTAGTAATAGTGGTGAGGTTTTCACGAGTTACCCCTCTACGAAGGGGAAAAGCTGCATCACTAATGACTAAGCTAGGCCACAAAATCTCTTCAAGCTCGCCTGCTGCAAAGGCGAAAGCTGCAGTATCATCATCATCATCATCAGGAATAGAGTGCCAATGCTAAGCATACCTCATCTAGTAACCGCTGCTGGAACATCGGCTTTGTGCAGGGTGGCGCCGTGCAACTTACGGAATGTCGTCCTCGACAAGCAAGGGGCAGCGGTTCCTTGCATGGGGGGCACGGCTGAGCGACCACCTCGAGGCGAGGCGCCACGATTGGTTCCCACGGTCCGGCACGGGGACCCTGCAACGTTTCGGGTGCCCACGGCGACGACGGTTATTTTGCGACGCAATAATGTATCTTTATGAGTCCTTTCAACAAGACACATAGTTTTGGGCTGTTGAAGCCACGGAGGTTTGTGGGACGGTCCAGAAAGTATAGAAAGCTGCCGTGAAACGTACGACGACGACCAATTTTTTCAGACTGCTCTGTAAAATGTCCTTCGGACGAAAAAAAAGAAAAGCTCTATTGCTGCTGCAGCAGCGATGGAAGCGAGCCTAAGCATTTTGGAGGAAAGCGGCTCAATCTATTTCTTATGCCATTCGAATAAGTTAAGCTGTTTCGAAATCAAGTAAGCAAGCTGCATAACCTTACATAAAAAAATCCACTACTGCTAAACGATTGGTCAGTTTTAATATGGTAGCAGTGCAGCATGCTACCTATTTCAAATTTTAGGGGTTTAGAAAAAAAAATACCCAAGGTAGAGTAGATTTAAGGGCCAAGCTGATTTTTTCCGTCACACTGCAGTCACGTAAGGGGGCGCAAGTGAAGCCGAACGATGCTCAGAGTCACGGCTTAAGAGAAATACGTGGACACTCTGAGGTTGGTGGCCTTTGCTGCAGCACCCTCGGAAAGAGGGTCTATGTTGCAACGCATGACTCGCAGGTCTCTTTATTTGCAGGTGGGTCTTTTCTAGGATTAAGACGCAGTTCAATTTGTTTCTAACACCTTCTCGATTACCTGGTACGTACAAACGTAATTAAATTTCTTTCTCGTTTTTTTTTTCTCCTTGGGTGGCAAAAGACTACCTGCTTGGGCATGATCTTGGTGAGGACGGCCGAGTGGCAGCGCGCCTTGCAGACGTGCCCGCAGGCCAGGGTCCGGTCGCAAGTCTGGGTGCACGGGGGGCAGCGTCCCGAGTGGCAGGCGTGGGCGTCCAGTTTCTCGTGGTGACACTCCGGTGGAACCCTGCACGGGCCGCACAGGCCCAGGCACTCTCTTTTAAGGGGGACACAGGGATCGACTCTGAGAAAAAGTCGCGTTGCTGTGTTTGGAGATTTGTGTTTGTCCCTTGTCCCCCCCGTTTCCCTCCTCCAAGGATAATTTTTGACATTTTTATAGAAAGTTCAATATTTTTAAATAGTGATGGACCGAATCTGCCGAACTTCAGATTCGGCAAAGTTCGGCAAAGATACGGCAAAAATTCGGCAAATGTCTGCGCACGCGCGAGAACACGACGGAGCCATGGAAAATTGGGTTGTGTGTGTGCCTATACAGCCTAGAACTTGGTCTGCCTCACAGGGGCGACGAGTCTCCCAGCTGTAGATGAGAAATTTAGCCAGTGCGGTACAACCGCTAGCCTGGGGTCTTTAACATGCATCACGCAGTAGTGATACACGACCGCACGCCAGTACGATGCTCATCCAGATCGAAACGGGCAGGGGTGGGGCTCGAACCCAGGATCCCTGGGTTCTGCAACGCGAGCTTTCGCTCCACGCGCTCCGAGCTGGTGTGCGCTAGACCAACGGAGCCATGGATTGCAAGTGGACGCCGTGCAGTCGTGCGGTTACCATTGTGCAGTGCAGTACAACCAGCGGTAACGGTGCGGTGTGGACTAGGCAACACGGTAACTGTGCGTTTGTGAGCGAGTGTGGTTCTCGTGTCAATATTTTGGCCGGTACATCGACCAGTAATTTACACAGTCCACTGCGCAAGTGACAAATGATGCGGTGCATTCTGAAACATTGGCCGACAATTACTCTAAAGCACTCCTCGCAATTATAACAATTCTGTTTTCGGCTCAGGAGTAGTGCGTATCAAAACAAAATAATATTACTTTTTCAATCAACGTTATTCCACGATTTTCATGTACTGCATAAAACTAAACACAGAACTATAATGCTCGACGTTGCACATCCGACCCCATTCCTAACTCTCCCTATCTTCCGAAACGTTTGTGTGTGTCCTAACACCAGAACCTGGCATTTTAAAGGTTAAAAACGAGACATTGCGAGTACGAGACGCACACTTTCATGCAAAGTTGACATCAAGTGACTGAAATCGAAAAACATGCATATTTATAATATTGTTATCTCTTCTGGTGAAGGCTCAGCAACCGCTGCATTCGTTTTCGTGCACAAAACGGCGACTCCCAGAGAAAGCAAGAACGCAGCGTTATTGCCTTCATTTTAACAATGTACACACACATGCAGGCTTGCGCTGATGATGCCTCAAGACTGAAACTCTCGTAGCGTTTGCGCCACGCTCGCTTCTACCCACCCTTGTTGTCACGCCACTTCTGCAAGGAGTCACTAAAATTGCCAGTAAACACACAAAAACGACACCGATACAATTATCTTGTAGAATATCACATTATTTAGCAATAACTATGTCAATATGCATTACATGTTGCATTTAAGTTAAGAAAAAAAGAAAAAAGAAACAAAACCTTTTTTCGCTAGAAAAAACGAAATATCAAAGTTAAGTCTGGTAACAATGTATCTTTGCCGAATCTTTAGAAAAGTTTGGCAAAAGTTCGGCTTTGCCGAATCCTAAGATTCGGCGCCGAACTTTTGATTCGGCAAAAGTTTGGCCCATCACTATTTTTAAAGCACTTTTTGCTTGCAATCTGCAATTTCTTTTTTTAGTGAACACGATTCTGAAGTGCTACAAATAATAACTCGCATCAGCTCAGGTACCAAAATATTACTTTAAATATTGTTTCTTAGATCCATACTTTTTTGCTTTTGGAGCTGATTCCTTAAAAGCCATTCTCACTATTTTCGTTCTGTTCTCTTATGCTGTCTAAGTTACATTACACTTTGGAGTATTCTTTTTCTAAGTAATTTCTTCTTCGATTTATACTGCGGTCCTTCACCTGCGTGCTTTTCATGTCCCTCCAAACCAGGTGACATGAAACGTAAACCGTAAATAATCATACAAGTAATCAGAAAATACCACAATATTACGTTGTGTAGGCAACGTTTGGGAACACTGAGACAAACGAGCCTTCTGTCACATTTTTTTTTAACTCTACAGGCTCTCTACTAGGTTCAAAGCAGAGAAGTGTCGTAAATAAAAGAGTATGATATGACGGAGATATTTTGGTTGTTACACCACATGGGCATTAACCAACATCTGTGTGAAATTTTTAATAAAATCCAGCTAAAACAACAGCAAAAAAGTTTCTGTTGATCACTGACTAGCAATGCCTTAATGCCAAGGATGCCTTATCTTTAAGAACTGACAATAAACGCTTGCCAGCAAACAATTTTGCAATTTGAGTTGCGAGAAAAAACGTAGACCTTTTCTCTTAAGTTTGACCTTGGAAAGATAGACGGACGGGCCACCCTTTCAAGAATCATCGGTTGATGTCACTTTCTGTAACGACATCTGTCGCAACAGAAAAAGTACAAACTCAGAAAGCCCAACAGCTCCATAATCGGGGTGCCAGCTCAAAAATCAAAACTTCAATTTCGCGCCAACGCGACTGAAGTTCCCAAATTAATCACGGTGGCAAACCCCCGAGACTGGGGGAAAACACCTATAAAACAAAAAGGGGACAGAAAAACAAGGGAACAAACAGCATCTCATAATTTCTTCTAGGCACTTTCGAAAAACTTTGAGACGCTTCACTTGGGACGTTGTCTGTCCTCCCTTTTTTTCTGTCCTCTTACTGTTTCTCCAGTCTCGGGGTTTACCATCATTATCGACATACACCAGCTCGCCTGCACCTTGAGCACGTTTTCTAAATTGCTCTCGGCAAAAAGCAGTGTAACGGGGCGGCGCCGAGCGACAAGGTGCACGAGTGGACGAGCGCTGATCACCTCGACTACTTTGCCACAGAAAGTTGTCCCCGAATGTAATCGATCGTCGAAGCGTCGAGAGAGAGGAGCTGCGACTGACCGGCACGGCTTGCGGCAGACGGGTGGCTTGGCCGACCTTTCCCTTCCACACGGCACGGTTGTCCGAGTTTCGTTACAACGGCAAGACAACTCCACCTTCTCCCGGCACGGGTAGCAGGGACCTGTGCGGAAACAACATTACCAATGCTCAAAGGACGAATCTTAGCAATAGTCTCGCAGACTCTCGTAGACAATGATATCGAGTCTCTAAGGCTGTATTTGTGCGACTGAGTTCTGAGAAGGGGATTAGACGTAGTCGGGTTTTGAGGTCGAGTGAACCACGTCACGGATGTTCGCTAATCTCCTGAGCCCGTGGGAAGCCGCGGAGAATATGCGACCTGGTTAGAAAATATCTCTCGTCCCATTGGGGTGATTGGGCCCCCTCCTTTTGGGGATCCGAAGGTCGCAAACACATTCACGAAAAGAAAGACTCCGCTGACTCAACTATGTGCGTCTCTTTGCGAATGCTTGCTCGGATTTTCTACAATAATTCCTCCTCCTCGCAGACTTTCATCGTCGCACCTTTACGACATACTGGACTTGGTTCTTTCCGGAGACAAAGTTCTGTCATGCGACCGCATCACAAAGCTCATAAACAAGAAAGCATGCATGTAAATGTGGCAGGACAAATAGTGAGAGGACTTTCGAAGCACGACGAGCACAAACCATGAGCCAGTAAGCGTCGTACCACATTCCATGCAGTGGCATGTGCCTCCAGAAAACCTCCCATTGTATACATTTCCTTTTTGTGCTTTCATAAGACGGACAGTAAATGCCAAAAAGACAAGACGGTGCAATGGTTAACCTACTAAACCCATCATTCGGAAAGCCAAAGTTCGAATTCGGGCGCTGCCAAGGATTTCGTCTTTCGGCAACATCGTAACAATCATTCCGTTCGATCGATACGGTTCGTTCGTCCGCACATTTTTAATAATTTCCTCTGATGTCAATATACGCTTTGCTCACTGATACTATAGTCAGATACAGCATAAGAAAGACAGTGCTAGGGGGAAAAAGGGCGCACACGAGGAAAGCCGCCGTGGAAAGGAGGTTGCTCCTCTCCACTTCAGCTTTCCTAGTTTCCACCCTTTTCCTCCCTGCACTGTCTTTCTTTTGATGTAGGTATCTGATTATAGTACAGTAGAGGCTATGCACTACCCAGGCCAATCAATCACCCCTCCCCTTCACCACATGACCCCACTCTCTGCGCGTGCAAGTGGTAGCATGATCATGTTGCTGAAGTACGAGCACGTGGCTTCCACCGCACTGTCAGCTGGGGGGCAGACGGAGCACGGTGTTTGTGCCACATCACGGCGGAGACAGCGCAATAGCAATCCGGCAGCAATGGCACCTCTACTGGACGTACACACCAATCGTAGAAACGCAACATTATCGAAGAGTTAAACCAGCAGGGTGTCAGCGCAGGTGTCACGTTCCAAAGACAGTCTACGCACAAATTTGGCGAGACTTGTACTGAACACCTCGGAACAGAAAGAAAAATCGTACAGGCTCGATGGTGCTGGGAAAGGTCTAGGGGCACAGAATGTCTCCCGCATAAACTACACTAACCGCATGGTTTGTGCTAGATTTTTCAAACTTTATACTATTTACTTTTTAATTTTGTTTTTGTTTCATTTTTATTGATTTTATATAATTTGTTCTATTTATTTTATATTTATTTATTTTACTTAATATTGCATTTTATTATTTTCATGCAAAATCTGCCATTCTCACCGGCGTGCTTGCACTCATATAAAAAAATTTACCCTTCCAGATCAGCTCAGTGGCTATAGTATCCAACTGCCAGAGCACCAACTCGGGTTCGAACGCCGCCAGGGCTCGAACTTTATAGAGTGTGTAATGCTCCAAGCATGTCAATCGTTCCTGAGAATTTTCTTATGAAAATGACCCAGAAAACAAACTCTGCATTAAAACAGGGATGATAGACACTGTGTCTTGCAGCCTCTTTACCAATTCCATGTAGCCCTTGCTTATTCTCCTCGAATGGCCTCGAAATCGTTGCACGTTGCGCTACCGACCTTTCTCAAAAATGTGTTTAATTCAAAGATTCTGACACCGTTGCTTTGCCAAAATTGTACTGTTCTAAAGGTTTAGCTTGCCCCTTCCAACATAACGCTGGCTTCGTACCAGTGTTGATTGGGGCTATAACAGAATGCCTGCATTGTGCTTATAAGTGTCACCAGCATTGTATCGGCATATACAGTAAATGCGAGGTCAAATTTGCACTAGGACCAAACCAACATTAAGAAACATGCTGATTTTCGGAGGAGGGGGCTGATTTGGGAAGCGATAGGGGGCTACATTTGGGAGAGGGAGGGGGGGCCATCTACCACACAGGCCGCCCCCCAGGTATGGCCCCGGACAAGAGGATGTTTACCAGCGTATTACGCCAATATATTGCTTTCACTGCCTATGTACTGCCAACATAATGCCAACATTGTGCCGACGTACCCGTGTGACAGGTGCTGGGACAGCGATGGTTCTTGCAGGCCAACATCCGTCCGCACGGCTGCTCGCAGGGCGGGCACCGTCCGTCGCAACACTGCGTAATTATTGAGTCAACGAACCAATTAATTGGCCGGCAGGAAGCAAAAGAGCTGCCGCACCGACCTTGCGACTGCAGGGGTGCCTCCTGCAGTCTCGCAGCTGCTTGCACTTGGTCTCGCAGGTGTAGTCTCGGCTGCAGGGCACGGCCTTCTCGCGGGCACCGCAGCGGCAACGCTTTGGCACCACCTGCAGGCACTGTGTGCAGGCGCACCAAACCACGTTAGCCCCGAAACCCATTCGCTGTAGATCACGCGGGCGTCACGTCTGAATACGACTTGCAGACTAGACGCGAGAGCTGCATCACCGGTCCGCTCGTGCCCGGTAAATCACTCTGTCGGCGAATAGTATTCGAATTTGCACTTGGACCAATTGGCTTTAAAAGGAGGGTCACACATACATCGCGGCACATAATCAATACTAGAAAGGGCACCGACGTAGCACTGACTTGAACGTAATTAGTGTAGATACGACGTTGCATCACTAACATAGCAAAAGAGTCAGCACCACATCAGCGAGGTCGGCGCTACTTCCAGCACCGATTGATAGTGCCGAGGTAGCACCGTGACGTTTGCGTGAACAGGCCCTTATGATGCCCGCAGCACGGCGCGTGCTCCAAACATTTCCAACCCAGAACAGTGACTGTGATGGAACACTAGGCAGCATGAACCTGACAATTTCCTCTACTTACAAACGAATTGAGGAGGTTAATGCCGTTCGATTGGTGTTCTGAGACAGTTGGCACGTGGAGCTAAAAAGAAACTCCCATCTTCCCAGGAACACGAGGCATTACGCCTATAAGGTATCTATGAAAAATCTAGAAAAATGTGCGAGGTTCTTTTAATGGGGAACTCCGGCGTCAATTCGAACGTGTTCAACTAAACGTATCTTCTGAAAGAGCGCAAGAAACTGGGCCTAAAACAGCAAACAGATTTCGTCCCCAAATATTTAAACAATTTTTAATCATAGAAACAAAACCGAAACTAATTTGCAACTTTACTGGTCCGCCATCTTGTTGCGACGTCAGATGTTGTATAAACACCTGCACACAGGCAGCTTGAGCCTGTTTTGCCCAGCATAGCAAACAGTCAGAAGGTCGCCGCAGTCGTACGTGGGAAATAATGGGCTACAATTCATCGAGCTCGTCTTTGTCGAGCAATGACCAGCAAATGTTTTCCGATTTTCGGCACGAGATTTCATACGATTTGCCCATTCGATCCGCTGGCATCGCCTCCGAGGGGACTGCCCGTTGAGACTGCATTCGCGATATGCCGACATGTGGACCTAGATGTCGCTTCAGAAGCAGAATGGTATGGAAGGTTTTGTTTGTATCACGGTATAAACTGTTATATCCAGCACGACGCGAACGCTGTAGAGCCAGCCTTCGTGTCGGACTCCTCTGATCCTCTCCCGTCGCAGACATCTCGGAAAGAAGCCAATGTGGAGCGCAAGTTTGTCCGCTTCTTGCACGGGGGTTGCAATGATGTCGGAATGCCAAGCTCTTATTGGCTGATCGGAAAAAATAGTGGGCAGACCTCAAGGCACCTAGCATTGAGGTGTACCCACTGTCCTTCCAATCAAAGCCAGTCGGAACTCGGCATTATTCCGCCGTCACAGCAACCCCTGCGCAAGAAGCAGATGACTTGCTCTCCGCATACAAGCACTGCTGCATTTCTTCATGGTGTGTTTGAACCCCCCAGTCAATCACCAATTCACCCCCACCCTCCATCGCATGATGCAGCAAACGGCTTAAACCAGATGCAATTGCAAAACCACAGACGCTAACTATCACTACACCGCACAACGCCGTGGAGGAGGGGGTGTCGTCTGCTCTCGGACACAACAATATCTAGAATAAATGTTTCATACGCATACTCACGGGTGGATGTTCAGTACATGGTGAAAATTTTATAAAAATCAATGACCTTCAATGTAATCACAAGGAACATACCACTCTTTCTGGGGGCAAAACCGGTCGAAGGCATTTAATGGAGGTCGCAAAACTTTCCCAGCAAAGAAACTTTCAAACGAGCGTATGTGCTTACAGAGGCGCAGTCCCCTGCGTGACACCGCTGGCTGCAGTGATGCAAACCGCACGCCAAGAGCTTGTCGCACGTGTCGCCGCACGGCCCCACGTCTTCGGTGCAAGGGCGCTCCCACTCTGCACAACAGCATTGTCGAATTTCCGTTCAGTCGACGCAAACCGCGACGCCCGACCATCGTTTGAGCAGGACAAAATGAAGCACAAGGGACGCTGAACCAAAATTGGGTTCATTCACTACCCTTCATAGAGGAGTCCATTGATTTGCGGGTTTGTGAAGTTCAATGCAGCGACTGTAACTGAAACACACTTTGCAAAGAAAAGGTACCATTTCAGAAGGGGTAAAAGATAAGCCTTTTATAATGAAAAGAAAATCAGTTTGTCTAGGTATCTCTTGATAAGCCTTTAATCTACCGTCTAAACATCCTGTATGCAGAATGTATTAGCAATACTGTAGAACACCGTGCATCCACCCATCCCACACTAAGAGTCCATTCCCAAATATTTCTTAGATCTGAGAAAATACGCACAGTACACTCATATGTAAAAAAGATGACCGGACAAGCTGCGTAGATCTGACCTCGCAAATATTCTGAAACCCGCCATCTACCAGTTCAGAACCAAAAGTGTTTTGAGGGCTTTTTGCACACTAGCGTCACTTAGTTTCAATTCGCGCATGAGAAAGAGCGAATAGTGACATCGACGGCAACGTGACATAAATCCTAACTTCCCTCTCCCATTGAAAGGCATTCCGCTGGTTCGAATGCTTAGTGGGTAGACGCCAAGCTTGCTGCTCTCGTCCCTACTCGCTGTTCGAACATGAATGCCAAATGTCGGCATTCGTGTTCGAATAGCGAGTGGACGAGATTTTTCTTCTTTGCGAGTCTCCCCTTTAGCACAGTGGTAAAGTGTCGGGCTTGTAATCGTGTGTTCGATTCCCATCGGCTTGTGTTTAAAATTTTGTTTTGTATTCTTAATTAATTGCCATTTCTTCTGAATTATGCGCTCTTTCATAGAGATTGTCCTCCGAAGTATGGGCTACACACTTTGTTGCGGTTTGCGCGGCATTCTGCCACGCTTTCCACAGAAGCATCAACCCAAAAACATAACATAAAAAACGGGAATTTGTTTTTGAAAGCGGGGCAACGTTCATACTTGACTTCCCGCATGGGCATGTCCGAGGCCCGGATCTGGGGCAGGCACCGCAGGGTCCCCCGTGGCAGACGCTCTTACACGTGTGCTGGCCACACAACAGTCGCTTGCCACAGACCTGCACAAACGACGGCCGGTTCAGATGCCACTTTGCAAGCGTTGAAAATCGTCTGGCTTAGACATTCCGTCAAATGCAATGAAGGGGCGAGAGTGCTAATGTCACCAGCACACCCACCAAGAACACACTGCCAAGGTAGTTACAACATGATTGACACAAATACGTCACTTTTTAAGCATCATTGTAGACAGGGCTTGTGTGGCACTCTTTTTTGTGCAATTTTTAATTCCGGTTATGAAACATAAAAATTGATCGATTAATACATCTCAATAAAACTATTTCATTTTTGCAATATACCGTAGAATACCGCGCATCCGCCCATTCCACATTAAGCGCTCATTACCAAATTTGTAAGATCTGAGAATTTACGCACAGTACATTTATGTGTAAAACTGATGACCGGACAAGTGCCCATCCCCATTTTTTTGCGATGATCTCCAAAGTTTGAATGGGCGCTAGCCCGGTATTTTACAGTATGTCAATTTGTCTGGCCTCTAATAGTAATTGCCATCAATACTGCAATTAAAACATAACCTTTAAAACCAATAAAAAAAAATTTAATTAATGAATTTAATTATTAGTCAATCTACCAATCTATCCCCTCATATCTAATGTCCACCGAGCCTCGTTATTACACTGTGAAGAGGGCAGTTATCTAACTCTCACCCCCTATTTGAAAAAGCTTTCACCCTAAAGTGTATAAAGCTCTCACCCTGAAGCGGGCATTCCTTTCAGAAAAAAGATCCAGTAGGGTTTAACTGTTAGTCGCAGCACCTTTTCTGGGCAAAACATGGTTACGACCGAGTGACCATTGCTACATCTGCCGCACCTTGTCGCACTGCCAGTCCGGCGTCGCACAGGGCCTGTCCATGGCATTGGCCCCACACCGGCAGCTCCGTCGGCTCTTCTTGGGGCAGGGATCGCACTCCCCTGAAATGCCCGAACAAGGTTTGCGCAGATTTTACATGACGCACGTTACGCCTTTAATCCTGCCTTCATGGAAACTCACAACATGTCGACTGCACTGGGTGCCGTCCGCACCCGAAGCAGATGGCAGACTCGTCGGGGTTGCCGACGGGAATGCCTAGAGCCGCCAACTAAGTTATGCTCTAGAGTAACAACAGTACAGTCTTCTTGGCACTTAAAATCATTGTTGCCAGTTATCAGAAATCACAAGCAACACTTTTCCATTCTCCAAAATGTTAAAATGATCCACGACGAGGCAATACAACGTCTCCTAGGTTTCCTTACTTCGTTTCTAAAGGTCATAAAGTCACATTTTTTAATTGCGACGATCACCAATTCCATCGGGTCTGCACTAAAAAACCAAAATGGCGGTGCCCGGAAAAAAATTGGGGAAGAGATTGCCAATACTCTAAGCCAGTGGTTCTCAATTGGGGGTGTCCGAACCCTTCAGGGTCCCCGAAGGCCTTCTCTGTGGTCCCCAAAGCCTTCGACCTTCAATCAAGCTGAGCAATAAAACTTGTTTTATTAGAGGCGAAGTTCCTTAGGGAACTTTGCCGTCCGTCCGTCTGGCCGGCGTCCGTGCTCACATAAAAAGAAAAAATGTTTGCGCAGTCGACAGGATTCGAACCTGTGCAGGTAGACCCCAATGGATTCCTAGTCCATCGCCTTAACCACCCGGCCACGACTGCGGGGCGAGTAGAGGGCTCTGAAATGTGGTAGTAACTCAAGAGCTGGGGTTTCTGTCATAGATGAAACGTTGCATGTAGCCGCTCAACGTCTATACGGGAGAGGGCGCTGCGGTCAAATGCGTATATAATCGCGTTAAACTTTGCATGCATTGGCTCAACGTTTATAGACGAGAGGGTGCTGCGGTCAAATGCTCAAATGCGTATATAACCACGTTCCATACTACACATTCTCTTTCTGACATGAACCAATGACTTAAGCGGTGGAGATGCGTTCCCACGGCTTCTAGCGGATCCAAGCTGATCCGCTAGAAGAACCACTGGCTCTGCATTTTTACCGACCATAAAGCAGTAATAATGAGGTCGAAACGCAACCCGGAGCTCAGCACTACCTATGAGCAATAAAAAAAATCGGCACCATCAGCAATACCTATGAACAATAAAATCAGTATCATCAGCACCACTATAGCTTTGCCCCAATCAACATCATTCAACCACGTGGACATGCAGTCATTTTTATTGATGCTGGCTGTCCCACAAAGCTAAATTGACCAAACCATGTGTTCTGAATCAGTAGGGTTGATTACTTTCCGTTTCGGAGCTTCAAAGTTAACTTACACGGACTTTGTTTTCTTATATTTACCGATTTTTCATTGTAATCATCCAATACTCCCTTCCCTTCGGTGGATGAGATCCCCCATCACCCCTGTTAAACCAGAAGGGGTCCACAAAACATCAGTGGTTGAGAACCACTGCTCTAAACATAGCTTGTTTAGTAGCTCTAAGAATGCAGATGGGCAGCTTCCCCCATCAAAAAGTGCGAGCGAGAGAGGCTCATTGTTCTGGCGCACATGCAACATGGCACGTGCCTCAATGGATCTGCGGCAGCATTGCAGATAGTACTGTGAAATTGAAGCACCCCACTGTGGCGTTTGCACGGCAACCCTTTTGTCCAATGTGCTCCGCGTTATGGGTATCGTGCAAGTTTGTAGTGAACACTGTACTGAAGATCGCGATGCCTGGAAGGCATCTCCGAATAAGGCATCCACCGTGCCTTAAAAAGGGGTCCCTCGATCTCCACCCGATGATGTCACAGAAGTGTCACGCTGTCGCCTGCCGCGACCCCGGCGGTGTCGCAATGGTGGTGAATGCGGAAGACGCCCACTCTTTTTTAAATTTTTCGATTAATGTGCTTTTTACGAGACTGTGCACCCCTAGTGGCAGCCGCACACATCATCCAAGGTTGCCATCTCTTAGTTTTGAACTCTTGGCATATGACTGGACGCAACCCAACACTGGCTTGCGGCTTAAATTTTGTTCTGACCGCCGCATTGGTGGGCGCTTGGTGACTGTCAATGAGGGTCATTGCATGTTTCCTAAAAAGGGTCCGTTATGGACTTAAATAAACACGAAACCCACGTTAAAGATCACCTGAGAAGTAGCACAAAAAGTGCCGTGCGCTGCTTCGTGGCGATGTTGCACGAATTGATTTGCTACACATTTTGTGCCTCGGCGGTACAAGCCTCGTCGTGTGTGGTGTCTCCGAAGGAAAGCCCCGTTAAATCTATCACTCGAGCAGGAGTGGAACGAAGCATTCGTGTCACTTGAGGTGGCACACACCAGCTCCTACCCTGCTATTTTGCATCTCTCCATTTCCTTCGAAGCACGAGCTTGTCGGCGCTCGGCTGGTACTTGGCTACATTCGACGAGGACACAAGGTCCAGCCAAACGCTGACACGACACTCGTGTCTTAACCACTTTCCGTGTGAAACTCTTCTGTTAATGAGAGTGTGTTACTACGAGTGTTAACAGCTAAATGCCAGCCTAATACATTCTGCGTTCGGGGCACAGCCTGGTCTTGAATAGACTTATGTAATTTCTCCCACTATCTATTAAATTCTCACACCTATTGTAATTTGTCGTTCTAAGCACGAATTGTTTCTTTACCTACCGTAAAATACCGCAGAAGTACCCACTTCGTTCGAGCGCCCACTATTAACATTTCCTAAACTTGGGAATTTTGCAATTTATACGTTAACCGCCCGACTTGACCAGACAAGCGCTCGTGTCTAGATTAACTCAGCGTAAATGGCGTGGACGCTCTCCCGGCATTTTACGGCATATAAAAATTAAAAAGGAAATCTTTAAAAAAATCCCATTTGTTTTTGCCCAATATGTTTCCAATCCCCCATCAAAAACTAGGGCACAAAATATGTCTGCATGTTCTACAAATGGCAGACAGTGCAACAAAACCATTCTTATAATGATAGCAGCATTCTAGAAAACGTTTTCACATTTTTAATATCTTTCGCCGATAATGAGGTACGAGACACTAAAGTTTTTGTCATTTAGAAAATCTTGTAGCTAACTGCTTTTCTAAATGTTAGTTTTGTTGCACTTTTTTTTATTTATGAGGAATCCAACTAATAAAATATTATCCAGAGCCAAATTCTAGATCCAAACTTGCTCATAAACAGCCTGGATATGGAACTCTAAATTGATGTAGCTAAATAAATATGCACTGTTTCTTTTTTTTTATTTTATTTAAGACTAGGTTTTTTTTAAATTAGATACAAGGAAATTAACAAGCTCATAAGTCGGAATTAAGAAAACAGCACGAAAAGACGAGGACCAGACAAGGAAGTAACACGGATGCAGCGCTGACTTGCAACTGGGTTTATTGATTACAAAATCGCAATATATACTTGCGTTGTCACAAACAAAAAAAAAAGAAACTAAAGGAAGAATTCAGCCCACGTAATACATCACCAATAAATAAAAAAAAAAAGGCGCCATGACACAGTTGTACAGAGCACGTGTTAAAAAACGAGCAAGTCGGGAAACTAGAAAATTCATCTCTTTGCCTTATAGCTCATAAGAAATCGCACAAAACTCGCGTCAAACAATCACACCCCAAAACATCTGTATACCGAGTTCCAGGAATGAGGGGGTTTAAACTCACCGGGATGGCAGGTCTTGGGGCAAGGGTGTCGACCGCACGCGAGGGTCTTTCCGCAAGGCCCCTCGCACGACCAGAGCCTGGTGCTGCAGCGCCGGGCCGTGGGCTGGGCGCGGCCACAGTGGCAGCTGCTGCGCACCATCTTGGGGCACGGTGGGCAGGGGCCTGCAACACGCATTTACACCCGACGCTGCGTGCCACACCCGAGAATGCGTTACGAGACCCTCGCTGGCAGTGGGAAAAGACGGGAGAAGAATGCGACGAGTCGTAAGCACTGGCATCGACGGTCCCGAGAGAAAGAGTGAAAAAGAGAGCGACAGAAGAGCGGAGAAAGAAAGCAGACGACATGTTAGGTATGTTTGTTTTGGAGCGACATTGAGTGACGCGACGTCGCGTCTCGGTATCGCTCAATGTTATTGTGTCGCACAACGTCCCAGCGCAACATGATCTGACACGACTATGTCACGTCGTGGTATCACACTACGTCGTGCAACCAGGTGACGTGACGTGCGTCAGTGCCGTGCATGGATCAGTGTCATGCGACGTCTTGACATCACGTGAAGTCACAGAAAACCTACATCTTTGCATTTAGAGGAACAACGTCGCAGTATCACATGACTGCGGCCTCATTGAGGCTACGTACGAACACAGAATCACTAAGGCTGGCCCTATAAATGTCCTAAACCGCCCGGGTCCACGCCGCCGAGGGGTGCCCACCTGGGTGGCAGAGCAGGAGACAACGATGACCGCAGGCGGGCCGCAGCTCCCGGGAGCACGTCTGGCCGCACGAGTGGGGCACCAGCCAGGGGTCGTACGCGGGGTCCACCTTCTGGCCGCAGAAGCAGCGGTACTGGGACAGCCCCTCTCGGCTGCGGTACTCCTTGCGGCACTTGGGGCTGCGATGGGCGCACACCGATACGGTTCCTTAAGCCACACTCGCTTTGCTTAATGCATCGTATGAAGGACACTGAGGCATGTTTCTTCCACTCTCAAGGTCTTGTCAAATTGGTCATACAAAAACTGAATGCAGACAAGTTTGAAGCATACCTATGCATCAGGGTTGGGCAGTATTGCGGCAAAGGTTTATCGCGATAGCATTATAGAAATAAATTTTGTATTTATATTTCTGTATTGATATACAATTTTTTAATTGTATTTTGTCTTTCCCTATTGAAACACGTTTTTGGGTGTATTCCTGCTATCGCGATACTATAGCAGGAGCGGACGTATCTCGTCACATTTTTCGAGGAGTCGCATATTTATTTCAGGTGCAAAATCGTGAACGTTGAAGTTCTACAGCGAGTATTCATTCTTTGGATAAGAAATATAGCAGAATTAACGAGACTATCCGGTAAAACTTTGTTTTTAAGAAAACAGTTAAATTATACTGCCATTGCTTTCAGGAATATCATCCGTGCAATATCCGAATTTTTAATCCTTTGTCGCGCGAGTAATTCAAATTTAAATGGAGCCCAGCGGCCCAGATTGCACCCGCAAAACACACAACATTTTCGTTGGCAACGGCAAAAGCTCCGACATAACATCGAGCAAAGAGAGCCACCCCAGCTCTTGACTGCTGTCTCAGTAAAATAACTTTGTTCTAAGAAAGACAACATTTACGGTATAGAGGGGAAGCTCCAATCTTCGACGATGATCTTTGTGCGCACCATCAACCATGTTCATCAAAACGGGGAATAAGTCGACGTCCGCGACTCTGATGTTGCCACGCCCGTTATTTGTATTTCCAAACACTCTTTAGGGTATTTCCGACCAACCCTGCCATGCACGAAGCAAGCACGCTTTAAACGTGCTACGGGAGTGTCTGCGGATCATTCTGTTGCCGTGTCCGCAGCGAACGCAGCGTCTGTCGTACGACCCACGAACAGGGCAACTGCAGCTTTGGTGACCGGCGGTCCTAAGCCACACCCAGACTACCCACGCATACTGCAAAAGCCAAGGTGTTAGCCTCAGACACGATGACAGAGCTATCGGCGGATTTGCCTGGAGCAAGTTTGAAGCGCGTCTGCTTCGTTCGTGGATGGGCTTCAGACGTGTCTGAAGACGGTTTTCTGTACGACCAACGTGACAATGTGACACGAGTAAGAAACGTGCGTCAGCGAGTGCCTGCTGACTGCCTTTTGTTCGACATATGAGCGGCATCACTACGGCTCAAGGCGCAATGTAACGTTACTATGAGGCATTCTCACACGACGTACTTCCGGCTCTAAATCTTGCTGGACACCGCACCGAGGCGGAGTGTTCCAGCTTGCTCGAGTTCCCTCGCGTAGTGATCGACGGTGTCAGCCAGAGCGGTTGAGAACGTGAGAGAGCGTCGGCTGGCACCCGATACTCGCACCTGCCCGTTTATTTTCGGACTCGGAACGAGCCGGCGATCTGGGAGTCGACCCGTCTACTAAGGTCAATGGCCCCAGTAAATGCTGCCACAGCGACTATGAAAAAAAAAAGCTAAGTAAGGACGGTTTTGTGGGGTCCAAGCAGGTCCCCGATCGAACGTGCCGAGCACAGTCATTGTCGACAGAGCAACTCTCCATGCTTGCGCATTTCGCCGACGTCAAAGACAACACCGGTAGCTTATCATGTCCGCGTGCCAACTAACGTATATAATGGCGGACGCTGTCCATCAACCTGGCGGAATGCGGCTTACCGGAAGTGAAAATTTGTTTCATGAAACCACCCTGTACTTTGTGACAGGTTAGACGCTCGTTCACACACAGCCTCGGTTGGGACTAGTTGTTGTTTTTTTATGCTTCGACTGAACTGCACCATGAAGAATTATAACTAAACATCACTGCGACTAAAAAGACGACATGACACGCGCTTACTTGCTTGCTAGTCTCGGCGTCATCTATTGGTAGTCCTTCGCAGCGCAGTTCAAAGCACGGTTCACATGTTTGTGGGTACGTGCGACAGCGGATTTTGAGTTCGAAGCGAATCGCGGTTTTGTCTGAATATTTTCTAATCAAATATAAAATAGTTTCTAAAGGCCTTTCACTACTGGGCACCGTGCTTTAACAGAAATTCAGCTCAGTCAATAATGACATAACCACATTTACTGCAAGGAAGCACCACCCGAGGGGCCCGCGAGCTCCGCGGTTATCACTTCCCAGCAGTGCATGGGTGCTCGATGGGAGGCGCACTCAACGGGGCTCACTTGCCGCCATCGACACTTCGAAAAGGATGAATATCGCGGTTCATCGCAAAGCGAATATCAAATAGCGTATTATTCCAAACTAATATTAAAAAATTTGAATATTTGCGCAACCCTAATTTCGCATTTGAGTGAGCCCGCATGCGCCGTGCTCGTTCATAACCGCTTATGATTAGCGAATGCGCTGGCACAATCTATAGGGTAGCATCGGAAGACTTACAATCTGCCTATAATGACCGAAGGCTTTGCAGTATTTGAGAGATCAAACCTGTGCACCATCTAATATAAATGGTCGCTCATACCGATGTCAGAATTACTTTGAACCCACGATGAAAAAATGATGCATAAAAAATATAAAAATATATAAGCAAATTGCGAGCGTTCCAAGGCTACACGATAAAGCGCCAGCGTGCTCTCCCGTCGTAAGCGGCGACGAAGGAACGCAATGCGCTCGAGCACGCTCAGACACAAATGCATGAACCAGCCTTTTGTAGCGCATAGGTTCTTAAATGGGCGGTCCGTGAAACCTTAGAGTGCCGGTCAATCGAAGCAAAAAGTCTTTTTTTTTTTTTTAGATTGAAGCTGGCTGTTTTACAAAGCTAAATGGACCGAACAATGTGCACTAAGCGAGCAGGGTTGATTATTCTTTGTTTCGGAGCCTCAAAGTTGGTTTTCATGAGTTCAGTTTCTGTCATTGTTATAGCCCAACACCCTCCCCTCCCTCCCGGTGGATGGGGTCCCCCATCACTTCTGTCGATCCAGAAGGGGTCCTCGAAAGATTGGCAGTTCGGAAACACCGATGCGACAGATGCTCTGCCTCCGACGCGAGTTATCTGCCCTTCGTAACACTTCACGTACAGCCAAATCACAGTGAAAGGTTAAAGGCGCACGCTCGTTGCCTTCTGCCGTGCTTTGTTAGCCGTAGCAGACGACGAAAGCGACGCTGGCAAGTGGGCGAATGCAAGGGCGAAATCCTACTTTTCGTTTTTAGTTTCTAGGCTAGGTGGTGCAAGCTTTCACCCGTTATAAAGGGTACAGCCATTAGCATTTATCCAATCATCCAGCAAGCGTGCAACCAACACTACCTAGATAGGTAAGCCGTATTGCTGAAGTTCCTACATCACCTACCGGAGCCCAGCGCTGGGCACGAGCGCTGCATCAGTTGTCAGACGAGATTTGTGTTAAGACAGTAAGAACTCAAGTTCCGGCAGAATACTGACGCGGCGCTCATGTGACGCTCTTCTGTTATGGGAGTGTCTTGCAGAAAATGCTACTTTGTTTTGCCTTAGGTCTAAATGCAGCCGATGCTACGAGCTGATTGGACCAATCGGACAGCGTTGCTGAACCAATCATAAACAAAAAAGGCCCAGCGACTTGCGCTTTTGACGCCGCTTGACTGGCCCCACTACCTTACACCGTCGGCTGCGTCTGTACTTAAAACAAAGTATAGGAGCGAGCCACGCAAAGGACTGTCCCAACAGGAAACAGCAGATGCCGTGCACAGCATTTGCTGTACCGGAAACGGGGGTTTTCCTCCGGTCCACTTTGGGACATTCTTTTTTTCCCCAGGGGGAAAGCTACCTCCCACTTCTGCCTTTGGACCGAGGCGAGGAGCGTGACATCACGTGGGTCCGGACATCCACTCACACGCACTGCTGGCTGTCGTCAAGGCCTCCGCTGTCATTGTCAGTCCCCAATCTCCCAAATACAAGAAAGGGAAGGAAGGGAGGAGGAAAGCAGTGCTGTTTGCAAGGTTGATTTCCTTACTGAAAACGTAAGCGCGCGCCACAACTTTCACCTCTTCTTAGAGGCGTGCACACTTTTTTTGCTGTACACAGCATTTGCTGTGCCTCGCTTGAAGAGTCCTCATTACATTCTGTGCTACTAGGATTCCGTGTTTTTGGGATTTACTTTCCTTCGAGTTTGAGGGTGTTTTCTCAAGGTTTATTTTATCCCAAAAATTCGGCATTTTTCAGTATCAATTTTTAATGTCCGACAAACATTCTGTGCTTACAGGCGCTCATGTTGAAAGAAATGGGACAACACGGTTGGGGGGTTTCCCAACCTACAAGATACATGTGTGTCTCAAATACCTGGAGGACGTCCCAGTACCGACAATGAAAAGAAAACAGATATGGGATGTGGTTCCCAAAGCAACCTTGCAGGAAGTTCAGAAAGTTGTACCCAAGGTCTTCACAAAATAAAGTTGCATATAAAAACTTCTTCTCATGGACCCTGGGTTTTTCTTCTTCAAAGACAGCTTCAGTTTCGAGTTTTTCGGTTTTCCCAGATTTTCATAAACCGGCTCGGGAGTTATTTTTTGGAGGTTTATCGGTACCTACCAGAAACAGGGAACTCTAGTTATAACTGCAAACACGGCAGTTCCAAAGCGTAAGTTACCAATGCCAACGAGGGTGCGCCTCGTTCAGTTGGTTCGCCAGCTCTTGATTCTGCTGTTGGTGCATACTGTCCTTGGCCCATTTCTGGATGCACGTCAGGTGCAGGACGCCGTAGCAGCCGTCGCACGACCAGACCTGCAGAAGACGTTGGCTGAGACCCCGTCGTCTGGCGTGGGGACGTTTGTGAACCTGCCTGCTCGGTCCGCTTGATTGACTCGATGCAAATGAGGCAGACGGTAGCTCCGGACACCAGGTTGTCTGTGAGGAACTGAACGGTCCTCTGCAGGTCGCCTGCCCCCTCGTTGGCCTCTGGAACAAATTTGGTCGGCTTCAAAGACCGGTCGATGCGTGGGTACACTACGCGACACTGTTGGCACAAACAAGTGATTGTCCATTTCTTCTCGTTTTCTTGTAAACATGAAATGCTGTCGTCAGAGCTGCCAGTGCTGTGGCAAAAGCTCGTTCGGCGCACAGAATTTAGCGATACAGTCTGATTTTCCTGAATGACTCGTCTAAAAAATATATGAAAAAACGCCAATGCCTCGCTTGTGCCAACTGTGCTGCGCAGTGTACACGATAAAAAGACCTGTCCGATACAAGCGTCCAGCATATTTTGGCATATACGATAAATAAAGGGAATTAATGTGCAATACAATATTTCAAGAATACCAGTGGGTGTCTACAATGGCTCTATCTCGGAGGCAAGGCATAAAGCTTTCACCAAGTACGAGCTATGAAAGTACTACACCAGAACAAAATACAGCGCCGTCTAAAGTAACTATGATTGGAGCTTCCCTTACGTCAGTGGTTCTTCTACCAACTATTTGGGGTGGTAGAGCAAACGTGTGCTGAATGGTGAACTATGGCGTCAATGGAATCTAGGCCTTTCTAGCGTTGAAGCCGTGTGAACTGGGACACGTTAGGACTGGCACTGGAGTCATCTCTGGCTCTTTGCACAATCCTGAGGTCGGGGTCAACGTCTTTTCTTTGCACGACAGTATTTTGATAAGGATATTCTATGATGCTTTATGCTCTTTCCCCTCATGCTGAAGTGCAATGCACCCTACGAGCCATCGAAAGGTGCGCGACTGTCACGTGAATTTCACAAAGGGCTCAGCGACGTATGTGGCACGTAGTCATATGATACGTCCACAGCGTTGGTTTGGCTGAAATTGCTAGTGGCATCCACTGCAGTCCATCATGAGGTAAAATGGAGCATTGTAAACAACTCTATTTTTGCGAAGACCTAATTTCCACTTGAGGCTCGAAAAATACTGTGAAAAGTTTATCCCGCGATTATATCGTCCCATGGTAACGATCGAAGATGTAGCATACGACTACAAATCGTGAAATTTTTCTCCCGTAAAGCATTTTCTAAACACAAATTTTGCTAAGTTCATGAAACATTGAGCCCACAAAAAATGAGCCGCTTACAGTATAGGCTTCCTTTGGTTTACCGCAGTTTCTAAATTGGTGGACAAGCTATATGGGACGGGACAACATAAAGTCGGCTTTCAGCCGTAACAAACACGACCATTCATCGTTCGCCCACGGTCACAGCGGGTGACCAGTCCCCAAACGCACAACTCACCGGCATAAGACCCTACGACCCGGGACAGTATGCTCTCCGTTTCAAGTTCGTCCTCCGACGAAGAGCGCTCTTCGCCTTCTTGCCCCTGCGGCAGAAACTTCTCCAGGTTTTCTTGGATCCTGGCGCAGGCCTCCTCAAACTTCCGGTTCCCGGGAGCGGTCTGCTGAGGGGGCGGTCTTTGGGTGGAACCATTTTGCACGGCGTGCTGCCGTGGCACCGCGACAGCCGTTGCCGTTGTTGTGGGCTGCGATCGACGTGGCGCGGCACCCCAAGGGTTTCGGATGCGCTGAGAGTCCGGCTCTCCCCGATGGCCGCGGCCCCCTCTGCCACGACCCACGGACCGCGGTTGCTCCATCCTGGAAAAGATAGATGGATAAAGTTTATTTAGTGCCTGTCAACTGCCGTGAGACCTACTGGACAGTACACTTTGTCATCTACATGGTGGCTTGAATAGGAAGCCGTATACAAGATACTGGTTGCCAGGGGCACAATCGAGTCAATATAACATGTAACAACATCATTGGCACGGGCACACTAAGATAAAAAAAGTCAATTGAAATGTCAACTTGCAAAAACCTTGAATTGTATGTGTATTGTAACCGTATCAATGGACTTTTTGAATAAATATCTGTATAAAAAGAGCGAAAACATTTACAGGTTTTCATACATGGAACACGGAAGCACAGCGAGGCCAACAGCTTATCAAGTGCAAGCCTCCTGTCGTGAAGAGGCTGAAGGGTTACGTCTGCCAAGCTAGAACTATATAGCTGTAAAAATGGCAACGACCAATGTGTATCATATATGATATAAATAAACTCACGCTGCACCTTTTCGATTACATTTCTATAGGTTAGAGAAACAGTTCCATATTACAGATGCAAACTCTAAACGTGGCCGGACAAGTGAACAATAAAGAAAGCAAGTGCAGCAAAGGCTTTGAAATTTTCTTGTCAGCCGTGATACAGTGCCAAGGCATCGCAATGCCAGATTCGCGATGCGTAGCATGTTGGTGAAAATCAAGCTTGGAGTCCACTTGAACACCAAGATAGGACAACGCTGAGCAGGAATGGGTGGCAGAGTGTGTTAGCGCTCTGCAGCTGAGAACACATGGAGCGAAAGCTTACGCTGCAAAGCCCGGTAGTTCTGGGTTCAAGCATCAGCCCTGCCCGTTTCGATCTGGATGAGCATTGTACTGGTGCGAGGTTATGCAGATTACTACCGCACAATGTGCTTTAAAGACGCCAGGCTAGCAGTTGGTACTGCACTGGCTAAATTTCTCGTCCACAGCGGAGACACCAGACGGCCGTTGGGGCTGACTACGCTGCCTAAATGTAACACACAACACAATTACTTTCACCACGTTGACCTCCCCGACACATGACGCCCTTCGAGCTGTCACTCGGATATCTTCCGGTTCACCACTGCGGTCTGTCCCGTCGACAGGAGGCAATGATGTCAAGATGCCGACTGGCTGCTGCAGTTGACGCCTCTTGCACAGATGGGGCAGAGGAGTTTGGTCGGTTGCCACAGTCCACATACTCAACCTCCCCCCAGGAAGATGTCACCTCAGCCGAATATTGAATCTTTTGGAGAGGAGCTAAACAATTGAAAAGAGTAAGTACGGCCCACACACCCGATGAATGCTTCCACTTAGGCGAATTGAGATTATGCAAGACTGATTTTGCACCACAGGCTGCAAAACTTATCCGATGCATATCGGGGTAACAGTCCAACCACAAGCCGGAATGGCACAATGTCTGCCTATAAGTTTGTACCGTCGACATAAGTACCTAGAATCAGAGTAGTGTATAGAGAGAGTCTGATCAATGTGAGATGCCGAGGGAGCCGGGCAAAGCGTCAAAAGCAGTGGCGCCACCAGCGCCGCATATTCCCCTAGTGATGAACTTGAGAAGTAAGAATGAGCTGAAATGACCTTGAACAATGTGCGTGGCGCGGCTCAGGCATCTTTTTTGTTTCTGGATGAGGCTGAAAGTACATGAACATATAATATTAAGAGATTGGTGGAAAAGGAAGAGTTTCAAGGTGCTGAGTGCGTTTGCTGAGCCAGGAAAGGTGACATTGACGAGAAAAATTTCCTGAAACATGAGGCGAAACAGCAAATGCGGGTGCGCATTCAGGGCTTGGGTCAAAACTCCCACGAGCCGAATCCGCACTTTTTATTGTCCACTCTGTCGTAACCGTGTCAGCGGCCGCGGCCGCAATTAAAAGAAAGATTGCATTCTGAATGTCACGGTGACGACAACGTCACTTGCATAGCCTTTTCAGTTACAAAGAGTCGCAAACTTGAACTCTAACATGCCAAAATGAAATACTTGAATACATCCTTACCTAACAATTGTGATTGGAGGGTATTTGTTAAGCTCATTGCCTCCGCTAGGGCAATATTTTTGGCTAGTAGTCGGTCACAAAAACTAATGTCACATTCAATTGGGGCGCACCACACCGCACCCCACTGCACCGACGGACGCGTCGCGTTCAGATGGCCGTGTCGGTGCGGCTGCACTAGGTTCATTTGGGACTTGGTGCGGCGCACGACACCGGCGCGTTGCTGCACCAGCTGCACCGTCGAAAGGAGACCGTGCAGCTTCGCGCACTGCGGGCCGGTGCGACCTTGAGCTGCCGCTCTCCGCCTCCTTCGGCCCCTTCTTTCCCTCGCTTCGTCTTCCTCGTCTCAATAAACATGGCGACTCACACTAGATGGCACGCGCCGCCGCCCCAATCGCGGCGTATTTTGTTCAATGGTCCACCCTTTATGTTTTGCCCTTGAAGCGACCGCGACAAACGCGTTGCAGGGCGGAATGCTTCGTGTTCACTTGGTAGTGCATCATACGCTGCACCCGCGTGGTGGCGCGGCCTTGGGGGCAGCATTTTCTCGGTGCTGCGTGCGCCCCATTTGAATGTGACATAACAATCATGGCACCCAAGGTCACTGAAACAATTTTGGCCAATGACATGCCCTTTTTTTCGCCTTATTCTTACCAATTAATGAGCGAACCCTCTACGTCAACTGCACTGCCTAGCAGTATTCGATTCAAGCTTTGAAAATTAAACCTCATGCTTTCTAACAGCCCGATTCATTCAATGTTGTGTCTAAAGGTACGTCGGACGTATCCGGTCAATTTTCTTACAGGAGCTGTGCTACGATTTCAGTGCTTTGCTTAAAGGGGTACTCCACCGGTTTTTTCATTGTCTCCGATTTGCTTGAAATTTTGCTAAACTAACCAACAAACGTTGCTCAAATAGTATCCCAAATATTAGGTCAAAATATTGTTTTTCCACAAAGTTAATGAATTTACAATTTTGTCTTCACCATGTTTTTCAAACTGAAAGTCTCTACTGGCAACAACAACAAAGTGACGTCAGTGGAAGGCAGGGGTTAACTTTTTGGACTACAGAAGTTGTTCCCAACGGATTTGAGGCAGTTTCATGGTGTCAAATGAGTGCTTTGGAAGCCCGCTTCCGTATCCGCGCTCCAGCACGGAACAAATCATTGGCATATTCTATTTTTAGACTAACTTGCTCGAGTGGCAAGCCTGCCTGCCACTGACATCACGGCACTGAAAAGTGCACGAATATTTGAATATTGGTTTTTGCACCATTTTCATTTGCCGATTTCACAGTACCTATTATGAATTTCGCGATGCCAAATAGCATACCGGAAAGGCTAAAGGCCGGGGAGTCCGAAAATATAGTTAGTTGAGGTAGCTCAAAAAATCGGTGGAGTACCCCTTTAAATAATTTGGGAGTTGGTGTCTCGACCTTTCTGCAGTAAAGAACAAAAAAGTGCTTTTACCTGCATGTCCTAGTTTTAGAGCGCAGCTCTTAGGGGCCCGGTTCCAGCCTGAGCAGCGTCGGCGTCGGCGTAACCGAAGGGGGGGGGGGTCTCGTGATCCCCCCCGAGGTCAGGTGACCCCCCCCCCCCCCCCCCGAGGTCACGTGACTACCCGCAGGTGACGTGACCCCCTCAGTACCCTTCCCTACTCCTCCTCAAGAGCTGCGCTCCAATTCGGCGTTACAGGGATTTGTAAACGGCTTTCATTTTTATTTTCAAAATTGACAAAGATTGCGGTTTTCAGCGCCTCTCAACTCCTTCACCATCTTCAGTCACGTGTGCTGAGACGTCAGGGGGGTCGCATGGGGTTTCGGTGAAGCTCTCTCTCTAGATCCGTCCAGTGAGCAGCGAGAACTCATCCGCTCGCGACCGCGTGACCACGTGCTGGCGCAGCGCGAACAATATGGTGAAAGGAGGAAAGTCTCATCCGGGTCCGGCCATCCCCGTCCAGCTCTGTCCACCTCCCCCTACGGCTTCTGGCGGCGGTTCGCAGTAGCAGATAGAGCTGACGGTTTTGTGGACCTAGGATAGATGGCACCACTAAAACTCCGTATAATAAAAATTTTGTCGATGATACCAGCTAGGTTTTTGATGTATTTATATATATATGTTGGAACGACAAGATTTATAGGAAAGATACCTTTTGTCGAGCAGGTATTCGCACAACTTTCTACCTTTCTACAAGATCCCTATTGACGTCATGCTGCGTGATTCTCATGGCCACCGCTTGTGGCTGCAGGTCAGGGAATATTCTAATTTTTGCCTCGCGATTACGCGGTGGAATTGCAACATTTCGAAGGAAGGAGGTGTGCTTTCTGTCCTTTTAGGACAAGATAAACAATGTCAAAAGTAGATGCCAATTCTTTCAACGTTAAAATCATTGCACAGCTCCTTTAAAGGTGCGTCAGACGATCCCGGCCGATATTCCTAAAGTTACGTCGGACATATCAAACCAATTTTTTTAAATGTATGTCGGAAACAAAAATTTATATATACAAATTTCGTTTGGAAATGAGTTAAGCATGACGGTTTGTGTTTTGAATGACTGGCTATATTTTTCGTTCCAAACGGTGCACTCGAGCAAGTGCTCGAAGAGAAGGGAACGGAGAGCGCGATGCATCAGGGGATATCTGGCGCAAACAAAAAACAAAGATTCCCTGCATTCTTGACCTACCAAGGCTGGCGTGGTTATGAGCTTTGCCGTTGGTTTGCATTGTGGTGGCGTCGACACGTTGCAACCGAGCAGTTCAAAGTCCCATAGGGTGACAAGCGTTTTGTGTCAGATTTGTCGCGCGCGTTGTGTTTGTGTGGCCCATTCTTGCCCTACAAGATTAGCCCGTCACTCAAAGCTCGGCCAAAAATTGCTTGCCCCATCCCCGTTCACCCCTAAGCTCAGAGTGCTCTGGAAGCCATATGCTCGTTGGTTGAAGATAAAGTTAGTAGGCAGGCAAGGTAGTTGATGTTACACATTTTTGAAAACCGGAGACGATGGACGCAAAAGGAGACAACACACAAAACGTCTCAATTTGAAACGTTTTGTGTGTTGTCCCCTTTTTCGTCCGTCGTCTCCGGTTTTCAAAACTGTGCTCGTTAGGCCCGCCACACTTTTGCCACGTGATTACCCTCCCTCGTGCAAACCCACGCGCTTCAGGACAATTTCCTTGGGAACTTTAATTGACATAAGTGAGAATGAGGACACTCACACCGCCCTATCTGTATTCAATTCGGAAAGAATATTTGAAAGTATTCTCAACTTAAAGGGCCATGAAACTAATTTTGGGCTGGGATAAATGAATTTAGATTGGGATTTTACTAATAGCATATCATCTAGTGGGCCAAAAAGAAGGTGGTAGAAAGTCAAAAGCCTGATTTTGGATACGAAAATTTGAAAACACAGCTGACTATTTCATACCTCCTTCCCTTCGAGAGCGCTCTGCCTTTTCAATGGGATACATCCGCGGTACCCAAAGCACGTCACCCGGCCTAAACGCATCTCACAAGACACCGGACCTCACTTATTCCCTTCACCCCTAAGCCGACAATGCAGTGGAAGCTATGTGCTTGCCGGATCAATCAGCCGCCTCCCTTTCATCACCTGACCTCATTCTCTGCACGTGGGTATGCGCGAGGGAGCGTGATCACGTGGCAAGAGTGGCCCAATGAGCACGTAGCTTCCACAGCACTGTCAGCTTAGTGGTAAATCGGGTGAAGAAAGCAACTTTTGTTTGAGCTTTGAGTGACGGGCTAATCTTCTAGGGGAAGAATGGCGGTATCCGGGTACACAAACGAGGGTCCGAGCAAGAGGGGAGTCCCTCCTTTTCGTCTTCTTGAACTGTTTGGTACAATGCGCGACTTGTGAGTCGAGGAGGAAAGCTGAGAAGGAAAAAGCTGAAAAATCGTTTCATGACCGCCTTAAACAGTTGAGCGTATTTCCAAAGAGCAGCGCTGCTCCGGTGTTTAGTGCGGCTATGTAACGGTTCTTGCTACGTCATGGCCTACTTAGCAAGATTCCCAATGTTGCTAGATTACCTCCTAACCAAGCTTTACAGGCATCCGCCAGATGGACATTGGAAGATTGTTTGATTAGCTTTAAATTTAATTTTCTTGTGTCTTTCAACGAAAGACTGGTGTTCTTGAGGTTATGCTGCAACATGCAATACATTTCAGCTAGAAAATGAGCGCTGGAATTTAGTTTCTGTACCCCTTTAAAGGTATGTCAAACGTATCCGGTCAATTTTTTTTAAAAGTATGTCGGACATACCCGAACGATATTCTTAAAGGTATGTCAGCCAATTTTCTTAAAGGTATGTCAAATGCACCAGGCAACATTTCTTAAAAGTATGTCATACGTATCAAGCCAATATTCTTAAAGGTATGTTAACAGGCCGACTTTTTTAAAGGTATGTTGGATCTACCCAGCCAATATTCTTAGGTACCTCGGATGTACCCGACGGATATTCTTAAGGCAGTGCTTATTCTTCCGGCAGCCGGGAGAATAATTTCTCCGAATACTGACTTTCTCATTGTCCCGGCATTTCGCAAAACATGCTATGGACAACTATTCATGGACACACATTTCATGGACACGTTTAGTCCACATTAACGTTTCATGGACACTCAATACATGAATTGCACGCTGTAGGGACATTTCGTTGCACGTGTATCATGAGGGTGCATGTTAACCTACCCGGCCCACCCGTTCATGCCTGTTCACGGAGACAACCTGCGGCAGCTCATTACAAAAAAAAAAGTGTTATAGTCTGACTGGTAGCGCCACCGCGGGTGCGGCGGGCGCTTGGCGGCGTTAGCGGCCATGGTAATAAAGGCGGTGGCCATGGGGTTCGAGTTCAGTTGTTTTGCGGGCCAAGGCGGCCCGCAGGTTATCTGTAACCTAACCTGTAATAAATGTTGTGTTGAGCGAACATAACAAAAAGAAGCTAATCTGAGCTGTGAAACATTGCATGTCGATGAAATGATCTGCTCATAAAACATTGTTCGGTAAACTGTATGCCACCGCCAATAGGAGGTGACCGCCGGTAAAATTTCAAGGAAATTATTCTCCCGGCTACCGGGAGAATAAACCCTTCCTATTCTTAGCGTACGTCGGAGGTACCTGAACGGCAAAGCAGCAGCGATATATTACTTGCGAGGTCATGTCTCGTCTTTTTAGTTTGTTTTTGTACGAAAACAAAGGCCTTTCTTTGCTGCTTCTGTATTTATGTCTTTCCTCCCAGTAGCTGGGAAAATAATTTCCCTGAAATTCTACCGGCAGTCGCCTCCCGTTGGCAAATCAACGTATCAGATTAGCTTTTTTCTGTAATGAGTCGCCCCGGACTGTCGCCGCAAAGCGGTCTGTATGGGTGGTCCAGGTAGCTTAACATTTTTGTAATGAGCCGCCACAGACTGTCACTGCAAAGTGGCGTGAACGGGTAGGCCGGAAAGGCTAACACGCGCCCCAGTGATAAACAGGAGACGGAATGTTTGTACAGCGTGCAATTCGCGTAACGGGTGTTGACGAAACGTTAGTGTCAACGAAATGCGTCTATGAAACTTGTATCCACAAAAAGTTGTTCATGAAATGTGCTTCTATGAAATACCGGGAGAATAAATCAGTATAGGAAGGTTTCGCTGGTGCCCATAGCCCGCCGGCAACTGCCAGGCGGCACCAGCAAAGTGAGAGCCCGCTGTTATACCCTGTCTCGTTGTAATTTGGCAAAGGGTGAACGATAAGCACCACATTGCGTGCAGACAGCTTCGATATGCGCTACGCATACGAGCACATTGCACATATATTGGCGAATGATGCAGCGAAAAGCCTGATACTTCTCTGCAGTAAAAGCACACTCCAGTGATACATAGTCACATTCCGATTGGCGCACCAAATCTAGCTTTCGCCGTACCGGCATGTTATTCGATCACGGCTTCCTGGCCTACCCAGTATTTCTTGCTTCAGACACTAGGCTAAGCGGCGCCACCAGAGTAATAGCTAACGTTTAAACAGTGCACCCGCCACGCCCAGGCATATCCAATGTTTCTTGCTTCAGTCGCTAGATAGCGCCAAACCAAACAGCATTACAGGTGCGACTGCTGAGCGCACGCTGACGGCAAGCTTCCAATTATTTTGTAATGTGCATTTCACACTATCAAGGTTGAAGGTCTTAGCAGCCTAATAATGTAAGCTCGTTCTGAGCATGCGCTTTAAACAGCGGCAGTTGTCACACGATTTAAGACAGCCAATGGCAGGCGACTTCCGGTAGAATTTCGGGAAATTATTCTCCCGGCTGCCGGGAAAATAGACGCTGCCTTTATAAACAATCAGATTGGATGGACCAATAAAATGGTGGTTATTCTCTATCTTACATAAAACCGTCGGACACACGGGACAACAGGAGAGACACCGTGGAAGGTATGTATGACCACGTAAGCACTTCGTTTCAAAATGCAACGTAGCCCCGAACCACCAGTTATTCAAAATATTCGTTAGACAAACCTCTTCAGCAATTGTCAGGTAATAAGATTTTAACTTCGTCATACATTATGAACATCTCTCCAGCATACCTATCACGTAGAGGTTGTAACCAAAGTGGCGTCCCCGGCGGTTGAAACCGTTGAAACTATGGGAAATAATCCAGTGAAAACACCGCTGGTAACCTGTGCTTGTCGCATCGTCACATTTTAAACGTTCGATCGAAGGGCAGACTTATCATGACGTGGAAGCAACTGACAGAACCGTGGCCGATGCTCCCGGAGTTTCTACACAGCACCGACCATCGCCCGACAGCTCGTATGAAGTCGGCAAAATGGCAAAAATCGTCAGCTGCGAGTTCCACAGGTCATGGACAGCGATAGCATCGTCAACTTATTCAGGTCCGTTAAACCGCAATTCATTGGTCAACCTTTGGTCACGTGTCTACAAACTCCATGTCTCTTTTTTAGGTGGCTTGGTAGGTGTCCTAGGTGCATAGAGATCATACCTAGGTGTCCTGTAGATGAGTTGATTACGTCGATTAAACTCTTTTGCACTCAAGAAGGAAACCTAACATTTAATTATTAGACACAATACAGTCAATATGTGAAGTATTTATGATGGTAAGTACTGATATTAAAACAAAGTAGTGTGTGTTACCTGTGTCATTCACTCTTAGCATCTTCTGTGCATGTTTCTACATTTAAAATCTGCAAAATATATTAAAAATCACGTCATTAAAATATTTATATTTGTAAACCTTCTCAACAATTTGAAGGTTTTCACTATTATTTTTTTTTTAATCCACCTATTGTGTCATCTAGTGAAACAAACGTATGAAAAAGTAACTCAGGTTTGCACATCCCTTTTTATGTCCCGGAAAATGCAAAAAAGTCCAGGCACATTCACTTATTTACCTGTTTTCACCTCACACGAGCACCTCACCGACTCCTGGTTTCGATCACCGTTGGTTCGATGTTTCGATCAACGTTACTTTGGTTTCGATTGGCGGCCATTCGCGGTGACGTCGTTACGTCGGCGCGACGTCATTCTTATGATAATGAGCTATTCAAAATGGCGGCCGGGGGAGCATTCTAGCTCGGTCCGCGGCGAGGAATTTCGCTTCTTTTCTCACTCTGTGTCCGCGAAAATATGCCGAAAAGACGCAATGGTGAAATCCCACTACCTTCCGGATGGGACATAGGCACCGACTTCGACGGCAAGGTCTATTTCATCGACCATATCAACAAACAGACAACATGGATTGATCCGAGAGACAGGTAAGCAGGGTACGGCTACCAAAGGAATGCGCGTCAAGGCCCCCTCGGGCTAAGGACTCCGCCGCGGCAGCGTTCCGTGCTTTTTCTTTTTTTTAATTGGAGGCGCTCGCTCGACAGCTCGCGGTGCTAGGGCTTTTCGCTGCCGGACATCGGTCCTACTCTGCGTGGTGCGCGTTTGTGCGACGCGAAAGAAATTAAGCGAAAAACAACAACAACATACCCGATCTCCACTTTGCAAACTTGTGTAGTCCCCCGAAGAGGAGGGGGGGAGCGTATAAAAGAAACAAATAAAGAAAAGAAGAGCATCTAAAGGAATGTCGCTGATGCGGTTTTGCTGGAGCGCGCACGCGAGTGGTTCGCCGGTCTGCGTCGGGTTTGAGTTCGGTGTGACAGTTCCGAAGTCGAGGGATTCCTAGCTCCGGAGCGATCGCGGCGATCTCGAAACTCTCCTCCGTCGGTGCGGTCCGAAGTCGGGACGGCGGAGTGGAGGGACTTCGTTGATTGCTGCGGCTACTTAAAGCGCTAACTAGGACTAATGAAAATATGCGGGGTTGTTTTGGCACGTTTTCTTCTTTCTCTTTTCTCTTTTTTTTTTCTTTTTATCTCTGCGTTCTTGTGCCACATACGGACGGACGGTCGCTTTGTTTTCCTTTTTTTCTTTTAAAGGGCTGGCTGTTTTTCCAGGGAAAATATCTCGGGCTCGGGCGCGATGGGTTCGTTTTGAAGGTTTCAACAAGCGCGTCCGTGGCGGCCGAGGTTCGATTTTTTTAAATTTTAGCAGCGGTGGTGGAAAGTGGACCGTTTTTGACCTCATAGATTTTTGTTTGATCGGTCGTGTTCAGCAGCGTTTTGGTGTAACACCGAATACCTTTTTTTTTTTTTTTTTTTTTTTTTGCAATAAAGAAAGGAAGAAGCAACGCGATTTTTGTTATGTTTCCTAGGTGCAGTAATTTGGGGAACGCGAATTGTTTTACAAACAGTATTTTCGCAATCGCTTTCTTTTTTTTTATTTTTTTTTTTTTTTTTTTATTTTTACGGTTGGGATTCCCATTAACGCGGACTGAGGGGTGGTTCATGGGGGCGGTATCCCGCATTCCTTGTAAATGTCTGTGCGTGTGTGTGTGCGCGCGCACGTGTGTATGTTCTTTTCTTCTTTTTATTTTTTCCTTCTGTTGTTAGTTTGCGGAATGCCGCGCCGTGGTTTGTTGAACTGTAAAAACGCCGCGCCTCATGCTTTTCGCGATTCACCACTTCCACAACAAACGTACGCAAAGTTTGTGAAATCCAGGCGCTCCTTTGTTTCTTCTTTTCTTTCGCGTTTCTTGCGTTTTATTGTTTTTTATATAAAGTATATCCTTCTGTAGGCGTTTGACGACATTCATTCATGGGAGCTGTTATTTTAGTTTTATCTTGTACTACTACCGCACCCCTGACCGAGTACTGAGTTTAGCGTAGCTTTCGTAATTTTTAGCCGTTGTATTTCTTAACTTTTTAAAAGAATGTATAGATATTTCTACGTATTAGGAATGCGCGGTACGGGCGAGTCTTTTGCCGAACATATGACACGTTGTCGGCGGCGTTCTCCGTTCTAGGTCAAGCTTGAGGAAGGTCGCCGATGGTTTGGAATATCCACGGAGGAAAAATGCCGGCACGTTGCCTGGCGTCGGCCGCCGTAGTCAAAGCAGACACCCCGGAAGTGGGTGCCCAAGGCTCAGATTTGGTGTCAAGCCCGGGGTTTAAAGTCCATTCCGTTCGTAGTAGGTTTTCTGCCACGCAGGAGTTTAACCGGGATCGTGTGAGTGGTTCGGTATCCCGGCGGGAGGGGCTGACGCGAGCGTAACCAAGCGTACTGTTGCTCGGAGAAGGCACAATAGTAAGAAAACAAAGAAAAAAAAAAAAAAAAACCGTTGCTCAGTGATTCTCGTATCTCGAATGGGCTGCGAAAGGCGAGAAAAAAAAAAAAAAAAAAAAGGCATGCGCTCTTTGACTCGCTGGAGATTCCTTCGCATTGTTGGAGTTTCCCCCTCCCCTAAATTCCGCTCCGTTTTTTTTGTTTTCTTAGCACGTTTTTTTTTTTGCTTTCTTTTTGTGTGTGTGTGTGACGATTTTCGTCTGTTACTACACAAGCAGGGGGCGGCCGACTGGGCGGTGTTGCGCACGCGCAGTGGAGCCTGGTGCGATATTTTAGTTGAATAAAGGTCTGTGTGTTTTAACCTAGGGTGAAAGCAATCAAAGGCTGGTAGTATCTTGGGAACGGGGTGGGTGTGGGTATTGGTTAACGTGGTTGAAAGAATCTTTCGCGTGTGTGACTTTGGTCCGAAAATACGTTACGTCACTCGCGACGGCCGCTTGGCACAAACGATCTAAACAAATAAGCAGTTTTCTGTAGCCTGGCATGTGGATTCTTGATTTTTACCGTTTTCACAATGTGCCATTCATTAGCAGCCACTTGACACATTCGTTTGAGCACTCTACACATGCCCAAAGTACCCATACATATTGAGCACCTTATCATACTTACTCAAACGAAACCACATCCCTCTTCACCCGGCATATCTTTCATTAGGACCGCCCATTAATCTCTTGCCGTCAACTCTTGACATTTCTGTCTAGGTATGGCCTAACCTCTTAACATAACGGCTATGATAAATGTCTAGGTACAGCCTAACCTCCTTAATATAAAACCTATGATAATAACCACAACAGTTTCTCATGTTTAGCACCTACTTTACCAAATACTGGCACACTTTGGCCCAATAAAAAACAAATCATCCATCCATTCCTTTGAGGTTTGAGCCTTAAGGTCGACCAGTGAACGCCCGCCCTTTTTGTACTTCTGCGTGGTCTTTTTTTGTTATCATTTTGGAGCGGTTGATAAAGGCTTGTTTAGCTTGTTTAGAGAATACAGTGTCTGTTACGAAGGTCACCTATTAATGTAATAGCTCCAAAAGGGGAGGTGCAGATTATGCAAATGAACGATGTCAATGACAAAAGCGGATAGTGCAACTCTTTGCCAACCAGTATTTAAATCTGCTTACTTCGTAAAAGTAGTTCTTGAATGTTATATGGGGGACTGCGAATATATTACCTCTGCTTTCTCTTGTGTCTGCATACTTACAATGACAGAACAATTCTGCACAGCTTTTCAGATAGTCTTTTAGTTTTTCTGAATCAAGTAACAAGTGTATACTGAATCGAGGACAATAAGGCATTGACAGGACAATAAAGCATTGAATTTATCTAATTGATGCATGCTTAAAGAAGAAAAAAGAAAAAAAAGGTGAAACAACAATAAAAGGACAAGGAGCAGAGCTCACCAACAAGTTGCTATTATCAGAATATTCTATATCCAATAGGAACATGCAGATAAAAAAAAAAAAAAAAAAACATCAACTTGTTTTCATGTATAAAATAAATAATTTAAAAATAATGAAATACTAACGATTCCCAACCTCACTAGGTCGGTGTAAGGTTTAAAAGGGCAAACAGAGAGGGACGATAGGAAAGAATACAAACGACAGGGTCAGGCGCTACTCTCAACTGCTTTATTGCAAGACCATTCAACCCTTATATGCACAACTCATCTGCCATTTACATATCAAACAATGCCAGCAGCCAATAAGCACTTTACAGAGACCAATCTAGATAAGTCACTTGTTCATCTAGTAGGCTAACAGATGGTGTGCTGAGGCACTTGCCATGCTTCTTTTTAATAGAGAAAGCCTCTATAATCTCCCAATCTGTTTTTTCTTTCGCTTTTTTTTTTTTTCAAGAACATTGTTGACTCTAAAATTGGTTCGCAGCCACAATGCTTTCAATGCTCAGACAGATGACCCCTGAATTGTTGCCTACAGATAGTTTGTGTTCATGTCATTGAAACAGTGTCCTGTTTGTCCTATATAAACTTTCTTGCAACTAAGTGGTATTTCATAGATGACGTTAGTGACACAGTCAGTATATTGGCTTACATGCTTCTTGTAGCACAGACCTTTTTTCTAGTCATCATCGGACATATCTTAGGGAGTTTGAAGGTCGCAGAAGAGACAATGTTAACATTGTATCTGCCGGCAATCTTTTTTATGTTGTGTGAAACTCTGTGCATGTACGGAATGACATGTACTGTTTTTTTATATTTTTTTGTGATACTACGATTCTGTTGATGCTTCTGTTTGATTTTTTGAAGTAGACTTTCACAGACACTAGAAATCAGCCATGAAGGGAACCCTGCATTCCCTAGCCGTCCCTGTCTGTTTGCGCTTTTAAACCTTATGCCTACCATGCACCAACTAGACCAAACCAAAGTTTTATTGACTCACTAGGTCCTTGTCCAATCCTTTAAAAACGGATAGTATACAAGGTGATGATAAGAATGAAAATCACTCTAATTAATTTGCTCATTGACAAGCTGAGTATGTTTGTTCCAAGACTTGCACATCATTCCTCGAGAGTCCTCTCGTACAGTCATAGTATTTTTAAAGTTGGGTTGTATTTTATGTCTAATTGCCTGTCTTAGTTGAGGCTGCAAGAATAGTTGGTTTTTTAAAGCCACTTTGTAAACAGCCTGTCAATGTTGAATCAGTAGGTATGGCATTAAACAAAATTTGGTGCAACAAAATTTTTAGTAGGGCAGGGTGTGGATTAAAAATTTTAACCCGATTAATCACCACCCTTTAATAGAATAATTAATCTACTAATAACTGGTCTCATTCATTTCCATGGATATTTTTTTTAAGAAAGTCAAAATTACATTTGTTTTTTTGTTTTCTTTTTTGGGAGGGATGGGGGGAAGAGAGGGGGTTTGTGGATGTGTGATAAACGGCACAATATACAATTTAGATTAGGAATCAACTTTGATACATAGTTTAGAACAGTTCAAAGACACTTAAACTCAGATTTTATTACTTCAGGAATCAACTTCGAAACATAGTTTAGAACAGGTTCAAAGACTCTCAAACTCGGATATTATTACTTCAGCTGCATGAGGCAAAGAGGCTCTTTGGAATTCTCCGGCCAGTGCGGCCTCTTTAATTGTTCACAGTAGTCTCTGCTGCCCTAAACGGGCATTCGCACTGCGTTGAAGTGGCCGGGACACGTGCAAACTTCTGCTTTTCTCTGGAGTTACGAATCTCGCTCTTAGAGTTTACTTTAGGTTAACATTTCACCTTAAGTTTGCCCTTCAAATAGGTGTACCCATCTATGTCTACGTGGTGAAAGCACATAATTTTTATGTTTTTTGCTTCGCCAAAATGTTACCTATTAACTGGTTAAAAATATGAATTGCGATTAAAGCATTATTCAACTAATCGATAAATTAATCGATCAGTTGCCCAGCCCTAATTTTTAGCCATTGAATTTAAAAGGGCACCTAATTAGAGGTTTACAGCCAGAACCATGCACCAATTTATGTGGCAATGTATTCGGTGGACTCCAGCGTTCAATCTCTTAGCAACCAGTTGGTTTCACCAAAAATGTTTAAAAAATTGTGGAATTCTTAGGAACCATAAATCTTTTCCATGCATTTTTTTTTTTCTATCTAGAAAGAGTGTTGGTGACCGATATTTTAACTTCTTTTGTGGCCCTGCGGTACGAGCACCATAATTTGTTGAGAAAAGTTTTATGAAAATATATATAAGGTGTATATACATAACAAAATATGGGAAACTTCAATTTCATGCTGTAGGACAGTGCCTACGATTTGTAAGAGTTTTGAGGTTTGCTTTTAGGCATTGGTTGCACAGCACAAGTTGCTCACTGTGGCACTTGGTTGCCATCGGTGTCGTCTTCCATGTCGTTTGACTAGAGCCATTCACTGTCACTTGACTCAGAGTCAAGGGGAAAAATGGCATCATTATGTGGGGCTAAACATGAGAAGGTAGCCACTTTTAAAGCGCAGCGTAACTTTCCAATGGCTAAGATTGCGCTAGATTGCGTTGATTAAAACCGAAACCAGCTAGAAATGTGTCAGGGTATGCTTGAAGTGCCAGAAAGTTTTGCAAATCAACATTTCTCCCCAAAGAAGCTTCGCGGAATTGCTCTTTATCCATCAGAAAACGTCATGACGGGTTATCTCGTTGTCTGCAGCTAATACTTCTTAAGTTTTTACGCTGTACCAACGCGTTCGCCTCAAAAAGTATGCTGCACACCTTCGTTGAAATTCTGAAAGATATGATGTTGTGCAGTTTCCGTGTGTGCTTCCTGTCTATTAGAAAAAGGTACATGTACCTAGACTGAAGCACTGGGATCATGCATTTTCTACAGCAACATTAAGAATGAGATTCTCATTGAACTACACCCAGTAAGGTACAATTGGCACAAAAAAACATTAGCCCTAGTGATCGACGGCCGGAACGGTGAAATCTCCGCGTTGGGCGCTGCATCATCGCGGATACACCGAGATCAAGACAGGTCGGGGCTTTCCAACTTTTCAACCTTGGGCGTGCTTCAACTGATAGTTATCTTTTTCAAATAATTTTTTTTGCTACATTGCTACTCTCTCTGATGGTTACTGCCAGTTCAGCGTCATAAAACTATTTTACGATGGTAAAGCAGTAAATAAAAAAGGTGATATCGCTGCTCTCAGCGAGCAAGCAAAATGTGCCCCATGTTAATAATGATAATGTTGTGTGTATGTTTATACAACCAGAAGTTAGTCTACTCCAAAGGGCGTCTGGTGTCTCAGCTGTAGATGAGAAATTTAGTCAGTGCAGTACAACCGCTAGCCTGGGGTCTTTAACGTGCACCACACAGTAGGGATACAGGACTGAAGCTGGCATAATGCTCACTCAGATCGAAACAAACAGGGGTGGGGATCGAACCCAGGATCCCTGGGTTCTGCAGCATGAGCTTTCGCTCCAACTGCTCCGAGCTGGTGTGCGCTAGCCCACTCGGCCACCAATTCCCCCTGCTTTCAAATCCTGAGTTTGTTGAGTGCTTGCTGATCATTTTCTTAGGGTCGTTTTGTTCCCCCCGAGGCGTCGTCTGAAGTATGAATGTCGAGTCAATTGACGCAGTTGTTGGAAGGGTTCCATTTGCACAATGCGTGATCAGTGGATTGTCTCAAAACTCGCTTATCTCGAAATTCCGCTTATCTCGAATTTGTGTCTAGTTTTTATGACTTTGAGTTAGCGAAAGTTTACTGTACTTAGATCTCCCGATCTGCCTTGTGGAGAAGCAACCATTTGACCTCTTCTGGGGCAAGGCGGCTGATTAGCCACCCTGTGGGCACTAGGCCACGGAAACAGGTGTCTGGGTTTTGCAGCACTAGCTTTCGCCTTACGTGCTCCGAGCTGATGTGCGCTCGCCCACTCGGCCACCGATCCCCCATTCCCCGTGTTCCAAATATGGCACACACCAAGCGATCTCAATCGTTGCGTCGGCATGACTGCAGCGCAACGTGTTGCTTGTTTGGTCTAATCTTTTCTAGTACCCCCTGTACATTGTAATGCAACACCCTTGAGAACAATGAGTGGCTGAAGTATGCTCGCAGTCTTTCCTGACCTATGGGTGGTCTCATTCTCGATAGACCCAGGAGGCTGCGGGCTCAGGTCCGACTGCCGACATTGCGTCGGTCGTTCACGGTGTTTGTGCAAGTCTGGGGCCATTTTGTCTCGCAGGTTAACAAAGCCCCAGTCGTTTGCCGACTGCATAGGCAACGAACTTCCCTTTGGCTGGGAGGAATGCTACGATCAACAGGTCGGCGTGTTCTACGTAGACCACACGAACAGTGAGTGCCCGACATTCCCAGATTTGTTTTCTGTTCTTGACATTGAACCACCTCGGGCGCCTACACTTCTCGCCCTACCGCTGACTAGAGTCAGAGCTACGAGCCAGTGAGAAATCGTGTAATATGTCGCTCTGACGCGCATGCAAGAGAAGCCTCTGCGTAATGTACCACAGGGTTTCTAACCGGCTTGTCATTGAACCTGATGGCTCTTAACTCAGTCTATAGTTCTGTTTTCGGTATATATCAGCGATAAATCTCCCAAAGTAACTTAGTCCCGGTTTGATCGAAATCGGGAAACACCGAAAAACCCTGAACTGGAGCTGTCCATCAATCGGAAAAACCTTAAATTCACAGGAATTGAAAAACCTTTATCTAGAGGTTTACTTTGTCTTCACTCGAAACACAATCCCAGCTGTCTGCGCTGCTGCTGCTTTCTTCAGGAACCACACCCTACGTCTAGTTTCTCTCTTGTATCGGTACCGGTATGTTTTTAGACTATTTTGGTCACAATAATATTCCCTGAGGGGCTGGGGAATTGCGTGCCTATGTCTCCCATTTTCTTTGAGATAAGCCCCGACAAACGACATTTTGTTTGCCCCAACAAACGCCGTTTTGTTTTGTTAAAGAGGAAAAATAGACATTAAAAATTACACAAAATCCACAACGGGAAAAAAAAAGTTCCCCAAATTTGGGTGAAACAAACCTAGAAAATACAGAACCCTATTAATGGCCGCTGTCCATGGACTGCTTACAGCCATTCGCCTTAGAACCTTTTAAAGTTTCTTACGATGATTGAACTCTTGGTGATTTCGTATACTTCCTATTTTTCTTCATGCATCATTCTTGGCTTTGAAAAGATTTTGACAATGTTATAAATTACCATTTTTCATAAACAATATATGTACACCCACCCCCCAAACAAATTTGGTGCTTTTTTCATTGCAGAAATGAACTAGGCATCGTTGAATGCTTATTCTTCGCTTAAACGTGGCGCTAGCGGTTTGAACCAGATGCCAAAGTTTCGCCACGAACCGTTCTTAATCAAAAGTTTTAAGCGATTTTCTGAAAATTTCAATAGGAAAATGGGGCCCGTTTTTGCCCGTTTTTGGTAACTGGCGCCATGGAGCTCCGTGTATACAACTGCTCTGTCGGCCGCCATTTTCCCATTAAAATTTCAGAAAATCACTAAAAACTTTAGAATAAAGTAACGGTTAGTGCTGTAACTTTGGCATCTGGTTTTGACCACTAGTACTACCTTTGGCCTTAAAATGGGTGTTTGGCAATGCATAGTTCATTTTTGCAATAAAAAAAAAAAAACATAGAATTTTTGAGGACACCCAGTACATTTTGATCTCGTTAATACCTCAAAACTTTCGCTCTAGTGAAGCTTCCCGCTCCAGAGCCGGAAGTCTCGAAGGATGGAGTGGTTTTTTGAGCTCGCTGCGAGAGTGCTGTCTGTCGACGGTATACGCCGGGACGTATTAAATATTAATGCGCCGCAAGCAGTCGGGCAGAGCGCTTGCGGCGCGTTGGCGGCGCTTGTGGTGCAAACCCTGGGCGCAAGCAGCCCAGGGTTTGCGGACCGGTCAGTCCTGACGGGGGGTCTGCCGTCGTTCCTCCAGAAACGAACCAGATCGAAGACCCCCGGCAGCAATGGCGGCAGCTGCAGGAGGCCATGCTGAAGGAGTACCTGCTCACGGCCCAGGACGACCTCGCGGTAAGAACGCTGTCGTTGTCTCAAGCCGGCCGTACATGTCACCGAAGTGAGAGAAGAAACTGATTGACGTAGTTACGATTGATTGGGAAACGCCCGGTCAGATTGCTCGAGGCCGAAAATGGTTGGCCCTCGACCAAACGATTGAGATGCCAGGTGCTTGGCCTTTCCTTAGGAGAAAGTCGAAGTGAATGGCTGAGACGAGGTGAAGGCAGACACGCGTGCGAAGTGTCATTCATTTTAGATTTCTGCTTAAAGAGACAATGAAGACGATTTTATTTAATTTTTTTAAATGGTGTTTTTAGGCTTCTTGGGAACATAGCATGCTGCCCAATTTTTTGTAGACATTTGTGACGCGTATTTCTGTGCCTACGAAAGAAGTAAAGAAACCGAAACTGAACAATCTCCATTCTCGTTTCTGGGCCTCAGAAAACGGAGGTGACGTAGGGAGTGACGTCAAGTGTGAATAGTCGGTATCGGTAGTATTTAGGAGATCGAGACTCTGGTTACCGCGGTGGGTTATAGCAGTGCGGTGGCGCGGTCGTTTCGTCGAATCTGTCAACATGGACGGCAACGCCGCTCTCGCGAGCGAGTTCAAGCGTCCATTCAGCGACCCAACACAAACGGAACGGGAGTACGTGTGCGGCGGCCTCCGCCATCACCTCCTACACCGTGCCCGAGGGAGACCGCCCAGCCGGTAACGAGCGGCCCGCATGCCGAAGTGCCCATAGTTGCTCCGTTGCTCGTTGGCCGTTTCGCGTCCCGCGTAGCAAAGAAAAAAAACAATTATGCGGCTTTATTTACGGTTCAGTAATCATTTCCGGTTCGATTTATACTTTTAATGGTTATTGAAGCAAAAATGAGAACAGTATTTCTAAAAATCGCGAACCAAAACGTGACCGAGGGCACGTTTCTCGTTTCGACCAATCGCTGACGCGTCTCTTGTGACGTCGCGCTTCTTGGCCAAGCATCGGTCCCGTGAGCTCCGCTTCTCCCGGTTTCTCCCGCAACTCTCGGGGCGTCGCCTCAGTTGATCCCGGTACGATCATTACCGTGACTGTTTAATTGATTTGCGCGGCACACAAGCGCCGGTTTCGGCTGAAATTCGGACAACGTGTCCCGAGACGTGCCTGGAACCCAGTTCAATCGCCAAAAAGATGTCCGAAATTGCCTTCATTGTCCCTTTAAAGGCCGAAGTCTTAATCTTGTTAGAGCCCTCTTCCCCTACAGTGCGAGGGGAACTGTGTTGGGGCAAGTTGAAAGGTGGAGAGGATATGGGAAAGGAGAAGGTGGGGAAAAGTGGAAAGTGCAAAGTGTACGTCGGGCCTTTAAAACAAAGAATACCGTGGCAGATGCGAGCACTTGCTGCACATAGACCTACAAAGCCAGTGCTCTCTCGGTGTTGTAATCATTTAGCGAAGGGTTCTTTCGAGTGATTAGCTCAAAGATGACTTACTGTTTCATTTAATTTATTTTACCTCAAGGGCATCTAGCGATATGTTACATGAGGGTGAAAGCAAGAAAGTTGAAGTCATGATATGTACACATTTATCTAAACAAACTAGTGACAGATGTGGTATTGCCACGCGCGTCTGCGAGCAAGTGCTCCCATGGCCGAATGGTTATCGTCCTTGGCTTCTACGCATAGAGCTCGAGGTTCGATGCCTGGGAGCGGACACCCCTTTTTGTGTTTTTCTGTAAATGTCGCGTTCTGATGAATTAGAGAAAATTGTTGTTTATTCTAAGTCCGAATGTTCCAGAATGCTTTACGCGTCAAACCTTCTATGTCGATTATTCCAGAAGCCCACGCGTGTACATAAGGGGCTTCGCGTGGTGAGCCAAAGTCAGTCTCGCCCCAGCGTTCGATTCTGCTGTTTCGCCGCCATCGATGCCTGCGACGCCAGCTTTTTCTATTTTGTTTTGGGCACAAGTTCGCCCCATGAAACATTTAGTTTGCTTCAAATTTCTTTGCCTCATCAATTGTCATTGGTCACAATATGTATTTACTTATACACAATAATGGTAGCAAAGAAACTGTCAATGCTAGAAATATAACAATGTTAAATGATACGAAATATGAAACACTTAAAGTAAATATATACTTTTTTCACAACTTGGTGCATCAACAAGCTCAGCAAAAGCAATTATTCGAAATACAGAAGTCATAGAGGAAATATCGAGTTAACAAATAAGCTCTTCACAACTGAGTTTAAACAATGGTGGATCTGAGTTACAGCATTTTCAGGGCGACTATTGCACTCCCTTATTTTATGTTACTTTAGTACTTCAGTGCTGAAGTAAATTGTTTTATTAGGCTAAGTAACTATCATTATTGATCCTGTTATCCTGTATGTCTATTTTCAGATTAAAAAAAAAAAAAAACATTGATAGATTAGGGTTTTAATTTCTGACTTTGTTTTTGTTTCTTTACACAACCATATTTCATTTATTTTTATTTTTGTTCACAATAAGAGAAATTGATTAATGTATACAGGTCTTGTTTTTAGCCCCAATAGTGGTGGAAAGGGTGATTCATACTTGGGGACAGTTTTGTGCGGCAATGCAACCAAAGCCACGGGCATCTGTTTGCTCGTACATTTTGGGTACTCACTTGAGCACAAGTGATCTCCGTAAGCAACTAAGCACTGTATTTACCTAAATGCAACGCAAATTTTCCCCAAAACCCAGAACAAATTAACCTGACCAGTGCCGCCATTTTAAAAGAAGTGCGACCTTATGAGTTCCTGCAGTTTTCCATCCTTACGCTGACAACATTCAATCCAGATCCAAAGCCATCAAAACCGACTGTTTGTGTGATTCTCTCGGTGCTAACCTCCATAGCTGACTTTAAAATAACTCAATTAACCCAATTTTTTAATTTTTTTATTTTAACAATTTGGTTTTAACATTTTGTCTTGTTTCGAAACTTTCATTGCTTTCGTTTCTGTCAAGCATTCTAACCGAACCATGTCAAGTACTCTAGAAGTGCTCTAATATTAGCCTTGCATTGGAATGTTGGTTTTATTTTATCCCACAAAGCAATAGCATAGTCACCCATTGCATTACATGCATGGTCGCACTAGAATCGAGTAAATACAATAATAACCCAATCGCTTCCTGAAGCCGATTGAAATCACCCATTTTTCCGTCGTTTTCATTGCAGGCCAAACGAGAGATGGTTGACGTGAAGAACCAGCGGCTGACGCTGGCCCAGGATGACTTTGCCCAGCTCTCCGGCACGCTGGCGGGGCTCTCCCTGCGGGCGGCCAGCTCGGCCGTGTCGCTCTCTTCTTCTACGGTGTCGGTGGCCTCCAGGGCCAGCTCCCTGGACCCCGACCTACTACGGTCCGACGTCGGCAGGGCCAAGCACAGGGTGGCGAGGCTGCGGCGGGAGCTTGACCAGGTAGGACGGGCGACGGGACGCCAACGCCGTGCCGGCGTTTGCGACTCTGCTTCATTGCGACCCACTTTTTTCGGAGTGCTTTATGTTCAGAGTTTCGCGTTTTTGACGCATGCTGATAAATTGTGTAAAAGTAAACCCCGATCCGGTTTTATGGATGCCAGGGAAAGCCAACGAACCACCGATTTGGTGCCTTCCTGGAAACAAGACAAACCCAAGCTTCGCGGACAAAAATCTCTTTCTACGGGTTTTATTTGCGTCGGTTGGAAACACGACCCGCATTAAGCTGTCCGCAGGGCTAACTCTTTCCCGGCGAACAGCGCCCCTTGCTCCACTTCCTTCTCTTGTCGGTGCCGGGAGGTTTCCTGAGTGTTCGAGTCACGTGTACATTCCTTGGAGGTCGGGGAGCTCCACGCCCATGTGCCATTTTCTTCGACGTGAACCCTAATAAATGCCAAATTTTTCTTCTCGAATAACAAAAATTGAGACCGAAAGACGTCGAATATGCGAGAAAAGGGAAAAACAGCCCCGACTTCGAAGGAAAATAGACCCCGGAAATGCGGAACCCTACGTACATGTTCTAGTTTGAGCTTTGAAGCTCGGTTTGCAAGTTAGCTGATTGTATTCGGTTAAACGGCACCTTCTTTGCCCGCCCAAAGGTCATTAATTGTGGAGTTGCAGTTTCGATAACACAACTCCGGGCCATTCCATCAACTGTTTTTTACGCGGCTTAGAGTGGAATAATCATGAGAAAATTCGAGCCTCGTATAGGGTGGTTTCACGCGACATACTTTTGCCTCAAAATCCCGCTGGACGCAACATTGATGAACCTTCGCCCTACGTATTTTTTTTATGCGCGGAGGCAGCATTCTTTAGATTGCAGTCTTCGTTTCGTGATCGACTGGACTGGCCAGAGTAGCTGGGAACATACAGAGCATCGGCTGGTACTTTCGATATAAGTTTGGGCTTACGACAAGCAAGCGGTCAAGCAGCGCGAATGATCTGTCGAGTGCCGGCTTGTCGACTGTGGTCTTTGCGTGGCACGACTGTAGCGAGCCCGAGCGGTGATGGAGCGGCGTCTTTGCAGGTACGCTCTGAGGTGCACCAGCGGGAGCAGGGCCTGGAGGCGCTCCGGAGGGTGGAGCAACAGTTCTGCGAGCTGCCGTCCGGCTACAGCCTGGACCAGGCCAAGGCGGTGCTTGAGGAGTTGTGCAACGTCCAGCGCTCCCTGGGCAAGGGCCACCGCGAGAGGGCCGACCTCCTGCAGGTGAGCGCTCCGAAGGCTGCGCCACAGGGCCCACTGCAGTGGCGACGGAGGCTACGCTTGCTCCATCCGAACTTTGGCTTCTCCACTTTGCTTGATGTGAACCAATCTCGTTCTGCCGGTAGTATCACTGATTGCTCCTTAAAGTTAACATCATAATCTAGAGAGAAAGACGCCTTAATATGCGCAAAGCAGCAAAACATCACCTGTACGGTTTGTAGCCTGTTCTTTTCTAGCTTTCTTCGCGGCAAAATGAACAGGCCTAACCTTTCGTCTGCTTTCTTTCCCCGCTCTTCTGTCGCTGTGTTTCTCGTTCTTTCTCTTGGGATCGTCGATGTCGGTGGCCAAGGTTTACCGCGTTCTGCGCCCGTCTTTACCCGGTCGGGTTGCTCTACTTCATTTTTTTCCTAAACTTTTTGATCTCGAGTATCTGCCTCAGGGGCAGCTGAGGAACTCCTCCGGTCTCGGAATGGGCGCAGCAATACCGGAGCCTACGGGCCTCGTAAATAGTAACACACACGCAAGAGAGTGTTTGCCACATTGATATACGTCGCTGAGCAACTTCGATGGGCTCCAGTAGTGCCGAAACCGGAAAGTCGGTCTATTTCGAAGCAGTTGCAGCCAAGGAAATGCAGGAGTTCGGAGAGCCCCTGCGGGTACCCTTGGGAGCCCCCCGAGGGACCCAGTTGGATACTCACGCTCTACTTCAAGGCAATTACGGTGCTGAGTCTGCGGTTTGGGGGGTGCTCGAATCCCACCCTCCGAGGCGCGGCTCCCCCCCCCCCCCCCACCGCTCCAGTCCCAAAAAATTTGTCCCTCTGCGCATTTCCTGCTAAACTTAGGGAGGTAACTGAATTGGTGTTTAGGTCACACACCGTTGATCTCACGTGACCCGACGTCGCTTCGTCTATACACCAATTGAATTTCCCCGCCAACGTTGGTGGAGAAATTAGTCACGTGACCTGTACACCTATTCACTTTCCCCGCTAAATTTAGCAAAAAAAATTTACGTCGCGTGACCCGGTTTTCGTGACCTACGCACTAATTCAGTTCTGCCGCTGAATTTGGCAGGAAAATACTGCATTTCATGCATTATAGTACTTTGGAGTTGAAAGTCGCTGCCAGGTTTTTTAGAGTAGGAGCGCGTGGCACGTTGTCGAAGGTAGGGAACTCGCGTCAAAGACAAGACAGCTGAAGCTCCTCTGTTCTCACCATGTCGGCGACCATGGCAACTAGATCGAATTTTTTCCCCGCTAGACGAGCAGAAAAAGCCAAATCTAACGAGGAAAAGGCTAAAGGTCCGTTCGCACGCTTGCGACTCCTCAAGACCGAGTGCCTTAAGACCTCTCGAAATCTCTTGCAGAGAGAGGACCCTAGAGAGCCTGTATTACAGAGGGTGTCCAATTGCTCGAATGGGGTCATGTGGGTCATGGGCTACGTTTGCAGTAGGAGCTGGGAGGATGTGCCAAAGCGTAGATCGTCCGCAAACGTCTCCGCCTTTCCGCCCGCTTTCCCCCTCGTCACGCGACAACGCGGCGGATGCACACTCGCTATCACTCTCCACAGAGGGTGTCCGTTGTTAAATCGCAAACTCTCCCTAAGGGTTGAGATGGACCCTCCCTTTAATCTAGGTTCTCTAAAGATGGTGGTGCCACCTATGCGGTGACCCTGGAAATGCATTTCACTAGAGCAAAGGTATTACAATATTTGCGAGGTCAGATGTATGTACTGCCTACAAAAGGTTGTTGTTTATAACCTTTACGGAAGTTTTTTTTCCAGTAAAAAAGAAAGAATGATGTGCGGAAAAAATGGAAAATAGACAGAACCGACAAGTTTCCACTGTCACCCAACAGATGGCTCCAGCCTGCTTTCTCGTCGTAAGAGAAGAGCTTTCAAGGCACACGGTCCCGAGAAATCGCGAGTGTGTGAACGGGCCTTTAGGTGAAGTGTTGCTTCCAAATCATTCCCGAGTGCGCACGGCGTCAATGTTGTTCTGTGTGCCCCCAGAAACTGTGGCGGCTGAAGGAGGAGCTGACGCGGGGATCGCCCGAGCCACTGCCGCGAGAGCGCCCCAGCACGGCCTCTCAAACGGACCTGTCCGGGGAGTTGGCGCCCCTCGGCGCCCGCCTGGCCGAGCTCGCGCGAACCCGGCTCAGCTACGACGAGGCCCGGAGGGAAGTCCAGCGGATCCAGAGGGAACTGGCCGACCTCGAGGACCGCCTCTCTCCCGGCCAGGCGGAGTCCGATCAGGACAGGTAAGCTGCGACGAGGCCCACGGAACAATGGGGATAGGCCGATCTCATGCGTCTGAATGCGCAAATGCTGACCCTAGGAAAAAAAAGGAATGAATGTTTTTAATATACGTGCGCTATAAGAACTTATATTTGCCTTACATAATTTATATAAGTTGCGATATGTTTATCGCACAAATTTTAATTTACCATTGTGTAAAAATACTTGCGGTCAATGACTCAATGAATTTAATGGTGCATTAATTTGGAATGCAACAACAACGGATGTGAGGCAGTACTCTGACTTCTTGACAACATTAAATGCATTTTTGTTTTTAGTCGCAAGTGTATTAAATGCATGTCATCCCGTAACGAAATCTAGCATCTTTTTTTTGTGTTGCAGCTTTGACGGTTGTTGCCGCATTCTAAAACTTATTTTGTGATTGGGCCTGGCACTAGTCGCCGTGGCTGCGGGTCCGAAGCAGTCTTTGTGCATATTATTTAATTTTCTTGAAAATGATAAATTTGTACAGTTAAACCTCGATGTAACGAAGTCGGTAAAATTCGCAATTTACTTCGTTACATTGAAATTTCGCTAAATCGAAATTTGGCTTTAGCATGCAAAAAAAAAAATCCGAAACATTTTACGGGTATGAAAACTCACCGAAAATGACATCTATTTTGGGGCAAAGTAGTCCGCGAGTTTTGCTTGCGCCTTGTCCGACAGTAGCAGCGGCGTCATACGGCGTTCGAGTGCCCAGAGCGCTTGCACGGCATCTTGCTGCCTATGCGACGCCGTGTACCTCCTCAGCAACTCCTCAGTACGTCCATTGCGTCGAGCACTTCCCGAGTGCTCGTGATCTCAGCACTTTCTTCAGGATGGCGTCCAAAACGTTTGCTTTCTCATCCAAAAAAAGAACTTTACGTTTCCTTATGCCAGCAAGCACGTGAATGAACCGCCCGGTTGAAAAATAAAGCTGTTTAGTTTAGGCGGTGCCAATGTTTCCAACCTACACAGCACTCTTGCCCGCACAGTTTACTTGCCCCCTTGCGCCCACAGTGTGCTTGCGCCTTTGCTTTACATCACGGTCGCAAGACGATAATCGGTCTTCTCAGTCTTCTCCTAGATGGCACTGCCCGTGCGGTCGCGCCAGAGCCGTCGCGCCATCACGTCGCTCCTCCGCTACCCGCGGTACAGTGGACTAATGATCAGTGAATGTCAGTGGTGATGCTGTTATGCCGTATAAACTTTTTGCTCGGCATTTTCTGGCCAGCCCCGCGGAATCCGCTTTGCCGCATGCCTCGCCGGCGCTACCGGCGCCGCATCCTCGGGCAGCCTAGGAACGTTGGAAGGCCTGTCCCCGTGAAGTAACCTATCAAAGCGCTCGCGTTTGTGCATAATTTTTTTTTTTTTTAACCACAATTTTTTTTTGCGAAGTTGTTTTTTAGAGTTTATTCATTTATTGCCTTCTATGGCAATGGCACTTCGTTATATTGAAATAGCAGCAAAATGGACTTCGTTATATAGAGACTAAAAATACATGGGGTCTATGGGCAAAAAATTATGAAAAATAAAATACTTCGTTAAATCAAGGATTTCGTTACATTGAAGTTTGTTATATCGAGGTTCGACTGTATTTGAATCTGAAGCATAAATGAAAATTTTATCTCCTTCAATGTGGAACCGGGCACCTAGCCTCCGAGGTATGTCAGGTCACACGAGAAAGTGTGTGCAGTTCTTGTGTGCACACTAGCTTTTCTCTTTGCCATCATCTGGAGAAGGGGTCACCTGTGCTAAATATGCCAAGGCGCTTGCGGGAAAACGGCTTCGTAGAGCACCTGATTTGGGGCGGGGCATATTGTTTGCTCTGCGTTCGCAGAATGTAGATCTTGTATGACGAGCGGGAAACTTCTTGAACCTTCGGACTTTGTGCATGCCTCTCAGATCTATCTGTAATTTAATTATTTTGCAACGCGAACGCGGTTTCAAGGCGGCCGTGAACAAGCAGACAATGCAACGACTGACGACACATTGGCACGCGTGCTTCAGAGGAACGTGGGAGACGCACTACGGCGCATGCGCAGCATGTGTGGTGAATTGCCTCGTTATGTCGTCGCACCCGTCGCGTCTTCTGCAAGAGCGACAATCGCTTCCGCAATACTCGGAGTCCCAAGTTTGAGATAGTTGCGACACTCTGCTCTGCGAGCGGAGCACGCACGGTTACTCTAAGGTAGACCTTTCCAGCGCGTCATTCTGCCGTCCCCCTCCTCAGGCTGCTGCTGGTCCGGGAGAAAGAGCAGCTGCTGCACGAGCTGCGCGGCCGGGTGGGGCGGTGCGATTCGGACGCCCTGTGGGAGGAGATTGGGCGCCTGGAGCGGGACCTGGGGGACGCCCTGGAGTGCTCCAACCGGGCCATCGCCGACCGGCTGCGCCTGCACGACCAGAAGCAGCAGCTCCTGCAGCAGCTCAGGGACGCCACCCGGCTCACGGCGTGCCTCGAGACGCGCATGCAGAGGTGAGGTGCCCCCGGCCTTACCGTACGGTGCCCGCGGCGCGACTCTGACCGGCACGTTTTGCATCTTGTCTTGTCTGTTCGTTGGAAGTGGTTCCAAAGTGGCCACAAACAACGTCGCAAAAGTCGGAGTGTCGCGCCGTTGGACGTCGTGATCCAGAAAGTTGGTCGTAAAAATGATGGTGAAAAGCACAAGCGAGCGTCGCCGTTGGCGTCGCGTCTGGTGACATTATGACACTTTTGTGACGTGGTCGGGGGCAATTGAGGGACCATTCCTTTGGATGCGGTAAACATTCAGGTCGGAGGCTTATTCCAGGCATTGTAGCCTTACGGCCTGTGCTAGTGTTGCTTGAATTCGACCCCGCCCTGAGAGCTTGCCCGGGGGGGCCGTTTCAGAAAGCGAAGTGATGGGAATACAAGGAAAACTGCTTGTCTCTTTGGTGTTTCTTGAAGGTGCTCTAAATACCTGGCATTTATAGGTCTTCCGTGACGTCACTGTGTCATGTGACATCAGGTCATGTCACGTGACATTATTAACCGTACGGAAATCGCATGGTCACATCACACTGCCGCGCAACGTCATGGCGTTGCTTGACGTAACAGTGTCGTGGGATGCTGTGTCACGCGACCACATCACGTGACGTTGGGCCACGTGACACTGACGTCACGGCGTCGCAAGATGCATTTTAAAACCGAAGATCAGTCAGGACTGTGCCCATCCACGGCTTCCTAAAAGAGCCTATATCGCAGGGATTCCCAGTTTTTGTGGTCTCGAGCAGTCGTCGTCGGCTACGGAGGATAGTCGGGGCATTTTTGCTTTGAAAGCGAGGAAGTGAAGCACTTTTTTTGACTGCAAGAAATAATAAACAACGCTAAAATCTTTTTTTTTTTTTTTTTTAAGGAAACAATACTTGTGTGTTTGTTGAGTTTGTTTCGAGACAGACGTGGACCCTGTCCCCTCTCCGCACGCAGTCTGTCGGCAAGCACGCTGTCGGCCTCGTCGAGCTCCTCGCTGGGCTCGCTGAGCACGGGCAGCTCGAGGGGCTCCCTGGCAAGCCTGAGCTTCCCGGACATCTACGGGGGCTGCGTGGTGTTGGACGTGCCCTGCCGGGGACACCGGGGCTCGGGCTGCAGCCCTCCGCTCTCCCCACGCTCCTCCCTCTCCTCCCTGTCGCCCCCCGTGTCTCCACACTGCGACGGGTACGTTAATTTTTCTTGGAATCTGCATCTACTGTGTTTTTGGGTCAAAGGGTCTATCCGTTTCGTAGGCCGCACTTTCACGACAAAGTCGGTATAGAAGTCTCACATAGGGCGCTGCGGAGCATGGCACACGGAAAACATGGCAACCACAGACCTGTGCTGCCAGGCCTCAAACCATCTTTGTATCGCCTACGGGCCATCGTTAAGGCGTCTAAGGCGCTTAGTTGTATAAGACTTACTGGCAGAAATATAGGAAGAGAAATATGACTTGGAAACAAGGGTGGTTGGAAAAGTTGCACGCTTTGCCCCGTGTGACTAGCGGTTTCTTGCACGCTTCGTCGGTATATTCGGTGGTAGAGTGAGCGGTCACTTTCGCTCTTCAATTTGGAAATGGCGATTTCGAAAGTGCAGCTATTTTTCTTCTCTATTTTCTAAGTTCCTAATTTTGGGGATTAATATTTGAGCCATAATATCAATTTATATTATGCATGCGGGCTGAATTTGCACTGAGGTTGACGCTGGGACGGCACTTCCCTAAAACACAATTTTTTTACTCTTCTCCCATTGGTAGGGAAGATATCTTGGCATCTAGGGGAAATAGAAACATTAATTTTTACAGCGGAGCTGTTAAGGGCTAGTTTCCCCTGTACCATGTCCTTGGACAAACAAATGTTGACACAGAACTCCAGACTGCTATTGCCATCTATGAGCGACGGCGGCAACCAGACATCCGGCTTATCGGTTCTCTGGTTGCCACCGTTGCTCATAGATGGCGGCAACCCTTCCAGCCTTTCCACTCTGGTTTTCACCAAAGGGGAAAGGCTGAATTTCTCTAGGTGTCGTCTTAGAAGTCGTCCTAGAAGTCGTCTTTCAGATTGTCCTATACGTCGTCCTTGAGGTCATCCTAGACGTCGTCCTTGTCGTCCGAGAGGTTGTCCTCGAGGTCGTCCTAGAAGTCATCCTTGAGGTTCTAGACGTTGTCCTCAAAGTCGCCCTTGAGGTCGTCGTAGACGTTGTCTTCGAGGTCATCCTAGAAGTCGTCCTTAGGGTCGTCCTTGACGTTGTCCTTGAGGTCGTCCTAGGCGTTGTCCCTGAGGTCGTCCTGGGCGTCATCCTCGAGGTCGTTCTTGAGGTTGTCCTAGATGTCGTCCTTGAGGTCATCCTAGACGTTGTCCTAGATGTCATCCCCTAGGCGTTGTCCTTGAGGTCATCCAAGAAGTCGTCCTTGAGGTCGTCCTAGATGTCGTCCTCTAGACGTTGTCCTTGAGGTCATCCAAGTCGTTCTAGACGTCTTCTAGGTATCGTGCTAGACGTCTTAAAGATAATAGCTTCGCTGGTCTTCCATCTTCACGTGGAGTGGAAGGGTTCTGCATTTTCAGTGACGGAAGTGCTGCGCCAACTTGCGCCACAAACGGAAGTCTGCTACATCCTGTGCCAAAGCAACATTTTTTACCATATTGCTAAGAACTGAGCCACTCTTGTGCCAAAATTAAAATAAACGAAGCAAAAAAATAATTTAGGGCTCTGTCTTAATATTTAAAGCAATGGAAGAAAACGAAAATAGGACAAATATATATTTCACAGCATGTCTGCCCACCGTATAGTTTGTGTCATCTTACGTCAGAGCACAGTTGAAGCAACACATACAACCACGAACACGCACACTAAATTTGTAAGTCTAGCGGTATTCATTGCGCTTGATTGGTTTAGCCGATGAATACTTGCAGATAGACGATAAATGCCGCGATGTTGCGCTTCGAACGCTATTTAATTGGTCCCATTGGCTCGTAGCATTGCCTGTGCTTTGTGTAGGATTGCTCGTCAACTGCTTCTCAACTGCTCATCAACTGCTCGTGTAGAGATTGCTCGTCAAGAGCTAAAAGTCGGGAGAAATATTTGCAAAATAGTGGAATGGCAGCTACTGTAACAAGAAAGGACGAGGGTCTTTTATCCCTTATAAAGTATCTGCCGCATGCCTCCATGCTAGGGCTACAACGTACCGTGGCACTTGCGCCGCTGGCGTCAACTTTTGCGGCCTCGCACCAGCATGCACGCGTCGAACTTCACCGCTTTGCATCGGAGTGCTGGGAGCAGTGGCTGACACGGGAAGGCGCATGGGTTAGGGTGACTGGCTCAGAAACTATGCTCGGTACTGTATTGCATGACTACCTTTTTTGGCCTTGACTATGAGCTAACCTCCAATAAAAAAAATAAAAAAATACTGCCACTGAAGGAGAAAAAAACTATTGCCTATATTGCAATAAATCTGCTAATCAAGGTAGCTTCCGTGCAGCAGACAATCGAAAGGGCAATAAACCCTGACTCAATTCTGGTTCGAACGCCTCTAAAAGCGCAGTGTCACTTTTAAAGCAGAGGTTAGATTTTCATAATATTTGTGGGTGGTTGCTTTCACAGTTTATAATGTTAGGATATTAAGTTTGGTGGGTTCATAAAACTTGGTGGTGGGACATATTTTTATTGATAGACTTTTTAGTGGATATGTTGATTTTTGCTGACATTAGAGATATGTACAGGCTAAATTAAGTATCGAGTGTAAGAAAGGAAGTGAGGCTTTATCTCAACTGAAGTGTTGCGCTATGCTTCATTTTCCACCATTTTTAAATACCGATTTTAAATGAAACCTGTGAGCTTAGCCTTATTTCTAAAAAGAAGACTGTGTGTTCCTTTTGCATCCTATTCATTCTTACTACAAAAGATAAGTAATATGCTTCAGTGTCAAAAGGGAATTTTCTGTCATTATCAAATATGAACTCATTTAGCGATGCAGCTAAATTTTCATTTTTGAAGTGACTTACTAACAGTGTTAGGATCTGCTCCAAAAGCGTCAGTGACTGCTCCGAGCCAATAATTTGCCTGCTGCAAAGCCTGCTACAAAAGGTCCAATGCTGCTTCCATCACTTTTTTTTTTTGGCAACATCTAGCTGAATATGAAAAGTGTGCAACGTTGAAAACAGATTCTTCGATATGGGTCTTAGAAATTTTTCGAGTGATCTATTGTCTAATTACTCGTAACCACATGTTTAACACTTAACTTTAATGCTTCGTAGAATAATTAATAACGGGTAAATCTGAAAAGTACCTTATTTCCGAAATTGCATCCTTTATACTTTCTAGTATGTATCTAGACATCTGTTCAACATAATATATGGTAGAGCCATTTTTTCCCCGTCGTTTCTGCAAACGATTGCGGGCGAGGCTTAATTATCTTCGGGACTAATCCACTGGCTGAAAAAATTACCAGATATTTTAAACCGGTACAGAAAACTGTACAAGCTTGCACAGCCTCATTGGATTTGGTCAAGACACGAGGAGATGTGCTCGAAGACTCGCGTTCCCCTTCGCAACAGGTGCAAGGGGGTCGTGGAGGGTCTCAGGCCACGGGGTCCCGAGCCCCCCCTCAGCCCCATCTGCGAGCAGGAAGGACTCAGGGCCGGGGGCGTCTCGGCCGCCGTCAGCGACGAGTCCGTGGCCGGGGACAGCGGCGTCTACGAGGCCGCCCCTCCCAGGTGAGACCTTCCCTTCCGAACGCCCCGCGACGCTGTCCCAGTTCGGACGAACCTGCGTTGCGGGGCAGGGGGATAAAAGTTTTTGTTGGGGACGGACCTGGACTGTCCCTTGGTGTCGTGTCTGCTACGAACTTTCTCTCGGTGTCGTGTCGAGTCCAAATGAAGCACAGGGGTCATTCAAGGTTGTCTGGTACCTCTATATTGAAATTGAAAATTCGACGAGAAGGAGTTGGGCACCCTGGCCGTCGTTTTGGCACATAAAGAACTGAATTGTGTGGCTGTGGACGAACGAATGTGTCCTCGTAGTCAGGATTTGTCAAAGGCTGTCATCCCTCGCAAAACTGTTGACACCACTCATACACCCTTGTCTGTGAAATAGCATTTTCTATAGTCTGCGTGCAATCTTCTCAAAACTTCAGCTAGTTTAGTAATGCGCCTCTTCACCGGATATTTGATTATGCGTCGCTGCTCTGTATTTACGGATACATTGGTTGCCGCCACACTAGTCGTAACAGCTACACGCGCATTCGATACTTCGTTCCAGGGGGGGATATTCGAGAAAGATTACATTAACATCCTTTGTAAGTTTCATCGTGCTACATTTGTTTTGCGATTTCTTGCGGATAAAAATTTGCAGCCTCGAGGCAGCCGGAGCAGCCTAAATAAAGTGCGGGGAATATCCGACGGATTCGCTGGTCTTATGCCGAAATGGGATATTTGTCCAACAAAAATGAGCTGCCACTCTGCTCTCCCGGTTTAAACTTCCCGCGCCAGTATCCCGATTTTCAACACAAAGCGACAAAATTGCTTGGGGAGCTTCGTGTCGGCAAAAACTTCTGTATTACGGGCCTACGAAAGAGCAATAAAAGCGCTACGGGAGGGAGTTGACATACGAATTGACAGTTTCTGAACATAAGGCTTTGTGGAATTGAGGCCGGCATGTCACTCTGGTTACAAGAATGGGAAATCATCAATTGTGGCTCTCGGTTCTGACAGAAAACAACAAAAGTCATCAAAGGTTTAGACAGCGTGTAGTCACGGCAACGTGGCTACACGCTGTAGGTGAGATATTTAGCCGATGCAGTACCCCTGCTAGCCTGGGGTCTTTAACATGCAACACATACTATAATAGGGATACAAAACAGCATGCCAGTACAACGCTCGCTTAGATGGAGCCGGGCAGGGGTGGGGATTGAACCCAGGATCCTTGTGTTCTGCGGCGCGAGCTTTCGCTTCATGCGTTCCGAGCTGTAGAGTGTTAAAACAATCGACCACCAATTCACCCAGATGAAACATAAATGTTACCTCTACAGGCCAGGAGAAGAAGAAGACGAAGAAGAGGAGGACGAGGATGACGACGACGATGACGACGACGATGAGGAAGACGACGATCCCCTAGAAAATTCCGAGCTCTCTGGCTGCATCCACCTGCAGTTGAGGTTGCGGCATTGTCCCGGGGACGGGTTCCTGCACCTGGGACTGGAGAGGGCCCGCCACCTGACCCCCGTTGCCAACGGTTCCTCAGTGTGAGTCTCTGTTGCTCTTCCCACGGCTCAAGCCAGTCTTTGGATGTTGACGGATGTTGGCGAGTAGCGTACCGAACAGATCCGCCCTTCCCGATGACACTGGCACGCGAGAACGTTTCGGCGCATGCACCCACAGTAGAAGAACTGCCGGCAGACAACGAGGTCACTTTCGTGCTTTCACAATTCGTTGCAAGACTTCGCTCCCAACGTTTGTGGTATATGTAACGCGGGCGCTCGCTTCTCGCTCACAATATTGTGGGAACGGCCCAAAATTCCTCCTCATGGTCAGGACCAGAACAGGCCGTCGGGTGGTCTGTTGCTGGGTCGGGATTAATTGCCACCGTGTCCCCCCAAGGATAGCAGCGCCATGAGCAGTGGCATAGGCAGAGAGAGGTGTCAAGGTCAAACACCCCTCCCTCCCTATTCCACCAATATGAATCATCCCTTTCTGTCCTCACGCTCGTCATGCCTAACTCCATAGCCTACCCTCTTCCTTTTGGAGACCTCAACCCAGGCTCAGAGTACGCTGTTGGAGACCACGGCGATTTTCCTTGCCACACTAGTTAGCCACGAACGCGAACCCAAACATTCGCCCACAAACGGGTTGTTTCCTAGCGCTGCCCAGGCCACGATGCGCTTGCATCCAATTAGCGAGCCGGTTTCTGCTTACATAAGGTGGGCACTTTTGGCACCGGTGAGGGTGTCGAAAGTGCCCAGCGTGCAGACAACTCCTTGCGCACGTCGCGGCAAAGGGTCGTCCACGCGCGTTCCAAGCTCGTGCCCTCTTCTCGCAGCTGCGTGCGGGCGACCGTGCTTCCCGGGGGCCCCGAGTGCGGCTGGCGGTCGTCCCCGTGGCTGCGTCTTCCGCGGAAGGGAGAGGAGGTTGCGGAGGAGGCGGAGGAGGAGGAGTCCCTTGGCAAGCAGGAGCTCCAGCTGCCCGTGGGGCCCCGCCTGGGGTCGGGACAGGTCCTGCAGCTGCAGCTCTGGAGCCAGAGCCCCCACATGGTCCAGGAATGCCTGGTCAGTCTCCATGCCTTCCCGAGGCATCTCTCTTTAGTCAGTGACAGGCTAAGAATACAGTAGAAAAGCTCTGCCTCCAACACGCGCTCCATGGCTTCTGCCGCGTGCTCTGAATGCAACGAGGTGTTATCAGAAGCAGACAGCTTGCAGTGACCTGTCACCGACTACTAAAGTGGAAACGCCCCCCTCTATTGTTTCAAAGGGGAAGGCTTTCGTGGGCTGGTTTCCGAGTCTGCGGGTTCCCACAAGAAACCACTCGGTTTTTGAGAGATGTTTGAAATGCAGAATGGTTACGTGGATGGTGCCGTTATGGGTCATGTGCTTGTTGTGTTTGTTGTTGTAACATTGTGTGTTGTATCATTGTAACATTGTGGGGTCGCGAAACTTTACAGTGTCTTCAGGGTCTCATCGTGGTGTCATGTCACGGTGTGAGAAAATGTGGTGACCTGGTTGGTGTCAGGTAGTCGTACAACGGTAAATTGAGCAACAAGTTTTCATGATTATGTTAAGTGGGAAAATGTACTTATATTACCCTAGAACAGTAGATGAGTCCTCTTCTCTGTATATTGTTTTGTGTACCAAACTGGGCTAGTCGATTAAGAATATTAAACAATAAATAAATAGCGCAAAAGACCGAGAAGGCTGTGTCTTTGTCTTTCATGCCATGTCGCGGACTGATTTTTTTGACTTGGGGGGATTGAAAAAACGTCCAAATAATAGAGCAGTCTGAACAGTCAGCACATTAAAAAAATTGACTTTATTATGTCTAGACAGGCTTCAAAAAGCCATCAATATTGCCTTGCTTCAGGTTACACCTCCGCTTGCGTTCGGCCACTCTCTATTAGCTTGAGAATTGCTGCATTTTCGAGCATTATGGTTGAGTACTTTCCACGTTTCTTAGTGAAACTTCGCGGCGGTGGAAGAACAGATTGGGCCATGACATCCAAGCCAGCATAGTCTGAAAACATGATTCACCGAGACTAGATTTGAGGCTCAAGGCCACGACTGCAGAATGGCGAATGAACAAAGCAAATTGGAAACATTGATGATGATAATGACACGCAGCTAGAGAGAAAAAAAGGCTCGAGGTACACCTAAGCACTTCTTATGAGTCATGAATGCAAAAGCACACACGCTGCTCTTCGCTCCCTTCTTTAATCTGCGGCATACAATGCACTGACCTTGGGCGTGGAACGGTGGAGCCACTGCCTCGCGGACATGCAGCGCCATCGGGTGAGCGATTGTTCAAACTGCGTGTGCTTTGCGGTGCGAGGATGGAACAGACAGCAACATATTTCTCAGCAGAACGAACCCCTTGGTTTATTCCGTGTGCCGTATATGTTGCCACGCGCCGTACAACCGATAAGAGGCGAGCGAACGCGGTGATCAGTGATAACACAACAGTGTGATCACACAGTCAGAATGACACAACGGAAACTGTCGCGCAGCGGCCAATGGGACCGAAGTATAAAAGGTGCCGTTGACTAGCTTTGTGCATGGTTTCATTAAGGGGAGGCACTCCCTTGGAGGGTCTACTTTTTAAGTATTTGTGCCAGGTCAATGAAATTTTTAGGGTATGTTAAACGTCAAAACTTAGGAGGCTACACCAACTTTCAACCCAAAAGGTTTATTTTTTGACAAGTTACAGCCTTATTCGCCGAAAAAAATGTACATGAAGCAGTGCCAAAGGAAAAAAACTATTGTTTCAAAATATGAATAAAAAGGCACAATTTCTTTGTTGGGATATATCGCTGAATGACTAAACTAATCGGTAGTAGGCTTGAAATAATTTTTAAGGCCATATTTCACGTAAAAATTAACTTTCAATAATGGTATGAATTTTTAATTTTTTTCTTGTTTCACAAACGTGAACATTTTTGTGTGAAGAACTAACAATTTGCAAAAAGTAAGCGCATAGCCGAGTTCTCCAGTAAATTTCATGCCAAAAAAGCCCTACATTAGACTTGGGGGTGCTTAACTCATCGAACGATAGTTTTAGAGCTGTGAAAAAATGGTGAAAACATGAAGCTGAGAAAAACGGGTTTGAAAGTTCGAACAGTGTTTTAGTTTAGATGGGGCTTGCCATTTCATCTAAAATGCTCCAGGGGCATATGTCACTCCTTCCTCTGCACGGTCCCTCTGTGCCTTGGCCACAGCTTCCATCTTCCTTTTTTTGTGGGACATCTTGGAGGACTCGAGCGCTTTCACTTGGGCCTTCGCAACCTTCATCTTGGTGGCCCTCTCTCCGTATGACGCTTGGTAGCTCCCTGGCTGTATGCCTATTTCCAACAGAGCTTCCTGATTTGCTAGGACGAGCCACGTCACGTGGCTCGTCCTAGTGAATCAGAGCTCTTGTTTCGCCAGCTTGACCAATAAGAGCGTGCACAGCTATGTTTTTTACGGAGTTTTACGGTCTGTGAGCACGATATTGCGAACAATGCTGCGAACAGAACGAAAGAGGGCGAGACGCTCATTCCAACGAGGGGGGCCTGTCCATGCTAGTCTTAAGAAACGCGGAGGGAGCGCGCTTTGAAAATGGCACATTTTCGTAATCGGCCGCGTCGTTGGCGCGCACGTGCAGCCGCTAGCACTTCGGAAATAATTTATTTCGGAGTAAATACTTTACTTACAGGAATAAAATTTTTGGACAGCATTCTTTATGAGTTGTAAAAGCTGGTCAGCCTATTTTCCAAAAATGTGACTTTTTTGAAAAAATCGCGATTCCTAGGCCGTGCCTCCCCTTAAGGTGCCGTTTTGCATGGTTTCAAAGCTGATGACGTCGGCTCACTCCATGAGACAGTTGATGCTTTCGCTTTACAAAGTCGTAGCATATGTCACCTAGCGGTACGACCTAGTAGTACTCAAGTAGTGCTGCCAAACCAAGCCACCAAGCCAATGGCCGCTTCTCGGTGGTGTTTCCTGTTTATTACTCACTATGATTTCGTCATAAAAATCATATTTTCAGACTTCAAGCTGTCCAAAACATGGGTTGTGAATATGCACTATTTATATTGAATAGGTCACGGTTCCTCCGTTGGGACTGAAATATCGAACAAGTCCGAATTATCGGCTTCAGAAAAAATGGTCGGCGACTGTAATTAAATTTCTTGCTATGTAAGGGGACGGAATGTGACAGAAGGAGGTTTTCCTCTCTCCACACGAGCCAAATGCGGGAGACCCGGTTTCTCTTTGTTACTTTGGGGAATGGAATGTTCCTCAATCAACTGAGGTGAACTCTCTGTGCGTGATGCTTTTAGGGCCCCGTACCAGCAACATTTCTTGTTTCTATCTTTCCCGCGCTCGGCGAAATGCGAACCAACTTGCTCGGATCGAAGCGCCTTTTGTCGCTGACTGGCGGCTGCGTGCAAACCTCGCAGGGCTGTGGTCAGCTACCCCTGTGCGGCCTGGGACCCTCGGCCGTGTGGCTTCGCTGGCTGGAGCTCCGCCCCCCCGAGACCGCCTCTGCCGCGAGGGACGAGAGCAGCGACGAGTCCACCGTCATCTCTTCGCGGACGTCCACCCTCACCAGGAGTCCCGGTAGGCTCTCGACACGGAAGTCGTTTAACCCCGAACCAACACCGGTTGTAGTTTCATACTTCCTACGTCGCCAACAAGAGGCCAGCATGGGGTCGAGATTGGGTGCCGCGTCAGCATTTGGCTGGCACTCATGATCACGCGAGTCCCCGCCGAACGCCGACCCAGCAGATTTGTTCAGACTGTGCCGCACCGTGGCCTCCGGTGGGTGACGTAGAAAAAACGGGCTGAATCAATCTTCAGCATTTCCCGAAGGCGATCTAAATGCTCGGCATTTATAGCGCCTCTTGGCACACCCCCTTTGGCAGACACAGTAGAGGCCAGTGAGGGAAACATTACGGGGGATGTGACCCCATCACGGGGGATGTGACCCCATCACGGGGTCACATCGTGCGGTTACGTGACACTGTGGCGTCTCGTGACATTGCGGGGCCGCCTGACTTCACGACGTCACGTTGTGTGACACTGTGACGTTATAGTGTCACGTGACGTCGCGGATTTGACCACGCTTTGCATTTAAGACGCCTTTGGCACAATGTCACAGCATAGCGTGATATTGAGACATTGTCGAAGCTACGTCCACAGACATGAAATGCCTAAGAGCCGGTCCTATAAATGTTACGCGTTTATTGCGGCACTGCGGCGTTGCGATCAAGAAGTTGTCGTGCGCGCGCCTGCTCCTGCTTCCCCTGGAGAAGGGGTGGCTAATGAATGTACCTCTCACTCCGTCGCAGAGATGCGTTGCCGCAAGGATCCAGCGGACGAGCGGGGCGGCCGGCAGTCGCCCTCTCCCCTGGCGGAGGAGGAGGAGGCGGTCTCTCGCTGTGACAAAGAGACCAACACAGAGTGTGTGTTCCTGCCCGAGGGGCGGAGGGGCCGCAAGGGCGTGGCGGGAGACCCGGCGGCCGCGCTGCACGGTCCTCTAGCGCCGCAGGTCCCCGTCAAGAGGTCGCAGACCTTCGGGCCTGTGGGCCACCGCTACGTCTGCAGGGTGGGCTGGCTTTCCTCCATTCTCACTCTCTCTCGCTCACTGTCATTCTCACTCACACACACACTCATTCTCTCGATCGTTCTCACTCACATTCTCTTACAGTAGACTCTAATTCACTGAAACTCCAGGCAGCCACAAATTTTGTTTGAATTATCAGGAATTCATCTAAATATGATGCGGGATAATATTACGATTTGTCACATGGATGGCTGCGTATACTAGCAGATATTTGATGAATTCCTTCACACAGGCCTACTAATCACAAGCATGAGATATGTTATGAGATAAGTTATTGTCTCATTATGTTATTGATAAGATATGTATGAGATAAGTTATTGTAGTTAATTTCGTGGAGATCCCGAACGTTTCTATTACAGTAATCCCTCGTTATAACGAAATCACTTTTTTTTTAATTATCTATTTTACGGAATTTCAATGAGGTTCCGACCAAAATGCAAGCGTTTTGAACGAGATTATTCTAAGTGTATCGGCGGCCGGTCACACTCATTACGGAGGCCGAGGTGTTGAAAGCACGTGAGCCTACGCGGAGGCGCAAGGGAGACCCTTGCTTTCCCTCCCCGTTCTCCACCGAGGCAAGCGGCAAACTGGATAAATGGCAAACAAGAAAACGGAGCAAACGGGTGACGGAGAGCAGATCGCACATAGCGCCGTTTCCGATGCCGTGTGCCTATGTGCCGACGCGAGTAGGGAGCAGCGTCCACGTTCTGACGCTACTCACGGTGCCTGCAACTGACGCTGCCTCATGGCTGCTTCGCTCCTGTCAGAATCGGGTCAAGGGAGCGATGGAGCCCGGAGGAGACCATCTTTTTGGGAGCCCCCAAGGCATGCACCTCGCAGGCGCATCTGCAGCGTACACGTGCGTCACATGGGAGTGGGAGAGTGTTCGCCGATAGTCGCTTAGACCTGCGAGGTTCACAAAAGCGGTCGGCCCAAGTCCGAAATCGACAAAGAATTCGACATTCTGGCATCGGCTTTTTGACGCTGTCCACTGTTTTGAAGAACAAGCAATGCTTACTAGACGGGTTGGAGAAGAGTTTCTCATGCAAGAGAAAGCGCGCCCGCAACCCAAAGTTGAAAGGTCGCCAACTGCTTCGTGCACGTCGGATTTTCTCTCGTGAGCATGCTTGCCGTGGCGCACCATTCGCGGGGCTGCAACGATCTCTATGAGAGTGTGTGCAAACATGTTGCTGAAGCCACCGGGGATAACTTCGATTCGTTCGCTGGTCGATGCGGACATTCCCGTTGTATGTGCCGCAGATGCTGCGATCGTAAACCTTCCCTGCGGCCAGGGTAAACACAAAGTGGCGTCGGAGAGGCGCCTTGGGAAACGCCGACGATCGTGGAGACTCGAAACATTTTACGGAGGCTTCGAAACAAAGTGGTGCGCAGCGGCAGGGAGAGCGTTCTTGCGATGCCTGGAGCAGTTTGAGGAGAACTGATGTTCAGCTGGAGTTTGCTGAAGTTATCAGCAAACTCCACTTACAGTGCAACCCACTTATAACGATACCACATATAATGTTGTACCACTTATAATGATCACTTTCTAGAGTTTCTAGACTGGAAATGATCAGTTTCTAGAGTTTCTAGACTGGAAATGATCAGTTTCTAGAGTTTCTAGTCTGGAAATGATCTATTTCCAGTTCAGATATTACGATAATCGGTTATAACGGTTGAAATTGTGGGTTTTCTCATTATTGTTATAAGTGGGTTGCACTGTAATTACTTTTTTTACTCGGTAAAGTTGTCGCAAGTCGTTCATAACCAAGGTTTGTTTGATTAAATATACGGTCAGAGCGTTTTGCAGTGTTTACGTCCACGTTCAAGCCTGCTGTTAGCTTTTTTTTTTGGCTCTCACTTTTATTGAATTATTGCTTATACCAAATTTTTTGCCGTCCCGTCGAGTTCGGTATAACGGGGGATTACTGTATATTGCTCTTTTTAGGTGCATTGTTCATTATATTTCGACAAAAACGTGCTCTTTTTAGGTGCATTGTGCATTATATTTCGACAAAAACATAAAATCTTTGGGTGTTGGAGACATAATACAGAAATTATTGTTTGGAAACGGCGTTAGACAGCACATCCTGGTGTCTGCTCCAAGGCGCAGAAAGAGGGGAGTGTCATGATCGTTTATAAAATTGTAAATAAGGAAGTTGGCCACCCACGAGTGTAATTTGTTTTTTTTTTGTTTTTAGGATGGTTAGAGCCTGTAGATTGACTATAAATAGACAATTCCAGAATCCACTTTAAATTATAACATACCGTAAAATCCCAAGAGATGCCCCACCTCTGAAAGGTAACCCACCCCTATTTTTGGCTTGATTTGCATGGCCCACTCCTGACGATCATAGTGTTCAGATCAATGATGACCTTGTTGTAAGTGCGTCTAGTTAGCTATGGCGGGGCATAAGCGAACATTGCTGACTGGGAAGCAATCATCTTTGCTTCATTTCCCCTCGCCGCGATAATAAGATTGACAGAGACACATAATCTAAAAATAGCATTTTTTTTTTCAACTTTTCTTGATTGCACATAGAAAGTACTCCTTATTTTAACCAAATTTTCTCTCGATTTTAGATGGGCTATTTCTTAAGATTTTACAATACTAATAAAAAGAAAAAAAAAACTTTTTTTTTTTCACATTTTTGTTTTGTTTTATGAAGAGTTGCATTATATTTGTTGTTTCTTTCCATAGCTGTTTGATAGAGGTGTCATACTGCTTGTTTCACTAAATAACTGGCCATTACCATTTTTGGATTATTGCTTCCTTCAGCAGGTGCAGTTTGTAAAAGTATTTTTATTTGACCTACTTCTATGTAACTCACTGCCACGAATATACCTTGCAATTTTTAATACAAACGAAGCTAACAGATTAAAAGTTTTCTTTTAGGAGTGGTGTCGTCCCTTGAGCCCTAGGGGGGCCAGTTTTGTTAATCAGTGTTTTCCCATTGCACATTTGGTTTTGCAGTTGAATCGCAGCGACAGCGACAGTGCCATGCCATTGTACCGGAAAAGCGGTCCCTTCCAAAGGAATGCAATGGAGCGCAGAAGCCTGCGCTGTAAAAAGGTAATGGATGAGTCCCCTTTCTCACTGTTTCTTCAAATAGCTTTTTTTTTTTTTTTTCTTTTCATTAGTTTTGTAGTCATTCAGTCATCAAATAGCAAGTTATGACTAAAATGTTTCCTATGATTATAATAAGGTGGAGAACTGGGCCAGTTGGTTGACGTTATACATGATGGGGAAAACAGTTTGAGGAAAACAGTTACTTCCTATGATTCATTGTGTTCAGTAGAAATGTAAGAATGTATAATGGAAGTGAGATTGTAGTTTGTGCGAGCAATGTGTACTATGTTCTGTTGATGAGCGAGATTTTCTTCTTCTTTTTTTTTTTCCTTCCTTTTAATGTACTTGTCTTGCCACATAAAGATTTGTGACATTAATGTCAGGAGGAATCGCTCGATGGAACATAGTCATTATAGGTTATGTGATCACTCAACTACTGCAGGTGACGTCGGATCCACCACAATTACGTGTGATCACAGTACACGGTGATTAATTGGGGTCTTCATCACATGACACCCTGGTGACGCATGGGACCACTGTTAGGTCAAGGGTGTTGCACAGCCACCACCCGTCAAACTCGGTGGGAAAAAAATTGTAGGAGGACGCTTAAGCTTCGCCTTTAAGAGTGGAACGCGACAGCTAAATATAAACCTCCGCTTGTTCCCAAGCCATGCAAGCGTGTCTGCGTGGCTTAGTTGGTAGTGTGTCTGGCTTGCAACCAAATGTTCGTGGGTTCGAATCCCACCTTTGCCTAAAATTATTAAAGTGAAATCATTTGAGACATGTGGTGACCTTTAAATCACATTACATGTGATGTTTCAATCACTTTCCTTTTATATGTGACGTCACGTGAGTGTTGGGGGTTGTTTGAAATTCTCGCGGCGAGGTCGCGTGGCTACGACGTCGCGGCCCTATCGACCAATCGGGATTTTCCCGTCCCATGCCACCGACGCCGGCTTTTCAGCGACACGAGCTCCTTAGAGCTGCCGCTTTAATATGTACCGCCCTATAAAGGCCCGCTCACACATACCACACTGCAGTGCTAACTGAGCACTGTAGACCACTGCTCTGACTTTGTGCTATGTCAGCGCTCCGATGCATATGGCTTCACCTTTTCCTGCTCACACACACAGTCGAGTGCTAATCCAGCTCTGAGTCAGGGTTCACACACACTACACCACGGAGCTATTTCGGCGAGTCGGCGCTGGAAGTAGCGCCGCCTTTGTGCAATGTTAGAGATACATTACTGGGTCAGTGCTAAGCTCCATTCAAGTCGGCACCAGAACAGTGCTGTTTCCGGTGTGATTTAGGGCTGCAATGTATGTGTGAACTGGCCTTCAGCGCTGGCAGTATCGCTGATGAAGCGCTGACTGTGTTATCTTAGTGCCCAGATACACGTACGAGCCGGCTTTAAAAGGAGCAGACTGCGATGGTTTCTGATTTGCTTCAAAATTGTCTGAACATATTGATAGACAAAGGTATTGAGTTTTTAAATTTGGTTCTTGTCGCTTTTTCAAATTGTTTGGCTCTACTGGCAACACTGAAAATCTGACAACAGATGTTGTAATTTGGGAATTACATCTTGTTCCTGATTAGGTACTATCGCGGACAATATGAGTTGAAACGGCGCTCCGGCCTGTACACGGTACTACCTGCGCCACCTGTCGCATCGCTCCCTAACCACGGCACACCCTGAGGCCGAGATAAATTCTCACTTGCGCTCACTGCGCCGCTGCGCTCTTCCGGCCGTCTGCTAGCGAAAATATTGGCCGACGGAACCACCATCAAGTTTTCAGCTAACATGCATTTCAGTGCATTTCAAGAAAACGCCGATGTGAAAAATGCTCTGTCACGCTCGTATCTCCTCGAGGAGCGCTGCCTGACGGAGCTGCCTTGGCCTCCAAAAGGAGCAAATCTGAATATCATTGAAAACATTTGGAAGCGCATCAAGGTAGCCATGTCACGGCGTCCCCTCCACCGCGCCACTGCCCACAAATCGTGAAAAGCAATCGGAGGTGAATGGGAGTGGCTTCGGACTGAGCCAGATTGCGTGGCCGCCTCCTATGATTTCTTACCAGACAGTAGGAGTGCCGTTGTCGCGGGTCAGGGGAGAATGACGCGGCGATAAATTATTTTGCAAGTTTTACTGCACCTCAGGACCCCCTGAACCGGACTTCTGCCAATTGAAACCAAGCTTAATGCAACGGTTGCGACACTTTGTTTGACGACTTTAACCACGCATACTTTTGTGGGGTGCTCCTTTATCCCGATCATCTTGTATAGTGCAGTTCAACTTCCACGCCGACTATTAATATTTTGTGTCTGACATTGTCCTCTGCCAATATTCTTTTCATCAAGTTTCAGTCTCCTTCTCCTGACAAATATACAAATGTTTTTCCCACTTTATTAAAACTAGGAATTTGTAAAAAAAAAGAAACTAAAAAAAACTGGCGTCTTGTCAGCAACTTGTTTTGTTTGGAACAAGCACATAGGCACAGTAATAAAGAAATAATATTTTTGAACTTTTTCATACCAATCAAGGCTACAAAACCTTTTCAGTAACATGTATGCTTACCGTTTTTTGTTTTTTTTTGAACATATGTGATTAATGAAAAAGAGAAAAGAAAAAAAACCTTGGAGCCGGACTAAATCCGGCATACAGATTTTGGCCTATATTTTACGATGTTCTACTTTGCGCATGCCCCTATAATGAAACAAAAGCCACCTGCAATATCCTTTTGTGTGACCTTCAAAAACGATAATCACAGCTGAAATTCGAGACACTTCAATATTTTGAATATAAAAACACCAGTCAGTGTTTTTTCTACAGGATTCTGTGCGATAGAGTAAAGTAAATCAATTCCAAAAGAGGGACGACAAGTGTAATCTTTTGTTCCCCTTGCCGCCCTACTACACACATGCCCGCTGTCGCACCCGCCGTCTAGCTTGCAGACAGCCTGAAGAGCGCAGTGGCGCAGCGAGCGCAAGTGAGAATTCATCTCGGACTCGGGGTGCGCCATGTGTGCGGAGCAAGGCGATAGGCGGCGCAGGTAGTACCGTGCGCCGGCTGGAGCGCTGTTTCAGCTCATGTTGTCCGCGATAGTACAAGTTTGGTGGTGTGAAATGAATACTTGAAAAACTCACTCCAGCACATTGGAAAAAAAAAAAAAAAAAAAAGGATGTGCTTTGTCTATTAGACTGCCTGCTCGACCTGCAAGTTTTACATTGTGTGATGTCATGTCCGTGGAAGGTACAAGGAAATTTGGATGCTTGTTTTGATGCCGCCTTCAGTTGCCGGTTTGTCAATACATAGCTAGTGTAAATTCAGAGGTAATGGATAGCATGCTGGGCAGAGTTAATTACGCATGGGTGTTTAAAAAATATGGCCATTCAGGTAGCTCGAAACACTGCTGCAACACTCCTTTGGCGGCTTTTTCGGCCTGGAGCAGAGTGGTCGTCGCTAACGGCAACGGCCCGTCTTTGGGGAACGCAGGCGGCGGCTGCGGCGCAGGCGGGGGTGCAGCCTCCCAAGCGTCACAACGGCGGTCGGACCTCGCTGGACCTTGCCCTGGACCTGCAGGCTTCTCAGACGAGCCTCCAGTTGCTCCAGCAAGACCTCACGAGGCTCCGGGAGATGAAGCGGCGCCTAGAAGACACAAGGGCGAGAGGTGCGTTTGCCGCTCTTCCCCGCTTCGGGCACCTTTCGTTCCCTGGCATTTATGGGACAAGCTCTCGGGGCTTTTGCATCTGCTCTGGGACGTAGCCTCCACCGCGTCGGAGTGTCACGCGATACCATGACGTGACATTGCAATATCACGTCGCGTCACTTTGTGACATCACTCGACACTGTGACGTCACACGGCACCGTGACGTCACACGGCACCGTGACATCATACGGCACTGTGACATCACACGGCAACGTGACATCAAGCAACGTGATGACATGACACCTTGACGGCGTTATGTACCGTATAATCGCGTGTAAGGGCCACACCCGTGCAAGGGCCGCACCCCCGTATTTAAAACAAAATATTGCAAAAAAAAAAAAAAAAATTAGAGAAATTATTTGTGTATGCGCCACACCCTCTTGTTTTTGAGGCACGCCGACTGTAATGCCAAGTTTTTATGAATATATATCGCTAAGTGGCGCTAGCCACCACCCGGGCACGTAGCGGAACGTCTCCGCATTCCCGATATTTGCTCTCCACTCATCCGTATCACCATATGGCACAATGGCTGCCAACCTCGATCGTGATCGGCCGCACCGTCAAGATGCGTTTATGTTGCGGCCGGAAGACATTGAGAAAAGATAAAGGATATGTCAGCTTCCGTGGCAAGCGTGAGGAATGGGGATTCAGCGGGCTCGGCTCGCGCGTGCACTCAGGTTTCCGAACGCCACTGTACGCTCTGGGGAGGTTTCCTTTTGTTCTTCGATTCGTGTCAAAGCGTCGCGATTTGTCTGCCTTTTCGCGCAATCTGAGAGCTATGGGCAAGTACCACTTCAACAGTCATACGGGATTCAAGTCGAAAGTTGCCACGCATGCTATCGAGTACCAAAAAAAAAAAAGATGCGTATTGCGCAGTATGCAAACTAATTAAATCTGACTGACGATTCAGTCTGGATTCCGGAGTGAAGGCGTTTTTGACCAGTCCAGCCGAGCGCGCTCATGTACGTTCATTTCGAAATATGGATACAGATTTTTTTTTTTATCCGTGTATGTATTTTGAAAATTTGCCCTCAAATCGGGAAAAAATAGTGCGGCCCTTACACGAGTTTATACGGTACTCGCAAAATCCTGGCAACATGCCCTTCAATGGCCTCCTTACTGTGCCAGCAGAAAGAGGCCCTATCAATCCTATGCATTTAGAAAACCTTAACCAAATGCCAGACACAGCTAATTTTTACTGTAAAATCCCATAAGGGCGCCCTCTCCCGAGAGATTACCCATCCCAATTTTAGCTTAATATCTGTAAGGTAGTGACTATTTCGACGTCCACTTTCAAAATAATTTCAAACATTATTTTGACATTCGTGACGCAACTTCCTGAAGACGCGAAAACATCTTCAAGAACATTTTTACGTCTTCCGTCAAAATATTTGTTGCTCCTTATTTTGACATCTCAAACTTAGAACTTTTGAGCTTCGGAATTCGGACTGAAAGGTGATCGAAAGTGGCGGTCAAACAAATATCATCTTCCTTGAAGGCGGCGTTGCGGTTCAACTTGCACTTTTTGAAAACAAATGTGCAGTCGACTGCAGATTTTATGACCTCTTAAGTGATGTGAACTGCAAAAAAAAACTTCTCCCAGTACAACATCAGCTATCAGGTCGTGCAAACATTTGCTTGGTTGTAGCCCACATTAAAGAATGCGGCACCTTTGCGTTTTATGATATATTTCATGTTTTTATATAGAAGGACCTGGATATCATGTCATAAAATTTGCCGTTGATTGAAAAATATGTGTATCTCATACAACCACGCCAGAACCGTTGTTCGTTCGCACCAGTCAAGAAACATCAAGGAGGCAATGTTTGCATTCACAGCTTTTCATTTACCATCTCGATTGTTTCGTAGTTAACCCGCTCGTTTTAAAACGGACCGAAATGAAAAATAAATCTAACTAAATAATGAACTCTCGTAACCCGGTTAAAAATAAGGCTGGAGCCAGATGCACCCTATGAAGACACGCTTGCACAATATAGAGGCACTCAAAGTTTGCCAAATTTCTGTGTCACATAGTGTACGCACTTGCACGACGTTGCTTACAGGCAAGGTGGAGGGATATTCAGTTCGCCCTTATTGTAGATTCAAAATTTTAAGTGTGGCGTGTGTCGAAATGACGTGCTAGAGTTCGGTACATCGCCATGTCACTTCCCAAAGTATCGACCGTCTAGCCAGTTCCACTCATACGCTGAATGAGACGTTTCCAGTGCCAACTAGGACTCAAACTTCTTAGGCATGCAGCACATGAATACGTCAACATATCAACACAACACCGACAACACCATCAGAAACTAAACAGAATGAAACGACAAAACGGCTGCTACTGCGACGGCTGCTTTGATGGGGACGGGGGATTTCGAAATAATAAACCTGATGAAGCCACTATTTTGAAATTCTACTGAAGGATGTCATAGACGTTGAAATAATTTAAAGGTATTTTGATGGTGGATGTTGAAAATAGTTGCTGCCTATTCGTAACATAAAAATCCCGAAACATCGCCCTCCCCCCCCCCCCCCCCCCCCCTCGATTCCCAAACTGCCCGCCCTCTAGTCTCGCAGCTGGTGAGATTCTTTTCGGACATCGGACGCATGAATTCCACGATCTGCGTTACCGGTACAAGTGTCCTGTGGTACCGGTCTCGCGTTTTTTTCTGCAATCTGTGTGCTCAATGTTGGTTTACATGGCACGCACGTTTGTTGCCGGTTTTTGCATGTTTATTGCACCATGAAACACGAATCTGCTGCATCTGCAGTCTGCGGTACAGTCGACTTTCATTAATTCGACTTATTTTTTAATTTGACCCTGTTTAAAGGTCCCGGCAAAAGCCCATACATTTCCATAGAAAAAAACTAAAGTTGTTTACAACTTCCTGTAACACTGAATTAGAGCGCAGCTCTTGAGGAGGAGGAGGAGGAGGAGGAGGGAAGGGGGTCATGTGACGTCACCGAGGTCACGTGACATCACCGGGGTCACGTGACCTCACAGTTACGCCGACGGCGATGCCGCTCAAGCCGGAAACGGGCGCCTAAGAGCTGCGCTTTCAAAAAAACTCGTTATTTTGATCTTGAAATATAAAATATTGGTTAATACGACTCAGAAAGAACCGGCAATGGGAAAATTGCTAGCACGATTGGTCGTGCGTGACGCACAAAAACTGGCCTTTTTTTTTTTTTGAATTACGCGGTGAGCAAGTTACAAACGCGATTGGCCGCGCCCATCGGCGAATAAACGCTTTTTAAAATTTTGAGGTGAGCGCCGAATCGCGAAGGGAGAGAAAAAGAGAGCACATGTTGAGACACGGGACACAACCGGGTCTCAGCACAAAACCATTACAACACCCCTGCGGAGCAGCAAGCGCTCCTACGCAGCGGCAGTAGCGCTGGCCGCCAATCACCGCCGCCGCCGCACGTGCAAAGGACATTACAAGGCCGCTGCCATTGCCGTGCGGTGGCTCATTATAGAAGTTTTGGCCCAAACTTACCTAAAGCGCCGGATATTCAGTATTTCGTGCACACCTTTTAATTCGGCTTTCGTATAATTTTACCCCATTTCGCACGTCCCAACAAGGTCAAACTGACAGGAGTCGACTGTACCCTTTCTTGTGGCACAGGGGTTTGTAGTGAATTCCAATCTGTTTATCGCATAGCGTTGTCAAACCCAAATTTGCCGTGTCTGCGATGTGCAGTGTCAGTTCCTGTGTGACATAGGAACTGACACTGCATATCACAGACACGGATTGTAGCAGGTGCCCCTTTGTTTGTCATTAATGTTTGACAAAAGTTTGGTTGTGCCATCTTCAAAGATGGCTCACCTCATGTTTCTCACCCTGTATCTCTTCATTTTGGATAGGCGCCCCTGCAAGAATTTACACTACTCAGTTCACTCGTTCGTTTTCTTCTTTTGGGGCCAACGTTTCTGTAGGTCGTGAATAGGGTTCTGTGTTTCTGTTATATAACAATCGACCCCTAACATTAACTTCCGAGCGGGTTTCATCAGAGCCGGGGGAAACAAAGAAAAAAAAAAATTAATTGGAGCTGTTCTTGAATCAAAGAAACTTAAGCTTCACATTAGTAAATTTTTTTTAACAGCAGTTTTATTCTGCATTGACTTAGAACACAGCCTGCACTGAATCGTTTGCGAAGCCACTTCTTTTTTTTGGGAACCATGCCGCTCATCTCTCTCTCTCTCTCTCTTGTTGCTGTGTTTTTTAAGTATTCAGATCAACGGCGTGTTTCCTGGGCGTTGGGGAAGCCTGTGTCCTGGATTGTTTGAGAAAAGCACCAATAAGCTGAGACTTTTTTTTTTTTTTTTGTCCAATACTGAAATTTGACACCAAAATTTATTGAAACTACAAACCCTAAAAAAAAGGCCCCTAAATTCAAGAAAAAATAAGTCTCGAAAATGAAAATTCCACGTCATGCAGAAAGGGCGAAGAGATGCTGTTGTTGTTGCAGCGTGGCTAATGAGCGGCATAAGTTCTGCGCGTATCTCTTTCTATGACGACGTAGTGATGATTCTGCAAACCTTTGGAGATGTGTGACGGCTTAAAGATTTTGCGTCTCTTCTCGATCGTGATGGTCTGTATAACTGTTTTTGTTTGTCGCAGGTGAAACCGAAGTTCCGGCATGGTTGGCAGACGACGAGCAGTTACGCCAGGTCTTGGCCGCCGCGGACCGTCAGGTACGTTTTGTTCAACGTTTCAAGAGGACTCTGCCATTTGCGATTGAATGTCAAAATCTGGAAAGTGAGCGCGCGGGTCCCAATTATGGACGTCACTGGAGTTGCGCGCTTCGGCAGTTCGTTACAAATACAATATCGAACAAACTTTCTAAACTTCAAGAAAGTGTGTTGGAATGACGCTTGAAGTCCGAGGTACGAAATTCTACCGACTTCATCGGGACAAAACTGTGGCAGGGGTTTATTTGGCTGGAGTGACCTTTTATGTGGTAAAGTAAAGCCGACTTTCCGTCCACTCAACTTTTTTGTGGAGTGTTTCCCGTATAAAACCTGTGAGGATTAAAGCACCGAAAATACAGTGGCCAAGTAGGCACGCGCACCAAGTGCTCGGTGGGTACATCTATCTTCTACTTGGCCGTTGTTTTAGGCCCTTTAATCTAACAGTATGCAACGTCAGCCAGCTTAAAAAAACATTGATTTCTCAAAAAATTAATTTTTTTAAAGGTCCTGGATAAAACATGTATATCACAAAGTGAAGAGACCCCCCCTTCCCCTCCATTCCCACAACAATTTAGTGCAATATGGGTGATTGCAAGACACGCTTTTATTTCAAGGTTCACGGCTTGACCTTGAAATAGAAGCATGAAAAGGGGTCTTTCTGAGACACTAGAGAAGGGGGACGGCTCGTGTCGGAGGCCAGAAAACCCAACTGTCCTCGCTTATATTCTCGTCGTTTAGACAGCGACGGGAGTGACCGACTGTGCACTGCCTTAACTGAGCATCGTCTGCTCTGCAGGCCACCCGGCAGACGGTGGAGGAGAAGAAGACCGAGAAGTTGCTCAAGAAGACGTCGAGGGAAATATACCGGTTGCGCAAAAGCCGCAAAAAACAGCCGGACATGGCTTTCTTCAGGTGAGTGTCTTGCTCGCTCTGCTTTGTTCCTCGCCAAATTACATCGGTTCCGCCCCGATGACGAACCGATATCCGAGCATCCCACGGATGTGTGGTGCCGTCATAGAAGCCCATTCACAGATGCACCGCAGCACTATTAGTTGGCACCGGAAATAGCGTGGACCTTGCTGATGCAGTGCCGACTTCACCCTATGTTAGTGGTACCCTATGTTAGTGATACAGTGCTGCGTCGATGCTAAGTTACGTTCGAGGCAGCGCTGCATCGGCGCTTTTTATAGTGTTGATGTAGTGCTGTGACGAGAGTGTGAATTTGCCTTTTTCCATACTCTAGGAGAGGCAGGCACCAGTGCACTGCTCGCGCAGACTCGCAGTGGGGTTGTTGCACTTGCAGGAAGACCACTATTCCCACGATGCGTGGCAGCAGAGGTGGCATAACGGAACTGGCTCGTGGGACTGGTCTATTGGCGACGTGTGCAACTTAAAGTGTCACCGTGGTCAGGGCAAAGGAAGTGCAACAATAATTTTGATAAAGCCTTACCTGGAGGCTAATAAATATGACGCCGGGCAGATTCACAGTTATTCCTACTTTTGTGCTACAACCAATGCTACTAGATGAACTCAGTTGCAAAACTCGCATAGAGGAGGTACCCCCCTCTCCCCCTCCACTTTGCCACCTGTCGTTCGAAGCTCCATCTAGAGGCCGCATTCCAAAACTATGCGTTCCATAGTGGATAACCTACATTACAGAGGGTTTCCAACTACTTGATCAAGGTCGCGTGGTTTATGGACCACGTTTGTAATACGAGCTGCGAGAAGGTGACGAACGCATTGGTCATCTGCGGTGCCTCCGCCTTTTTGCTCGCTCCTCTCCTCGTCACGCGAAACCGCTGCGCACGCGCACTTGCAACTAATTTTCGCTGGGGGCATCCGCCCTCGAGCTTCAAATGATCATCCCTGTGGTTTGAGACAAACTTTCTCTACTTCTAAACTGTCGATTCCATAGATTATGGTGAAGCGCCATCTAGACGGTCTGTTTCAAAACCCTTTTTTTCCGTAGAGAACATTGGTCACCGTATGAGCCGTCAACAGTACTGTGGTGCTTCGAACGACAAAAGGGAGGGGGTACTTCTCGTGGAAGCTGAGTCTGCAAGCAGTTCCGTAACTGGGCCTATCTCGTACGTTGGCCATTGCTTAGTGCGGCATGGACCGGCGTTATTCGAGTCACGTCGTTGCCGACACAAGTTCACAGATTAAACGTAGTCTCGAGAAATTCAACAGTGTGGATGGTTTGTTAATAGCAAGGTGCCGTTGTATGTTTGTTGCCTTTGTGTTTTTACAGTCCATTCTGCACATTCTTCTTTTTTTGATCAACTTAGCATCCTTTTTTTTTTGTCTGCTTTTTTGCATAGTGCGCGTTACACAAACAAAAACTACCGCACAAGTTGAACCAAGCGAAATTAATTGGTTTACACGTGGCTCCTCCCATCTTTGCACAGGGAGAAAATGGCGTTTCTGACGAGGGCGCAGTCTTCCGTACCCACGCTGCCCCCAGAGTCGGAGGTCACAGAGCCACCCACCGTCGACGCATCGGCCACCCCAGCGACACCGCGGCGCTACGAATACACGGTGGACCCCGTGTTCGGAGTTCAAGTGTGACGACGACGCCACCGCATGTGCCTCCATCGCGGCCGACCTCACGGCCCCTCCGATCAAACGTGCAGTCCCTGTTCCCGAAGGCGGAGCAGACGACGCACCAAGTGCCTCGCTCCGTTCTTCGGAGCTTGCCCTACGTACCTGAGACCTCTCGGCCGCCGGCCGCTCACGGCTGCGGCTCTGGCCGCGGCGCCCCGGTCCAAGCCGTGCCAAGCCTTGTCCATCCGAGCCGGGCCAACGGCGCGTGGGAAGAGACTCTCCTGGAAGGGGGAACAGCAGCCCGGCTGCATTTCCTGCGTGTCTTGTACCTCTTTACACCGCTGAAGAAGCTACTTCTGCCGACGTGCCTCCTGTAAATTATTTTGAATGTTTTTTTTTTCTTTGTGATAAAGTACAAAAAAGGGACGTGTGGTGTGTCTTGTGGTGCATGGCAATCCAGTATTGTTGCCTTTCTTTTCCCCCTTATTGTTGTTTTAAGAATAGAAGTGCAGCATGTTCCAAAACAAACTTTCAGCGTTTTTTTACCTCGAAAATAAAGTATGCATCGCCAAACGCTTATTTTCCGCCCAAATGTAGCACTCGCAATCCAAACCAGACGCCAAAGCTTCAGAACTAACCGTTATCTCAGTCAAAAGTTCTGATTTTCTGAAAAGTAAATTGTGGCCTGTCTTTGGCAACTGTTACTATTCAGCTCCATACATTTGGGAAGTTTGTTGGCTGCCATTTTTTTGTTGAAAATTTCAGAAAATTGTTTATAACTCTTGAGTAAGATAGTGGTTCGTTCTGAAAGTTCAGCTTCTATTTCGGACGACTAGGGCAACATTTGCGCGGAAAATGAATGTTCGGCGATGCCTTTTTCGATTTGCGGTGAAAAATCTTTCAGCCTTTCCACTGGTGAAGAAGGAAGACCAGCGAAGCTGTACTATGGTGGGAATGATGTAATGGCCAGGCCACAAGTCTGCAAGCCAAACTGGAAAGATTGCGCCATCTATGGGCGATGGCGGCAACCAGACAGTCGGTTGTCTGGTTGCCGCCGTCGCTCATAGATGGCGGTAGCTGTCCAGAGTTTCGTGTCATCATTTGTTCGCTGACGGACATGATACTGAAGAAACTAGCCTTTAACAGCTTTGCTCTAAAAAACTACAATAAATATTTTTGGAGGGGGGAAAACCCTGTACAAACAGCTCAATGACGTGGGCATTGAAGACCGACAGCACTTTCATCTGTCGGTCTTCTTTTGCCCTGTCTATGTCATTGCACTGTTTGGACGAATCGGATGCCCAGTTGCAATTGTAGCTAGTTTTTCTGGTATCTTTCAGGCTACCAGAGATGTCCTATCTTTAAGGACTCTACATTTTGCAAATTCAATATGTCAAATATTTGACGGTTAAGTTCCGAAATTATATGGAAGCTCAAGAGGCACTCTTAACTGTAAGCTGCATTTGGTTGTAACATTTCAACATGATCATATGAAATATATCGACGCAAAGCATTGCATGGCTTCATTGCAAAATGTCGCAAGACGAAGGCAGCAACTTTTTAAACTGCTCGGCGTCAGCTTTTTTCTGCTACATTTTCAGGGCTACCTTAGTTTCCACTGCCCCCCGAACGCTGGCACCACTACGTTGCTTTGTCTTTCCTCTTATTTGCATGTTCTTGTTCAAGTTGGTTTGAGGGTACCCCAGGAACTTTGCTAGCTTTGACAATAAAAGGGTGGTGAGCTGGGCTAGCTTGTAAGCTTTAAACATGGCTAAAATCAGCAAAATAAGATGGGAAACTAGAAGAATACAGGAAGAATGTATGTAGCACAAACTGAACAGTGTTATTTATGATGGGCTATGAGAGCATAACCTGTGCCTGAGATCAACGGAGAGGGGGGGGGGGGTCATCTACCTCTGTACTGTCAAGCTTGTTCTTACAACCCAACTCTGCCTAGTACCACTATAATCGGTCGATATGAGCCATTCCACTCTGAAGGTGGATGACCAGTGAAGCTGTTAAGCGACGTGACAAAATTTTGAACAAAGGTACAAACACATCTATTGTCTTCATTGTGGGTCATCTTGACGAAAAATACGCACACACGCATCGAGGACTATTACCGCCCCGAAAAACAGGAAGAAACTAGACTCGCGACGGGACCACCACCGGGCGGAAGGAAGGGAAACTAGGCACGGAAGCACCTGGAACGACAACAAAGAGGGCAGTGCGAGCCCTCTCGAGTTTTACAGCGAAGCTGTTATACGCTAGGGTCTGGGAAAAAATGCGTCCTCACATGTCGACAGAAAACTCCCCATTGGTCGTGGCAAGTATGAATAAATAAAAACAAAAGGGGCAACCAGCGTGAGTCATGCTTTCTTGGCATTATTAGATAGTGAGGTCCTGATCCCTTGTTATCATCTTTGGGCCTCGTCCTTGAGGTCGTCCTAAAAGTTGTACTTGGGGTCGTCCTAGGCGTTGTCCTCGAGGTCATTTTAGAAGTCCTTAAGGTCGTTCTGGGCGTCGTCCTCGAGGTCGTCTGAGAGGTCGTCCTAGACGTTGCCCTCGAGGTCGACCTAGAAGTCGTCCAAGAGGTCATTCTCTAGGCGCCATCCTTGAGGTCGTTCGAGAGGTCGTCCTAGAAGTTGTCCTTAAGGTCGTCCTAGACGTGGTCCTCGAGGTCATTCTAGAAGTCGTCCTAGGTGTCGTCCTTGAGCTCATCCGAGAAGTCCTCGAGGTTGTCCTAAACTTTGTCCTCGAGGTCGTCCTAAAAGTCCTTGAGGTCCTCTCGGCGTCGTCTTCGAGGTCATCTTAGAAGTCCTGCTAGACGTCTTCCTTTAGGCGTCATCCTTGAGGTCGTTCGAGAGGTCGTCCTAGAAGTCGTCCTTAAGGTCATCCTAGACGTGGTCCTCGAGGTCATCCTAGAAGTCCTCCTAGGTGTCGTCCTTGAGCTCGTCCGAGAAGTCCTCGAGGTTGTCCTAAACTTTGTCCTCGAGGTCGTCCTAAAAGTCCTTGAGGTCCTCTCGGCGTCGTCTTCGAGGTCATCTTAGAAGTCCTGCTAGACGTCTTCCTTTAGGCGTCATCCTTGGGGCTGTCCAAGAAGTCATCTTTGAGGTCGTCCTAGACACCGTTCGTCCTAGACGTCGTGAAGATAACAGCTTCACTGGTCCTCTATCTTCACGTGAAGTGGAAGGGCTCTAAGATTTTTTTGTTGATGCACACGATAAATCCACGGAACCCTAGCCATAAACAGTTTCGCTGTAAAAAAACTCTCCAGAGAAATTTACAGGGCAGTTATTATACAAGGTCTCGGGGATTGCTGTGTGATCGAGCAAACTTTCAGTAGCACTATCTGCAGTGCAGTACAGTTTTTAAACGAGTTCAGGGTCTGTCCCATTCCTGTATTCTTCTACAGTTCCCTTTCCTTTTAGCTGATTTTATTCATGCTTAATAATGCCGTAAAATACCGGGCAAGTGCCCACTCAAAATTTAGAGATATCGCAAAAAAATGGGGGATGGGCACTTGTCTGGTCATCAATTTTACATATAAATGTACTGTGCATATTTTCTCACATCTTACCAATTTGGGTATGGGCGCTTAGTGTAGAAGCGGATGTGCGGTATTCTACGATAGCCTTGATAATGCTTCACAAAAAAGTTGACACTGATAATTTGGAATACAGCAGCTGTATAGACCTTTGCATCGCATATCACCCGTGTAAAAAATGCCAAGTCACAGCTGTGGACGCATGCGCAGCGTCCGATATACTGGACAGCAGATGAACAGCACATGCTTAGAAGGCGTTCCACAGCCCAGAAGACAAGGATGGTAGCGCGCAAAAGTCAATTTTACAGCGAAGCTGTTAAGGGCTAGGTCCCCGAAAAAAATTGGAGTGTGTGTATGTTTATACAGCCTAATAATCATAATAATCATAATCATCTTTATTTGCTCAGGAGAGCCGCGGCACCGCAGAAAGGCAACAGCCCGTACCAAGGAGGCCCGCGGTGCCGCGTCTAGTGAAGAGGATTATGTGATGATGTAATATACAAGATGAAAGTTCTGATGATTAGAATATGTGTGTTAGGCCTAACAGCATTCTTCGCGGTTGTGGTTTGAGGCAGACTAGAACTTAGTCTGCCTCAATGGGTGATTTGTCTCCCAGCTGTAGATAAGAAATTTAGCCAGTGCAATACAACTGCTAGCCTGGGGTCTGAACGTGCACCACGCGCAGTAGCAGGGCCGTAACCAGGGGGTTCTGACCCCCCCCGAAATTTTTTTCTGGGTACGGCCCTGGTCGGTGCACTGGCAGCCAGCCGATTTTAATCTCCACCTCTGCGCACGCGCAGTGGCGCCGGTCGGCTACTGGGTACCAAATCGGGACCGGTTCTCCGGTTTGCTGTAACTCTCCATTATATGCCACCGATGCACATGATTCATAGGCAAAAATAAGACAATAGACACTTTCAAAATGGCCGCCGTTGTCCCCGAAAACCCCCTCCGAAATTTTTTTCTGGGTACGGCCCTGCGCAGTAGTGAGGACCACCGCACGCCTGTACGATACTCATCCAGATTTAAACGGGCAGGGGTGGCATTGAACCCTGGGTTCTGCAGCGCACGAGCTTTTGATATATAAGTATGCATAAATAAAAAGAATGGGGGCAACCAGCGTGAATCAGCCTTCCAACCTTCCCTGGCATTATTAGATAGTGAGGTCCTGATCCCTTGTTATCATCTCTATACATGCCTTGCACCTACGTCATTAAAATTGCATGCTGGGACGGCCGTCGCCATTACGCCGTACCAAATCGTCATCGCTGCATAGGAAGTTCCCTGGAGTTGCCGTCAGTTTGCCTCGCTGAGCGAAGGTTTCGCTCCGTAGAATGGTTGCATGTGCAAACAGGACTAAGAGCAACAAGCGTCGTGATCGTAACACCGTCAGTGATGCGAGATTTTTCAAAGTACCGAAGGTGATCTCCGCCGAGTGTCGGCGGACACACGAACTGTCAAAGAAGCGAAGGAGCATGTGGCTTGCGAAGATTAACAGGGCCGACCTGGTCGCGAACGTGAACACACAGGTGTGCAGCGAGCACTTTGTTACAGGTAATAAAGGCTTCTTGTCGGTTCTCCGTTTTCGGGACGTGTTCACCCGGCTGCTGTCGCAAAATTGAATGTAAAACTCGGCGCAGCATTGTCTGCTGCGCCGAGTTTTGCGAACGTGAGCGCGTCAGCGAATGGCTTCTTTTTTTCTGTTTTACAGGAGCTTTTTCTAATTTGATGCCTTGCACGTGACGTCATATGGCACCGTATCAGCCGCCATTGCTCCGTACCAGGTTCCTGTACGGAGCCTTCTGCGGCAAACATTTGGCACCATCGAATCTGCTCTTCTCGGCAAGCCTTGACCAGAAAAACAAATTCAGTGGTGTCAAATGTAGGCTGCAGAATTTACGGGCACAGGAGAATGGTACGGAGCAATGGCGGCTGAAGTGACGTCAATGCAAGCCATGTGCTCGAGGTCGTCGTAGAAGTCGTCCTAGGCGTCGTCCTCTAGGCTTCGTTCTCGAGGTAATCCTAGAAGTCGTCTTTGAGGTCGTCCGAGAGGTCGTCCTCTAGGCACCGTCCTAGAATTCGTCCTTGAGGTCGTCCTGGAAATCGTCCTAGAAATCGTCCTTGAGGTCATCCGAAAGGTAGTCCTAGGCATCGTCCTTGAGGTCGTCCTAAAAGTTGTCCTCGAGGTCGTCCTAGACGTTGTCCTCGAGGTTGTCCTAGAAGTCGTCCTAGATGTCGTCCTAGAAGTCGTCCTTGAGGTCGTCCTAGATGTCATCCTCGAGGTCGTCCTTGAGGTCATCCTAGGCGTCATCCTCTAGACATCGTCCTAGACGTAAAGATAACAGCTTCAACATGTTGTATGATTCAACATGAAGTGGAAAGGCTCTACAAATTTTTGTTCAAAGCAGAGCATCGCAGTACCGCAACAGTATGCCACTGTGTATTTCTAAGAGCACAGCTCTTAGGCACCAGTTTCCGGCATGAGTGGTGTTGGCGCCCGTGTCGCTGTCTGCGTAATTGTGCGCGTCGCATTATGGGAATAATGCAAGCGGGGTAACCGTGCATTGCATGATGGGAAAATTTCCCCCTCAAATTTGGCAGGAAAATGTTTGCTAAATTTTATGGGGAAATTATTCCGCTCAATTCTGCGAGAAATATTCACTGCTAAGTTTAGCAGAAAAGTTTCCCCTCTAAATTTGGCAAAAATATTTCCCACTGAATTTATCGAAAAATTCCCCGCCAGATTTAGCAAAAAAAAATTTCCCGCTAAATTTAGCGAAAAAAATTTATCGGAAAACTTCCCCGCTAAGTTTAGCGGAAAAATTTCCCCGCTAAATTGTGCAGAAAGTTTAGAGAAAGTTTTCCGCTAAATGGGAGGGGAGCAAGAGAGGAGGGGATGGAGAGGAGGGGCATAACCTTCCTTCAGTACCCACCAATCGACTCACCCTTCCTCCTCAAGAGCTGCGCTCCAATGGACCTTTTCCAAATACCGACGGCACCAGGCGGTGACTGCACGAACTAAAAATCGAGGAAGTGACCACCTACCTGTACTACCAATCAATAATGGGAGCTACGCTGCCAGTTTCTTCGCTCTCTGAGCTGCGTCGCGTGCCCAACGCGACTTTAAGGAAGGGAATCTGTGGCGTCCACCCAAACGTCGCGATTTTCTTTCCGTCCACTTTCTTTTTTTGTGTAACACGATTATATACCGGGTGAAACAAGGAGACGGTAGGCTCTTTAAATCGACCGGAAAATTCGGTCGATTTAAGGGGGCAGGTCTTCCTGAGGCTGGCTGAAAGAACTGCAGTAGCGACCCCTTGTTTTACAATTTTGGAATGTTCGGATTCAAAGGGAAGGAACCCTTTCCCCGATCGCACTTCATATCTCCAACACAAATGTTCTGTTTGGAAGTTCAAGGCCAAATCAACCTTCTTGGAGGTTTTAAGATATTATTTGTCCGCAACGGTAGTAACCCATCAAAATCGGCCGTATGTCCAGAAGAGTGGTGTGTGCATTGGTTCAAAAGTGGCCCCATACCTGTGCGACATCTTTCTCGCCGCATGGTAGCCATACAGCAAGTTTTAAAAGACCCGCGAGTTGCTGCTATTTTCAGGTATGTTGACGATTTTCTTATTTTATGCACAACTGGAGTTGATGAATCACTAGACGGATGCCTCCACACCACCCTCAGGCATTTCCAGACAAGCTGCATGGGGCTCACATTCACCTACGAGCCCCCTGTTGATAATTCCATACGGTTTCTTGATTTGGCCTTGAACTTCCAAACAGAACATTTGTGTTGGAGATATGAAGTGCGATCGGGGAAAGGGTTCCTTCCCTTTGAATCCGAACATTCCAAAATTGTAAAACAAGGGGTCGCTACTGCAGCTCTTTCAGCCAGCCTCAGGAAGACCTGGAGGGCTATGTTGCGCTTTTTGCACTCCCAGGAGACTTGGAAGAGGGAAGTGACGTCAACGACACAGCAAATGCAGATTGGATGTTGACAGAAGAAAACGAAATCCACACCCAATCTGCGTTTGCTGTGTCGTTGACGTCACTTCCCTCTCCCTAGTCTCCTGGGAGTGCAAAAAGCGCAACATAGCCCCCCTGCCCCCATCAGATGGTAAAAAGTTTTGAAACCCAAATGTCCAGGCTTCAAGAGGCCGGATATCCGAAACCCTTCCTGGCCTCCATTTGTGAAAAGATTTGCCGCAACATAAAAAGAACTTGTCAACGCACTGACCTTGATCCACCGAAGCAGATCTCCCGTTCACCTTTTGCGGTGGTCCCATACATACATGGGGTAACTCACAGGTTAAAAAAGATCGCAAGCAGACACGGCATAAATATCATATGCTCGGCACCCAACAAGGCACACGCAATGTGCAGGAAGGTCAACCTAGCCCAGGTTAACAATACAGGCAGGTGTACCACCAAACACAAGACAGAATACGTTCCATGCGACAAAGGAGTAGTTTACAACATACCATTGTCATGTGGACGTAGCTACATCGGGCAAACGGGACGTTGTATAAATGACCGCACGCGAGAACATGCCGCAAACTTAAGAAACCTGGCTGCACCTGGACATCTAGCAGCTCATTGCAGAGAATGCATGTGTGAGGCTAAGCTTGAAACGGTAAGCATCCTAGCTCACCACAAAGATCGGTTCGCCCGAGAACTACTTGAGGCCTTAGCCATAGATCAACAAAAAGACAACTGCGTTAGTTCACCATCCATTGCCCTACAAACAAGTGAAAAGAAGTTCCTGCGAGACGAAAATGCCCATGAAGATAGAGGAAGATCAAGAAAAAGGAAAAAGAAGAAGACGTAAAAAGGACCGCCACCAGACCAGTAGAAGAAGAAGCCGAGGGTTAATAAATAGTAGGTAGTCCAGCGATCGGATGCTTTTTCCTCCTTTCTCTCCTCCCCCCTTTTCTGTAAGTTCAGCTGGTTTTCACAACCTAAGTAAATCTTTTCGACTCAAAAGCGACGCGCGTTCCGCAGGCGGCGACAGTCGCAGAAACAAAAAAAAAGACAGGCACGGCAACAACAAGGAACTGCAGTTTCTTGTCTGCTAAATATGCCGGCTCTCGGCGTCGTCTGCTCGTTCGTTGGCGGCAGTTGGCGTCGCGACCGCTTGCGCCATCTCTTGTCTATCGTGCAAAACGGCGCCGTGTTGATTGCAGACCGGTGGCATCGCTGCGTTTCGATGGTTTCGATAGGAGCTAAGCCTTTTTCTTTCTTTACTTTTTCCTCAGGTAAGTTCGCTCTTTGCAAATTTTACAAAAAAAAAAAAAGATGCACCATCTCTGGGCAACGCTGCGCAAAGTCGTAGCGCGATAGGTTAAGAAACCGAATTTTTTGGTCGATTTAAAGAGCCTGCCGTCTCCTTGTTTTACCCTGTAGATTAAACTCTGCTACAGAAAAGGGCACACCAACGTTGGGGCACACGCTTCTCATTTGAACTTAGAAGACGTTATCATCAAATATGTTATCATCATCGTCGAGTCTTCAAATCTTACCCGAATGAATCCGAGTTACTCTGGCGGGTTGTGTCACGTGACAACACATTTTGAAAAACGCTGGACGCAGTTAGGTCGGTTAGGTTTTAAAACACCGACGTAAAAAAACTCTTACCCTAGGAGTGAAACCGAGTAGATTGTGGAACACGACCCTTGTAGTTTTGACTTGAGTGAGTCAATATAGTGTCATGTGGTATTACCCACTGACGTACACAAAGGCTAACAACTTAGTTTTTGAACGCAACCAGCGTGACGTATGAAATCACCCGATCGGCGGTCTGTTCTTCATTGGCTAGTGTCTCGTGGCGTTATGTGTTGCGTTGATAAACTCGTCTGTTGATGCATCGGTGGTTTCCGACGGACCTCATGAACGATGTTGACGGCGTGGCCAAGATCTTCGCTGCCTAAACATTGAAGTAAACATTGATTGAGTTTATAATCGGTTGTCGGCCCTCCCCTTCAGGGGACGCGGACCGCTTGGACATGGACAACTCATCTGCTTCTGATATTGACGGTAAGTCTCCGAGGGGAGTCGAGGGCCAACTGGAGTGCTTCTTCGGACGCGGCTGATGTAACTTTGCCGTCAGGTGTTCGGGACGACGCTAACTGGCCAGCACACTTCCGCTGGTTAACCGCCGAGCTCGATCGTGCGTTTGTTTTCGCACGGCGCCAGAACGGTGGCCGCCAGTAAAACGTTGTCCTCTTGCAAAAATCTCGAAAAATCGCTCGCAATGAATGATGGGAACGCCCTGTATGCACCTCCTTGCCTTCGCACCATCTACCACGTGACACTGATTAGAGGGAGAGAAAGAAAGGGGGTAGAGCAGTTTCTGGCCTGCCCTTGCCTGCTTGTTTGCGGATCCTCAATCTTTTCGACGTCTGACAGCGGGTTTTATACAGCCAGTTCCCGCCATTCCTTTTCGGCTCCTCGGACAGCACTGTACACTGGGCTTGTTAGACTTGCCTGCATCTCCCGCACCGGTGCAGAGAAGTGTAGGGAGGTGTACTTCCTGGAAGTACGTCGTTCTACACTTTTTTGCACTGGTGCAGGAGGTAGAGGTAAACCGAACGAGTATACTGCAAAAATCCCATGGGTCAATTGCACACCGCTATTCCTTCAGTGATAAGGTGGTAGCATGAACGCAGCTAATTGCCATTTTATCATTTTACCACATTGTATCAGCATAAATGACTGTAAAACCCATAAATAGTTTTAAATTTAGTGTCTGCAAAAAAAAAAATCCTATGCAAGAAAACAAAGCTTTTCTGTGGCGGCGATGCAGGCTAGTTGGTGTATATCTTCAAGAATTGTAACACAGCGCACGAAAGACGAGAATGCAGAGTAAATAGAAGAGTAGAGGACAAGTGATGGTGAGCACATCATCAATGCAATATTTGAGCGGGGAGGCCACTGCATTCCCTTTTGCACACATAGATGTGCAAAAGGTAGATGTGTCTGATGCAACGGCACCAGTTAATTTCACCGACTTTCGTTATACTGTAAGGTGTTGTAAATCAAGGGGCTCACTGTAAAATGGGCTCGAAAAATCGGTGCCTGAACATAAGAATCTCAGTCCTTTACCAAAGGTTTTAGAGATGGATTGCAGTGTTGTGGAATAAGCACCCCCATTTCATTCCAACTCCATTCCAAGGAATTGCAGTCTCCAATAATTTTATTCCTTTGAACTCCTAGGAATGGAAACACTGGGTCCATTAAAATGGATCTTGATAGCTTGATAAACAAATCACGTCAGCATAAAGCTGACATTATCTAACGCATAGACAACTGCAAAAATTTGCAAAACACGTCCCTAAAGCATTGATTCTACTAAGCCCAGCGGTGGTCACACATAGCTATGGAGGCAATTAGTATGGTGACACTGCAGATATTGATAGCACAGCCAAGCGTAAAAGCTCACTACAATATCATCTAAGAGCCTCGTAACAGATGGCAAAACTTCACCTATTTTCTTCCCAAAAGGACTACTTCCTCCACTTGTAGGAGTCGTATGGCAAGTGAGGAGTCGCGCATCAAAGAAACGCGGGTGGTGTGGCGTTGTACCTGCCTGGTGGCCTATGACTGGTGCTGTAATCGCACATGGTCACAACAGCCTCATTGTTGCATCTCGTAGTGCCATGAACGAGACCTTTTCCTCCCAGTACTCTACAGTTTCGTTTGCTTCACTGGGGATGCCACTTTCATTCTCGAAGGAACAAGAGCCAGTGAGAGTACCAGGCCGTCAGTTACCTAAAATGCAATGACGGCATTTCACAAGCCCCTTTGACCACATCGACACAGCTCGCTTAAGAACAGAGCCCATTTCATTACCACTTTATTCCGGGCAAAATGCGCCCGATTCCATTCTCATTCCATTCCCCCCAGTGCTGCCGTCATTCCATTCCATTCCGGGGTCGTGGATGGGCAGAGTGATTCTGGAATCATTGCAACTCTGGAGTAGCAACTCCACAACACTGATCGATTTTACCTTGCAGAATGTCAAGGTATAGCTCCCTACCTGTGAAAAGTTGTAGCGTCTTTTATTAAGTTCATGAGTACGTGCTTCGTGTGCACCAGATGGCAAATGCATCCTCGTGTTCGAAAAAAAGTTCATGGCATCTCTAGTAACGGCACCCTTCCAAGCCACTCCACTGGTGCAGAGGCAGTGCATTTGACTACGGAGCGAGAGGTTTGGCCTCGGTTCCTGGCAAAAGACGAAGTGTATTTTGTAAAAATTTATTACATGGTGCCAAGGAAGACTTGGTGGTGAAATCATAGTTTCGTAACCACTCTTTGTGGCACTCTAGACTGGAAACCGGCCGTAGAACAGATGGTGTTTGTCTCGTGGAACGTATGAAATAGTGCCCCCATTTCCCCCCCAAACTAGCAGTGTCTGTAGCATGAGGTTACCCTTGCAGACATGTTCAGCCTCATGCCGGAGTCCCTCATCGGGAGCTCGGAGCTGTTCGACAACGAGCTGCTCGGCTCCCTGCCCTCCCTGCCGGACGACCCGGCCTTGATGGGCATCAAGGAGGAGGACCTGGACTTGGAGCTGTTTGACGGGGGCCTGGGGCCAGAGGCCATGCAGCAAGGGGGCCTCTTCGTGCAGGAGGTTCTGCCCCCACCCCCACAGCAGCAGCAGCCGGAGGCCCCCAAGAGGACCCTGCTGCCCCACAAGGTGCGGCTAAAGCCTCTTGACCTGTTTTTGTTTGTCTTGTACGAGCGGAAACAACACCCGGGGCATCTACCAACCTTGAAAACAATTGTCAGGGAATTTGGAACCATCTTTAAAAGTTGGGACATCGTCCGGGGGATTGTCAAAAGGTTGGCCAAGTCAGAAAAAATGGGCGATGTGGGCGGCACAATGACACGCAACGAAGCGTGATGGTGCGGCATTTGGTGGCGTGGATGGCCTTGGCACCTAGTGACAGTGGCCCAAGGCGTTGCTAGGCAGCGTAAGCTGCCACTGCATTCACCGGATGAGACAGTAACAGCCCCAACAGCCACTGCATCCCAGTCTTCCGCATTTTCTTCTCTCGTAATGGTCAGGGAGCTTAATCGAAATATTCAGGGAAAACCTGGAAATGTCTGGGAATGTGAGAGAGGCAGTCTGGTAGACACCAGGGAAAACATTACACTGCGTGAAAGGCTTATTTCACTCCCTCTGTACGTGTCCTCGCATATCGACTGCCATCATTAAGTTGGAATTCCTTGTGCCAATTCCAACTCGTTATATAAATATTTTTTGCCACTTGCCTGCCTCGAGTGGAGCCATCTCCCGGCCTCTGCTGCTTCAATTGCCAACTGTGATCTTTTCAGGAAACTGTTATCTGACCTGTTCACCGGAATTTTTCTGTTACTGTTTGTTTTTCGCAGATGTACTTGCTATGTTTCACTGTTTCCCTACTTCCCCTCTGTAGTGCTACATTCCTTGAGGGTAAATAAATGAAATGAAAGTGGCATGAAATGTGCCAATGCAAGAGGCATGTGCCTCGTGCGACCCCGAGCTATGGCAGTCTTTCAAGCTAGGATGGAGTAACTGCATATGCTTTGCTTGCGGAGTAGGATATTGCAATGCTCTTCTATTGTCATCTTCCTATTGCGGGAAGCAACCGTTGCTCTTGTAGCAGCAGCAGCGACCTTGGTCGACGGTGAGCCGGCGGCGGCAACTCTTTTCCTTGGAAGCGCTTTGGATCATTTTGTGCGTGTGACCCTTTCCCTGCCAATAAGGAGCTGGGGGCAAAAGGAAAAGAAGTGCGGTACTCTGGCTCCGTCATACTTGTAGTCACACTGAGCTGGTGCTATAGCAAATAACTTGAGCTGCAACAATCCTTCATTCTTTTTTTGGTGTTCTTGCCAGTTTTTTAAAAAAAAAACCTAGGTCCAAACTGTGCGGTGGAAGTGGAGGTTAAGTGTCATTCTTTGAACTTCATGAAAAATTGAGAGAGACAAAGAGAACACTTTAATGACTCTGTGGAGCTTTAGAGTGAGAGATTGTGACTTCGGTCGCTTCTTTAGAGGTAAGAGAAGGTTGTTGGGTTTGCAGACGCAGAAAAGGACTGGCATTGGGTGTTGCGGCTCATTTAGTTTCTGGGGGTACACCACAATCGCCGGTCTTACATTTTGATGCTGCTTCCGCACATGTGTTGCGGATGGTGTGTTAGGGAAGGGCCAGTCGTGCATGTCGCAGGGACGGTGGCGGCCGAGGCAGACGACTCTTCCCTTGTGCGCAGGTGTGCCTGCCGGCATCGCAGGTGGCGCCGTCCCAGGTGCCCGTCTCCCAGGTGGCGCCGCAGCAGAAGGTGACGGTGGTGCGGCCCTTTTCGCACCAGGCGCCCCGGCGGGCAGTTCAGCCGGCTCCGATGCCCTCGGTGGCGGAGCTGCTGGCGGCCCTGAAGGAGCAGCAGCAGCAGCAGCAGCAACGCATCACCCGCCTCTCCCAGCTGCCCACCCAGAAGGTGGGGGGAAGTTCTCATCTGTTACACAAAACTATTTGGCCTTGTCCCCTCCTCTTCTTATTGCACCCTCACGCCGCTTTGGCAGGTAAAGAGACAAAAGGAGTAAAAAAAACGAAGCATCTTTATTGAATAAAAATGTAAGGACATTTGATGCTTCTAAAAGATGCCAGCTGAATGTAGGAGGATACACAAAGAGAGAGAGAAAAAAAAGGACGGGAAAAGTCACCTCTTGAATGTAGAGATCAGAAAATAATGATAAGACAACTGTCGAGGAGGAAGTTTCATGTCTCGGAACTAATGGGTCTGGAAGAGGATGAGTTTTGTCTTCAGTAAATGGTTGCTAGTTCAGCAGTGTTTGTCCCTTTTTCTCTCTTTCTCTTTGTGTATCTTCCCACGTTCAGCTGGCATCTTTCAGAATCGTGAATCACCAACTAGCTCGGCTACGAGCAATCACTACGATATTCGATGCTTAGTTACCTGCTGTGGAGTTCATCTCAATTCAATCGGCAGAATGATGTCTCGACTGAAGAAAAACAGTGCTATTGCATTTCGACGTCATCTGCAGTGAAGCACCACAAGAACGCAGCCCTGTTTTTAGTATGGTGCCTCAAACATGCTCCCGACGAATCTGTTTAGCATACCGTGCTGTCCATGCATCTAAAGCGGTCCCAAAGTGGCAGCAAACGATCGCCCCTTTACCATACTAGTATGTTAAGGGCAGCGGTAACAAAGAATGTGATGTGGTAGTCTAGAGAGACTGGGTCGTGTGGCACTCAAAGAGGATGCCCGTGCCACCTCAAAATTCCGGCAGATCCCAAAGAGACTCGTTTGCGTGGCCGAGGATTTGGGAGCACCCTGCGATAGCTTCATTGCCGTAAGTGACTCCGCGGGCTTCTGTTGCACACGGCAAGTGCACGAGCACTTCGTGGATGCTATGTTTGTAGTGCCGCGTTCTGCTGCAGGCCCGTAGGTGCACCGTTCGCACGGCGTGTACGTCCGTGAGATGCAGTTGGCTAAAAATATGGATGGCAGTACGAAGGGATGTGATTGCGTCGAGTTGAGTGGACGCGTCGGTGCATTCGGAAACAGATAGTTGCAGAGACTACTCCGTCGGTTTTCTATGATACGCGAAGCATCGTGTATGAAGGGTCACGCTATCGCCCAGAAGAAGCCAGATTTTGTTGCGGCGCCAGATATCCACATCGCAACTAACAATGCAGCTCACCATGAATTCAACGACACATATTTTGAGTTAAACACTTTTTTGATCCATATCGTCGACGTTGTAGTTTTTATGGTTTATTGCTAATATCAAGACTAACAGTCTGATCAAAATGAAATATGAAACGTAGTTGGAAGTGTATACGTCGACTCCCCTAGTAAACGTGCGGTCGACGACCGAATCTGCGCGTTACCACCGCTTTCATACACCCAGTGCTTTCGGAAATGTTGTGAACTAGAACGTTCGACGACGGCAGAGAATGGGCCGGAACATTACGGAAGAATACGGGAAAACAGATCCGGGCGGAGCGGTGTTGGAACCCCGTTTCTCTGCATAGCGTTCAGTATGCGCTGGCAACGTTGCCCCGCTCGTGGTAACGTGACACGTTTGACGTTAAGACCGTCCTCCTCGCAGGTGCAGCAGATGCTCCTGCAGCAGCTAGTGAAGGACGGGGGAGCGGGCGCCGGAGGGGGCAGCATCCTGGCGTACACGCCCCTCTCTCCGGCACCCGTGGTGGCCGCCCCCCAGACCGCACCCATGCTCACCACCTCTGCCATCCCCCTGGTGTTGGACACCGACCGCCTGAGCAGGTGGGCGCGGGCCTGCTCCCTTTTCCCCGTCTGTCGTTGGCCCGGTGTCGATGCACGGTATACCCCGCTCGCCCCTGAGGTGAAAGTGCAGCGAAAACCGTGTCCTCGTTGGGCCGGTTGTGTAGCTTCCACTTTACTGTCAACTTAAAGGTCCTGCAGATTTCTTGGGGGTATGTGGGAATCAACTTGCAAAAAAATATAAAAAAAGTTGTTTTTCAGAAAGTTTATATATTTCACATTTAGGGTCCTTTTCTTGGCAATATGCAATTAGTACTTTTTGCCGGAGACTGTTTTTAAGTGCTTTAAATAATAACTCGCACTAGCTTGTGAAGTTGAAGTATTAATTTAAAAATCGTTTTTCGGGGCTGTATTTTTTGTTTTTGCTCGGGGAGCTGGTATCTTGGGAACCATTTGGAATATTTTTGTTCCACTCATTTTATTGTACTCTCAGAGTTACACTCCACTTCTTGACATCCTTATTTTTTCGAATTATTTCCGCTTCAATTTATAATGTGCTCCTTCACCTGCATGCCATTTGTGTGCCTGCAGGCAAGATAAAAAGGAATACTAACTGAAAATAATTGGTGCAAGAAATAAAAAATGCCAGAATGTCACGTCGTGTAGCATGCATTTGGAAATGCTGCCAGAGTCTAGTCAGCTTTCTATCACGTTTACTATGCTCGCCACTAAATTCAAAGCCAAAAAGTCTCGTAAATAAATTTTAAAAAAAAGTAATTGGAATATGATCATAATGTTTTGGTTTTTTCTATATATACAGGCATTACCAACACATGTGCCAATTTTTATCGGAATCCTACTAAAAAGTTTTCGTTGATCCCTATATCCTGCCATTAACCTGTCATCGTGGTGCCTGAAACGCATCTTTGACCGGTGCATCTGCTGCGCCCAAAAAAGTGGTCCCTCGATCTCCACCCGACAACGTCTTAGAGGGGTTATGCTGTTGCCGGCTGCAATCCTGGCAGTGTCGCAGCATCGGTGCTGGACGAGGCGGGCGCCATTTCCGCCGCAGACAGTCCACGGAAGCTTCAACATTTGGGAGTCGGGAGGCCGCAACGACAGCGGCAATCGCGTGCATTCATGCTCTTTGCGGGACACTCAGACTTTTTTTACATCATTTGTTGTCATTTCGGGACCACTTTCGACGTATGGGCAGGGTAGGTTGCTAAACGGACCGGGCTGAGACGCGTCCCGAGCACTGTACTCTCGCCGACCGTAGAATGCCACACGGGTGGGAAGTTGCAGGCCCAACCTGGCCCCAGCTGGGTGGGTTTACGAAAGAAGAGCCCGACCAGAGTACCGCTTTTGTCTGTCTCGAGTCCGGCCAAGATCCGGTTCAAGTCTGGCCCGGATCTGGCCCAAGCCGAGCTCGGATCTGGTTATGGTCCGAACCGAGTCCAAAACTAATTTCCGCCGGCGTGCCCCGAGCCCCGGCCTCCTCCGTACTCTAAAAGAAGCTGCACGCTCGACCGGTTCCCTCGTGGTTAAGCGGAGGCGCGAGAATTTGCGGCTTCCTTATACCAAATTACGCGCAATCCAGCGGCGACTGACTTTTTATTGCGATGGAGCCGCAGTCCTTTTGCATGCACGGAATCCCTCATTTGAGTGTGTCTGCTAAACGCAAACGGGGAACTCGGAGATGGCCCGAATTTGCCGTCCCACGTGGCGGCGGGACGACGGGCATAGCACGTGACCTCTGCCCGACTGTGTCGTTGCAGGGTGGTTGCTGTGAAGCCCCCCAACAAGGGGGAGAAGCGTAACGCCCACAACGCCATCGAGCGCCGTTACCGCAGCAGCATCAACGACAAGATCGTCGAGCTCAAGAACATGGTGGTGGGCCCAGAGGCCAAGGTGGGTAGCTCAGCCCTTCCGCGCATTCGCACAAAACAACATTAAAAAAAAAAAAAAAATTTCTAAGAACACTTTTTTTGTTTGTGGTGTTACTCGAAATGATGTTTATTGCTGATGTTTTAGTTGTTTTTTTATACCCTAGTTACACTAGCGCTCTCAGCTGCCATTAAGCAGATTGTTGGCATCTCCCAAATGTTGTTCAGCTCAACTGAGTTGTCCAGTGTTGCACGGTGCATAAGCCTAACAACCCTGGTCCAGAGGCACATCGAGGGACGCGGTTGAAACCGAAACAAAACCAAAACTGATGTCACATTACCTTTTTTAAAACGTGAGGCATATGACTTGTGTGCACACTTTTCATTCATCATGAACGTTTAAAACGAAATAAAAGGAACTTTTTTTTTGTTCTTAGATTAAAGTGACGATAATCTGAACGTTTCACACAAATTCAGGCGAGAGAAATATGATGAAAGTCTTACCGGCACCAACATCACAATGGCCGCCCCTGTCGAGCTTTGACTTCCCCCGTGATCGTTCTAGCGGCAGCTCTGGCCCCGAATCATGCTTCCTCCGACAATATTTGCTGCTACAATCTTTCTAGATATCCCCTCAAATCTTCCACAATAGCGAGTGCTTCGCTGGGACTGGCTATGGGCAACAATGCGATAGACACAGCCATTTCTAGCTCTATTAGGGCGAACCTTCATCAGTTAACTGTGGTGGGCCAACTCAGTTGAACTCGATGATCGTTAGCGGCTCAACGACACTTGGCGCCGCCGTGTAACTCCATTTGATCACGATTGAGTCAACTGTTGTTGTCTTAATGACAGTTAAGAGCGCTGGGATAACTAGGGTAGTAGTCGTTGTAGTTGGCGTTGTAGGGCATCCGTCGTTGATTTTGCCAAATCCTTGGAAAAAGTTTCCCATGGCCGCGGGAATCAAACCCGTGTCTGCTGCATGTGAAGTGGAGGCGTTACCATTGAGCTGCTCTGCGGTGTTAACGACCCGCTCAAGACATAGGGTTTTTGTAGTGCCCAATGCTCGTTGCACGCGCTCTCTGAAAAAAGAAATAGCCAACAACAAAATGTCGTTGTAGCACTGAAGAGCTTGTGCCAAGAGACGTGCTTTGACGGTCACCAGAACAAAAAACGCAACAAAGGCGTTTGGAACAAAATTGCCAGATATCTAATTTCGTTCCAAACGCTTTTGTTAAATAAAAAAAAAAAGGGGCAATATTTATATTGAGAGAGTCATTTTAAGTTGGAGAGATTCCAAAACATGCTTGTATTTCGAGACAACTGCCTTGAAATAGAAGCGTGTTTCAGAATTGCTCAAAGTAGTCTTGCGATGTAAATATTGCACAAACTTGTCTTTTTGCCCTGGGAGACCTGAATTTTTAAATGCCCCTCCGGGCATTTTTTAAAGAGTATTTTGAACCCCACATTACGTATCCCCTCGACCAGATAACAGTTGCGAACTTGCCTTAGGTACTCCACAAACTAACCTTAGTAAATATTCACCCCTGCAACTGTCGAGCATGTGAAACATGCTGCCAGGCAGCATTGCTAGTCTAGCACACATGATTTAAGGGACGTGCTTAACCTCTTGAGTGCCAGGATAATTTCCCGCATGCCGAAGGCAAATCTTGGTCTCACTAAATCTGTAGCATGCTCTGTGAAGAGTGTTTGTTCATAAAAGACACTTTTTTATGGGTAAGAAGTTAATTGATGACTGCTTGCTTCAAACCTGCGAGATATTTATCGTATTGTACTTTTTGAGGCCTGGTACTACGCAGTGTTACCTGGACCTCGCACCCTGAGGTCACCCTTTTGAGCGGCCCTACTTGGTCTCTGTTTATTCAGAACTGCAACTCCCTTGTTTTCACAGTCGTAGAATATTGAGTTCATGAGTGATTTCTAGATCTCAGTGTCCATCGTGATGCGCGGGGTTGAACGACATAGATTAGCCATTCTGGAACAACGAAGGAGCATGCCTAAATGGAACTTGCCAAAGTAAAAAAAGAAAACTATGTGCCATCAAAAAGTGACACTACAAGATAAAACATTGCTTTCATCGGAGTTGGGATTGGCTGGGAGCTTACCAAGACTGAAACCACACCGGAACGCGCCCGAGTATGCTCAAACGTGGTGCTCAGAGTTAAAATACACGACCTGGCCAGATGCTGACTTGTAGCTTGTTTGTATAAGAGTTTGCTCGCGACTTTGCGGTGTCTTCCTCCTTAGGTAAAGCTCAGGAATGGGCGATAAGGGCATTAAGAATGAATAGATGAACAAATGTTTTAGAGCGCAGCTCTTAGGCACCCGTTTCTGGCTTGAGCAGCGTCGACGTCACAGTCAGAGTAATCGCGGGTTGCATAATGGTACATTTCCCATAGTGACGTCATGTGTGATGTCACGAGTGATGTCACGAAGGTCACTCAGTGAGGTCACGACAAAGGGGATGAGCTTCACAGGGAAGGTCAGGTCCTTCACAAGTGACATCACGAGGGCAGAGGGAGGGAGAGGAGGAGAATGAGAGTGCAAAGAAGAGGGAGGAGGAGTGGAGAAAGAGGAGCATACCCTCCTCTCCGTACACTCCCTTCCTCAAGAGCAGCGCTGTAATTCAGCATTACAGGAAATTGTAAATGTCTCATTTTTTTGGGGGAGTTGAATGCCCCTTTCGCTGGAGGTCACTCTGGAGATGTGGCCACCTCGCAGACCATTCTGGGAGGGAACGAGGGGGGCTGGCTGACCGACACCGCGCGTGTCCCCGTGCAGCTGAACAAGTCCGCTGTGCTGCGCAAGGCTATCGACTACCTGCGCTACCTGCAGAACGCCAATGCCAAGCTGAAGCAGGAGAACGTGGCCCTCAAGATGGCTGTGCAGCGCACGGGGGCCTCCGGTGGGTGCGGGGGGCGGAAGCGGCGGGGTTCCAGCCGTCGTGCTGGCCACAGTCGTTTTTTGGTCACTCCGCTCACGGCGCATGCCCCGCGTGCAGTGGGAGACATCCTGCAAGAGGCCAGGGCCGGGCAGCAGGCGGTGGACTCCAGCCAGGAGGCCATGACCCCGCCCTCCTCGGACCTGGCCAGCTCCCCGGACCATGCCCTGGATGAGAGCAGCAGCGGACTCTCGGAGCCGCCGTCGCCTATCCGGGCAGAGGTGGGTCGCCGAACCTCAGCGTCTCGGTGCACTCGTGGAGGTCGTGTAATGCGGGTGTCATTCGTCGCGGAGCTGGCTGGAAAAATCAGTGCCTGCACGTAGCGATCTCAAATCTTCACTGAAGGTGTGTTTTAGTGATGAATTTTTACCTCGCGAAATTTTAAGGTGTAGCTCTCTTTCTGTGAGAAATGAGATCAACATTTTTGCCACGGTCAACGGCAGGCAACGGAGTTGTCGTTGAAACGTTTTATTTAGACGAAACTGAAATGAGTTGTTGTGTCATCTGAAACATTGGCTTGAGGAGGGGGAAATGAGGCAAAAAGGAGAGATGTAAGAGAGGGAGAGTTGTATACACAAGGGCAGACGACCGAGTTAACGAGGGTTGTGCTCGTGGCGCCGTCTCCCAACAAGTGCAGCGAACAGGCGATGCTGTTGCCTGCTCGCTTTGCCTGTTGCCAGTATCTTCAGCTTCTTGTGCTAATTGCACCACTTTTTGCGATTGTGCTTTCATTTGGGAAAACTATTTGTGTACCGAAAGAAAACAAAGTGATAGCTCTATGATCATAGATTTGCACAGCAAAAATAAGCTAGTACTCGGAACCGATTTGTGCACGGCATAGCATGCCTCAACCAAATGTGATACGTTATGCAAAACTGTCTCTAGGTCTTTTTGCCCATACTTTTCACGGTTGCGTTCCTCACGTTAGTGGCTCAATCCAAATGCCTTGGGGCGAGGGTGCGTCGGTTGCTCCTCTCGGCGCCGAAGAACATGGCGGCGCCTCGGTACTCGCGCTGCAAAGCTTGAAGGAGCGTTCAATTTGACATTCAGGCTTTCGCATTCAGAACTCGTGAGGAGCGCTTAGGTGTGCTTAAAATTTTTATTATGTCGATCAACCAACTAGCCCAGCAATCCACTATTTTACAGTATTGTTGAATGTCATTTACTGTATTTACTCGCATAATTAATGCACTCCCCACAACGGGTACCAATATTTGGACTTGTTTTTCCCTCACGCAATGAACGCTCCTCCAATTTTTGACTCCGCGAGTCTCGAATTGCGTCCAGTTTAGCTAGCCACCACGCCAATTTTCTTCTGCTGTCAAGCAGTCAGGCCAAGTCAAGCCGCTCTCGCAATGGCTGCAAGTGCGAAGTGGCACAGTTGCGGAAGTGATCAACCGTGAAACCGAGCGGCATGCACACTTGACGAAGCTTTGGGTCGAGGAATTGCCCAGCCCCGAACATTCTTCGCCTATTGGATGCATTGATACCTGTGGTTCGCTTTTGGACAATGAAATTGTGAAAGTGGTTACGCCTAAAAACAATCAGGTTGCTCTCCAGGTTGAGTGAGCTTCGTAGGGCGCTTTTCCTTCGGCAAAAGGCATGCTGAAAGCACCCTAAAAAAAGTTGGCAATTTATAAAGCATGTTTACTGTGGCACGCCCCCGAAAAGCCGTGGGTGCGCCTCCATCAGTGGAGACGTGTCACAGTACCTTGCCGTGTCATATTGGCACCTAATATGACATTCACACAAAGTGTGTAAATGCAAAAATTTTACCCTGTGTGTAATGTTAATTTTTTGGTCCTTGAGGTCAGCCTTCTCGGTGGCTCCGAGGCGAGAGCGCCGGCCTACGGATCCCCAGGTGGCGGGTTCGAATCCCGACCGAGGTGCCCGCAATATGACGGAGGCTTATTGCGGAGAAGGCGCCGTGTAACCGAGCTTTTGGTTGCACGTCAAACGATCCCCAGGTGGTCGAAATTAATCCTCAGTCCTCCGCTGGGGCGTGCCAGATGCCCGTCGTAGGTTTGGCACGTAAAACCCCCCAAATTTGACTTGTCCTTGAGGCCATCCTCAAGGTCATCCTAGAAGTCGTCCTTGAGGTCGTCCTCGAGGTCGTCCTAGAAGTTGTCCTCGAGGTTGTCTTGGAAGTCGTCATCGAGGTCGTCTTAGAAGTCGTCCTTAAGGTTGTCCTCTAGGCGTCGTCCTCGAGGTCGTCTTAGAAGTCGTCCTTGAGTATGTCCTCGAGGTCACCCTAGACGTTTTCTAGGCATCATCCTTGAGTTCGTACTAGATGTCGTCCTAGACGCCGTCCTCGAGGCGTTGTCTTAGACGTAAAAATAACAGCTTTGCTGGTCCTCCATCTTCACGTGAAGTGGAAGGGCTCTACAGTTTTTTTCTTTCTTGTTTTCTCGTACCGTCTGCAAAGAAGTGTTCACCCTTGCCCTGGCCACCGATCAGGCAGCTGGCGGTATTGATAAATAAATAGAAGATCTAAGGGAATTTGTCCTGGCGCTTAACGAGTGTCACGGCAACAGCAGCTCGGTGTGTGCGTAATTTGCCGTCATTGCGGCACAGTTGTCTTTTCTGCTCTGCCTCCCAAGCACGGTTCTGAGGACCCTAGCCATTTTCCCTTCCACTCCTCCCACTAATCCTTTCGGTCAGAGCTCGGTATTCTGACATCCCCATGCGCTTCCGTCTCCTTCTTCCCCCGGTTTCTAGCTGTATAGTCGCTGGAAAGGTGAGAATGGCGGGCGTTTGTTTGGAATGCCCGGCCTTGAGCACGCACTCATTGCCTCTTGCCATGGTGTGGTGCCGCGTGCTCGCTGGAGGCTCATGAGACATCTAAGCATTATTGCAGTAGAAAGAAATCAACTCTATACAACCTTTAATTTACTCAAATTTGTCCTGTTGATAGCTCAGTTGGTAGAGCGGTGGACTATAGAGGAAAGGATTTTTGTCATCTATAGGTCGCTGGTTTGAGTCCGGTGCGACGGGAGAAACTGTGTTCTGTTTTTAACTTGGAGGCGGCTAAAAGCGATTGTGCAATTTATGGCGTCGTCGAGAGTTCTTGAAAGGGACGCCCATGCGATTTCCTGCTGTTTATTACCGCTGCCGCCGTAATAAACAAATTGCGGCGAAAAGAGCAGTTCTTTAAAAGAATGGCCCTGTCTCCGTCAGGTGTCCGCTGAGGAGTTCCCGGGGGTGGAGCGGACGGCCATGCTGCACAGCTCGCGCATGGTGTTGTGCGTCTTCGTGCTGGCCCTGTTTGTCTTCGACCCCGTGGGCTGGCTGCTCGCCGGAGGAGGCTCCCTGCCGGCTGCCACCTCGGCCCACGCGGGCGGGCGCTCCATCCTGTCTGCAGGACCAGAAGTCGACCCTGCCGGTAAGCGCGGTGCCACCCTTTGCTCGCGGGCGCCGCAGCCGCGGCGTCTGGAACGCGTCTCCGACCGGTGCGTCTGCCGCGTTTTCCAAAGTGGACTCTTGATTTCCACGCGAGGATGTCGTGGAAGTGTCGTGCTGTTGCCTGTTGTGGTCCCAGTGGTGGCATGGCAGTGAAAGTGGACGCGGCAGCTGTTCTGCTGCAGGTTGCTCACCCGCTCGACAGTGTGCAGGAGCTTAGGCAGGCAATAGTCGGGACGCCACGACGGCAGGGAGGTTGGTTCACACATTTGTGTTCCCTCGTAACTTCTTACGAAGAGAGGACACTGGCACCTTCCATCGGGTAACCCTGGAACCACTCCCGATCTGTGTGACGAGAGTGGAGGTTTTGCGGTATTTGCGAGATCAAGTTTACGCAGCACCATCTATGAGAAACAGTCGCTTGTAACTTTGTCAGAGTTATTTCAAGCACACAATGAAAGAATGATGCGTAAAAGTGAATGGGTGCATGTTTGGTAATACTGCCAAACGTGTTTAAACGCGCTAGCTTTATAGGGTGGGTGGTGCCCTTAGTTCGGGGGGTGCCTAGGGCAGGGTTTTGTATATGGAAACGGATGAAGTCACAACATTGTCTCTTTGTGACGCTGCTCGTGCTTCCCTTCAGCACCACCCACAAACAGAGTCTTTGTGCTAAATTTTATGGGTCACCAAGAGGCGAAGTGTGCTTTCCTGCCTTTTCCACTCATCGCTTCGCTTGCTCTTTCTTCAACCACCTGGCTTCCATGCCGGTGATCGGGGTTCATCCCCTGGCACTGGGTGCTCTTTTAAAGAGGTAGGTTTTTACGACTCGGGAGCCGCGTAAGCACGAAATCTGTTGGTCAGTCCGTCCACAAAACGATTTTGAAGAAGAAAGGCAACTGGTGCCAGGGATTGGACCCCGGTCACCTGCATGGAAGACGAGTATGATGTTAAGTGAGCTACGACCCATCACACAAAAACGGGAGGAGCAGAGCAGGTGGTGTGAAAAGAGTGCATGGAGCGAAGACGGGTGGAAAAGGCAAGAAAGAGGAGCAGACACGGATGGTGCAGAAAGCATGCGGAATGAGAAGGGGTGGAAAGGGCAGAAAAGAGCGCTATCCTTCTCTTGGTGGCCCAGAAAATTTAGCACAAAGGCTTTGCATCTGGGCAGCGCTGAAGAGAAGTGCGCACAGCACACAATTGTGCGACGTAATCTGTTTCCATACAAAATTCTGCCCTAGGCACCACCTGAACAAAAGTGCCACCCACCCCAGGCACTGAAAAGCTAAGGGTCATGCTGCTCTAGGCGCCACCCAAACTAGGAGCACCACCTACCCTATAAAGCTAGTACCACATTTGAACGCATTTGTCAAAATGACCGAACATGCACCCAAGTTTTTTTTTCAGCGGAGCTGTTAAGGGCTAGGTTCCCCAGCATTGTGTCCGGTACCAAACAAATGTCGACACAAAACTCCGGACAGCTATCGCCATCTAGGAGCGACGGCGGCAACCAGACAATTGGCTTGCCAGTCTCGCACATAGATGGCGGCAACTTTTCCAGTGTTTCCACTCTGGTTTTCACCAAAGTGGAAAGGCTGAATTTCTCTAGGCGTCATCCTAGATGCCGCCTTTGAGGTTGTCCTAGACGTTGTCCTTGAAGTTGTCCTTGAGGTTGTCCGAGAGGTCTTCCTGGAAGCCATCCTTGAGGTTGTCCTAGAGTTCATCCTTGAGGTCAACCTAGACGTTTTCGAGATTGTCCTAAACGTCGTCCTAGACGTCGTCCTTGAGGTCGTCCAAGAAGTCTTAGAGGTCGTCCCACCATAGTACAGCTTTGCTGGTCTTCCTTCTTCACCAAAATGAAAAAACTGAAAGTTTTTTTTTTTTTTCAACATTGTCAGGCGGTTACGGATACAGTCGCCTTCCGATTATTCGGACTTCGCAGGGACCAAAAAAAACGTCCGAATAATACAGCAGTCTGAAAAATCAGCAGATTGAAAAACTTGCCCTTATTACTTTCAAGTGGGCTTAAAAAAGCCATAAAGAGTGCCTTGCTTCAGGTTACGCTTGCGTGTCTTGTTTTAGGTTATGCCTCCGTTTGCGTTCGGCAACTTTCTGTTGGCTTGAGAATTGTTACCTTCTTTCCTAGCGTTATGGTTGAATACTTTCTGCACTTCTTAACAACGCATCGTGGCGGCAGAAGAGCAGATGGGGCCATGATGTCCAAGCCAGCATTGTCCAAACGAGATGAAAGGCGCAAATCCACGAGCGCAAAATGGCGACTGGCAACGCGCTTGGGCGGAGGTGCGAAGAGATGGAAGTAAACAAAGCAAAATGATAGTAATGATGATGATGATGTCGTGCAGCTAAATGGAAAAAAAAAGGCTAGCATAGCGTTACCTAGCAGTAGGTTTCGGGAGTACTCAAGAAGCGCTGTCAAACCAAGCCAATCTATTTGCAGCCAACGTAGAATTCAAAATGGCTGCTTCTCGGTGGCGTTTCCCGCTGATCGCTCGTGACGATTTTGTCCGAGAAGTCTTAACTTTTGGACTTCAAGCTGTCCGAAACATTGGTCGTGAATGTGCACTATTTTTATGAGCTAAGTCACGGTTCCTCCTTTAGGTCCGGAATATCAAACAAGTTCGAATTACCGAAGTCTGAAAAAACGGTCGGCGACTGTATACCGACAGACATGTTTCGTGCTTATGCGGCCGCCCGGAGGTTGGTTGACCCTATAAAGCTACCTTTTTAAAATAGTAAAATATATACGAAGGTGCTACCCGGCAGATGGCGTCAGTATGCCAGTGTGTTCTCAAGTCGATATCAGTCACGAGGGAATGTGGGGCACACTAGCGCACTCAAGCACGAGTGTGCGAGCCAGCCTCGACGCTAACGTTTGCTCTACCTTCCTAGACGGCCAGCCGCCAGAATCGCGACATCTGACGACACTGCACACCGATTCCCTCGAAGTAACTATACTCCGTCTCACGATAACTTGGCGAACTGTTGAGGCTACGGCCCACAAAACCCAATCGGGGAGTCGGAGCGAGGCACGTGACAACACAGCACGGAAGTGTGTGTGTTACTGCACAAAGGAACCAGTTATTGTCTGCTGGCCAAGAGTCGTCTGCTGCGAAATTAACCAACTTCGAAGTAACGTCCACCTCCGTAACATTTCCGTCCGCTAGAATAGTGAGCTCTTTGGGAACAGCTCATGAGACAACCAAACGCTCAATTTACCCGCAAATCTGCGACAGGTGCTAATGCCAGGGCCCAGTGCGATGTTTCGTGTGGAAACAATCGATTGCACGGCTGTGATCGCCAACGGCCATGGTGCCATAAGGAAAAACAAATCGGGAGCGAATACGGATATCGAGTCAATTTTTGGTCTAAGTATAATTGAAACTCATAAATTCGTCTATATTTAATCCTTATTTTTAAAATAATCTCGATAGAGATAAAATCACAGGAGTTAAATTGCCGAAGAGAAAGGAACCTAGAGCTACTTTTTGTTTGCGGACGGTGCTGTTGCCGTGGTGGTAACGAGACCTCCGTGGCCTTGACCGTGAAGTGTTATCACGTGACTTGCTCCCACACTCTTATTGGGTCGTGCGGGCCGCAGCCTTCACAGTTTGCCGAGTTATCGTAAAACGGAGTATAGGCCATGGATTTTCCGGTGCTTATTTACAGTCTAATCCCATTAATTCAAACTCGAGGGGGCCCAAAAATTTGTTTCAATAAAGCAAAGTTTGAATTATCAGAAGTTCCCTCCCATAGAGATACATAGGAGGGTACCTGCATGTTAGTTTGAATTTTCCACAAGTTTGAATTAAGTGAGTTGACTGTCGTAAGAAAAATCGGCGGATCTTTTCTTTTTTTTTTTTTTGCGAATAACTGTGTATTTTGGAGATCAGTTTCGAACAAATGCTAAAAACGGTGATTATTGCTGAAAAAATTCCATTAAAGACCGAGAGTTCGAGTCTAAGATGGGAAAGTTTCTTGTCTTTATAGAAAATTTCCCAGAAATCTGTGTTTTTCAGTTAACAGATTTTTTTATTCTCGACACCGACGAATGTGTGTCAGCTTTTTTCGGTTGTAACCGAATTTGTATTTTTGTCACTGACGAGCGTCTGTCGCTGTTTTATCGGTTAAAACTGGAACGTCTGCGGCGTAGGCGTAACCCGTTTCCACTTCGGGACCGCTTTCGACGCACGGGTGGTACGAATTGCCGAACGTGTTGGTCGTAGACGCATTCCAGGCGTGGCGCCGCCACCTCGATCCCTAACCCGTCCCGGGACGCAGGCTGGTCCGTGCCCTGGTCGTGGCTGGCGAGCGCGGCGGTGTCCCTCTGCTGCCTGGCCTGGTTGCTGGTCAGGGGGGACCCCCTGGCACGACCGGGGCCCCGCCAGCAGTCCGTCTTCTGGAGGCACCGCAAGCAGGCCGACGCACACCTGGCGGAGGTGAGGCCCCTCCCGGGGACAGTCACCGGGCTGCATTGCGATGCCGCGGTCCTTGGACAAACCACTTACCGGTCCGGAGTTTGCCAGCTTCCGCCCCGTCGATGAGGAAACCAAATTACGGGCGGTGCTTTGTCCGGCTCGTTTTTTTACGGAGCTCGGCGTTTGCCCAACATGAGGTTTGCGGACTAGATTCTTGTTTTCAAACTATAGTCGGTGACAGGTTAAAGAGTTCAGGGGAAGCTCTTGCCTCCCCTCTTCGCTTTAGCAAAATGAACGCTGGAGAGGAGGCGACCTTCTCTCCGGCGTTTGCTCCACTAAAATGGAAAGAGGTGGGAGCAGCTTCCCCTGAGCTCTTAGCCCTCCATTGATTATAGGTTCCTAGGATGCATGGGGTTCTCCGAAGCACACTCCCAGGTTTTTCAACATCCCAAATATCCCCGACCGTTCCCGTCTCCCGAGTAGCGTGTTCTATCCAGTTTAAGCACTGTTTTAGCGGACCTGAGCCATTCATTGAGGTCCAGATACGAGCCAAACACCCCCCAGTAGGTGTATAGGTGCATCATTGTTTACGAGGCCCGTAGTCTTCCGTTTTATTGTACCGATGCAGAAGCCAGGAGGGGTTCTTCCACTGCCATTCGAGGCAGACAAAGGTTCCTCGAGATGGAAGACCTTCAGAACCCCCGCTTTGCATCAAATTTCTCGATCGAGCGCTGGGCTCATATTGGACACCAGGGCTGTGTCGGCGTTCGGCCGGGGCTCGTCTTTAGTCAGCGTTTTCCCGACCATACACAAACCTCGGCCAAACGCAGATGCGACCTTTGACTATGTCAGCCGAATGCCACGTCGGAAACAAAACGAATGATTTGTGTTGTCGTTGCCCTTGTCGGTTTAGTTTTGACCTGAGCTGCTAGCAGTGCACCAATTAGATCTCCTCCCCAGTGGTCTGTTGCAGGTTAAAAAGATCTCTGCTCGTCAAAATCTTCTCCTTTCCAGCATTTGCTGTGCTAAAATGGAAAGAGTGGACGGCTTTGTGGGAGGAGCTTGAATTTGCATTCTTAAGCTGCGACAGAGAATAGTCAATTTTGTCGCAGCCGCCACCGCTGATCCATGCAAGAATAAAAGAAAAGAAAAAAAAATCTTAAAATAGTTTGGCAATTTTTTTAAGCAGATGTAGCACCCTTCGCGTAATGTTACAATTATTCCGAAATAAGGTGACCCCTAGGTGTCGAGTATGGGTGGTGTTTTCAATCGTCCGTCTTTTCGACGAGTTTGTGGGGATTCCCTAAAGAGCAGACGCACGCGGCAACTTAAGTTCTCCAAGTCCCCGAGCTATTCAATCAGTGCGCCAAGAAACTGGGGAGAGAGAGGACAAGACGAGAGTGTGCGGGGACGTCGAAACATCACCGAGCTGCGGTTAGAATTGTTTTGGGTAGACCTAAAGCTAGCTGTCTTTGTTTCCACTGCACACGTCGAACGCATTCGAATGCGAGAGCCAAACGGCGGGTGCTGGCGCTCCGCGTTCTAACGTGTTGGACGGGTGCAGTGGGGACAAAGGCAAATACCGTATTTGCACGAATATAACGCGACCACGAATATAACGCGAGGGCAGTTTTTGATGCCCCCAAAAAGAAAAAAAAAAATATTATTACTATTATAACGCGAACCGATGCCGCGTCAATTTCTCGCACTCGGGGGCATAGCAGAAGTGAAAAGTCAATGGAAATAGAAGAAATATCAGTTTATGTTTTGACTGCACTTATCCTCACTGCTCAGGTCCTTCCGTTTACAATCCACTTGGCGACTACGCAGGTATGCAGCAGCACGGCAGCTGCTTGTCCGGTAGTTCTTTCTTCTTCCATGGGAGCTCCTCGGCAGCCCACAATCCAAACAAGGCGCAGGAAGCAGAAGCACCAACACACAAACACCAGACCACTCTGGAGCAGAAACTAAACAATGCGCAGGCAGAGAAAAGACAGCTGAACCCGATACACGATCACACTTCTTGTTCTGGTCCCTCTTCGTAAACAAATGCCTCGTGTTGCATGGTTGCGTAAACGCGGTCGGTGGTCTTGGCTTGGCTGGTGTTGACTTGACTTGGCCCGGCTTGGCTTGGCTCGAATTGGCCAATGCCCGCATTCCCGCATGGCGCGCGCGCGTGCGGCGTGCGCGCGCGCGTTGTAAAAACACAGAAGCGATGAAAATGCTTTTTTATGTTTTCTATTCGCCCCTTCACGTGGCCGAATGGCTAGAAAATGCCCCTCCACACCCACTTCTTTTTCCATTGGACCTTTTGCGTTGAGCCGGAGGGATGACTTTCTCCTCTGGCTTTCTCCAGACTCGCGCGCCCCGTGGTTGAACTCGATTCCGAATATAACGCGAGGTGCGTTCAGGAGCACGTAATTTCGAAAAAAAACTCGCGTTATATTCGTGCAAATACGGTAGATTTAGGTCTACCAACTAATCATTCCAACCAGAGCTCGGCGTACTGACATTCCCGCGTGTTCTCGTCTCCTTTTCTCCTTCTGTTTTTTGTGGCATAGACTCCTTATGTTGGCAGTGTGCCTCTGGTGGTTCGATTTTTCCCTGGGTAAAAGGGTCCCATGGTGCGACGAAAAGATTCCAGACCAGGTACGGTGAAATACCACTTGATCATTCTTGGAAGGACCTCAAAAAAAAGTTTGCGTGAAAGTTCACTTAGTCAATCGGCAAAATGGGGTTTTGCCTGAAAATTTTACGAGAGTTATTTATTCGAATGATTTGTTCAACAGGAGTTTTCTCGAGCGGTGTTTTACCGTAACACAAGGACCGTGGAGTCACTCGAGACAAGTTTGGTTTGCACACCGCACCGAATCGGAGTGCAGCTTTGCCGAGCTCGCCTCCCTCGCAGGGCGACGGGGTGCGTGCCGCTGAGCAGCTGTGCCGCTGCCTGTGCTCCCTGGGTCAGCGGGGGGACTTGGGCCTGCTGGAGTCGCTGTGCGGCGTCTGCTGGCAGGGGCTCAGGCAGGCCCTGCACTGGGCCCCCCTGGGGCTCTGGCTGGAGCAGAAGGCTGCGGGGGGCCTGGGCCTGCACCCGGAGGAGAGGGCCCGCATGGCTGCACACCTGGCGCTGGCTCACCTGCAGCTCGGCGAGCTTCACATGCTGGGTAAGGGCTCTCTCCTCGCCGTCTGCACGGGGCTCTAGACTCGGTCAGCGGAGTGCACCGACCGGGCTTGGGCGACGGAAGCGCGGAGTTGCCTTCGCGAAAGACCAGTTGGGTCGCTCCGTGAGCCTCGGCCTCGACTTTACAGTTTACGAGCCTCGGGCAGCACTGGTACGGTGTTTGGGACGCGTCTCCAACTGGTGTTCTTACCGCATCCAAAAATGGGCTACTCGGTCCACCCGACTGCACTGCAGAAGCGTTGTCAGGTGGATATCGGGGACCGGGTGTGCGACCAATATCGCCTACGCTCGGCGTCTGCCATATTGCACTACGTTGTTGAGGCTAGCATAGCTTCCAAGGTACCTTGTCATAGCTGCTCGCATGTGCAGATACGAGAGAAGTCGCATACACGCGCTCTCGCAGTAGTGTTCAGCTGCACTACTGCGGAAGCAAAGCCAGCCTTTTCGACGTGACACAAAGTACATTGCACCGAGTGCAGAAGAAAGTGTCTTGCGTCGTTGCGTGACGAATAACGTAACACGAAATACAGTCGATATAACACGAAATACAGTCAATATTTATCTGCATCGAGCACAAGAAATATGCATCTTGTGTGCAAATACATTAGATGAAACCAGCAAAAAAAAAAAAAAAAGAAGCGAGAGAAAGACACTTTTGTACTTTGCTTTTCATCAGTTAACAAACATGACATACAAACAAAACAATTTAAAGCGTTATGCAAGCCACATCATTCCGTCAATGCCAAGTACCATGTTTTCCGGACTCCGTGCAAGAGTGGACTATGCGAGGAATAGTTTGTTTCCCAGATTGTTCGTCATCACAAGATGCGGCAGATTTTGTAAGCGACCTTGCTTCACGACATCCCGTCACGACCAAATACTATGCTTGCATTTTTGAATATGTGATACCTAAAATGTATAATACTGTAGGTGTTGCGAACCAATACAGAAAAAATGCTGGGTCACGTTCTTTTGTTCCCATAGATGGTAAAATCCTTTCCCAAAGTTCTCAATAAATTTTGTTGGCCATAAAACAATCAAACTCGGCAATTTAGCCGGCACCAGTTTCAGGAATTGCACCTACGCAGGCTGCGACAGCCTACTGACCAGAAAACTCGCAGCTCAGCGCAGTTGGGCAACACTGACATAAACTTTTCAAGACTAGGGACGCACGCTGTAAATTGCCTGGTTCGAGACTGCCGCTGGAAAGGTCTATAGACTGGGTGTAGACTGCCCAGAGTGCGGGCTATCTAATAAAACAAATTTTCTCGGCAGCGATTTGCATTTGCAGACTATAGGCAGGGGGCAGATTAAAGTCTAGAAAATATGGTCTAATCTCGGCTTCCCAATTTTGCTCTCACACCCGGTGGCCTAGAGAGTTGGCGTTTCATCGAGCTGCAGACGTTTGAGCACGGTTGCTGAACGTGCGGGGGTCCTGCGCAGGTCACGTTCCCCGGTGGGGCCGCTGGCAGGGCCTGTCGCACGCCCTGAGCGCCCTCAACTGGGCGCAGGTGGCGGGGCCGGCCCAACTGGGACCCCGCGTGATGAGCAGGGCCTGTCTCGGGGCCACCCTGCGCCTGCTAGACTGCTGCCACGTCCGACTCCACTTTGCTCCCGTGAGGACCCCTCTTGGCCCCTCCCTGGCCCACCGTGTTCTGTCCCTGCTCTGCACCGTGACGTGACTCTGTGCAGATAGCGGGTTGGGTCTCCGGTTGTTCGTGGGAGGGAAACCGTTGGTGCCGGTGTAGTGCTGGCACAATGCCGGTTTTTGTTATGGGAGGGAGACTCTTCACTGTCATAGTGCCGGCATTTTGTTGCTTTGTGGGAGGGGAACTGTCGGGGTCGGCACAGTGCCGCTCTTTGTCTGTGAAGGGAACCGTTGGTACCGGCGTAGCACCGCCATTTGGTTTCTCTTCATCTGTGGGAGAAAAACTCACTGCCAGCATAGTGCCGCCATCTTGTCACTCTTTGTCTGTGGGAAGGAAACCGTCGGTGCCGGAGTTTCCCCTTTTGCAACAAACTTGCGTTAAATTTGAGAGATATACGTGCATTGCACCGCCTTTGCTCTCTCCTTTACGAGAGAAGTGAAGGAGTGCAGAAGACAGTGAAGTAATATGTAACAGTCAATGTAATTACGGCTTCGGATCACGGAGAAAGCAACTTGGTCACAGAGTTTCTCACGCTTTCAAGCCTGAGGGATGCGAGAAAAAGAATGTTCGAATTAAATCAGGGGTGGAGTCGTAAGCTCTCCAACCAAAGTGCTGTTTCTTTTATTGCATAACGTGCACCGCACGACACTGTTGGTGTGAGCAAGCGATTGCTATTTTCTTGTTTTCGTTTAAACGTAAAACGCTGTTGTCAGAACTACTAGTGCCACAGAAAGGGCTTATTATGGGGCACCAAGTTGAGCAGTATAGTTTGATTCTCTTCAATGCCGTGCCAGAGTACAGTCGAACCTGTATATATCGAATTCGAAGGGGATCATAAAATAGTTCGATATATATGTACAAAAGTATGTTAACTTAAGCTCCAGTTGAAATTTCCGTGAGTCTCCGCTAATACCGAAGGCCGCGACGAACGGGACCTTACCAAATAGAGCCTCTAAGAGCCGCTAAATACAGAAGAGCTTAGTTGGTGAAGATCACAAACACCACCGCATTTACGCGGCGGTGTTTGCGTTTGTTTACGCTGGGCCACGGCCTCCACACTGCGCCAACAACAAAACACGAAAATAATTTTAAAAAATTAAAAAAAAAAGAAAAAGCAAGTTGCATAAAAAAAAGAAAAAACTCTAAATCTATAGAATAAGGTTAAGCAAGCAAGAAAAAAGAAACCTCACTAAATTCAGGCAGCAAAAAAAAAGAAAAAAGACAAAAAGAGAACATTGGGCAAAGCAAAAACTGCAAAAGAAAAAAGTAAACAAAAATAAGGCGTTCAAAGTGAGATTGCTCAACTGTTGTTATCAACTCACTGAACGTGACAAAGACTTTTTTTTTTTTTTTTAATTTTGAGGCTAAGGAGTTGCTCAGCGACAGCGGTGTTGCGGGAAAGAGCTCACGCTACCATTCGGGCCCTCCCTGCCCTCCCTACGCGTGAACGTGCCCTTCCCTTTGCTTTTGCCATTTTTTTTCTTAACATTTTTTTTAAAATTTGTTTTGCAGCTGTTTTTTTTGCGTACTCCTATGCGTGTATGCTGGCTTTGGCTTGGTGGTCTGCCTGCCTTGCAACGCAACCTATGTGCTCGCTACCGGTGCAATCCGACCGCGGAAGACTCGATGGGCAGCCGTGCTTCGTTCGCTATATCGAGTGTCCCTGCCATGGGAGGCCATGGGAGTTCATACAGAAAAACAACGCTCCTATGCTTTTACATGTGATTTTAGAGGGGAGGTTTGTACTGTTCGATATAAACAATAATTTGAAATACCCGGGTGTGATATAACCGGGCTCGACTGTAACGTGCGAAAAAGCGGCAACGTCTTGTTTGCGTTGCGTCCTGCAGTGTACACCCTGCGGCACTTAACACGAACATGACGTAAGCGCTTCTTCGCATTTTACCTGTATAGGGTATGGATGGGCACCAGGGTTTATCCTTTAGGTTATCTAGTGTCCCAAATGAGCACTTTCAGTTGTACCGTAGCCTATCAAAGAATGAGAACGGGAAAGAGGAATTTCTGACGTCTCGCCTCCAGCGCGTGCTTCTTTACCTACGAAAGCGCCTCGAGAGTGCTTGTGTAGCCAAAGCACAGTGAAAGGGATGCCCTCCTGATCTCATCCTGATAGTTAAAATGATGGTTTTGACGGCAGTCTTTTAAGTGTAAAAGAAAAAGAAAGTTGGAAGTTTTTTGTTCTCCCTAACAGTGTCGCATGATACATAGGCCATCCCAGTGAACCTTTTGTTGGAAAAATGTCTGAAAACTTGGTGCCTGACCATGGAAAGCTCGAGCTTTCATCAAGTGTGCTCCGAGCAGGTCAGTCTTACCGCGTGACATTTCAAGGCGCTGTTCTCTTCCTGTAAAGAAAGGAAAGCAAACAACTTGCCTAAGTCAAGGTTGGGTGCTTTCGCAGACGACCGAGTAAGCTGCGCTATTTACTTGTGGCGCCATTTTCCGATAGGTGCAGAGAGTAGACGACGCATTCTGTTGTCAGCCCACTGCGCCTATCGGAAGATGGCGCTGCAAGTAAATGGCGTCGCTTAGATGGTCGCCCGCAAAAGCACCCAACCTCGACTTAAGCAAGTTGTTTCCTCTAATTTTTTTTACAGGAAGAGTACTGCACATTGAAATTTCATATGGTAAAACTGAGCTATACTCTTACATTTGGAAAAAGTTTGAGGCGCCGATTTGTTTAGCTCATTTTACGACAGAATGTCCGCTTGGGACACCTTATACAAAAAAAAATCCGGCATTGCACCAGTGTTACAACGGACCGGAAATTTTAATCACCGAAGATTCAGCGCTCGAGGTCGGGAGAGCTTTGTGCTGCGGATGTGCGACGGGTCCGTGCCAACCGTGGTTTTTTCCTCTGGCGTTTCTGCAGCGCCTGCTGCTATTCCAAGCGCGGCGCGTCTGGGGCCCCGCGGTGCCCTCAGACCTGCAGTGGGTCTTCGAGGGGACCGGCCGCAGCTTCCTCCTGGGCCGGGGCTGGGCCCCGCTTCAGGACTCTCCCTGCGTCCTCACCTCACGGGGGGACCCCTGTGAGTGGCGCTGCACCACGTGGAACGGGTCTCTGACTGGCACGTCTAGCGCGTCCTCAGAAGTGGTCCCTCAATTTGTGCCCGACGTCGTCGTCTTTGCCTGCCGCCTGCCGCGATGCCGGTGACGGCACGGCGGCAGAGGTGCATGTAACAGACACCCATTCTACCGTAGGTGGATCTCCGGCTCGACTGGCCACGGTAACTTGGGCAGCCAGTAGTCAAGATGCTGCGACGACACTGACGCTCGCTTCCAATTTTTCCGCGACTTTTAAGACCACCCGCCGAGGTCGCGGCATCCGACGGTATGACACGACGGCTTCTGCGGCAACATTCGTTGCTACTGGGGGACCACTTTCGACGTATGGGACACTAAACGTGCCAGTGGAAGACGTGGAGTAGTCAGGTCCCCACTTACCCCCCCCTCCCTCCTGCAGGCTCTCTGCTGGCTGCAGTGGCGCAACGTTACCGCGAACACCTGCTGGAGCGCGCGGTAGCAGCCCTGGCTACAGCCAGCAGACCCAGGTATGACTAAAGCAGGGGTTTCTCCAGCGAACCGGAAAGCGTGACGATCTCGCGAGGTCGGTTCGAGCTTTGGACGTAACTTGATTTGGGTGCGGGTTCTAACTGTCAGATATTGGTATGAAAGTTAGGGTTAAAATAATCTGTGAAAAGCAATCCCCAAGCCAATTTTATCAAAATTAAAAGAAAAAAGAAAATCCAGAAAAAAAAAAAGAAAAAAAGGAGATTTGAAGTTGTTTTGAAAGAAACTATCTACAGCTTTATTTTTGTTTTGACTGGAACACTGCCTAGGCTGAATTGTCCACAAGGCTTCTGCTTTCTTTTGAAACCGCACCCTTTATCTCGTCTCATATCGGTACCGGAATGTTTTCCGAACATTCGGATCATGCAACTCTTCCCTGGAGCTTGGGAAATCGCACGGCCACCGAGGAATTTTCTAAGAAAACACCCGTTTCATGCGCTTTCCAGAGAAAAGCGACGAGCAATCGAACGCGTTGCAGCAGACCGAACGCTCTTAACCCTTCGTCCGCTTTAGTTTTCCCATCTTCCGACACCCTTTCTCTCGTTCATCCTCTCAAAACCACCTCCGACGTCGGCGCTTCCGATTTGCCGTTCTCTGCTCCTGTCCTGACCCCCTTCCCAAGTGACCTCCCCTTCCCTCTCCGTGCAGCCGTGGGGACATGGACCCCCTGCGTCTTCTGGACCTGGTGGAGGGGTGCAGCCAGGAAGGTGGGGCCCTGGGGGCGGGCCCCATGGACGAAGGGGCCCTCTGGTGGGCCGGCCTGCTCAGGGTGGCGCTGCTCTGGGCCCGGGGCGACGAGGCCCCCGCCGAGGGGGCACGGCTGCGCCGGCTGCCGCCAGACACGTGAGGGACACGCATCCTTTTTCCGGTAGAGGGCCTGGGCTAGTCACTGAATACGCCATGCTCCAGAGTAACCAGGACCACTAAAGAAGCTACGCTTTAGAGACGCGGTTCCCAAAAGGTTCCCAGAAACTGAGAGGTTCCCCAGAGTGTTCCCAGGGTTTCCCCGTGCTCGAAAATTCCCTCGGCCGTCCCTATCCCGCAAGGAAGGCGTTGATCCAGTTCAAGCACTGTCTCGGGAGATCTGAGCCATTCCTTGACGCATGGCTATGTGCCATGCATTCCCTAATTGCTTAGTACCGAGACTGGGAAGTGGTTCCTCGACTATCCATCGGGATAGATAGGCGTTCCTAGGGTACGTTCGAAAAGATCTGGCCTAGACCACTGCACGTGGAGGTTCCCCGAGTTGGGGGACATTTAGTATGGGAAGGGTGCCCACTGAAGGTGCCCACTGAAGGTGCCCACTGAAGGTGCCCACTGAAGGTGCCCACTGAAGGTGCCCACTGAAGGTGCCCACTGAAGGTGCCCACTGAAGGTGCCCACTGAAGGTGCCCACTGAAGGTGCCCACTGAAGGTGCCCACTGAAGGTGCCCACTGAAGGTGCCCACTGAAGGTGCCCACTGAAGGTGCCCACTGAAAGTGTCCACTGAAGGTGCCCACTGAGGAGTCCCTCTCCGGTGTCTACAGGGATCCCCTGGCCCACGCCATGGCCCTGGCCCTTGCGGCTCGGAGGGATTTCCTGACGGGCCAGCATGCGTCCCCTAGGGAGACCCTGGCCGCCTGCGAGCGTGCCAGCAGCCGCCTCTGGGAGTGCGCCGGCCGTGGCTCGAGTCCGTCCAGCCAGGCAAGTGGTCGGGAGAAAGAGGGAAGGGAGCGGCTCGGCGCGCGACGACATTGGCGCGGGCCCCTGCGGTGCATTGCAGTTGCATTGCACGTCCACCGTACCGAGTGGTGCAGTGCTTCTGCAGTGCAGGCGCAGTGGCCGCACCCCGCAACGCACTTGGACACCGACGCCGTTTATTGCGCCTCGAAAAGCGTCGCCGGGGAGACGCATCTCTTGAAGGTGCATTTGGCATTCCGTGCCGGCCACACCGAAAGTGACCCCTAGGCGGTCAGATGATGTCGCGGGGACCAGCATATCACGCCACGATTTTCATGCAATTCTTGAATGTGTGCGATTTCCGCACGGAAAGCGATCGCTCGCAGTTGGTTGTCGCACGTATGACTGCGCCCTCCGGTTTCTGTGCCGAATTGGAGAAAAACGGGCAAGTTGTTGTTTTTGGTCCCACTTTTAACAGGGAAAGCGGACGCTTATTACTCTAATCTTGGCTCTTTTTAGAATGCACGAGACTCGTAGATTGAGCTATGACCATAGATACTGTACAGTTGCCGACCGATCTTTGGGACTTCGCAGGGACCGAAAAAGCATCCGAATAATAGAGCAGTCCGAAAAATCAGCTGATTGAAAACACTCGAATTTATTACGTCTAAGCGGGAGCCGTAAATAGTGCCTTGCTTCAGGTTACGTCTGCACGCCTTGTTTCAGGTTACGGCTCCGTTTGCGTTCGGCAACTTACTATTAGCTTGGCAATGGCTGCCTTCTTTTTTAACGTCATGGACGACTACTTAACGTGCTTCTTAGCGACACATCACGGCGACGGAAGTACAGATGGGGCAATGATGTGCAAGCGAGCGTAGTCCGAAAACACGATTCACCAAGATCGAGATGGGAGGTGCAAGTCCACTACTGCAATGGCGAATGAACAAAGCAAAATGGTGACAACAATAAAGTTGATAATGACGCGCAGCTAGAAAAAGAAAAAGCTGTACAGCGTCATTTAGCGGTAGGACTTGGCGGTATTTGAGTAGCGCTGCCAAACCAAGCCAGTCCATATGCAGCCAATATAGAAGTAAAAATGACCCCTTCTCGGTCGTGTTTTCCGCTGATCGCTCGCAACAATTTTGTCTGAAAAATCGAACTTGCGGATTTCAAATTGTCCGAAACATTGGTCGTGAATATGCACTATTTCTATCATGTAGGTCACGGTTCCTCCCTTGTGTCCAAAAGATAGAACAAGTCCAAATTAACGGCGTTTGAAAAATTGGTCGGCGACTGTAAACAACTTTATTTTTGTGGGATCAATATTTCACGAATTTGGCGAACTCTGGAATTCGGAAACGTTTCACAAATACTAAATTTTTGCGATTGGGAGTGGTATGCCATGTATTCCTTCCCACGGGCTAATGTATTTGCGTGGTTTATTTTTCGCAATAATTTGGAAAAAATAGGGCGTTTACAGTAGACAATATTAGAAACCACTTAGCACCCCTTTAAGGGAGATTGTTTCAGTTTGTTCAGGAAACAATAAAGGGACACTGACAGGGTATTTATGCTTACCGAGCCCAACTATCCAGAACAGAATTTGTGGGTCGAAACTTGTTTTCTTTCCGCCCGAAAACAGTCTGTCGAGAATTGGCCGGTTTCAGTCTCGCTCACTCACTCATTTCCACGGTCACGTGACGTCCAAACCATGTGTACCAAATATATTCAAATTTGTGGGAGACACGCATTCAATATTACGAGTACAAAAGAATATGAACCCCATTTTTTGTGGCCTCCAAAAAGTTGCAAATACGTTGAGAAAAAAAAAAAAAGAATGCTGCACAGATCATGGGAAGTACACATCGCAACACTGTTAGCGCAAACACGACATCGGCGCCTTTTCGCATTTCATTAGGAAAAAATATTAGTGGGCACACAATTTTACCCCTTATATGAGAGCCCTAAATGAGCTCTTTCTATGACAATGATATCTTTGATGAGAACCTTTTGGTTCTAAGAGAAAAACACAGAAAACTGGTGATTGCTTGTTCGCGCTAATAGTGTTGCGCTCTGTACATGTACAGTGCTCCCCAAACTTAGCGCCGCCACAAGACGGTTCGTTTTGGGCACGTCTGGTGCTATCCCTAGGCATACAGCTGGAACTACGTGATGAGGTTTTAGCTCCCTGATTAGTACAATTCGCCCCGAGAAAAACATTACAGCTGCTGCCGTGACCAGTTTAGCTTTTACTAGCCTGCAATAGATCAATATTTGGGTAACCTTGTGGCGGCGTCAAGTTTGAGGAACACTGTACATGTCATTCTCAATAGGGTGACGTACCGCGGACTAAATGACACGATGGCGGCGTACCAATGTTGCGACGGACGTGGGGCCGCTACTTCGGAACTGTTGTTCGTGGTACCAACCAATCGACTTTCAATTGCAGAACATCGAGCGGAAGGGATACAAGTGTGAAACAATCGCACGACAAACGATTAACGCAAGTTCGTCGTCGTTGTCGTCTGCATCAAAAATCGGAGAAGTGGAAGAAAATAAAAACTTGGTCGGGTGTAGCCACGTGATTTCCAGCCATGAGCTTCCGTGCTTGAGTTTCAGTTTCGAGCAGTTGTGGGTTTTTTTTTTTTTTTTTTGGCGTCATTAAAAATGTGTGACTCTTCTATAAAATATTTATTGGGGGGTTTGTTGACACCGTATTAAATTGCCTGGCAAAAAGTAAAAGAAAACGTTTGTGGGGGGTTTCAGTGTCCTTTTATATGCCCTTTCCACACGTTATAGGAGATAAACATTGCTGCCAGTTTCGTTTCCTTTCAAGCTTTAGTCGAGAGGTTGCTGAGAGGGCCCCCTTCCCGCCGTCCCCCAGGTGCTGGTACAGAGCGGCTGCGAGTGGCTGTTGCAGACGCGTGCCCAGCTGTGGGAAAGGGGGGCCCGGGGCCCCCCCGGGGCGGCCCTGGCGGAGGGCTTCCGCAGGGACCTGACCCTGCTCCGGAGGCTGGCGCAAGACGCCCCGCACCTGCAGCTCAAGGTGGGTCCCGGGCGGGCCGCCGAAACACACGCGAGAGTTTGCCCTCGTCGCGGCGTCGGAGTCGGTTCTTTTAGCACTGGGGTAGCATAGTTGTTTAGGCCCGAGTTGTTTGGCTTTTTTCTGGGGATGAACCATTTTAGGGCATCGCCGGTTCAAGAGGTTCTGGTATGAGAAGCGTTCTAGCATCGCAAACATTTAGCAACGCTCCCGAGTTTCCAGACACGAGATGCCTATGGTCACGGCACTCATTGTCGGACAGCTTAATGCGTACCATGTGTACGCTCGATAGTTGTTCCTAGAATGAAGCGACACTACCGCTGATTGGGCTCACGAACCTGACTATCTTCCAGAACCTTCCTTAGTCTCGAGCTCTTCTCTCTCATTGCATATAGGTGGGCGAGCTGCTCCTTGCCTATCTCACTACTCCTCACCTACCCCTCTGGTCACTTGACCTCCCTGTTAACCAATCGGCGTCGAGCACCTCATTCCTCCTCTCCCACCCGTCGACCAATCGGCGTAGAACCCTACGTTAGTTTAATTTATCGTCGTCACCGCCACGGGGGAGGGGGTGGGAAGGTCGTGCAAAAATATTGCATTTGTGACCGGCTGCTGCCACTTCAAATGTCTCCAAGTTGTTCGAGTTGCTCGCCCGTTTCTACATAAACCCGATCTCAACAATTTGCGTTGCGGCACTGGGACACCGTAACAACCAGCATATTTCGCATGCCTTACAAGATACTAATTCTGAACATACATATTTGGAACTTGGCACACGAATATCATTTGGTAAGAAGTTTTGCATAATTTTTTTAGAGCTTAAGTGGTGAAATATTAAAAATGAAGTGAAAACTGCGGTACTATGCCGGCTCGTTTGTCCTCTGCTCACCGGTTTGCAAACTTGCTCTCGGGTGGCTTGCTGAATGTAAAAACGTCGAGAACGCCTGGTGAAGGCTGGCGATGAGCGGGATAATCGCGATAAGTAATAATTTTAACGAAATACACGAACGACGACCACCGGGGTGCAAGCTCACAAACCGGCGTGCAGACGACAAACATTCGGTGTACGACATTGAAATGCACGGCTGCCGTCTTTGCACCATTCTTAATACTTAAGCAGCTCCGAGTTGAGCTCTAAAAAAGAAATAGACGTGAAACTTTTAGTCAAATGACATTCGCGTGCCCAGTTTCAGGTATGTACGATTAAACTTGCTATTTTGCAAAGCGTGCCAAATGTGTCCGTCCCTACAGTCACACCCTGTGCAGTTAATAGCGGCGTAGGAATCTCGGGGAAGGTCCACCTCCAGTGCGCACTCGTTGCCGTCTGCCAGGCTTTGGCTGCACGTGCGAGAAAGTGTTAACAAAGACAGAAAGCTCGCGCTCGAAACGGATCATCTAACGGTTTCTTATCCTGTCACCAACCATGCGGAGCACGACTTAGTCCGCCTTTTGCACAGGGGCTGTGGCGACGTCGGAACGTTGAGCTCTGACGGCTCTGATTGGAAGGTTAGTGGGTGGACCTCAATGCTAGCTGCCTTGAGGTCTACCCACTATCCTTCCAATCAGAGCTCGGCGTTCCGATGTCGCTGCAACCCCTGCTCAAGAAGGGGGCAAACTTGCACTCCGCATAGACCTTTTCTGTCGACCCTCGTCCACAGCCGTGTGCTCGCGCTTCCGGTACGGGCGATGGAGAAAAAAGCATACAAAGCGGGATGTTTTAAACTGGAACGAAAAAAAAAAGTATAGAAGAGAAACAAAAATCATGAGCCATTCCACTCTGTGAAGGTAGATGACCAGCGAAGCTGTTTAGCACACGACACAGACATGACACTGATTTTTGAACAAAGGTACAAACACATCTATTGTCTTGATCGGTCGTCATCGTGACAGAAGGTACGCACGCACATGTCGAGGACTATCGACGCCCCGAAAAGCCGGAGGAAACTAGACGCGCGGCGGGACCGCCACCCAGAGGAAGGAAAGGAAACTAGGCACTCAAGCACTTGGAACAATGGCAAAGAGAAGGCGGTGCAAGCGTAAACGTGGTCGACGCAGGTGTAACGGCGGCAAAGCTTCGAGAAATTGTCATTATCTACCCGAGAGTCTACTGATCTCGAAAAGGGTGCCTATTGATAACTAATCTACTGAAACTGCAAACCCAAGTGATGAGACATACAAGCTTTTGCATAAAACGGAGTGATTTTGCATCAAATTCGGGACCAGAGTTTCTGTTGACGCACACGAAAAATCCACAGAACCCTAGCCATAAACAGCTTTGCTGTAAACAAGACCGCCTTCCAGTTGCGTGGCGAGGGCAAAGGAATGCTTTTCAGCAGTTCAACAATTTAAGATGACGACGGCTACACGGAAGGGGCCTACGGGAAACTACCTGCCGGCAACCCCGAAATCGCCAGTAAAATTAGCTCGTCTCTGACGGGCCTAGAAGAGATAGCAGAGCCTAGACTAAAGCGTGCGTCCCCGTTTTCCTCTCCCGCGCAGCTGCAACTGTACGAGGCCACGATGCGAGTGCTGTGCGGAGCCAACCCCGTGCGGACGCAGCTCGCCCTGGACCGCTGCCTGCGCAGGAGGCTCTCCCACTACCCGTCTGTCGTGTGCGCCAAGGGTGAGGGGCAGGCCGTGCCACGCGGTCGCCTCGGTGGCGGCTCGTTCGTGGCAGTGTTCCATCCACCCCCCCCCCTTCCCATTTTTTTTTTTATCGGGACCTTACAAGCAAATCGGTGAAGTCAAGACAACGAAGTGAGAATGCACGAACGGTCATAATAAAGCTTAAAATGTTCAACGAAACTCCCGAGTTTCAAAAGATTGTCCCTCCGTCCAGCCGTGCATTTCTATTCTAAATTGAACAAAAACTACTCAGGCTTGAACGACAGAATGTGTGTCGTATGTGCTTAGATTTTTCTATCCTTTATCAATTTTCTTTTAATTTATTTTTACTTTATTATTCTTTTTTTATTTTGTTTCTTCGAGATATCGATTTTCATTTTTTATACTTATGAATTTATTGCTTATTTTAAATTTATTATTTTCATTCAAAGCTTGCCACTCTCGCTGGCTTTTTCGCATTCAAGTAAAAACGTTGACCCTTCCATAACAGCTGCACTAGTAGCTCGATGGCTGTAGCATTTAACTGCCACTGCACTGAGCCAAGTTTGAGCCCCACCGGGGGCTCGAATTTCTATATAATCTTTACATAAAACCTTAAGGTCTGCAATGCTCCCAGCGTGTAACTCGTTTGTGATGCTCATAATGACACTTGTTCATGACCATTTACTCGTAGGAAACGCCGCATTTTGTGTTAAGCGCATAACACATTTTGTGTTAAAAACTAATGTCGCATGATGCGACCTAGACACGAATTTGGTTCCCCCCATATCTAGTGAGGAAATTGACCTCAAGTGATCTACACACCAATCCACTTTGCCCACTAAATTTAGCGGGAAGATTAACAACAGGCAACCTATACACCTTTAGTTTCCCTGCTACATTTGGCGGGGAAATTTACTCCGTGTGGCCTGTACATTAATTCAGCTTCTCTGCTAAACTTAGCGAGAAAATCGGTAAAATGTAGGTACTCCACTTCCAAAGTGACCGGTGTCTTGAAAGGACAAAGGAAAGTAAAGCGAGATGGCACAAGAAGGGCTAGAGATTATAATACTTTTTGTTACACCTTTAAACTTTTAAAGTTCAAATTATGACCATTTGACAGAGATCTGTTTGGTTGGGGCAAGACTGTTTAACACAACTTTGGGGGGGGGGGCGGGGGGGGGGCGGGCGGGCGGGCGGGCGGGCGGGCGGGCGGGCGGGCGGGCGGGCGGCGGGCGGCCATCCAACCAAGCCCTTATTAGGGATCCGATTTCGAGGCCTGCTCGGCTTCACTGTCATGGTTGACTGTGGCAATGGCCATTAAAAGATGGTGTTTTTTTTTTGCCTGATTTGTTACAGTCACTTTAGAAGAAGGGGCCGAGCAGGCCTTGAAACATTCCTAATTAGGACTTGGTTGGACGTCCTCCCTTTTTAATTACTCCTCAAGCTTGCAGCATTCAACGTACTGGAGCTCTTTTCTTCCTCTTATATCCCCGCCATCATTCCTGAAACGTTGACAGCTGGGTGCATGCACGTGCAGGAAGCGTAGAGCCCGAGCCCCAGCGCGAGGAAGCGGAAGCCCTGCTGCTGTCCGTGAAGCACCTGGGCCCGCTGTGGGGTCGCGACCAGCGAGAGGCGCTCCTGGCCCAGGCTGCAGCCATCCTGGGTGCGCTGGGACACACGCAGGCCCTGGCGCACTGCCACCGGCTCATGGCCACTCCGACCCTGGCCGCCTGAGCGTTTCGGACTTACAATGCACCTCGAACGTTGCTTCAACGTCTAGAACGGTGCAACGCTCTTCTTGAGCCTGGTCCTAGAATCCAGTCTCTGGTCCCTGTTGCTGTCTCCAGTCCTTGACCTGAGTCTTTGATCCAGTCCGATTCCAGACCCTTACCCCCGTCCCTGACCCCAGATCTTGACCCCTGTCCCTGACCCCAGACCCTGACCTCTCCCATGACCTTATCTGACCCGGCGGCAACTCTACGCACGCTTGACTGACGAGAACCCCCTTATTTATTATATTTTTTCGTTATGCACACCCTTACAGGTTTGAGCCAGAGTTTTTATAAATGCTCGTCGTAGACATATACTCGGCGTCGACTATTTTGTGCTACATTGTCGAGGCCAGCGTAGCCTCCACGGTGCAGCAGCATTGCTGCGAGAGCATGTGGCTTTGCCTCGTGTCTCATTCGCACGCGCTCACGCAACTATGCAGTCGGAGCTTGGCATTCTGACGTCACCATAACCTCTGCAAAAGAAGCAGACGAACTTGCACTCACTTACTAGTTGTGCGCAGCATTACCAAAGGTACAGGGATAACGCAAGCAGTTGAAGAGGAGGGTAAGGAGGAACTCTTTTGTTTGCCCCCTTCAGAGTCTGTCACTGAATTTTAGCACAAAAGCGGCTTTCCTTCCTCTTCTGCCGGTGGCTTCCACGGCACTGCGCACAACTAGTTAGATGGAGTATATCTTTGAAAGCGTTGCAGCACTGCGGAAGCAACACTAGCCTCGACAACATAGCACATATAGCCAGTGCCGAGTATAGGTCTGCTTTGGGTCTACCTTAAATTTGCGCATTGTCAAGTGTACATACGCGTGCGCTTTGCTCTGGTTCAACCAAGCACCCATCCCATAGTGGCTTCCGATTTCACGCTCGATACATCGGGTAGACCCAGTCTGCAAGCTAGCTGGCTGCAGAAATCGGATCTCTAATAAATTTTTTTTGTACAGAGCGAGTCTCATCGAATTATTATTTAAAGTTGCCACGGGGTTCTGCCCAAAGCGCAGTCTCTGGACGTTCCGTGGAATTTTGTTGGCACGGCAATGAGGGAGCAAAATTGATCCAATGGGAGGTGGGAGTCGTTTTCGGCGAGCCGAGGCACTGTACTCTGTTGGAGCAAACATGTCAGTTCTTGGTTTTTCTTAGGTATTGAAGAATTGTGAGAACTACCATAGTGGTGGGAACTTGGAAGTGCTCAATTAAGGTACTGACCTATAGGGCAAGTTTCGATCCCCGGCGGTACCCTCCCTAAGTAAAACAAAAAAGCGCCGGATCGTGTTTGTGCAAACAGTGTTGTGCATGTACAGTGTGCTGCAATATGAAAGACCCACTTGGAGCGCGTGTCAGGCGGGGGCGCTGCGAGCGCTCCAGGCAATTCCATTCTGCTTCGAAAGGAGGACACTCGCTCAGGGCTCGGCACAAACTGACAAGCCCGTTGCTTTTTAGTTGAGCCTCGAGTGAGCGTCCTCCCCTCGAAGCAGAATGGAATTGCCCGGAGTGCTCGCAGTGTCCCCGCCTGCCACCGCCTCGGCCACGTGCTCCCAGTGGGTCTTTCATATTTCAGTGCATTGTACACCCTGATTTAGTGTTTTGCCACGTTCTCCTGAGGCTAGGAGAATGGTGCCAGGAACGACCGTTTGGTTTGTGTTTCTGAGACGGGATAACCGAGTTCGATGGTACAGGTTGATCTTGAAACGGTGCGAACATTACACGGACGGAGGAAAGAAGTGCACGTTTCAAGCGCAGACTAACTGAGAGGTGTGCAAGTGTTGTGCACCTCGAACATAGTCTTTTATTTTGTAAGGGGGTACTTCTAGCACTGTGTGACCACTACACTAACTGCTTTATTTGTAACACTGTTAGCACCCTGCTTGGGCCTGCAATATATTGTAAATAAATAAATAAAAAAACTGCTCCGTCCGAACGTAACGCTAGCGACAGCGTAAAAGAAATAATGGTCATAATGCACTTTCAGGGATTGCGCATACTTTCAAAATATTACCGGGTGAATTTCGAAACGCATTTGAGCCTGGACAGGCAAATGAAATTCGAGTCGGCTCCAAACACGCCATCGATTTCACCATCGAACTCGAGCAAACAAAAGCCGCAAGTTATCTCTGAACTGGATCCATACGTTCCGCAGTTCCGTTCAATTTTGAGGCCCTCATGCCCTCATTCCAGCGCTAGGGCGTGAGCTCCGGGCTTCGGTTACAGCGACTTTGTGAACATTCAACAACTGGCGTTGTGTTAAAAGTCACTTTAATAATGTTTTCCTTACTTTTTCGTGACGGTGCAGACTTGGAAATTTGCACTAGCAACAAATGAAACTTGCGCTCGTGGAGAACCGAAACAAACACTAACGGCCGTCATAGGGGTCATAGTACGGAAAGTGACGAAACGACGAATCCCTGCAACGCGCGGCGGCCACTGCTCGAACTATTCAGAAACTAATTTGATCGCTAGCGGCCTCTGGCGAGAGTTTACTGAAGCGACGGGCTTTGCTGTGCTGCCGTTTTGAGGGCGCAACTGCACAACATGCAAAAGACAGGTGAGAAATTTTGTTTCCCGGGGGTTTCGGCATTCAAGCGACTATGAGACGACCAGCAAATGTTTTAGAATGGCCCGTTCATTCGAACTCTTACGAAGCAAATTTGGTCGAATGACGACTGGTTTAGGATCAATTAGGCTTAGGTTTCTTGCGCGACCACAACGGTGAAAGACGACGATTGTTGGAGTACACACGACTGGCGTATCGCTGTATCCTCAGACGAATCGCTTCTGCACGGCGAGAAAGTTACTAGCGGCGAAAGCCGTCACTCTTGCGTGAGCGGGGCATTCCTATAAAAATGTTGATATTCAAAGACGCCGATCTAACGGATCCACACTTGCACCATCCGGCGACAGCTCGCTGAGCTGACTCACTTTGGCGATCTCCTTTATTATTTACGCGCAATTAGCAGCGTGCAGCTGTGAACACGCAAGCCGCAGGAGTGAAACTTGCACGCATTTAACTCGGAATGCGTCGCCTCTTCTCACGCAGACGTTGTTGCCTTGCAGCACTAGGTTTTCCCCGCATCGTTTTTTCGGTAAAGAAAGTCGGCGGGCGAGCTGGTCGTTTTTTTTTTTTCGGTGCCCTCGGATCATCTCGGCGATGTTTCTTTGTCCCGTTCGCTTGCGGCGGGGGGCTGTTCTAATGTCCTCGGGACGTGTTGGGAAACACTCTAGGGAAAGAGGCGTCCGCCCACACTCGACGGCTGCCGGGCATGTATTGAAAAGCGTTGCTTCAAGACAGGATGCTGTGTGTGTGTGCGCGCGCGTCATACCGGACGGGCGGGCGATAGGAGAAACGGGCGAACAAGATACAAGCAGAGCTAGTTCACCGCTCGTGTTTGCCGCCGGCCACTGGGTTGAGGTAGCTCTCGGGCGCTCGGTTCGGTGTGCGAGCCTCCTTTGCTGCATTTCTTGCAACCGCCGGGGGTAACGGCGTTGCCACGGCAACCGGAGCCCTCGTCAGTCAGCGGAATGGTGCCTCGTCGTCTGCTACATTTGCTTTGGCGGGCCGACGAAAGCTTGTTATTGGCGCGGCATCCGGCTTGGTTCGTCCGGATACGAGCATAATTTGAGAACGCCCGGGACAATACCAACGGGGCCGATTAGAGTCACTGGCCGACTTGAACGAGCCTGTGCACTAAGTGCCTAAAAAAAAAAAAAAATGGTGCTTTGTTTGTTTTTTTTGTTTTTTTATTGCGAAAAATAACTTATGCATTGCCAAATGCGTAGTCTCAGCCCAAATATAGCACCAGCAATCCAGACAAATGATGTTTTTTTTTTAAATTTTCAACGAGAAAATGAGGCCCATTCTTTTAATTTCCATGCATCCGTGGGCTTCGTCGACCGACATTTCCTCATTAACCTTATTTACATGAATGCGACTTCAGCACATCGACTCTAATTGTCCTTCGAATGATGCCGATGCGTCAACGCTTACATGGATGCGCACAAAGTCCTACGCAAGGGTAGCGCCATGCTGTGTCAAATCTTGTTAAAGCTGCACTTCCAATACCAGCCGCAACACGTGACCACGTTTTTCGGTGCTTTGCGTGCGGAGGTCCTTTTGACAAGCATAAAGATTGTGCCCGCAGTCTTTGATGCTGTGCAAGACATTAATGAGACTCGCTTGTAACTTTTGAAGCAGATGAGGCAAGCTCTGAAACATTGACGTCTGGTCCGAACCGCTAGGGCTACATTTGGGGAGAGACTAAGCGTTAGGCGATGCATAGTTAATTTTTTTTGTGTTGAAAGAAACGCTAAACTTTGTTGCAGACATCCTACACTATTTGGCCTCTATTGCTGCATGCGCTGCTGCTTTGCGCATGCTGACAGCAAGCTACCACAACATTTTTTTTCAGTCTCGAAGCTGTTGCTTGTGGCAGACGATAAGTTGCTTTACATACCGCATGCGCAAGTGACCTTATCTTAATACCTCCACCCTTCCCTAGAGGGCTAAAACTTTTGTCAAAGGTGTATTTTAGTGGTAGATTTTATTGTGTGAAATTATTAGGTGCAGCTCCGTTCCTGTGAAAAGTTAAACATCCTTGATATTTTCAATAACGGACCTGGGCACAGCAACAAGGTCAACTGAGATTTGCTTGTGGCGCCAAACTATTTTGTCATCTCAGGAGGCTGATGGAACAAAACATTGTTTGCCTCCAGTCATAGCGTTTATGACTGGAGTCAGCCTCTGTGACTGGAGTCATAACCTCTATGCGGTTAAAGCTTGCAACATCTTCCTCAACGAGTCCCTGAAATTGGGAGAAAGAGAGAAAGAAAAGCAAATAGTATTCATAAAACTAGTATCTTTTTCTTCTTCTAACCACTAATTTGTTTTATAATTGGATTAACTCACCAATAGACATTGCTGAACTGCTAAAAGCCAAACATCACGTTAAACTAATATTTTTTCTCAATTACTGAATGTTTCAATCCATAGTGCCATAGCCTTCAGTGATATGTTTGCTGCTTTAGAGGTAAACTACAACGAAATTTCGGCGCTCATTTTTTGGTCTATATGTGTTCAAAAGAGCAGTATCACAGGGAACTTACCAATATCTTGTTAAAAAAGTCTCGAAAAGGAATTTTAAAACGAATTAAACGATTAGCAAAGAGCACCTGGTGGATGTCGCTAACGCCTCGTTTGTAATGCTCGTCTAGGAACCTTGACAGCTAGTGACGGAGGTTGTCTTGTCTCCGGCCACGACGAGAGAAGGGGGAAGGAGGAACTCCCCTCTTCCCGAGAATCCCTTTTGTGTGTCGCAGAAGTCGCTATTGTCCCTTTAGAAGATTATGGAAGATTAACCCGTCACTCAAAATTCGTACAAAAGCAGCCGCTTCGGTGGCTGGAACGACTAGGCCATCCTCTCGACGTCAGCCTCGCCGTAGCTTTGCTCGTCTTGAGACGACCTACGTCACGATTGCGTTGGATGTCACGTGCTCTAAGCTGGGCCTTCTTTGAGCGCTTGCCAGAGTGGGCCGTTTATAACGAAAAATACAGCCACCAGGATCAAAATACAAACGTGCGATTGTCATTTACAGATATTTGGATCATATTCAACCTATTTTTGAACACGACGGGAATATTTCAAATTTCGTTGAAGTATCCCTTTAAAGAGCCTTTTACCCTTGTACATTTTGCTAAAATGGGAGGAACTTGTGCCAACATTGTGCCAACGCTTATATTCACTTTATTAATACCGATAATATAATAAATGACGCACCGCTACACGGCCAAATCCTTACGGTAGACTTGTGCGAATCTCCGAGACTTTGTATTATCACCTAAAATGACATGATATTCAATTTGATCTCTGTATCAAACATTGACAGTTTTGGAAGTTTGGCAATATTTCTCACGCCTGTCTGTTTTGGCTAGGTAGCTAGCATTGTTGAGTGCTCTTGTCATTGCGCAGTTGTGAACTGCAGTAAAGCGACAGCTGTTTAGTAGGCGTCGCAAGTATGTATACCATGCTTCGCCGCGGCGCACCCGTGTGCTGAGGGAAAAGCACTCCTCCAGAGCGGGACGTTATACACGGTGTCTCAGTACAACTGCACATAGTATATACCAGGGGTGGCCAAGCTGCGGCTCGCGAGCCGCATGCGGCTCTTCGCGTGTTAAAGTGCGGCTCGCGGCTCCCTCCCCTATCCCCCCTCCCCTTTTCCCGCCTCCCTCCCAGTCACACGAGCACTTCCCCAAAAAGATAATAGGAACGCGCTTTAAATCGAAAGACAAGTTGCGGTTTGGTAGTGTTGTGCGTGCTACTTCTACCTCACGTACAGTTGGACTGCTTTTGACTCGGATAGATTAAATATTTCAAGTTTCGTTTATTGCCCTGGAGAAAAGTTTGCCCCCCCCCCCCCCCCTCCCCCGCGGCTCTTTCAATTTTTGGTGTTTTGTTTGCGGCTCGTAAGCCGGGTTAGTCTGGCCACCCCTGGTATATACATATGGTAGACTGCAATATTCTGATAATATATTTTCACATTGGAGGTTCATCGAGGATGCTCGAATCTTGCGAGAAAAGTTTTATTTTTCATGTTAACTCTAGTTTAGTGATTACCTTTATATAGGTTCCATCCTTTCGACGGCACAATGAATGCAGTAAATTTGAACTAAATTTTCACATTGGAGGCTCATCGAGACAGAAAAGCGAGCATTTCTGTCTCGTCGTTTACCTGCGAGTGAACGCCTCAGCGTGCTTCGTTTTTGTTGTTGTGCTCGACTTGTTTCGTGGTTGGGTGAGATTTTTGTTGCGCTGTTGAGTGCCACAACCACCGGGCAGCACATGCGAGCCAAGACATGACGTTCCACACTTTTCTGCGAGACGTGCAGTGACGAGCAAAATGGATCGTTGCCGTGTGTAGGGGCTGGGTTCCCGTCAAGATCGAGATCCCGCTTATGCAGCAATCATGTCACAGAAGAAAGCTACGAGCTGAGCTCTAAGCGGACAGAAGGCTCGTAAGCTGAGGTGTGATGTTGTGCCAACGATATTAAACTATGTCCATCCACTCCTCGCCCAAATCGGATCAATCGATTTGTTTATGCAGCGAAACCGAAACCAACAGCTAGACCACCTGGAATTTGGAAACGATACCAGAAGTTGTATTTATCACGCGTGCAGCCAAATTCTGTTTGACCCGCATGTGCAAATAGAGCGTGGCTACCATTCACCAAGCTCGTCCATGTCAAGTGACGACATGCATTTTAACGATTCGCCGGTTGCCTTCGACCCGCGGTCATTGCCTCTGAGGGAAAGACCCGCAGCCTCAACACCGATCCAGCGGATCTGCCGATATGAGTACCCAGGTACCGCTTCGTGTACCTAGTTGCCTCTTCAGAGGCGTAAACTGCATCCTTTGCTTTGCAAGCGCTCCTAATTCGATCGGTGGCCGTCGCAGTTGTGTCTGCGTGAAACGGCATACGTTTGCTCGAAGCTTATGGCTGTTTTCAAGTAATATCGTGGTAAAAGGCGTGTCTTTTTTTGTAGATGCTTGGGAACTGCAATAAAAGAACCGTATTTCAGTAGGGTACAGCCTAGGACAGTGGTTCTCAACCATCAATGTTTTGCGGACCCCTTGTGGATCGGCGGAAAGGATGGAGGACCCTGTTCGTGGTGAGAGGAGAGGGAAGGTATAGGTTAAATATCATAATGATTTAATAAATGGATATAACTAAGGGCTAGTTGGAAAAGTACACCTCTCTTATTGACTTTCACACGAAAAAACTCGCCCAAAAACTAAAACATTTCTTTTCAACCTAAAAAAAAAAAAAAAAAAAAAAAAAAAAAAAAAAAAAAAAAAAAAACTTCTATTGTTGGGCTTGACTGAGGAGGCAGGGCTTCGCGGACCCCCATTTGAGAACCACTGGCCTAGAAGACTATATAATTCGAAACAAAGTACAAGATGCATTCATTAAACAAGGCTTATTATCTCGACCACCCGACAAACCTTTGCATTTTGTGACGTCACGCAGCAGCTACGGATGTCAGCCATTGACACTGGCGAAATTCGGGGTGCAGTTTCGTACATATGCGCACGAAAGGTTTAGCGAATAACAGGAGATCATATATCAAAATAAAAATGTTGTTTGTCTACATGAAGGGTCCCTCGACGTAACAAGTGCGAAAACTTAAATACTTCCGGTTTCGACCGGACAATCCCTTTAAAGAAAACATCAATTTGGTTACTCAAAATGATTATATTCTGACATTATTTCAGTGAAATATACTATTTGGTTTAAGTTTTATTTCATACTTAAAATAACCATGCGCAGAAGTTTGTACTGCCCTTTGTCAGTCACCTTACGCTTCTACGCACAATTTATTTGCTAGCTGGGGCTCAAACGTGCCACGCTGTTAATGCCATCAAAAGGTTGCACAGAAGCTGGAAGGCAAAGTAGACATAAACACATAAATCTTAACTTGATATTCAAACTGGTATGAACAAGATTTAAATGTGTGCTTTGCTCCAAAAGTACTTCTTGCTGCTCCGAAAGATGCTCCAAAATTACTCTGACCAGTCAGATCACTGTACCCTTGTTAAAACTGAAGGCACCAGCTACTGCCCGTTAAATAGGGTACAGCCATTAGCGTACATCCATCCATCTATGGCAGGCATAGCTTCCCCGCTCGGGTAATAGGACTTGTTCTCAGCTGATTACAGGAAGTTTGGTGGTGTAAAATAAGTGCTACAGAAGCTCACTCTAGCACACGCTGAGCAGCATGACAGAAATGTGCAGCACCCTCCGTTTTCTAGACTGCCTGCGTGACCCAGAATTCTGGCCGTTGGTGCGTCACACCCCCAAAGTGCAAAGAAATTGGAACCTTAGTTTTGGCATCACCTTCATTTGCCATTTTTGCAATAGCTATTCTAAATTTATAGTTTGTAAATAGCATGTTGGAAAGAGTAGAGCCTGGGTACTCGGGAAATGTAGTTAGTTTGGTTAGATAAAAAAAAAAAAAAAAATTAGTGTACCCCTCTAACTGTTTAGAAGAGGCCATGCTATGAGACATGGCACATTCCTATCAAAAATTTCCCGAAGTGGCAAGAGATGGCGTTGCAGGATCCAGCGTGTCATATGTCGGATGTCGCGATGTAGTGGTTTGACGTAGAAGTCCGGGCAAAAAGGTAGGAGCGAATGCAAGTGTCGCTGTCGTCACGACGCTCCAACTCTTGGCTGCTCAAGATTCCATGGACCGCCAAGCCAGAAAGCGACTTGCAGTAAAACAGGCGTCTGCCGCATCCGCATTTTCTGCTGTGCTACTGTCAGGATCTCTGCAGGCAACAGCGGGACACCGTTACGGTGTCATTTTGAGGAAATCGGGGGTCTGCATTTGAGGACGCGGTGAATTCAGAGACACGATCCAGGCACCAAGGCGTTACCGGGCTTCCCGCCAGCTTCAAAGCAAATTTTCTGTATGGAGATCTAGATGGCGGGTGCCTTGAGAGGGCCTCTAACCTTCACCGTTCCCCTCTCCGAGTTAGTGAGGTTGAAAAGTCGTCTGTAACCAAGGTGGCCACAGCTCGGATATTTAAGACAGAATGAACCGCTCTTGCTGCCTTTCTGCGTGCTGGCCACCCCGACAAGCCTTTCTGAGGAAACGTGGGCTTAAGTTGCATGTATCTGTGAGGAACAGTTGGCTTAGACTTCGTACATCATGCTCCAAGGGTACAGTCTGGCTTCTCTTTTATTTCTGTGTCGCACCTGTCTTGTGTGTTCGCCCGTTGGTGCATCTGTGTGCGGGCGATCTGTCCTAGAAACGTTGGTCAGTTGTCTCAGTCGAGCGTCCGTCGACACTTCACGAAGCAGTGTGGGCAGACGAGGCTGCCAGACAAGCAATGCGAGGGCAGTATACGCAAGAATGTCTGTCTCGCATTGCTGGGCCCAGCTTCACGGCCTCTTATCACGCGCAGGAGGGTACCTAAGCTCTCGGGAGCACTGTGCCAGGTCTCGCTTTCCATTTGCACGCACTGGCACCCCCCAGGCAGTGCCCCACAGGACTAACGTGGCCTTTGTTGCTCCCTTCCCTCCCTCCCCCGACTCCCTGGAGCTAGATTTCCCCAGCTATAGTTCCAGTCGCAGCAGACACGGTGAGTTTCTGCCAGCTTGCACAGTCCTCCTTCCCGTGGTGTCGCTTTCCGAGGTCTCGTACCTTTGGTGACGGGTCGTGTGCATGCTGCTTGCATCCTGTGGTGTGTTTGCTGACCAGACCGGTAGACGGAGTTTAGTTGGTGTCATCAGCCTCGTCTCAACACTTGCGCGACTATGTTGGCAGCGCGTGAACCATGCACAGTCTGGGCAGCGGGACGCGGGGGTGTTTGCATTGCCTTTTGGAAACACTGTTGGGGAAATCATGCCGTTCACCCTTGTTTGGCCACCTTGCATGGGTCTTCGGTGGTCTGTAGCTTTTGCTTGTCACAGGAGAGTTGGATGAGGTACTAACAGAACACACAAGCCCCGGATACTCCCATTAAAGGAATTGTGTGGAAACAAAATCTGCCCAACTTTTATTTTTATTTGATAGGTTTTTTTTGGAGGGGGGGAGGAGGGGAGGGGGAGGGGACATAGTTTGTTGGAACTGTCAGTCATCTCGGGCTGCACGGCTCAAAAATGGTGGCACGTCTGTGGCGTTGCGGTTTCCTTAAAGGAGCTGGGCAACGATTTTAACGTTGAAAGAATTGGCACCTTCTACATTTGACATTGTTTATCTTGTCACAAAGGACAGAAAACACACTTCCTTCTTTCGAAATGTTGCGGTTCCGCCGCGTAATCGCGAGGGAAAAATTGGAATGTTCCCCGACCTGCAGGCGCGAGCGGTGGCCATGAGAAGCACGCTGCATGACGTCAATGGGGGTCTTATAGAAAGTTGTGCGAATACCTGCTCGATAAAAGGTAACTTTTCTATAAATCTTGTCATTCCAACATAATTATAGATGCATCAAAAACCTGGTATCATCGACGAAACTTTTATTATACGGAGTTTTAGTGGCGCCATCTACCTGGGTCCACAAAACTGTCAGCTCTACCTGCTACCGCGAACAGCCGCCAGAAGCCGGAGGGGAAAGGAGACAGAGCCGGACGGGGATGGCCGGACCCATATGAGACTTTCCTCCTTTCACCATATTGTTCGTGCTGCGCCAGCAGGTGGTCACGCGGTCGCGAGGGGGTGAGTTCTCGCTGCTCACTGATGGCTCTAGAGAGAGAGCTTCACCGGAACCCCGCACGACCCCCATTGACGTCTTAGCACACGTGACTGAAGATGGTGAAGGAGTTGAGAGGCGCCGAAAACCGCAGCCTTTGTCCATTTTGAAAATAAAAACTAGGACATGCAGGCAAAAGCGGTTTTTTGTTCTTTACTTCAGAAAGGTCGAGACACCAACTCCCAAATTATTTAAGCAAAGCACGGAAATTGTTGCACAGCTCCTTTAAAGGGGTACTCCACCGATTTTTTGAGCTACCTCAACTAACTATATTTTCTGACTCCCCGGCCTTTACTCTCTTCGGTATGCTATTTAGAATCGCGAAATTCATAATAGGTATTGTGAAATCGGCAAGTGAAAATGATGCAAAAACCAACATTCAAATATACGCACACTTTTCAGTGCCGTGACGTCAGTGGCAGGCAGGCTTGCCAGTCGAGCAAGCAGCCAAAAAATAGTATATGCCAATCATTTGTTCCGTCTGGAGCGCGGGTACTGCAGCGAGCTTCCCAAGCATTCATTTGACATCATGAAACTGCTTCGAATCAGTTTAAAACAAAATCTACAGCCCAAAAAGCGAACCCCTGCCTTCTACTGACGTCACTTTTTCATTGTTGCCAGTAGAGACTTCGAGCTTGAAAAAGACGGTGAGGACCATAACTGTAAATTCAATAACTTTGCAAAAAAGCAATATTTTGACCTAATATTTGGGATACTATTTTCACGATGTTTGTTGGTTAGTTTAGTAAAATTTCAAGCAAATCGGAGACAATGAAAAAACTTGTGGAGTACCCCTTTAAGCGTCGGATTGATGGTGTGAAAGAAAAGGGGACATACGCGAAAGAACCTAGTGTGCGCTCGAGCTGCTTATCTCCGACCATGGACACTCTTTGTTGCTAAAATTACTCTCGAGCCTGAGACGTGCCACCATCCTTGAGGACTGTTGCCTCAGATTTTCGACAGATGGTGCCAAAATGACCGGGGGTTTATTACTGCCGAGTTCACCATTTGGTAAGTATTTCGGCAAAAGATATGTCAGTATTTTGCTACCGTGAACTATATTAGAGCGTGGAACAAGCGCATTTTGTGGCTAAGGTGTTTCCCCTCCAGCCTCTGGGAGGCGGTGGGTGTCCACTCACTATGCCTCACCTTCTCTTGCATGCTGTCGGCATCGCCGGGGCACCCGTGTTGCCTGGACACGCCCACAGTCGTGAGTGTTGTTTTTTTCCCTCTTCGCTGTCCGCTTCCCTGGCTTATTCTTTTGACACATTGGTATGCGGAGAGCAAGTTGTCTGCTTCTTGCGCAGGGGTTGTGGTGACGTCAGAAAGACGCTGAGCTTTGATTGGCTCTGATTGAAGGATAGTGGGTAGACGTCAAAGCAAGCTGCCTCGAGGTTACCCACTATCTTTCATTCAGAACCAATTAGAGCTCGGCGTTCTGACGTCACCACAACCCCTGCAAACGAAGCAGACAAACTTGCACTCTGCAAAATGCAGTGAGCATGGTCACCTGATACGTTCAATGCTCTGGATGGGATGGCTGGTAACATCCTCTATCGTCCATTGTAAGGCAATACGAAGTATAGATTAAAGCCCCATGTTGCCAAAAAAAAAAGTTAAATTCAAATTATGATCTTAAAACAAGGAGAAAATTAGCCATCTGCGTTTAACCCCTATTTAAAGCTCTTTTTATTTGCGTTCCACCCATCGAAAAGCACAGTGAAATAGCCCATGCGTTTGCCTGAACTCGCCACACCTCCGTTTCTCCACACGATAAAGTCCGTCTGCTATGGTCCCCGCCGAGAGCCGGAAGCGGTTGCCCGATGGGCCAATGGCCGTTCCGACGAGGCTTGCTGCAAGCTGGAAATCGAAATTGTATTCTCTTTTTTTAAAGTGGAGCAGATCAAAGCGAGCGGTGACTACATACAATGCAGCCTGTTTGAAATCCTAGGGTTCTGGCTAAGGACTGTCCAAACAAGACAGCAAATGCCATGCACAGCAACAAAAAAAAAAAAAAAAGCGAGTATGCTTCTCAAAAAAACTTTGCGGTGTGCACATATGTTTTCAGTGAGGGCATTAACCATGCAAACAGCAAGGCTTTCCTCTTCACCTCCTTGCTGTCGCCTTTTCGCCTTATCTTTGGGCGGTTGGGGACTGACAACAACAGCTGAGGCCTTGACGACAGCCAGTAGAATGTGCGGGTGACTGTCCGGACCCACGTGATAAGCACACTCCAATCCTCTGTCTTAGGACGGAAGCAAAGGGTAGCTTTCATCCAGGTAAAAAGAATGTCTCAAAGCAGACTGGAACTGGAGGGAAACCTACATTTTCGGTACAGCAAATGCTGTGAACTGCAGAAAATGTGTCCTGCTGGCACAGCTGTTCACCGAGTCTGGAGGAACCAGGAGCAGATTTATGGGGGAGGGGGGGGAGGGTATGCAAGGGAGCTACCCCTCCAGTCAACTTTTTTAGTGAAAAAATTTACATATACCATCTTTTTTAGGAAGATAGGTTTAGTTTTGATGACATATGAAATATTAGGTCAACAAAATAGATCTGGGCAACGTTTCACCTATGACACATTATCTGCCCGTTTCATCCATTCGGTAAATGCTTCGTTGCTGCAGCAAGTGTGTGGCAAAGCAATGACCCAAGCTCTTCCCACACTTCTCAACGAGGGCCGCACATGTCGTCTCCTCTCTCGCAGCCGCTCTCTTCCAAGCGGGAGATGTTCTTCCGCGAGGGTCCCCCGGTGCCCGGCACGGTTCCGGCAGCTGCGCCTCCGCCGGGTTCGGCACCGAGAGAGGGTGGCACCTCGCCGTACGCCAGCAACGGGCGCCACGAGGCGGAGGGCTACGTCGGCTTCGCCAGCCTGCCAAACCAGGTGTACCGGAAGGCCGTTAAGAAAGGCTTCGAGTTCACTCTCATGGTGGTCGGTAAGGCTCAAACGTTCTCGAGGACGACTCTGTTGGGAAACCCGCTTTTGAAACGAGGAACCCTCGCGTCCGTGGGAGCCAAACCGCGGCGAGCCAGATACGATGACGGTGCTGCCCTACGATGGTCAGTCCAAACTCGTGAGATGTCACACTTGATATGAGCTTGAACGGTCCGTCCTGCGTTAACAAAACTTAAGAGACAGTAGAGGCTGTGAGAACTGAAAAAAAAAAAAGGAAGGATCGACTGTTTCAGGTCATATTGATTGTGATGGTACATAATCAGTTTTGAGTTCAGGGTTATAGCTTACACCACGATGTCAGCTTAGGAGTTATAGCTCAGCGCCGAAATCGGGAGTCGGTTCCAGTTTTTCGGTGCAGGCTCCGCAGCAGTTTCCCAACCGAGTCGGCGCGGTAACCTCGGTAAGGCCAGTTTGGCGTCCCTCGTGTTGAGACACGCGTTCCCCGGGGCTGCAGGGGAGTCCGGCCTGGGCAAGTCGACGCTGCTCAACTCGATGTTCCTGACGGACGTGTACTCGAACGAGTACCCGGGGCCCTCCCAGCGGGTCAAGAAGACGGTGCAGGTGGAGACGACGCGGGTAGTGCTGCGCGAGGGTAGCGTGCACCTCTGCCTGACGGTGGTGGACACGCCGGGTTTCGGGGACGCCGTGGACAACAGCCAGTGCTGGCAGCCCGTGGCGGACTACGTCGAGGCCCAGTTCGCCCGCTACCTGGACGCCGAGTCCCGGGTGCACCGCTCGGCGCTCTCCGACGGACGGGTGCACTGCTGCCTCTACTTCATCGCCCCCTCGGGTCACGGGTGAGCCCCCGGGGCCTGGAACTATGCCTCTTTTCACCGCGACTCTGTGAAGAGCGAATGCTTTGGCCCCCTCGAACCAGTCGGAGTGACGGAAGCGAAGCATGTGACAGACCTTACCAAAGCGTGAACTGAAACACTGGATCTGAACTCTTGCTACGCCCATAGTTTCCACTTTTCGTTCCCTCGTGTGTTTTCGCCGAAGCTTCTTTTAAAAAATGTGTCGCAAATTTCCCTGCAGTTGTGTGACTACGTGAAACATTCTTGGTATAGTGCTAGTGGTGCTAAACCACTAGCGTTAGTATCAGTTAGAGTTTTCTAGTGTTAGGGTAAGTTAGTGCTAGTCAGTAAGTGGTGTAAACACCACTTTTCGCATGCTAATTTTCCCGCGAAATCTAGCGGGAATACTGAATTTGCGTATAGGTCACGTGACATCAATTTTTCCACTAAGTTTAGGGGGGAACCTGAATTTCTGTAAAGGACACGTGACACAAAGTCATGTGGCATAATTTTTCCTGTTAAGTTTAGCAGGGAAACTGAATTTGTGTTTAAGTCATGTGACATCAATTTTCCCACTAAAGGGGGAAACTGAATTTACGTATAGGTCTTGGGACTTGAAGCCATGTGACATTATTTTCCCCGCTAAATTTAGCGGAGAAATTTGCAGTTACGCTCCTTGACACTTCATTTCATCTGAAAACCTAGCCTGTAAATGTTTCATGCAAGAAACAGCCTGGAAGGTTGTTTCAGCTCGTATTGCTCGTGGTAGTATGGGAGCGAGAGCGTAACCCAAGCAGTTGGGAAAGAGGTGAAGGAGGAACCTTCCACTTACCCAGGCCCTCTTTTATGTGTCCCAGACAATTGTTTCGTCCTTATCAGAGATTAGCCTGTCGCTCAAAATTCGTACAAAAGCAGCTTTCCTCTCTCTTATGCGTACAAGTAGTGAGATAGACTATAGTCACATGTCTGCCCCTGGCGCGCTGATTGGCCAAGTGGAATCTTAGCATTCGCCGTTTGCCAAGTTACATTGAGACGGAGTATAGGGAGGTTGCAAACCTCCAAATGTTTGCTAAAATTTTACGATATTCGTTTTGAACTGTGTTTGCCCGACTTCTGCACAAAAAGTTTTTAATACAAATTACTTTATAAGATTGCTGTCGCGAACCTCCAAACTTTTGGCAAAATTAGACAAAATTCATCTTTACCTCTGTTACTTGACCTCTACACAAATATCTCAAGTTTCGAGAACAGTCTTTTATATCGCATAGTGTTCTACATTTGAAAGAATACTTACCTATGTCTTTCCAATAAAAAACAAATATATCAACTTCTATAATAGAGTTAGTTTCTCAAAAGCTGCACCCCTCTTGCACTCACAATGTCAGCTCTTTTTCAGTTTCTGCGTTTTCTGTTTGTGTTTACCAAATCCTCGTTCGTGTTCTCTCAATTTCCGCTCAACAATGTTGCACGTGCGTCGGTCCGTTTGTGCTACACTCCCGACGGTGGCACAGCAACAGACACGGCGCTTCCATGTCTGCTGCTGCTGCAAAACGGGTGTTGCAGACACCCGTTTTGCCGTGTGTCACACTCCAGCGCAACAGTTCACGAAGGTTCGATCACCCAGGAGTTTGGACGCTGGGAACGACCGCGCCATTTGCACTCATCCGTCTTTTTCGCCGGCACTACGACCAACTGCCAGGATTGTAGCATCCGACAGCCCCACACATTGACTCCCGTGGCGTAAATTGGCGGCACCTGGGGGAAAACAAAAAAGATTTGACATTCGTGTTTAGACGGCGTAAGGTCGGTCTGCCTTTGAGGTATGGCGACGCTGGTCCACGCTAGATATGAGGAATTCAGTTAGTGTGTTACTACTGCTAGCTTGGGGTCTGTAACACGATCCCAAGCTGTTACACGACAGCATGCCGTCAGAGTGTCCATCAAGATCAAAATGGGCAAGGATGTGGACCGAACCCCGGGCTCTACGGCAGGAGGTTTCGCTCAACGTGCTCCGAGTCGCGGTGCGCTAGAAAGCTTGGCCGCCGATCCCTCTACTTTAGGCCTTCCGACGCGCAGGCGGCATAGGACACCAAACACGCCAGTCGAGGACGCGTTCGAGGGACAGCGTCCCCAGAGTCTGGGACCGGGTTCTGAGCCCCGTGCTGGTCTTTGCGCAGGCTCAAGCCCCTGGACGTGGAGTTCATGAAGCGCCTGCACGACAAGGTGAACATCATTCCCGTGGTGGCCAAGGCCGACACCATGACACCCGAGGAGTGCAGCCTCTTCAAGAGGACCGTGAGTGTCGGGCCAAAAACTTGCGCTTCGTGTCGCGTCGACAGCGAGCGAAGCAGGAGCTGCAACAGCGGGTACCGCGCTTTGGTCAAGCGTACTGGGCGTGTACGCTCGCGCAGTGAATGGGTCATTCGGGGCAACACAGTCACACCTCCGGTTTTGACTTTGCCTGCACGTACGATGCCAAAGGATGGCCAGAAAGTTAAATCAATAGCGGTATGCCAAAAGCTTTATTTGCGACTTTAGCAACACAAATTCCAAATTTGAACATAGTCAAATTTATCGTCAGATTTTCAACCTAATGTGAATTTTTGTAACCTTTCAAATCTCCCGGTTTGATCGCGCAACCTCGGGTTTGAAAAGTCGGCGGCATCTCCGTCCTGCGCCTCTGCTTTCGACGTGCCTGCACGCGAGATCTGGTGACCAGTTTTAACGCCGAGTTTGTTTTAACAGCTGAATTCTATGAGAAATCTATCATGAAGGACGGTGACATTATGACGTTATGATACACCGTGATGTCACATGGCACCATGTGCAACCATGGTGTCATGTGTTGCCATGACATTGTGTGACGTGACACAGATACACTTGGGTTGCACTGACGTCACTTTTGACCACCATGTAAGAGTAGGAAAGGGAAGTTGTTTTTGTAAGAATTTTGAGTGAGGGGTTAGTCTTCTATAATCTTCTGGGAGGAAAATAGCAACGTCTGCTCAAATCCGGAAGTTACAAAAGAGGATCCTGATGAGAGGGGAGCTCCCTCTTCCCCTCTTCTCTGGTGGTCATCACAACGCTCTTTGAATGACGTCACATGCAACCCATGTATAGCATGCGCCCAGCTCATTCTCAACACATTCTTTGTCAAGATGACCAAGCTTGTAAAATAAACAAGTGATTACAAGTTATTCCGGCTAATACATAATGGCAGTTTTGGTTTTAAAGGGGTACTCCGGCGATTTTTTGAGCTACCTCAACTAACTATATTTTCTGACTCCCCGGCCTTTACCCTTTCCGATATGCTATTTAGTGTCGCGAAGTTCATAATAGTTATTGCGAAATCGGCAAATGAAAATGATGCAAAAACCAACATTCAAATATACCCACACTTTTGAGTGCCATGACGTCAGTGGCAGTCAGGCTTGCCAGTCGAGCGAGCAGTCTAAAAAATAGAATATGGCAGTCATTTGTTCCGTGTTGGAGCGCGGGGACTGGAGCGAGCTTCCAAAGCATTCATTTGACACCATGAAACTTCTTCGAACCAGTCGGGAACAAATTCTACAGTCCAAAGAGTGAACCCCTGCATTTCTACTGACGTCACTTTTTCGTTGTTGCCAGTACAGACTTTCAGTTTGAAAAACACGGTGGGGACCAAAATAGCAAATTCAATAACTTGGGGAAAAAAATTATTTTGACCTAATATTTGGGATACTATTTTGGCGATGTTGTTTGACGAGATTAGCGAAATTTCAAGCAAATCGGGGATCATGAAGAAATCACCAGAGTACCCCTTTAAGTGTTCCCGGGCCTGCCCGGTGTTTAATAAGGCATTTTTTCATCAGATTTTTTATATTCAAGCTTCATTTAATGAAAACTTCTTTAGCACCCTCTCAGAACTTAATTTGGCGAGCTTTTACCATTTTTATAGGTTGAATTCCTCGAAAACTTGAATACTCTGAAAGCAAAAGTCGAACAGAATGTTTCGGTCGACTGATATTCGATTGAAATTCGAAACCGAAAACATTTGCAGATATCTGTCAAGAACTGCTTGTCGCGCCGCTCATTGCAGATTCTTAACGAGATGACTCAGCACAAAATCCGACTCTACGAGTTCCCCGACTGCGATGACGAGGAGGAGAACAAGCGCCAGAAGCCCCTCAGGGTGAGTGTTGGCACAGACAAATCTCGCCATGCACCGTGGGCCAGTATGTGCTTGATTACTCTTCCATTCCATGTTTGGAGAGGTGTAAGGTATGGGGCGATTTGTTTTATTTTCTCAGTAAAGCAGAACCCATTTTAACGGAAGCGAAGTAAAGGTTCTTGTTCCTCGCCTCTCGGCGTCGTGCAACGTGATGCCATGTTACAGAACGTGGCATCGCAAGGAATTGCGACTCGACACCGTGATATCACGTAACAACGTGACACGTTGCGTGGCCCAGATGTGCAAAGATATTGCTAATGCATTCTGCAGAGGTCAAGGGAGTGCCCTAAACCCTGTTGTTTTATTTTTCTTGTTTGACTGTAGCTTTGTTTGTTCTACTATGGTGCGTGGAATGTATCTCTGACCGGTGTTCCCCCGCATCCCAAAAAGTGGTCCCTCGATTTCCTCCCGACGACGTCGTAAAAGTGTTGTGTTGTTGCCAGCCGCGATCCCGGCGACGTCGCAGTGGCGACGGTGGTTGTGGCCGACCCCCGTTCTGCTGCCAATCACTTTCCAGCTTGACAGCTCGCGGAAGCTTTGGCAATGAGTAGTTGGGACGCTGCGACGATGACGACACTCTTATATGCTCTTACTTTTTTGGCGGACGGCGATGTCCGAGGCCATGACACTCCGGGCTTTTGCGACGTCGTCTGTTGCCACTTCGGGACCGCTTTCGACGCGTAGTGTGGGACGGGACGCCATAAGTGTTGGTCGGAGAGGCGTTGCAGGCACCGTGGTCGTACGGCAGTTTTGTGGTGGCCTGAGGGAGTCGGGGCACGTGGCCCTTGTGGGGCCTGTTCCCAGGAGCGGGTGCCCTTTGCGGTGGTGGGCAGCAACACGGTGGTGGAGGTGAACGGCAAGCGGGTGCGCGGCCGCAAGTACCCCTGGGGGGTCGCAGAGGGTGGGTGACCGCCGCCCGTCCCCGCTCGCCCCCGGCGCTCACCCCACCGTTTCCCTTGCAGTGGAGAACATGGAGCACTGTGACTACCTTGCCCTGCGCAACATGCTGCTCAGGTGCGTGAGGCACCCTAATAAAAGCTTCTCAAATATTTTTTTTTTTTATAGCAATAGTTGTTATGGGTTATTTCCCCCACTGGAAATGACGTCCCTTGTTGATGCTGTAGTATAGTAGTTGGTGATCCTCGAAAAAGATTGCTAGCCGCCTACGGGAATCACCTTGGGCCCGCTGCATGTGAAGCGGAGGCGTTATCATTGAGCTACACCACAGCATTAAGAACCCACTCCATACCTAGGGTTTTTGTAGTATCCAACGCCTAGTTTGTGTGTGGTCTGGAAAAAAAGAGATAGCCAATAACAAAATTCTCTTGTAGCAGGCACGTAGCAAGGATTTTGTTCCGGGGGGGCCCACCCATGACAAAATGCTGTATGAGGGGGAGGGGGGAGAGGAGGCCCCAGCAAAATTACAGATTAGGGGGGGGGGGGGGGGGCCGGGCCTCCTCCTCCCCCCCCCCTGGCTACGCGTCTGTCTTGTAGCACCGTCAATGCCAAGAGCTTGCGCCGGGAAGACGCGCTTTCACGGGCTCTGGAACAAAGAAGAAACAAAAGTGCTCTGAACAAAATGGTCAGATGTCTATTTTGTTTTGAGCGCTCTCGTTCACGCACCTTGGAGTCCGTGAACGCGACGCCGATGTCTGACTACTTGGCAGTGACTTGTCACAGCTATCGCTTAAACTGTACTGTGGACTAAGCCTGACAAGGCACTGGTACCGTACAGTTTACATAAATACCCGAATAAATGGACAGAAAAAATGCATTTGGCTAAACTTAAAAAACTGGAACATAGCGATCTACATCTTCTCAATCGCATCGAAATATAGAAATAACAAGAGAAGAAGCAGTACGAAGTACACAAGATGCACAAAGATTGAATATATGAATGTAAACAGATGATGCAAGACCCCTCACAACATGAAGAAGGGAAACCTCGTAAGCACAAAATCTTCATACATACCTGCCTCGAACGGCAGTTGGGAAACCCCTCCCAGCCTAGGCATTGACGAAATAAAACGGCGCAGAAGCTTGCAGACCTTACAAACATAACAAGGAGTGTTTGGCTCATAGTTATGAACCAATGGGTGACTAATGTTACGCACTGATGGGTGACCCTACCGTTCTCGTCCAGTGGCGTGCCTCTCTCGTCGGGGAGGGAGGCCGTGTAACAGAAGTTCTGCTTGTCCTCCCCCAGGACCCACATGCAAGACCTAAAGGACATCACCAACAGCGTGCACTACGAGAACTACCGGTGCCGCAAGTTGGCCGGCGTCGGGGGCGCGGCAGACCCCGGCCGGTCCAACAAGTGAGTTTCCTCGGCGCCCCCTTCTCTCCCGGCTGCGCGGTGCTCTTTCCCTCGTCCGCCGCCCCCTCTTCTCAGTCGTAGGGCCGCCGCAGCCATTTAGTTTCTGCTGCCGAGAGCACCTTGCCGTCCGCTTTCAGTTGCGTAGCAATGCCCGGAGCGAGCCTCTGACCGGTGTGTTTGCCATATCCTCAAATGCCTCTTTCAATTTCCGCCCAACGAAGTCGTAAAAGTTTTGTGCCCGTTGCGTCACATGCGTGCGGCAGATGCCTCTTCTGCTGCGAATCGCTCCGCAGCCAGACGGTCGACGGAAGCCAGAGCAGAATGAGGCGGGACGCCACTTCGGCGGCGATCCTTGCATCCTTTTTACTGGCATTTCAACAACTACCCACCGGGATCGTGACAGCCAGTGGCTTGACACGCCAACTCGTGGAACGTAACTTTACTGTTGAACGTTTTTGGCTAGGTGTTTGGCATTTCGTGAAGCCCAAAAGCGAAGTCTGGATAAAAGCGTGGCCACAGGGCTCGACGTCGACCGGTTAATGGGGAGGTCGCGTGACCGGGCGTGGAGTGAGGAGGAGACGTAAGCGAGGTGGGAGAGGAGGAGTCGGTTAGAAGGTTCTGGAAGATCACTGGGTTTATCATATCAAGTGTATGCATGCCACGCGTTAAACTATCCGACGACGAGGGCTGTGAATGTAGGCGTCTTGTCGAATAGGCTAGACGTGCTGCCATGCTACAACTTACGCAGTGCTGGAACGATTCACAAACGCGACGCGATTGCCTAGAAATTTTCCGCACATTTTTTTCCACTTGGGACCTTTTTGGGAGCACGAGCGAGACGGGACGGCAGAGGCGCCGGTCGGAGGAGGCGCGTTGCGGGCATTGTAGTTGCGGAAGGGACTGTTGTTAATTGGTGCACACTGCTTGTTTGCTAGTGGTTGCCCACAAAGGATACTGAACACTCATATGGTGTTCTGGTAAGTTTCACCTTTTGAGCTTGGAGTCTTCCCCTCTTGTGTCCCTGAGGCGTCCTTCTTCTCTGTTGTCTTCGTCTTGTCGTCTGGCGTTCTGGTTTGTTTTGCCGGGCTTGCCTGCGCCCGCATCCCAATTGCGTTGCTTGTGACGCGTCTCTAACTGGCGTGCATACCGCGTCCTCGTTTGTGGTCCACCAATCCTTGTTTGTGGTCCCGCTGGTGCCCGCCTCGATTCTAGCAGCAGTACGGCGGCGGAAGGGGTCGTGACGGGCATCCGTTTTGCATGCTCAGAGAACGTTTAGCACGTGCGTCTCGTCACCGAGGTAGCGCAGAGTCGGTGGTGCGTCGGTGCCACTGTCGGCACCGAGTCGATGCACTGTTAGCGCCGCTTTGTGTGTGTATGTCAAAAAAGGCAGGTTGACGTGCGGCGAAATGCCGATACGGCGCCGATATAGTGCGAAGTTGGCACTGAGTCTGTAACACCGAGCTCAGGGAGTAAAGACTGGAGCAGAGTGCAGCAAATCCTGAGCTCCGGCATCGATGGTCTTGAGAGAAAGAGGAAGAGAGCGACAAAAGAGCGGACAAAAAAAGCAGACAAAAGGTTACGCGCATTCGTTTTGCCGCGACGAGCTGGAATTGCTCGAGCGCTCGTCAACTTTATTCAGTTTCATACAATGCGCTATTCCGGTGTTTTCCTGCAAAGTAAGGTAGAAAACGGGCCCATCAGGACCGCCGATATCCGCGTCTATGCGCTGCCGTTTCCAAGCAACCCCAATGCATACGACCTCTCCCTCTAGATTATTATATTAACTCTGTGGCTGAGTTAGCTTAGTTGTCCATGTTTGACCGAGCCTTTGACACGCCAGTTGAAGACGCGTTCTCGGCACCGTAGCGGCGTGTCGATCGCAGCTTGTGCCGTGCTCTGCGGAGACTGGCATGGTGTGCATGACTGCCTGGGGGGTATGGGTGGGCGGGCAGAGGTGCAGGCTTTGGCATGCTGGCGTCTCCCCCGAATTGTTTTGCAGTGGGATGGCACCGGGGGTGCCTAGGGCCATTGAATAAGCTACACTTCAGACTCGCCCAACTTTGGCCGTCTTCGGGCTCGAAATTGGTGTTTTCAATTGTCTGAAAGTTGGTCCAAAATTGCAGGAGAAGCGCCTTTTCGATTTCTAGGAATATCCGAAATGCCGTCTCGGCATTTCGGCAGTCCGAGACTGATCAAGATGATATCTCCCGAGCTTCGTGACTAATCATAGCTCGTTTAGTGGTTCTAGGGACTCCCAGTAGTAGCCTCCGATTCCTTGGTCGCGAAAACTCCGCACCTTGATAAAAACTGGTTTAGGCGATACAATAGTACCTCATTGAACTCTCATAGGTATTTGTGTATCGTTTTCCCGTTCGTTGCGTGTATCGATTCCCCATTTGTTGCATTTGCCTTGCTGGTTGTTACTTTCGAAAACCACCATGCGACGCAACGTTCGTGGCTGCACTTTTTTTTTTTCCCTTCGCCCTTTTTTGTTTTTGCTTCCGCGGCGGGCTTTTTGTGACTTTCTTGCCCGGGCAGGTATGACCTTGAACAAGGTTGGCTCGGAAGGAATTGAGGCTTTTGCAATGGCCCGTTAGTCTTTCGGTCTCCTTCTCTGGCTCGGGCCGTGCCTGGTAACTTGGCTTCCTCGGTTTTCTGCTGGGTTCAATTTGTGGGGAGTGTGGAGTTCGTAATTGTGCACCGTGCGTGTGTCAACGTTTGTGTCGGCGCGCTCATTGAGATTGGCGTGCTAGAGGTGCCTACAAGACTAGAACGGTTGGGAGATTTCTTGGTTACCCCGCGTCTACGCCAAGCTTCCTACCTTGATGACGCTTTGGCTTTCCGTGAGCTTCGAGCGTGCGCTCACAGCCAAAGCGGGGCTGTAGGCAACGAGCACACGCCAGAGCCAGTGCATTCGGAAGAGGCGCCCTAGCCGTTCTCGTCTTGGCAGTCACTAGGAGGGTCATCTGGGTTAGCTCGACGGACTCGGGAAGTGTCGCTCACTCTTGTAGATCAACCTTCTTCCGTTATGATTGTAGATCAACACCCAATTTTAAATAGCAGCTCTGTAAAAAAGAAGAAACAGATTTGTCAAAAGATTAACCTAGTCTGAAATTAGTCAAATGAAAGAATTTTTGAAGATGCTGTACGTTTCCTCACGCACAAACTCCAGAGATGTTTGGAACTCACTCCAGCAATACTTCCGTGTCGTTTGGCAATGCTTGCAGTGCTAAAAATTTATGAGATGTCACATGTTTTAAAATGCGAGCGGTGTATTTGGCTGCAATATGACGTAAGTGGAATTGGCGCAATCAAAACCGAAGCTTAGTGACCAACCGATATCCAAGATGCATCGTGCGATACCTCGCTGCTAGGGCTGCTTCGATTCTGGAAGAAGTCTATTATTTTGTGTTTCGGTTGGCTTTGTATTCATATTTTATTTGTTTTTTAGGCGCTTGATTTCTGTTATATGAACGTCATTTAGGTGCTCTTGCCCACTTACCTCGGGTGTTCCCTCGGATCCTCAGGAAAGGAATGCGATTCTAATTTTATGCAGTGTTAAAGATCAGGGACTAGGGCAGGAAAATGGAATTCTAAAGTGGTAGGAAGTAGCAAACGGGGGTGGAGAACATCTCAAACTCCGCCACCATATTTATTCTGTCGCTTTTCTTATATACCCGCCAACAGCTGCCTGTGTATGCCAGTGTTGCGCATGCTGCAATGTCCAGGCGCAGGGGAAAGTTGTCGCATTTGAAGCGGGCCTTAGACGGCTCGTGGCGTCCTTCCTGGCTCATCGTCGGATGAGGCGGGCCTTGGCGCGTTAGGGGCGGGGAGGGGTGAGCCAGCCTGCTGCAAGGCCCCCCCGTGCGTGCTTGCGGGTGTGTCCCGGCAGGAACCCCCTGGCCCAGATGGAGGAGGAGAAGAAGGAGCACGAGGCCAAGATGCAGCGCATGGAGAAGGAGATGGAGCAGGTCTTCGAGATGAAGGTGCGCGAGAAGATGCACAAGCTCAAGGAGTCCGAGGCCGACGTGAGTTGCCCCTGCCGGCTCGTTTCTTTATGTATTGATTTGCGTTCCCTTAAAGGGGCACGAAACCACTTTCTGCGATAGTTCATTGATGGTCATAACTCAATCTACAGGCTCTAAGCATCCTAAGAAACAAAACTTTACATTCATGCAGGGCCGATTTCTCTACTAAAATTGTTATGAAATATCCATTACCTCGGAACTATAGCTGACACCAGATGGCGCCGCCGGACGAGGAAAAGGGCTTCTCCTCTGCTTCTCGTGGTGTCGGCGATAGTTTCGAGGTAATCAATCCTTGATACCGATTTTGATAGAGAAATCGGCCACGGACGAATGTAATGGTTTTTTTTCTTTTTAGAACGAGTAATGACCATAAATAGGCTACATGTTGTACGCTCCGTCTCACTCTTCAATTTGACTGCAGCTAACAGTACCATTCCGTGGAGCCATTCAAGCAGCACCAAAAGTGCATTGTCACGGCACTTGTGGTCTGCGACTGTGGTACAGTGTAGACCGCATATAACGTATGTCGCGGGAGTCGCGAAAATCCGCACTATAAGCGGTACTGCGCTATAACCAAAACATCAATTTTTCAGGCCAAAATACACGCCATGAGACAACTTACCTTCGTAAAACAATTTATTTTATTTTACATGAAAAATGAAGCTTAGTTTGAGGAAAGTCTTTATTTCACCGGACTAGTACACTTCTCTCTCAAGAGTGTCACACATTTTGAAAGAAATGAGCGACTTTTGCCTGGCACAGCCTTTTAACGGCGTCGCGGGTTGCGGACGGACGTTGCGAGCGTTCAGGGTTGCTAACCCTAATCACTTTTCTCCGGCGATGAAAACGTGTGAAAATTCACATCCTTTATATGGTACACGCCAGTGATACATTCAACTTTAACACAGGCATGAAATGCTCCAAACAAGAAATCCGGGCGATGTTCGAGAACACAAATGCTTAGAAAGCACCACTGTAGTCGAAGTAAACAAACACGACGACTCGGGCGTTTCTGCCGTCTTGAGAGTGCCGCCACGACATTGCCGCATGAGTTGTTGGATCTTTCCTTCTAGTACGTGCTGGGTTATCATAGCGACACACAACGAAAATTCACTGTCAAGGATAGCGCTTTTACGCGGATAGAAAAAGCCGGCCCGCGACCGGCATGCAACGCGCGAACACTTCTCCTCGACCTGCGATTGGTCTGTCGTTGGGTTGTTTCCAGCTATAGAGTTGGTCGTCGTTTCCAGCACGTTTCCAGCGCAGCGGGAACGACACGTGCATGTGTCCCTCCGTCGTTATGGCAACTGAAGCCTCTCTCTTCGCTTCTCCCCGCTTCTTCGAGCAACCTCCTTGCCCTGCGAGGGCCGCTTGCTGCTAGTGCCGTTATCTAGTCTGCGCGTTCGGCGGGCTGTTCTAGAAACCGCACTATAACTGGTATTTCCCTTTGCGCGCCTGCATTTTAAGCGGTATGTAATTACATGGAGTTCTATGGGAGGCGAACCGGTGGTTTAAAAAAGCCGCGTTATACCCGGTCCTGCACTATAAGCGGTTACGTTGTAAGTGGTCTATACTGTATTGCTGGCCAAACCAAATGCGTTCAAAAAAACCGCAAGATCGCGGCACATCCATCGTGCATCTGGGCTTGATCGGTGATAGCAAATGCATTTTTAGCGCTACTTGATTCTCGCCGTCAAATTGTTGTTTCAGCTGTGGGGTATAGTTGTGGTTTGCCACTAATGGGTAAAATTTTATGTGATGCCATTGAAGGCATTTGAAAAGAAAACTCTCATTAGTGATATTTCACCTAGGAATCTAAGGATTGTGGTCGACGATTTTTAAATTGCACCTCTCGCACATTATCATGAGTCTGGCCAGAACTAGCGGCACTGAATAAGCTGCGCTGTGAATCAACCGCTCTTCGGCCTCCTCGGGGCTGTTTGGTCGTAACTCTGGAACTGTACTGGCTAAATTTCTCATCTACAGTGGGGTAAACCCGACGCCCACTGGGCACAACGCAATTTTTACGTTATATGGGAGATGTTATTCCTAGCGTTTGCCCTGCAAAAGCTTGTCCGGCAATTCCTAACTCGCGACGGACGAGACTGCCGTTGACCGGCCCGCGTTCTCATTCTTTGGCGCGGTGCGGTTGCAGCTGCAACGGAGGCACGAGCAGATGAAGAAGAGCCTGGAGCAGCAGAAGCTGGAGCTGGAGGAGAAGCGGAGGAACTTCGAGAAGGAGAAGGCAGCCTTCGACCTGGCCCACCGCGACATGGACGACGTCTTCCGCAAGATGGCCGTCGACAGCAACTCGAAAGAGTGAGTGTGACGGGGGGGGGGGGGGATGGCGCCTGGAACGCGTCTCCAACAGGCGCATTTACCGCGTCCTCGGAGGTGGTCTCTCAGTTTCAGCCGCTATCCTGGTGGTGACACGGCAGTGCAGGTCGATGCGGCAGGCACCTGTTCTGGTGCAAGGGTCTCTGCAGCTTAACGGTGCCATATTTTCCAGACTATGCGAACCGCAAGTTCGTCTGCTTCTTGCACAGGAGTTGCAAGAATGTCGGAATGCCAAGCTCTTATTGTCTGATTGAAAACAAATTAAAGATGTTTGCAAATCTCTGTAATCCGAAACTAGAGTGCAGCTCTTGAGTAGGAGGAGGGGAGGGTATGCACCTCCTCCTCCATACCCTTCCCTTCTCTCCTCCTCGTCCTCCTCCCCTCCTGCTCCTTCTCTCCTCCTGTCGCTGAATTTGTAATGGGTGACGCGACATGAAGTCGTGACGTCATTTTCCCCGCTAAATGTAGCGGGGAAACCGAATTAGTGTTGAGGTCACATGACATCAATTTCCCCACTAAATTTAGCGGGGAAACTTAACCCTCTAAGTTTAGCAGAGGAATTTAACGGGGAAAACGTCCCATGATGCAACGCACGTGGTTACGCTGACGCCGCTCAACCCAGAAATGGGCACTTAAGAGCTGCGCTCTTAAAAAGTAGTGGGTTGATCTCGAGGCATCTGGCATTGAGACCTACCCACTATCCTTTCAGTCAAAGCCAGTCATAGCTTGGCGTCGTTCTGACGTCAATGCAACTCTTGCGCAAGAGTTAAACAACTTGATGCATGGTCTGCAAAAGCAAATATCAGATGGAAAAGGAAAAGAAAAAGTTTTCTCTTCGTTAGGTTACACAAAAAATTTTCATGCAACACATCTTGACATATGTCTTCTTTATTAGCTCACAAAGGGGCCTGTTTCAACATAAATAATTAATAAGATACTTTCTCATTCACAAAATTCATTGTGTCTCGACATAGGAGCGATCTACAAAATGGCAAATCCTAGTGATCGCTCTTTCTCACGTGGGTTGAAACATGGTGGCGCCAGTGTGCGAAGAGCCCCCAACGACTTCCGGTTCTGGACTAGACGGCGGGGTTCGCAGTATTTGCGCAGTCAAATATACACGCTATCTTCTGGGGATGGCCACTTATAGCACTGTCAGACTTAATTCACTCTCGTGATAAAAGAATGATGAGTAAAAAAAATGGGAACCGGAAGTGTGCCGAGGCTACCCAATAGACCTTGCCACATAGTTTGTTGCCAAACAAAAAAGGGCAAACAGTCTGCTGCGGAAAATTTTAACTTTTAAATATGTGTAGGCTACTTCATTTGGGTGAAAGGAGAGGGAAAGGGAACCACGACGTTTGGGCTGTTCCCGCGGTACAGCCCCCTGTAATCGCCCAAACGTTGAGAATGGCCCAATCTTTTCATCTGCCATGGGGATTGGATGCATACCCTTTCCCTCTTTGCAGAATCCATTGAAATGCCCATGTGTGTGTGGATGGCATTTCAGTCAAACAAAATGGCCCCATCCAGAGCCCATAGTGGAATGGTCTATATTACGACAAATATGCTAGACACATGCTTAAAGAGAGAGGAGTTGGGATGCCACGACACGGGCTTCTTGCGGGGCCTTTGGCAAGTGACCGCCAGGATCGCAACATCCAACAGTGTGACAAGCCAGCTCCTGCGACGTCATTTGTTGCCACTTCAGGACCACTTTCGATGCACGGGCAGTACGAGATGCTAAACACACCAGTTGGAGACGCATCCCAGACACTAAAGACAGCGGGGCGCTTGGGGGGGACACAGTATCCGCGGGGGGACGCCGGACGTTTGCATCTTGCACCCTCGGTCGTGCCTGTGCCCCGGGGGGAGGGGAGGCAGCGTCAGACAGCGTCAGCTACAGCGGGGCTCTTCTTGTTTCAGATTGCGAAGGTCTGTGTCCGAAGACCACTTGGGTAGACGCAAATGCACGCAGTACGCCGAGCCGCTCAAAAAAAACTGCAAGCAGATGTAGGGGCTCGTGGACAACGCCCTTAGCCGTCCGTCGGGTCCAAAGGCTGCGTCGGAGCGTCCCCTCTCGGCGTGTTCTGGCCCGCTCTTCCGTTTCTTTTTGGTTTTTGTTTTGCCTTCGTTTGCTGCTTCTCGTTTTTTTTTCCCCCTTCTTCGAGCACCTTTCTGTTATCTTCCTTTTTTTTGAGGAAGCTTTTGTTATAGGTTCGGCATGTTGCTTGGCCGCCTTGTTACTTGTTGTTGCACCTTTTGGTATGCAGAAAATGCATGTACATACAAGCCTTCTCAAAGTTATTTTGTTTTAACTGCACAGCTGAAGCTGAAGTGTTGAAATCTGCTCTAGTCACCTCTCTTTGTTTCCTCTTATATTCCAAAGCTTTTTTATGTATCAAACAAAAAAGCCAAAGCCAGCAAAATATATATATATATATTTTGTTTTACAAACCTGGTGTGCACAAACAGTCATGTGCTACCTTGCAAAGGGCATTCTACGTCGGAAGCCTGGGGATTCAACGGGCAAGTGCTTGGATGGGGGCTGAATGTGTTCAAACAGGTTTAATGCTGGCGCTTGCTCTGCCACCAAGCTAGAACTGTGCAACTAGACACTAAAGAATGGGGCGTTAGTTTGGTGCAGAGAGGGCAGTGGAAGTCGGTTGATAGCTAGTGAGTTACTGGAGGAGAATTGTTTCCTTAACTGAGCTTTGATCATTGATAATCGGCCGATTATTGTTGTTTCATGGCCCAACTTGTTTGCCTCTTTGCAACATTGTCACACGCTTTGCATCCGTTGCTGGAGCTTTCCGAGGCCTCGCTGCTTGTGTCTCGCGAGTGCCCTGTCATGTGCGACGGTGTGCAGCATGTTGTGATGTTTACCAAGTGAATTGTGTCTGGCATCCTGACCTTGCCAGCTCTCCTGACCTACTTTTTCTCTCAAGCTTTGAAGCACCTCTAAGTGTGACCTCTAAGATGCGATTGCAGTGGAAATAGACAACTTTGGTGCACGCACGTCTCTTCCAGCATGGTTGTCCCGCTGTAATTAGTGACGAGTGCAGTTTTATCGTAATCTAGTTGATTGGGTGAACCCTCCACTTGGATGCGCTGGTTTTTGTGGCGGTCTTTTAGCGGGCCGGGAAACAAGAAACCTTCCGTCCCTCTGAGAAACCTTCTCGGAGGGACGAGGAATCTTCTTGGTTCAAAGGGAAGAAAAACCCTGTTTTTTCGTGCTGGGGGCCTGTGCATGGTTTTGAAGCCATTGAAATCCAAGGTGTGTGCACCGAGGCCCATCTGTTCCTGGAAGCCCTTGCGTGGTTGAAGGGAGCAGCTTGTCTGCCACGGAGCAGCCTACTGGCCCAGAGAGGCACCCCCCTAAACACAGCCCAACTGTTTTTGCAGACAACTGGACGGGAAGGAAAAGCGTAAGGAAAAGAAGAAAGGGCTCTTTTAGAGGGTTGAGGTCTCGCCAAGCATTGCTGCTGCCGCGCCCGCAGCAAGAGGACCCGTGGTCGGGCGAACCGACGTCTCCCCCTTCGCCTCTGCTCTTCCCATGCGGGTGTGCCGACGAGCAGCGGCTCCGATAGACCTGCCCGGTTGAGAGCGTATCTCCAGGAAGGGGAACAAGTGGAGGGTTTGCTCGCGTGCAAGCCGGACAAAGCGCTCAAAGGACCCTCGTTTATTCGGTGCAGGACGTGTTCGTTAACTGTGTAGTGCTTTTCAAGAATGCCATCTCGTGTAATTGTGCCAGTAATGTGTCGTTTTTATGCCGGTTGCCTCGACTCTCCGACGATCGAGGCGGGATTTTCTAAAGTCCGTCGTTTGCCATGGCCGAGGAATCTGAAAGTTCGAGGCCCGCTCACACATACACCTGAGCGCTACTTCAGCGCTAAAAGTGGGCACTGGAAACAGCACTGACCCTGCTTATGTGGCACTGACTTTTTACGTTATATATGATAGAGCGCCGCACTAGTGTGGACCGGCCCTAAGGCTGGTTCACACACGTATCTCGGGGCTGCATCAGCGCTGCATTCTGTGTGTATGCAAGAAAAGGCAGCATGACACGCGTCTGAGCGCCGATACAGTGCTAACATAGTGCAAAGTTTGCACTTTTGCTAGTGTGCCGAATTAGCGCTATGGTGTATCTGTGAACAGGCCTTTACTGCAACAGTCACAGTGTGGTCACAAACATGTCGCAACCGAAGAACTTCTTTCAGCTCTGTATTGGGACTTGACTGGTGCCATAGCTATCTCAGTCTGACCTACCTGCGCTTCACGTTGCAATCAGTACGCCCGTCAGACAACATTCCTACGAGCACACGTAGCAGGGCTCTGCTGAGGTGCTTTTTTTTTCACTGTGTGAATGGTGTTTAGGAGCAATTTAAATGCGCCGAGAAGAGTCGTGTTTGTGCAGCGGCGCCATTGAAACCTCGATGCAAAGATATAAGGCGGATAATTTCTCTCGCACGGCCAAAGAATACCGCTTGTGTTTTGCTGTTTCTTGTGTCTTTCAGTTTATATTTATGTATAGGTATGCATTTTTGGCTATTTATTTGTGCTGGCTCAGCCCACCGCTCAAGTAGATGCCATTGGAAAAAAAAAGAAATTGTTTTCATTCCTTCGTATAAATTTTGTTCAGTGTTTTTTTGTACAAAGGTAGTATGAATAAACATTTTAAGCTATGGAAGTGTGAAATGCTTGTTATTTATTGGCTCAAGTTGCTCCGTAGGAGCCGTGATGGCTCTTTTGCAGGTCTTGGCGCAACGCAGCTAGAGCTCTATACTCGGCGTCGGCTATTTTGTACTGCAGTGTCGAGGCTAGCGTGTCTTCCACAGTGCTGTAGCCTCACGCTGCTGCAAGAGCACGTAGCTTCGTCTTGCATCTCATTCGCTCGAGCAAGTAGCTTTGACAGCGGTTGAGCACTACAGAAACTAAGCTACCCTTGGCAATGTAGTAGTTGACGCAAAATGTAGAGCCATTGGGCACAAACATTGCAAAGGTGTTAGTGATGTGTGGGCAGTAAGGAAGAGTGCTGCCACAGCTCAATAAAGACGCATTCTGTCGGGAACGGCAAACTCCTGGAATGGATGAAAGACCAAATGCTATCTTGACAAGTCCTGCCGTTTTGCCATGGGGTTCAGCGGGCCTGCTAATTGGTTCATTGGACAAAGAGTGCTACATATCTGCTCTGCTTTGCTGCAGACTATATTGAAATGCAATTATGTTTTTTTTAGGGGCAAAGCTCCTTAAAGGGGCACTGCAATGACTTTTTGACTGGTTTTTAATTTGCACCGAACCTTAGCGTACTGAACGTAGTAACTTAACCAAACTTTTCTTTTCTCAAATTTCGCTTCATTTTAAAAGTTATAGGCGAATTAGAATTACAAAAACAAGGAAAAAGTAACCTCCTTCATGACGTCGTAGGTCCTGGCTTGAGTGGCCGTAAGCTAGAGGAGGGGTAGTGAGCTCATCAAGCGCTCACGGTTGCCGCACTCCATGTCGACGGCTCGAGAGGGCGCCACTAAAGCATGTGTTGGATAGGCTCTATGAAGCGGGCGGCCAGGGCAGCTTGCACTGCATTTGCTGCGCGATTAAAGACTAATTCGGCATAAGACTTCATTGGCCACAAACGACAGCAAACACGGGGTAAAGATCAGTTCAGAACGGGAGCCATTTCACGCTGACGTACCGCCAAATGGCCAAATCGCCAGCAGGGCCCACGCCGAAGGCCTTCGGAACGCTCGGAACCGGTCGGATCCTCGAGCCGGTATACGACCACAGTGCCGCCGCGTACATCCGGGACCTTTATACGCTCCTCGTTCGTCGTAGCCTCATCCCACTAGTTCTTTCTAGTATGCGCCGTTTTTTCCGCCGCTTGGTGGCGGGTATGTCGACGGGTCATTTCTTGTTTCTGTACTTTATAAACTGCATTTGTTTCTTTTCTGATCTAAAATACTCAAGAAAAACTACTTTCATACATAATTTAAACGGTTCGCGACGCTTATATTTTGTATCTCGACTAAAAAAAAAGCTTTTAGCGGCTCTGACCAGTAGTAAGCCCAGGACCAAAGACGTCACATTTTGCGCGCTTTCGGTACCGCGGGTCGCCCTTGTCGGTGGAGGAGGTTTCCGCGTCGTCCGGTTAAAATATGACGCACTGATATTTAGCTACTCTCTCCTTGCCCGCTGGCTTGCCTGAACTCCAAGAGACGTGGAAACCGCAAAAAAGGTAGACGCTTAAATATGATTGCAGGGCTCCTTTAAAGGGACACTGACAGGGTATTTATGCTCGCCGAGGTTTTTAGTTGTACGTGACATATGAGAGCTCAACTACCCAGAACAGAATTTGCGGCTCGAAATTCGGTTTCTTTCCGCCCGAAAACCGCCGATCAAGAACTGGCCGGTTCGAGTCTCGCTCACTCTCTTTTCCGCGGTGACGGGCCGTTTTCTAAGGTATCGATGCGACCACCAAATTTAATCAAAGTCGTGGGTCACTGAAGGCACACACTCAATATTAAAAATAGAAAAAAATATGAAACCCATTTTTTGTGGCTTCTAAAAAGCTGTAAATACGTTGATTGAAAAAAAAAAGTTCCACAGACAACCGGAAGCATTCTGTGCGTTCGTCGTTTCGCGTATCGTGGGACGTGGTGGGACTCGCGGGGACGGCGATGGCAGCGGACGACGGGCGTGGAACCTCTATTTCAGAACTGTCGTTCGCGGTACCGGCGAATTCTGTTTACCGTTAAAAGAGAAATTTGGGACTGATAAAAAAAATTGGTATTCATCCCGTACGACACGCCCGGCCACCAAGCCGATTTGCACGAAGACGTCGCCGAGCCGTCGCTCCCTTCTCGTGGCTCGCGCAAACGTCAAGCACGACGTGTCTACTTCGAGTTGAATATGCACGCGTACGATTTCTTTACTAGGTGCGAATGTCCCCAAAGCGGGGTGCTTCCCGACTTCGACCCGGGAGTGCTTTTGCTAGAGAAAAATCGACAGCAAACTTTCCAACTTACAGTTTACCGGCTCAATTATTACTAAGAAAAGAGAGCCACCAGAAAAGAGATGCTTCAGTAGCTCGGTGGAAGAAGAAGTGATCGTAAGTGGACGCTTAATTTTCGTCCTCTTGAACCAAAGTGATTCACTGGGGCCCTTGTGGCCCTTGGTCCCGCTACGAAGAGGGCAGCGATCCTTCAACAAGCAAGATGAGCTCCAAAGAGAGCAGCATGACGGTCCTTGAAGACCGGGTTAATGAAGAGGCAACGGAATGCTCCAAGCAGACCAAGGAATATCGAGTCATTCTACCACGTCTACCTACAGGTATGCTCGTCACAAACTCCCTTTTCTTGCATGCGGATATGTCCGGACGACCAAACAAGGCAACAGATTTCAAAGAAGTTCTTTTTTCAATAATTGACCGGAAAGATCTCGTCGCCTTAGGCCCTTTCCAAATGAGCCATGTTTGGATGGCCGTCTTCGCCAATGGTGCTGCAAAATACAAGGTAAAAGCACAAGAAGAACTCGAAATCAAAAAGAAAAAGTGCCTCGTGATTGATCCTACAAAGGATGAAATCAAAATGAAACTGCTTTGGCTACCGCCTCAGCTACCGGACAGCGAGGTCAAGAAGGTGCTGGAACCGTTTGGAACGGTGAAAGAGATAACTAGGGAGAGGTGGAGATTTTCAGATCTCCAGGAGACAGACACCTTGACCCGATTTGTAACACTAGTACTCAAGGATCACCTCTCGGTTGATAAGGTCCCACACATGCTCACCATCTACGGAGTGAATACTCTAGTGGTCATTCCCGGACGACCTCCGCTCTGCCTGCGCTGCAAAGCGATTGGCCACATCCGTCGACAGTGCTCTACACCACGCTGTAAACAGTGCTGGCGGTATGGCCATTCCACCGAGGAGTGCGTTGTAACCTATGCCTCCAAGCTCCAGGGTAATGCTTCGCCATCGGCTGATGTAAGTGAACACCTCATGGACGTCGATGAACTGTTCACTAAGGACCTGGAACCTCTGGGCGATTCTCAGGAATCTGAAGAAAACCACGACAACTCATGCGAGGTCTCCTCGGGGGAGCAAGAGGAGGCACCTAAACCTTGCACCATCGATGCCCTAATCCAAGAACCACCAAATGATCCCACACCTGAAGCTCCACTCACTAAATCAAAGGAGACAAGAAAGCTTCCCACACAGATTACTCCGCCTGCTGCGACAGAGACAGAAGACGAAAGGTCGTGCAAAAAGGCGAAAGTCGACGCCATCGACACCACCTTAACAGCAGATCCCTGCTGCTCCAAAGATGTCCCCCAGAGCAGGGAAGACGTCCATCCCCAAGAACAACGTGGAAAGGCGAAGTTCAAGGAGCGGAAGAAACCAAACCTTCCCCGATCTGAATCAAATGTTTAAATGGTTACAGTCAGCTTTGGCACCACCCAGATAAGTTATTTTACCATATGCTCCCTTAACGTGCGCGGTATTAATTCGCGCAAAAAGCAATATCAACTATATCGTTTTCTAGAACCACACAATTGTGACATAGTCGCATTGCAAGAGACTAAGGTTTCTCAGGATAACGTTTTGTTCTCGGCTAACAGCGTATGGTCAAGCTTATACGATATATACCACTGCCCAGCAACCGATTACTCTGCTGGATGCGCCATTTTGTTTAAAAAAAGTTTAGAATACCGTATGTGCAGTTTAGTGGAAGGTGCAGATGCAGGTAGGCTTTTAGTTGCAAATGTCCTCATACATGGTCACCCCTGGCGCATAGTTGTTGTTTACGCGTACAATGACTCCGCGCAAAGGGAGAACTTATTCAATCAAGTGAGGATTCACGCCGACACAAGATTCAATGTTATTCTCCTTGGAGATTTTAACTGCGTATTGTCTGCCAAAGATAGAATTCCTATCAAGAAAATCGTTGATCCAAGTGTTGACATTCTTCAAGCTCTCGTTCGGGATTGCGACCTGTTGGACACTTTCACAACAAAAAATGTTCTTCAGTATACACCTTTCCAAAAAACACTCGACCCCAGAGGCAACAAACCGCTTTCGAGCCCAGTCACTGAGTTTGAGGCTAGGCTCTCACCGGCGTCCCTCCTAACCCTAACCGAGTGGACTGTGATTTCGATAGGCGCAGCCTGCGTAGGCGCAGTTTCAAACGCTGCTGGCGGCTAAATTCTTGTCTTTTCCCGCTACATTTTGTGTTTCATGGTACATATATTTTCCCGAGAACATTAAGAAAGCATTGCGCCACATTTGAAAAAAACAAAAAACGCAAAAAAAAAAAACAAAAAAAAAACTGTAAACTATTTTTGTTGGGTAAGCACGTGACAAACGAATGCGACTGGAATGTATAGTTCTAGTTATTTGTTTTTCTCTAAGGATAAGTTTTGACGGCGCCGGCGGGATTTGCCGCATGCGAAACAACAAAGCGCTTTGCTGACAAAAATAAATTGCAACGGAAGAGGGCCGAAAGGCATGCATTTTTCGCGCTCACAAATAACGTGTTCACCGATGGGCAGGACACGGACATACAATTGAGGAAGTGTTACCATTCGAACAATATATCGTACGTACCACACGATGCAGCGTTATCCGAAAAGAATTTATTTGAGAAAGATCTCAAATAACACTGTCACAGTCGACGACAGTCACATCTTGACGATCGGAC